AATGGGGGGTGGTCTCTCAGGATGGGGGCCCCATGTTGGCTTTGCCAGGCTGCCCACCAGGCTGCTTCCTCATGGCTTCCAGAGCCAAGTCCCAGAGGATCCTGCTGCTGGAAGCCTGGGAAGATGTCAAGCGTTCTGGGGACTCCAACACTGCAGCCGAGCACGGGAGAGTGGACTTCCCGAAAAAGAAGTTTGCCCACCAGTGACCCGGGTCAGCCTTGGGGAGACTGCGGTGGTGAGGGATGGCTTCCCCAGCATACTCTGCACTTCTGCAGGAGCTGTTACTGGAAGGGGAGCCCAGGCGGCACCAGTAATAGTCGTGGGAGGCCACGAGCGAGCGAGCCGCTGGAGGGGATGGCTGCCAGGCTGTCGCTTGCAGGCTGCTAGAAACCTCGGCGATGACCCCTCGCGGGCCTCTGCGCGTGATCACAGGTGGCGGGGACAGGGACACTAGGCCACGGAACCCATTTGCAGAGGAAACCACAGAAAGCTGATCAGCCTGAGCAGGAGTGCGCTTGGACAGAGGCTGTTAATGGTCCGTTTAAAACAATAAGAAACCATTGTAACAGGTGTGAAGTGATATCTCCTTGTGGTTTTAATTTGCATCTCCTTAACGATTAGGGATGAGCATCTTTTCATGCGCTTGTTGGCCATCTGTGTGTCTTCTTTGGAGAAACCTTTATTCAGACCCTTTGCCCATTTTGGAATTGGGTTGTTTGCTTTTTATTGTCGTTGGGCTGCAGGCGCTCTTCATATATCCTGGGCATTAATCCTTTATCAGATACATGATTTGCACATATGTTCTCCCGTTCTGTGGGTTGTTCAAAATCCCTTTAAGCCACCCGTTTATGGTAATTTGTTACAGCAGCCGCAGGAGGCTCATTCTTCCTCTCATGCCCCTGCCTGGCCTGAAATGCACATGTGATGTGTGCGTAGGCACACACGTGCACACACACACCCCCACCCCAGCCCGCCAACATTTTGGTTGTTGCTGGAGAGGGTGAATGCTCGCTCTTCTCCATGGGCAGCAGAGAGAGTGCTGGGCGGATCTCAGCTTGGATTCTTCCTGATCTGTGAAGGTGTCTTGGAAGGTGCTTTCCTGCTCCGTGGAGATCCCCAACAGTCTTTGCACCTTGCTTCTGAGCAGCTTCTCCCACCCACTCTCCTTGCGCATCTTTTCTAAACACCTGGGAGTCCTGGAGGAGATACTGAGGCTGGGGCACGCAGCAGGTGGTGAGGATGAGCGTGCCCTTGCTCTACTGTCTCGACTCCATCTTTGTTCTGGTGGCTGAAGTGCATCTGGTTCCGGTCGCCCAGATCCAGGCTCTTGTAGCCTCCCTGGAAGCCAGGGCTCCAGGGGATCAGGTGGTGCTCTAGGCAGGCACGCCCCCCGAGGCTGAGGCTGCCCTGGGTCAGTGAGGAGTGGAGGCTCTGACCACCCTGGAAGTAGCCGGCCACACGCTTGGAGGTAAAGTCCATGGTTCCCTGGCCCTGGCTTAGAATGATGTGACTACCACAGCAAATACAGCACTTGACCTTTGGAAGGGACCTGAGGTTCACGGGTGGACGTGGTGTGGGGAGGTTGTAGCCAGGTTTCCAGATGGGGCCTGGCATGGTAGCTCCTAACAGCTGAGGGAGCCTGCAGATGTTGGCGGGGGGTGTGTATGGTGGTGGCGGGGGGAGGTTGTGTATTCCCATGCAACTCTCGTCGGCCGGGCAGAGTCCATTTACCCAGCTTTGCCCCTGGACAAAATCCTGCATAAGCAACACCACATTCGATCACATCATGCTCAAATCCATCTCTGACGTGTCCATCATGTTGGAACAAATTTGTGCTTTCAAAGCAAATGAGAGCGGAATTGATGGGACTCCCCACCAGCCCCCCCTGCCAGTTTGAATCTACCAGCAGGAAGGCACTAAATGTGAGGGGGGAGGGATGAGTAGTAGTATAGTCTCTTCACCATCAGGTATAAGAGTCAGTGATATCCTCAGGAGCACAGAGAATAGTAAGATTCAGGGAAACGAGGAAGTGATCACTTTAGAGTACTTACAACTTTTATTTTATTTTATTTTATTTTATTTATTTGACAGAGAGAGGGAACACAAGCAGGGGGAGTGGCAGCGAGAGGGAGAAGCAGACTCCCCTCTGAGCAGGGAGCCCAACGAGGGGCTCGATCCCAAGACCCCGAGATCATGACCTGAGCTGAAGGCAGACGCTTAACCGACTGAGCCATCCAGGCGCCCACAACTTTTATTTTATTTATTTTTTTATTTTTTTAAAGATTTTATTTATTTATTTGACAGAGACACAGCGAGAGAGGGAACACAAGCAGGGGGAGTGGGAGAGGGAGAAGCAGGCCTCCCACAGAGCAGGGACTCCAGGATCATGACCCGAGCTGAAGGCAGACGCTTAACCGACTGAGCCATCCAGGCACCCACAACTTTTATTTTTAATATCATATATTTAATTGCAAGTTTGCACAACTCAACGTTTAGCAGTGGCCCTATGAGACAAGGACTCACACGTTTCCTAGAAATGGACCAACCGGCTCTTCCCCAGTGCCCCGCGCAGCTCAGGGGGCCGGTGAGGATGTCAGCACGTGCGTACTGAGTGCCCACTTGGAGCCAGGGACTGGGTGTCCAGCAGCGAATGGGGCTTGTACCCCAAGGGAGACGGACGGGAAGCAAGTGCTCCTGGGATAATACAATCATGGCCCCTGCGTGGAGCACCAGAGAATCAAACTGGGTGGTGAGGGCATGGTGGTGTCTGGTCGCCTCCTACTCACCCCATTAGTGAAGGAGGGATCCCCAGCACTGAGATGGCCAAACACACAGCACCCAACACTGGTCTGGTGAGATGGACAGCAGTAAGTCACATATACTCACAGGCCTGGGTTGGGGGAGGACCCAGCTGGCCACACAAGACCCGTGGAGGTTGCACCTGGGAGGGGAGTGAACAGCCTGAGGCTGCAGGAGGCAGACTTTGTAGTAGTAACAGGAGGGTGGGGTGCCCCTGGTTCCCAGGGGAGGATGCGATTGACTTGTTGGAAAGACAAGGAGGTGAGATCCGCTAGGCTGAGGATGGGTGGGGTGTAATTGGTCAGGCTGCCAGGGGAACAGGTGGGGGACAGCCTCTTCTGCCAAGTCGGTGGGGGGCATATCTGGTGAGAGCAGGGAACTCACAGTTCGGCCTCTGGGGACCTGGAAGGGCAGCCCGTCAGATCCGAGGCCTTATAACCCTGGCAGTCAGGGAAGGAGGGACAGTGGGGCTAGCCATGAAGCGTGGGGTGGGGGCAGCCTTGTGACTCCAGGAGGAAGGGACACTGGCATCTGGGCCGGAGGGTGTGGTGGTGGTGGGTGGTGGTCCATAGACTCATGGAGGCCAGTGTGGCCAGAGCCCAGAGGGGAAGGGAGCAAAGGGAGCGGCAGGAGGCTGGCTTCGAGGCTGGAGAGCGGGGCCCAGTTTACGGAAGAGCAAGGGGAGGTGTGGCGGGCTCGGCAGGACAGACGGGTATTGGGAGGGTTATGCTAGAAGGCCCTGCCTGGTGCGGGAGCAGACTGAGATGAGAGGACTGCACCTCTTCCTGGCCTCAGCACCCCGCCTCGCCTGCTGCCTCCCCCTTCCACCCAGGCTCCTGCAGGGCCCCTCCCACATCTGCTAAGGCAAGCCCTGTCTGCCCTGGAGTCCCCACGGCCTGCCCAGGGCTTGGCCTAAAGCCACGAGAGGCTGGTGGGGAGGCCACCTAGAGGACCCAGGGTGCCTGGGAGCAGGGAGGGTTCAAAGGAAGCTTTCAAGAGGAGCAGGGGTTGGGCAGCCAAAGGAAAAGGGCAGAAGAGCAGGGTTTGAGGGGTCAACACAAAGCATCTGAGGAACCAGGGTGAGGCTGAGCCATCAGGGCAGCCTCAGGGCTGCCTGGAGTTTGGACTTGGTCCCAATGAACAGGGATCCCTGAAGATTTGGGTCAGGAGGGAAGTGTGGTCAGCACTAGAGTTTTAGGAGGGCCCTGGTAGTGGGAATGGTCCTCCTAGAGGGGCCAAAGGTGCCAGTTGAAGGGGGGGTGATGCTGGAAGGAGGGGGACAGGACTTGGACATGACATAGAAGGAAGGTGCGCCTCCCCTCCCCTGAGGAACCTATGACAAGGGGACCATTGCTCAGTTGGGGACACTCTGAGGGGCCCAAACCTGCTGTATGGCAGAGGGGAAAGGGAGGCCCAGAGAGGGAGGGGCCTGGCCCAGGGGATTCGTGGACAGCGGCAGGGGCTCGGAGAGGGTAGAAGTGACGACTGGCAGTCAGGAGCCCAGGGGCAGCTGCGCATCTGGAAGGTTCGTCCCTTGGCTAGCCTGTCTCCCCAATCCTGAGGCCACGTGCACTGCACAGGTCGCCGGGCTCTGGCTGGGGTGAGCGCCCTGCGGGGTCGCGGAGTCGCGGAGTGAAGGCCGCACGGAGATACAACCCGGCGGCCGGGGCGGGGCGAGTCCGCAGAGGGGGCCATGCAGGGGCGACTGGGGAGGAGGCTGGAGAGGAGGCAGGGGAGGACGGGTAGGGGGGCAGCCCCGGAAGGCGGTGGGTCCCAGGATGACGACCGGTGGAAAGGGGAGCGCAGAGGATGGGGCGAGAAGGAAAGGACAGCTTGGGTCCGAGGAAGGGGGAGGGTCCAGGGTGGGGTCAGGCCCGGGCAGGGGGCGGGGCAGTCCGGAGAAAGTCCTTGGAGGGGATGAGTCCCGAGAAGGGAGCGGGGGCGGGTCAGGGTCCGGAAAGGGGGCGGGGCGGGCGGCCCGGCTGGGAGCATGCGGGGAGCAGTGCAGGGAGGGGGCGAGGGGAATAGGGGCCCAGTCGGGTCCGAGGAGCGGGGAGGGCGTGGGCAGGGTCGGGGGGGGGTGATCCGCCCAGAGGTCCGGGCAGGGGGGCGGGGCGGGCCCGGGAGGGGGTGGGGGAGAGTGCGCGGAGGGGATGAGTCCCGGGAAAGGCGCGGGGCGGGGCCGGGGGACGAGGCGGGTCCGGGGAGGGGGCTGGTCCGGGGCTGCCCCAGCTTGGCCGGCCGCGGAGCGGGGCGCATGGCGCCGTGCGCACTGCGCGGGGGCTGCGAACAAAGGGCCCCCGGCGGCGCAGGGGGCACCGGCGCGCTCGGACCCCGACCCTGGCCCAGCCCCGGCCCGGCCCCGTCCCTGGGCGCCGCGCCCCCGCGGAGCCGAAAAATGTGGGGCGCCCTGCTCTGCCCGCTGCTGTGGCGCCTGCTGCTGCTGCTGTCGCCGCGGGACGGCGTGTGCGCCGCGCCCCAGGCCCCGTGAGTTGCACCGGGCGACGGAGGAGGTTGGCTGTCTTCTCGGGGAGGGGGCCCCGGGGCCCGGCTCAGAGAGGTGCAGCGACCTGTCCGAGGCTACACAGCGTCCGCACTGGGCGGGACCTAGACTCCTGGCCCCTGACTCCCAGGGGTCGGACTGGGAAGGGGGCACCCCCAGCCTTCAGAGGTGGCCACACGGAGGTACAGGGAGTCAGGGCCTCCTCCCCACCTCACCCCCTTGGTGTGACGGGAGCTGTCGTCTTGGGTGGTGATTTCAAGTTGTCCGTGGCCCGGAGGTAAGAGATGCGTGTCTTGGCGGGGAAATAGGAAGAGAGACCTACCGTTCCGTTTTCCTTGGGAGGGCGTGGTGGCGGGGAGGAAGTGTTTGTTTTGCTTCCACATTTTTCTTGAAGTTTGACTACAGAGCTTCTGGTGAGTTGACACAGTGAGGAGGTGAATTAACTAGCCGCTAAGGAGAATTTCCCTTGAGTTGGCTTCACCGGGAATATTTCCAGAACTGCCAAGTTGGGGTGAGCCCTGCAAGGCTGTGGGTTCAGGGGGGCCGCCTGGAGCTGCCCAAGCTCAGCCGTGTAGTCCAGCCTCAGCCTTGATGAGGTGGCTTGTTCAAGCGGCGCTTGCTTAGGAGTTCCCAGAAAACAGGTCAACCGTGGGACGAGGCGGGTGGTGTCGCTTTAGGATCACAGTTGGAAAAGTAAGACACCACACTGCGCTTTGAGCAATGGGATTTACCTCCCTTGGGCCTTGTGAAACTGGAATTCAGCAAATTTTTGTCCTGATCTTTCAAAGCAGGCATCCCTTAAAATAGAGGTTTTCAGCCCTGGGGAGGGGGCGTGATTTTTGTTTTCCTGGGGTCATTGGGCAATTCTAGGGGCATTTTTGGTCCACATCTGGGGGAGGCAATGCTGCTGGAATCTACTGAGTGGAGGCCAGGGATGCTTCGAAACATTTGGCCACGCGCAGGTCCACCCCCGCCACAAAGCTTGACTGGGCCCTAAATTACAGACCTCGCCTCATAAAGACCAAGTTCAGAGTCTCTGGATTGCAGAGTTTCAAATGGTTCTCAGGAGTGTTTGCCTCTGACTAAAGTTGTCCTGGGATATTACCTTCTGTCAAGGGAAATGGAATCCCTGTGCTGGGAGACACGTGCTGGGAAGTGCAAAATTACTGACCTGGGGCTCTAGATTAGTTGGCCTCTAAGCCACAGCTGTGGTCCACCCACTAGAGGGATTCCGATTTAGGAATTGCCCTGGATACCCACTTCTGTGACCTGTGTGATTTTTTTTTTAAAGATTTTATTTATTTATTTGAGAGAGAGCACCAGCGGGGGGAGGGGCAGAGGGAGAGGGAGAAGCAGGCTCCCCGCTGAGCAGACGCTCAACTGACTGAGCCACCCAGGCACCCCAACCCATGTGATTTTTGCATGAGGAATCCCTGACCCCAGAAAGCAGGACAGATTTGCACGTTGTCATAAGACCAGTACTGTCCAGGGCGCCTGGGTGGCTCAGATGGTTGAGCGTCTACCTTCGGCTCAGGTCATGATCCCAGAGTCCCGGGATTGAGTCCCACATCGGGCTCCTTGCTCAGCGAGGAGTCTGCTTCTCCCTCTGCCCTTCACCCTGCTTGTGCTCTCTCAAAAAAATAAATAAAATAAAATTTTAAAAAGACCAGTACTGTCTACTCTTTACCAAACACCACCATTCCCAGGCTGGGACTTCTGAGACCTTCTAAGACTTAAACCAGTGTCAGTCCTGATGCCGGGGGGCCAGGGGTGGGGGGTGGGAGGGTGGTGGTGGTGCATCAGGTCAACAATGCTTGGCTGGCAAGCATCCCAGCAGCCGCAACTCCTGAATCTCGGGGAGAGTTAATTTGGTTCTGTGGGGTTCTCTAGGCCCTTTGGGTGAAAAATCTAACTCAGATCTGGATATGGGCTTTAAGAGGCAACCAAGGAACATGAACATGTGGATTGTCTATTCCCCAAATGCTCTTCCATGGTCTGTATGTGCTATGTGGGAGGTCTGGGGGTCAGCTGGGAGCTAGATGGAAAGATTATTCCTAGAGGAGGCTGAGGTCCCGCTGCGGCGGGTCAGGACACGTAGGAAGCCAGAGTCACTGCCCGCCCGGGTCGGTGTTGGGATTAGATAATACACAGCACGTACCTAGGGTGATGATGGTTACATACCCAGGATCAGCACAGTTACGTACCCAGGATCACTGCATGCTGTGTGAACTGCTGAGGCCAGACATTGCGCATGGGAACTCAGGGAGCACCCTGCACCTTCTGGTGGGTGCTGGAGGCAGCAAACACTACACGTCACATACAAAGCAAGAGTTCCTGTGCTTGAGGCGGTATATGTTTACCCCACTCTCACTGCATGCACACCCCGTTTGCATGAGAATCCGAGAGAGCGCGTAAGACCCAGGATCAGTCCACATTCTGGTCAGTGCTGGATCTGGACAGTGCATTCAGGAACCCCAGGGTCACTGCATGCTCCAGATAATGCAGTCACATGCCCAGGATGAATGCATGCTCTGTGCATGGCTGAGGCCAGACGCTGCGCATAGAAAGCCAGTCATTGTGGATGGTTGTTGGTGCTGGAGTAGGACGGAACATTGGACCCCCAGGTCGTTCCTGGTTCCAGTCATTGCTGGATCTGGGCTGTGCACGTACAAAACTAGGGTCTTTGCACATTCTCATCGGCGTTGGAGTTACATAGGAAGTACCTGGTATGTCCCGAGGTCCTTGCAGGCTCCGGGCAATCCTGAAGTAGGACAGTCCACATAGGAAGCCAGAGCTGCTGAACTCTGGCCACTGTTCAAGCTGGACAGAGCCCAGTGGGCTGCCAGGGTCAGTGCTGCGGCCGGATGGTAGCCGACAGGAGCCCAGTGTGTCTTTTGAAATGCCAGATTTTTCATGAAGTTTTAATGAAGTCCAGTTTATCAATGATTTCTTTGATGGATCGTGCTTTTAGCATCTTTAGTATCTTACACATGAACTCTTTGCCTAACCCCAGCTCCCAAAGCCTTTCTCCTGTTTTCTTCCAGGGCTTTTATAGTTTTACACGTATTAGATCTCTGACCCAGTTTGAGTTCACCTCAGTGTATGGTACTCAGGCAGGGTCTAAATTTGTCTCTTTGTGTGTGGACGTCTGGTTGTCCCAGAGGGGATTTTGGAGACGCGAAAATCTCTCCTTCTCTCATTGCCTGGCCTAGTGGTTTCCCTTTCGCCCGCTTCCTTCTGGTGCCGGTAATGCTCCTCATGCTGGGTTTGTGCTGCCTTTGCTGTCTGGGCTCTTGGTGCTTGCTGTGCTTTGTGAGCAGTTTTCGTGGTTAAAGATGAATGAGACTTTCCAATTATCCGCGGAAGGTTGTAGAACACCAGAGGCAGGAGCTCAGGTGGGGAGGACCTGTGTGCCTCAGGTCAGGTGCCCTAAGGGCGCCCCAAGGCTCTCCCCGGTCTGACTGTGGGACCTGTGGCATGTTCCTTCTCCTGGCGCGACAGCTTGCCCATCTGGAAAGTAAGATAATGTTCTCTACCTTCCAGGAGAGGCCTGTTTTGGCGCGACTGTTCGCAGAGCTTTTCCTGTTTTGGGCCATTTAGTTAATTTTCAGGGCTTTGTTCTTAAGATTAATGCTGCAGGAAGCTCCTTGTTTCTTTCCACTGGGTTCTGGAGTCTGGCTGCCTGGGTTTGCATCCTGGTCTCTTACTGGCTCAGGCACGTGGCTCGGCTTTCTGGGGCTTAATTTCTGACTCTGTAAATGGCTTTTTGGCACTTGTCACAGGGTGGCTGTGGAGGATGAAGTGGGATCCTGCCAGTTACTCAGGAGAGTGGGTCACAGTATTGGTGTGGCACTTGCAAAGGTCCTGTGGCAGAATGCGCTGAATGCAGAGGCCACAGGCCAGAATGCAGACATTGGAAGGGGGTGTGGTGCTGGGTAGATCCAGAGAGGCCAGATTCTTACATTGTCAGGGGGCTTCAGAGATGAATAAGCCAGCCCCTGGTCTCAAGGAGCTCACAGGTCGGTGGGGGGCCCATATACATAAAATGACAGTGTCATCACGGTGTGGGCAGGCGTGGGTGGAAGACCACACAGGGAGCACCGTGACCCAGCCAGAGAGGCAGGGAGGCCAGAGGTGGGTCAGACAGCCTTTGGCCTTCACTGAGGTTCTCCTCTCCTACAGGGCCTACTTGATTGCTGCACCCTCTGTCTTCCGCTCGGGAGTAGAGGAAGTCATCAGTGTGACCATCTTTAACTCCCCCCGAGAAGTCATGGTCCAGGCTCAGCTGGTGGCCCAGGGCGAGGAGGTGGCATGGAGCCAGGGAGCCATCCTGGGTAGGTCCCTGGGGTGGCTGACCAGGGCTTCCTCTTCCTTGGCAAAGTGGCCTTCGGGGCTCAGGCGATGTGGGCATTGCTTTGCTTCTCTCCCATCCCACCTCCCAGCAGGGGAGGGAGAACAGACTGCTTCCCGCCCCACTTTTCAGATGGGGAGAGTGAGACCCAGGAGGGGCAGCCACCTGCCCCGTCTAGGAAACCAGAGTGAATTGTTCCTCTGCAGCCCAGGTTCTGTGGGTGCAGATCTGGATGGAGTCGGGCATCCTTCGGGCTACAGGTGGGACCGGGGCCCAGAGGGACTCTCAGGACCGCTTCAGACCGCTGGCTGAGCTATTCTAGCGCCCCCGTGGTGTTAGATGCAGACTCCAGGCTTCCAGCCAGACTCACTGAGTTGGACTCAGGCCCCCAGCCAGGCTCTGTCCGGCTGTCCTTGGGAAACTGCAGATAACAACCGCGCGGGCCTCCTGGATCCAGGTGGTGAGAGCGGGGAGCTGCCCAGGGCCTGTGGTCCAGCACGCCGCAGGAGACACAGAGGGTGATGTCGGGGCTCTCAGGCCGGCGACGCAGCGCCTGGCCTCGGGGAGAGGCGGGCCTGGAGTGGAAACCAGGAGAGGGCTTGGGTGGGCAGGAGTGCAGGCAGTCCTGACTCCGTGGGCCACCCCAAAACCCACATCAGGTTGGCTTCAGCAACAGAGTGTTTACGGGCTCTCATAACTAGGGAAGTCCACTGGCATCTCGGGCCGTCCTCTCCCAGCCCCACTTCTGAATGGGCCCGCGTCTCCCCGAAGCCGAGAGAGTGACGGGTTCTCCAGACCACTGAAAATGTCCCAGCGTTCTCTCTGATTGGCCGAACTTGGGTCATGTGCTCAATCGTGACCCAACTGATTGGCCCATTTGGGGTCATGTGCTCAACTCTGAACCAATCACTGTGACTGGGGGAGGGCCTGTGTAGATTTTCACAGAGCCCCGAGAGAGGGACGGAGCCACGCAAACCTCCTGAACTGGGAGCTGGGCAGGTGGCTCCCCCAAGGAAATTGGGGTTCTGCTAGTAAAAAATGGGGAATGGAGACTGCGAGGCAAAAACAGTAGATGGCAAAATCAAGTCTTAGAGGCTAGAAAGCCCGGACAGGTGTCACAATGGTAAATGATTCAGCTTGGGTCAAGAGAGAGGTGATGGGAAAACAGATCTACTGGAGGGAGGTCCACTGGGGACCTCAGTCTCCTCTTCTTTCTCTCTACCCTTCTTGTTCCACTCCCCGGGAGTTTTCTCTTTGCTCCCCTCACAGCTTACCTTGGACATGGGGGCCAGGGGTGAAGTGAATTATTAAGTATGTAGGCTGGCCAACTTTCCCCCTAAATAGCTCAGCGTTGTCCATCCCCTCTGGCCTTCAGGCTCTCTCCATCTTGGAGGGAACCTCTCACTTTTCTCAATCCCAGCCCAGACCAGACCAGCATGACCCAGTGTGTGTGTTTGTCCACAGACAATCCCCCCCCAGTTATAAAGCTGCAGCTCAGGGAGGCAGGCAAACCCAGCTCCCAATTTAACTGTTTTCATTTAATTTTTATTTTTTAGATAAAGGGACAATCAAACTCAAGGTAAGCTATGAATTTTTAACATCTTCATGAACCCTACCTTGGAAATAATTGATTGGAATGGGATAAGAGAAGTTTCGTGTGTGGTGAGAAAAATCAGTAACGGTGATGTCAACAATGAATAATGAAGAAAAAATTGAGAAAACTCACCTGTAATCCCATCCCCCCGTACTTTTCACTTTCTCGTGTTTCCCCATAAATCCTCATCCACATAAAGACATTTCTTTTATAGTTGCAATTAAATGGTAGACCTCCTCGTGCTCCCTGCTATTTTCAATTAATTCACTGTGTAAACATACTTCCATGTGTTCAAATCTCTATAATTGTAATTTGCCTCCTGTTGTTAACCACATCCTATTGCATCTCTTTTATGTACTAATTTACTAACTCTCTCCACCTTGTACATGGTTAGATTTTTTTAAAGATTGTTTTCAGGGTTTTGATAACATAATCCAAACATTGCGAGCATCTTTGTACATAAACATGTCTTAGCATTCTTTTTTTAAAAGATTCTATTTATTTGAGAGAGGGAGAGAGAGTGTGCATGCATGTGTGTGCATGTGTGGGCACGTGTGGGGGTGGGGGGCAGAGGGAGAGGGAGAAGCAGGCTCCCCGATGAGCAGGGAGCCTGTTGTGCGGCTCGATCCTGGGACTCTGGGATCATGACCTGAGCTGAAGGCAGATGCTTCACTGACTGAGCCATCCAGGCGCCCCAAAAATGTCTTAGCATTCTGAATGCCTGCCTTAGGCTGAACACCCCAAAAGAAGAATGACCAGGTTAGGAACCAAGCCTCTTGCTTGGTCCTGCTTTGTCTTCGAAGACACAGCAATGCCCCTGCACAGCACCACCTGTAGAATTACTCAGGTAATTCTCTGATGTGGGTTTTTTTTTTTTTTTAAGACTTTATTTATTTATTTGACAGAGAGAGGGAGAGAGACAGCGAGAGAGGGAACACAAGCGGGGGGAGTGGGAGAGGGAGAAGCAGGCTTCCCGCTAAGCAGAGAGCCCGATGCGGGGCTTGATCCCAGGACCCTGGGACCATGACCTGAGCTGAAGGCAGACACTTAACGACTGAGCCACCCAGGTGCCCCTCTGATGTGGGTTTTTAAACAGGAGTCCTTGGATTTCAAGAAGTTCACAACACTGAAATTATAGGCATTTTCTGGGTTAGCTGTTCCTTAACTTTTATCAGACACTCAAAGGAATCCCGGAATGAATGGGCAACATCGAGAGTCATGCTGAATTACAGCGTGCCCTCCCCCAGGGATCAGTACAATGTCCGGAGCCGTTCCTCTCCCCTGCAGGGTGTCCCTAGTGCCTGAGTGCTGTGGGACAGAGGCCTTCCTGCCTTACTGATGACGGTAGAAGCTTTTCTCGACGGCAGCAGCTCCCACCTGGTGGGGATGTTTGCCCTCTCCCCCGTCCCCGGCCCCAGGACATCGGGTAGTGTCTGGAGACCTTTTTGGTTGTCACAACTGGGGAGGGCACCTCCTGTGTGCTCAGCACCCCCACAGTGATCAGGATAGCTCCATGACCTAGAAAGAGCCAGCCCCAGATGTCAATAGTTGGGAAGCCCTTGATAAGTCCCCTAGAGCTGCCCTTTGAGCAGGTTGGCTTTCTTGTGAATCAGAAAGCAGGGCCGCGCTGGACAGGGGTTAAGATTACGCATGATCCCTGCCCAGTGCCCCTCGGAAGGCACTCTTCACAGGATCGGTGCTGTGGATTTGTAGATGAGACCAGTGAAGGGCTGTATAATTCTAGGAGGGGGGCCAGGGGATCTTCAGACTAGACTAGAGACTCTAAAAAAGGTCTTGGGATCTTTAACTCTTAGAATAGCTCCTGATGAGCAATTCTCAACTTGGGGGGGCGGTTCTGGCCCCTCAGGGAACACTGGCAGTGGCTGGAGACATTTCTGGTTGTCATAACTGGAGGGTGGGGTGGGAGGGGGAGGGAAGGGTCCTATGGCATCTGGTGGGCGGAGGCTAGGGATGCCGCTCAACACCCTGCAATGGCAAGGTGGCCTCCCCCTGCAAAGACTGATCCAGTCCAGGGAAACCTGGGGGGCTCAGTCGCTAAGCCTCTGCCTTCGGCTCAGGTCATGATCCCAGGGTCCTGGGATCGAATCCTGCATCGGGCTCCCTGCTCTGCGGGAAGCCTGCTTCTCCCTCTCCCATTCCCCCTACTTGTGTTCCCTCTCTCACTGTGTCTCTCTCTGTCAAATAAATAAACAAAATCTTAAAAAAAAAAAAAGACTGATCCAGTCCTAAGTGTCATTGGTGCCAATGTTGAGAAACACTCTGTCGTTCGCAAAGCTCTGTGGTCTGCCTGCAGGTGCCCACGGGCCTCCGGGGCCAGGCCCTCCTGCAGGTGTGGGGCCGCGGCGGGCGGGCGGAGGAGGGCCCCCTCTTCCACAACCAGACCTCCGTGACTGTGGACGGCCGGGGCGCCTCCGTGTTCATCCAGACTGACAAGCCGGTGTATAAGCCCCGACACCGAGGTGGGCAGCTTGCGCAGGCTGCGGGGGGGGGGGGGGGGGGGGGGAGGGGAGGGCCAGCCATGCCCGGAGCTGCCACCTGACTGTCTCCTTCCCTTCCAGTGCTCATAAGCATCTTCACTGTCACCCCAAACCTGAGGCCCGTCAGCCAGAAGGTGAGATCAGCTTCTAAAACCCTGTGCCTGGAACACACCGGCCCGGGACCACCTGGCCAGGGGCGCCGCCAGCAACTGGGCTTTCTCCCCTGTTCCTTCCAGTTTCGACCTCCGTTCTGGGTTTTGTCGTGGGGCTCCGAGTCCCCTGGGGAGCCAGGGGGAGGTCTGTGGGACAGAGGGAGGCCACAGCACGGCTGGGCGGGTGGTGCATGCTCAGAGGGCTGGGGGCCTGCAGGGGCTGTGCTCACTGCCTGTCTGTCTGTCTGTTGCAGCTGGAAGCCTACATTCTGGTGAGTGGTGTGCAGCCCCGTCCGCTCTGACTCGGGGCCCGTTAGCCGTCTGCTGCCGAGGTAGATCCTACCTGTCCCAGCACCTCACGAGGCTGGGACTGGGTCTGTCCCTGGGCCCCGGATCTGCCCTGGGACAGGCCAAGTGCGTGTCTGTCTGTCTCTGTAGATTTGCACACGGTTCCCTAAAGGAGGAGCAGATCCAGCCCCTTTTGTCCCTGTGTCCTCAGACCAGTCCCTTCTGTGCCCTGAGCTTTCATTTGCTCCCCTGTATATGGCTGATCTGGGGGCCTGCCCTCCACACTTGTCCCACCCTAGAGAGAGGGCTCAGAGGGTGCACACATGTGCCGGGGACACGCCGGCTGCCCTGAGCTGACTATGGGTGTTTGTCCCCTGCAGGACCCCAGGGGCTCGAGGATGACAGAATGGAGACACTTGGAGCCGTTCTGCTGTGGTGAGCCTCTGCCCCTCCCCTTCCCTTTCTCCTTCTACAGTTTTGGGGGCTGCACCTTTGGGTGGCAGATGCAATAAATCTTCCAGGGAGCTAGAATGTTCTCTGAATGCATCCCTTCCCTGCAGCACTGCACCCCACCCATGTTTCTCTGGTCCCGGCATCCAGCTTGGGCTCCTGCATTGAACTTGAGGCCTTTTGGGGGAACATCAGGGTCTTGTTTGTCAGCACCCCCCATCTTCCTCTCACTGCAGATCTTCCACCTCATCATCCCCTTGGGGGCTCCTGGACCCCGAGTGCCTCTGTGAGCGCAGAGCCTCTAGGAGGCAGGTGGATTGTGGTGGTTTGTGCAATGCCACACTTCTGGTCCCCTCATCTGCCCTTGAGCCCTCTCTCCAGTTCTGAGGTGCTTGGGGAGGGCTGACCAGCAGGGACAGGGCTTCTGTGACTGTCCTTCCTTGAGTTCTGAGCCTGGGGCTGCAGGGGCTACAGTGCAGCCAAGGGCAGGACTCTCGGACTCTCTTGGTGACCCATCCCACCTTCTTGCCTGGCACTCAGCCTGCTTTCCTCTACTCCACCCTCCCCATCGGCCCCTTTCCCTCCCTCTCGCTAACTCTCTGTCTTCCTACCGGCAGATATCTGCTGGGCACTGAAGTAGATGCTGACAAAGGGTGAACTTTCTGCCCAGTGGGGGAAACAGACATTAAACCACATGATAACATCTGCCATGATGAGCGCTAGGAAGGAGAAGTACAAACTCAGAGAGGACAAAATGGGATTCTTGCCCAGCCCGGGGCAGCAGAGACAATCCTGGAAGGCTGCCTGGAGGAAAAGCCTTTCCAGCAACAAAGTGGAGAAGGAGCAGAGGTTAGCCGGGCAAAGTGAGGGACTGTGTTCCAGACAGAGGCCCAGCATGCAAGAGGCCCGGTGGATGGCAGGGAGAGTGAGGCTGGGCACAGGAGGGACCCCACGTGTCAGGAGTGCTGGCTCTAGCAGCAACAGTGAGACCAGGGGGCCTCTCCGGCTGCGGGGAGGTGTATGGACTTGATCTTCAGAACACAGAGGAAGGGAATGACTAGCCTCCCATTTAAAAAACTCCTTGCGATGCCTTTGGCTCAGGTAATGATCCCGGAGTTCCGGGATCGAGCCCCATATCAGGCTCCCTGCTCAGCGGGAGGCCTGCTTCTCCCTCTCCCTCTGCTCCCCCTGCTTGTGTTCCCTCTCTCGCTGTCTCTCTCTCTCTGTCAAATAAATAAATTAAATCTTAAAAAAAAAATTAAAAAAATAAACTCCTTGTGATATGTGTAGACCAGGGGTTCTCAACCGGCGTGATTTTGCTCCCGTCCTGGGGGGGTGTCTAGTAATGTTGGCCACGGGCTAATGAGGCCCCATAGAAAATGTATGTTGGGGACATATACCCCCAAACCTCCTCTGACTGTCAAAGGCTTTGAATATATGAGGAAAGAGACCTTTTGCCGTCAGGTTTCCCATTTCCACAGTGACGGAGAGAAGCGGTGGGGACTGTTGTAGTCTCTGGGTTTTCTCCGGAGTCCCGCAGAGCTGCTCTCACGGTGTCACTGTTGGGGACAGGCAGAGCAAGTCCCACTCGGGAGTGACAGATCCCCAAGCAGTGTTTGGAGTCTTTGCGCCCATCCAGATTCCTCCATCGGAGGCTCCTGGAAAATCCCGACTCTCCTCCCAGCATGAAAACAGCTCCCATCGGGGTTCCAAGGAATGGACCTGAAGCCAAAGCTGCCTTCTCTGCCTGAGGCTGGTGGCATTTCATGGGGGCCCATTTGCAGGGAGAGGGGTGCTCTGTCTTAAAGCCTGTTCAGAATCCGTGCTCAATTTGGGCAGCAGTTAACACCTGGTGGGCGGGAGGGGGGAAGCGGGGGGGGGGGATTCTGCCCCCAGGGGGCCTTGGCATTATGTGGGAATAGTTGGGGTTGCTGTGACTCGGGGGGAGGAGCTATTGTCATCGAGTGGGTGCAGGCCAGCGATGCTGCTCAATGTCCTGGGGTGCACAGGGCAGCCCCCCACCCACGGCATCGGGTCAGGCCCGGCTGGCTCTGCGCACGCACTTGCCCCAGGGTGACTGTTGTCTCTCTGCACACAGGTGTGGCCAACATGACCTTCCCCCTGTCTGACCAGCCGGTGCTGGGAGAATGGTTCATTTTCGTCCAAGTGCAAGGCCACGTGTACAACAAGTCCTTCGAAGTTCAGAAGTATGGTAAGCCGGAGAATCTTAGGATCTTGGGATTTCACATCTGGGCGAAACCACAGACCCGGTGAGGATGCCGACGAAGGGGGAGCACAGCGGCAGCCCCATTGGCTGGGGCTCAGTGCAGAGAGCTGGGCACTCTGTCCTTTCCCTTTTAAAAGAATTGTCATAAAAACACACGTAACAAAATTTGCCATCTTCCCTCTTGTAAATGTACAGTTGTGCAGCATTAAGGACGTTCGTGTTGTTGGTAGACATCACCACCCTCCATTTCCAGAACTTTTGCATCTTCCCGACTGAAAGGCGGTCCCCACGAAACACTAACTCCCCGTCCCCTTCCCCAGCCCCTGGCTAGCCCGCCATCCTACTTCCTGTTTCTGGGACTCTGACTCGTCCAGGTGCTTCATGGAAGGGGGACCTTACAGTATTTGTCCTTTTGCGTCTGGCGTATTTCACTCAGCATGATGTCCTCCAGGTTCATCCATGTCGTAGCCTGGGTCAGAATTCCCTTCCTTTTAATTTTTAATTTTTATTATTTTTAAAAGATTTAATTAATTTATTTATTTGACTGAGAGAGGACACATAAGCAGGGGGAGTGGCAAGCAGAGGGAGAGGGAGAAGCAGCTCCCCGAGGAGCAGGGAGCCCGATGTGGGACTCGATCTCAGGACTCTGAGATCATGACCTGAGCCGAAGGCAGACGCTTAACTGACTGAGCCACCCAGGCACCCCCTCCCTTCCTTTTTAAGTCTGTTTCTTTTGGTTCTTCCCTCATCATCCCGACCCTGTGCACGGATGGGGGAGCTGAGACGTTGAGATCCATTCAGGAAATTGCTCATGTTAACAGGAGCTGGGGAACGAACATGGACCAGAGCCACTTACTCTGCATCTGTGCTGAAATTCTCCTTAACCTGGTCAAGGGTTTCTCCTTTCAAGAGGAAGGCCCTAGAAGGAAAGGCTGTAGAGGGCAGGGCTGTTGGTTGCAAGCAGCAGAAGCCCAGTGCAACCTCTGGAAATAAAAGGAAAGGAATTTATGGCCTTGCCTCACAAGCTCGAAGGACCAGCTTCTTCGCGTTTCCTCCGTGCGGCTTCTGGGTGTCCGGGTGTCCGTCCCTCCTCCCCAAGCTGCCCAGGGTGACCAGATGGCTGGACGCTCCCAGGGCTGAGCCACTCATGCACCTCTGGGCCGGGCTGCACGCAGAGCACATGGCCTAAAAGTGATGAGATGTGGGCCTCTCAGGAGAAAAAGTGTGCGTCCCCCCAAAATAGGAAATAGATGTAGGTCAGCAAAATCCCCAGAATGCTGCCCACGCTCAGCGAAGGGTGGGGGTGTGGATTCCTGTGGTGTTGGCCGCTTGGTGGCCCGGGGCTGCGGCTTTGCCGTTATCCCTCCCACAGCTCCAGGACTTTCTGAGGCCACCCCAGCGGTGGGAGCCGCCCCTCCCTCTCTGCTCTCTCCTTCCAGTGTTGCCGAAATTTGAGCTCCTTATTGACCCGCCCCAGTATATCCGGGACCTGGACATATGCGAGAAGGGCACTGTGCGGGCCAGGTGAGAAAGAGGTGGCCCGCATGGGCGAGCCCCTCCCCCTGTAGACACGCCCCTCCCCTGTTGACACACCCCTTCCCCGGGACACGCCCCCACGGGCATGCCCCTCCTCTCTCAGACACGCCCCGGGGGGGGGGTATTCCCCTCCCAGCCATTATTCCCCTCTTCCAGCTCTTATTCCCCTCCCGCTGGGAGGGCACCCATCTCCCTTCCCTTCCAGTGTCCCCGCCCCTTCCTTGCAAACAGCACCCACAGAGAATGGGCTGACCCGCAAGGGATTTCTTGAAGGGATTACCTGTCTCATGACCAGGTTAATGACCAGCTCCAAAGTGAGGGTTGTCCAGAGGGTGTCTGGGACGCTGTCCCTTTCTGGGGCCGTCCAGGGAGAGTCCTCCAAGACTTGTTCCCGCCCAGCTCTGCCACCTCCTAGAGCTTGTGGTTGAGACGGTTCTACTGCCCTCTGCTCCTCCAGCTGTGCGGGGTTTTTTTTTGTTTTGTTTTGTTTTTTAAGTAATCTCTACTGTTAACGTGGGGCTCGAACTCATGACCCTGAGATCAAGAGTGCCTCACTCTACTGACCAAACTAGCCACGTGTCCCTGCTACATGTGTTTTAAAATCCAAGGATGTTGTCAACTATACTTAAATAAAATTTTAAAAAATAAAATAAAATCCAAGGATGTGTTGGGTACACACACCTTTTTTATAGTCTAGAAAATACTATCAAAATGCCTGGTGTTATTTTTTTATTCACTGTGATCTGCCATCTTGCTCGTGGGCCCTGTAGGCAAGTGTCCCCTCTGCATAAGTCATGACAAACATACATTTAAGTTTTACCAGCATCTCTGAGAGGATAGTTTTATTGGGGTGAGGAAACTGAGCAGTCTGATCCCTGGTTCAAAGTTGAATTCACAGGGCACTTAGGCCCAGGCTTCCTGGTGCCCACGGTTGTTTGATCCTCTGTACTGTCCTGCTTCAATAAGTGGCAGGCCCAGTGGTTGTCTCACATACCCTCCGGCTCTTGGGTCCAGAGTTCCTCTCTGACCCTTGGTCTCTTTTTCTGTCAAATACAAGTCTTGGTGCAGAGGATTGCAGGCCCCTATGCTGGCCTATCTGCGCTGACTCTGGGCTGTGGGAAGGGCTATAAGCACAGAATGTAGGATGGGGAAGCATCCTTGTATCAGCTGGCCATACCACAGGAGCTTGGCCTTCCTGAGACTGACCCCTCCCCTCCCCTGTTGCTCCATGTGAAATTAACCCTCTTTGTCCTTTTGTTCCAGGTATACCTTTGGGAAACCTGTCTCGGGGACCTTAACGATCAATATGACTGTAAATGGTGTGGGGTACTACAGCCAGGAGGTGGGGCGCCCCGTCCTCAGAACCATAAAGGTGAGGAGCAGGGACCCCATGCTGCTCATCCAATGGATCCCTTCCTGCAGGGCCTGTCCTTGGCTTCAGCTTTGTGATCATTTATTTTATTTTACTTTCTAAAACAGTTTATACGGTGAGGATTTTCCCAATGATAAAATTCCTGCAGGCTGATCAGGGAGACTTTAGAAAATATTTAAAAAAAGAAGAAATAGGGGCACCTGGGTGGCTCAGTTGGTTAAGCGACTGCCTTCGGCTCAGGTCATGATCCTGGAGTCCCGGGATCGAGTCCCACGTCGGGCTCTTCTCCCTCTGACCCTCCCCCATCTCGTGCTCTCTCTCTCTGTCTCATTCTCTCTCTCAAGTAAATAAATAAAATCTTTAAAAAAAAAAAAAGAAGAAGAAATAAAGGTGATTTCTTCTCTGACAGACAGACACAACCACTATTGATATGTTAATGTGTTTCCTCCCCAGATATTATGTGCAGAGGTTTTTTTTTTTTTTTTAAAGATTTTATTTATTTATTTGAGACAGAGAGAATGAGAGACAGAGAGCATGAGAGGGAGGAGGGTCAGAGGGAGAAGCAGACTCCCTGCCGAGCAGGGAGCCCGATGCGGGACTTGATCCAGGGACTCCAGGATCATGACCTGACCCGAAGGCAGTCGCTTAACCAACTGAGCCACCCAGCTGCCCATATGTGCAGAGTTTTTTTAAGAAATAGTTTTATTGGGGCACCTGGGTGGCTTAGTCAGTTAAGCGACTGCCTTCGGCTCAGGTCATGATCCCAGGGTCCTGGGATCGAGTCCCACATCAGGCTCCCTGCTCTGTGAGGAGCCTGCTTCTCCCTCTCCCACTCCCCCTGCTTGTGTTCCCTCTCTCGCTGTGTCTCTCTCTGTCAAATAAATAAATAAATAAAATCTTTAAAAAAAAAAAAAAGAAATAGTTTTATTGAGATATAATTCACATACCGTACATAGAGGGGCCATACATATAGAATATAGGATTTGTGGCTTTTAGTATATTCAGAGGTGTGCAACAGCCTCCACGGTCCAGATTTTGGATATTTCCAATCTTCCCCAAATCCCTCGCGTCCTTTTGCAATTCATCTGTTTCCATCCCCAGCCCTGGGCCGCCACTGATCTGCTTTCTGTCTCTCTGAATTTGCCTGGTTTGGACTTTCGGTATACACGGAATCATACACCATACGGTCTTTCTCATCCGGCTTCTTTCACTCGGCACCATGTTCTCAGGGTTCATCCACATTGTAGCGTGTCCGAGTTGTGTTCCTTTTCGTGGCTGAGTAATAGTCCATTGTATGGATGGACCACATTTCGTTTTTCCGTTTACCTGTCGATGGATATTTGAGTTTTTCCCACTTTTTGGCTGTTATAGATAATGCTGCTCTGAACATTTGCGTACAGGTTTGTGTGAGGCTGGACATGTTCATTTCTCTTGGATGCAGCATTCCTGGGTTGTGTGGTGTGGGATTAAATAGACTGCCCACATAAGAGTGAGCAAAGTCTATTTATTCGGAGCTTGCTGTAGCAAGGGAATCAGCCACCATCACCCCCACTTGGCAGCTCGAAGCTTTATCGTGAGAAAGAGGAAAGGCTTCAGGTGTGCCCCTGCTGGAGACTGTAGGTGTGGGGAAGCCGTGGGCACCTAACTAGAAGGGGAGCATCCCGTAAGATTGGTTAGGGGTGCATATTTGGCTTTCTCATTTGGTTCTAAGAAGTAAAGGCAAAATGGGACATATGGTTGGCTCAGTAGGTAGAGCATGTGACTCTTGATCTTGGAGTCATGAATTTGAGCCCCACCTTGGGGATAGAGTTTACTTAAAAATTTTTTTTCTTAAAAAGGCATGCCTGGGGGTGCCTGGGTGGCACAGTCGGTTGGGCATCTGACTCTTGGTTTTGGCTCAGGTTGGGATCTTGTGGTTGTGGGATCGAGCCCCACGTCGGGCTCTGCACTCAGCTCAGAGTCTGCTTGAGAAGCTCTCTCCCTCTCCCTCTGCCCCTCCTGCTAGTGTACACGTGCGTTCTCTCTCTTTCTGAAATAAATAAATAAATCTTTAATGAAATAAAATAAAAAGGGGTGCTTGGCTGGCTCAGTCAGTAGAGTAAGTGACTGTTCATCTTGGGCCCATGAGTTTGAGCCTTATGTTGGGTGTAAAGATGACTTAAATAAAAAAATAAATCTTAAAAAAAAAAAAGTAGGGACAAAAGTCTTAGAAGTTGTCAGTTATTAATCAAGTCCTGGCCACTTGGGGCTGGTTGTTATGGGGGTTTGTCTTCCTACTAGTTGCTAGACATGGGGGTCAGACTTCCTTCAAGGCTCGTAGATAATGGGTTGGCCATTTTTCTATATGGTCCGGCCATGGTCTGTTTGTCTATGCAGGGGTAACTAAGTTTTTATTTTTTTTATTTTTTTTTTTTTTAAAGATTTTATTTATTTATTTGAGAGAGAGCGAATGAGAGACAGCACGAGAGGGAAGAGGGTCAGAGGGAGAAGCAGACTCCTCGCTGAGCAAGGAGCCCGATGCGGGACTCGATCCCGGGACTCCAGGATCATAACCTGAGCCGAAGGCAGTCGCTTAACCAACTGAGCCACCCAGGCGCCCAGGGGTAACTAAGTTTAGCCATTTGAGAAACTCCCAGACTGTTTGCCAAAGCGGCCGCGTGACTTCACATTCCCATGTATGTAGAGTCTGAAGGTCCTCTGCCTCTCTGGGGCCTCCAGCCCTGGACCCTTGTCATCCCTTCTGCTGGTTGTGGCCCTTGCCTTAATGCTCTGGCTTACTGAGTAATGTTGTCCAAAGCTGTTTCTGGAAGTGGCTTGTTTGCCAGGCCCCCAGCTGGGTCCTGAGGTAGAGGTCAAATGGGGGCGTTCTGTGCCCCGGGAGCAGGGGCAGGTGTGAGTACTCCAAAGCAGGGGTGACCGGGTTCAACTCCCTGCCCCGCTGTCTGCTGGAGGGCAATCATCTTACTCCCGGAGACATGCTACATATCCAGCAAGGGATCCAGTGACCCACAGCGCAGGTTGGCCGTGTCACTGCTTGTCCCCCTGGGCCTCCAGCAGCTGGAGCATCCTGTGCTTCAGATGTGTTTTTGAGAGTCGTTCCTCGAAGCCACTCTAACCCCGAGTGAGCACCGTTCTGTGTGCTTCCTGCCTCCAGATCCACGGCTCCCAGGACTTCGACATCTGTGTGAAGGACATGATCCCCGCCGATGTCCCCGAACACTTCCGGGGCACCGTCAGCATCTGGGCCACAGTGACCAGTGTGGACGGGAGCCAGCAGGTGGCATTTGACGCCTCCACCCCTGTCCAGAGGCAGCTGGTGGACGTCCGCTACTCCAAGGACACTAGAAAGGAGTTCAAGCCGGGCCTGTCCTACGTGGGGAAGGTAAGCGCTGGGGACGGCGCCCAGAGGGGGCCATCCGAGGGCTCAGGCTCTGCACTGCCTCCGCCCCAGCTCCGTTCGAGGACCACCATGAACCCAGTGTGGTGGCGCTGTGGGTCCGCAGTGGGGACGCTGCTGAAGACGGTGTCCTTTAATTACACCGTGTAACCTTTGCTCTCGGGGGACCAAGGGCTGTATTGCCGATATGGCAAGAGCTGGTACCCCACACGATCCCAGGGTCCTGGGATCGAGCCCTGCATCGGGCTCCCTGCTCAGCGGGGAGCCTGCTTCTCCCTCTGCCTCTCTCTCTCTGTCTCTTATGAATAAATAAATTAAATTAAAAAAAAAAAGAGCTAGTACCCCAGGGTGAGGAACACTGGACATTTTGCTCCATCTAAAAGGGTGGTCTACTTTATTCAACATAGAGAGACATGCCTGTACCTACAGACCAAGACCTGGTATATCCATTTATTAGTCAGTTTCTCTAAGGCAATGCGTTTCTTATCTGGGTTGACTTTATTTTTGGAGGAACTAGCATCCAAGGAAATGCTCCCAAAGGCAGATCTCCTGCCCCTGAGAGAGACTGATTCAGACCCCCTGGGGGAAAGTGGCATTTTGAATAGGCCCACCTATTCAATGCCACCTACCATGGCATTCTTAGACTCGGTCAGGTTTTAGATGACCAGAAACCCAAGATCCTTATCCCTTTTTTTTTTTTTAAGATTTTATTTATTTATTTGAGAGAGAGAGAATGAGAGACAGAGAGCATGAGAGGGAGGAGGGTCAGAGGGAGAAGCAGACTCCCTGCTGAGCAGGGAGCCCGATGCGGGACTCGATCCTGGGACTCCAGGATCATGACCTGAGCCGAAGGCCGTCGCTTAACCAACTGAGCCACCCAGGCGCCCCAAGATCCTTATCCTAATTGTTGCACTGGGCATTTGTGTTCTGTGGGGGCAAGGCCAGTGGTGCCCATGTTACCCCAGAGGGAAGCTGGCTATACGCCTGACCCTAGCTCTGCGCACCACCCACATCCCTGGCCCTTCTTGCCTTCCGTGGGTCACTCACAGGATCCTGGTGGTCTGTCCTCATGCTGTGTCCTGCTACTTCCACTCTGTTCTGAGACCTCCTTCCTCTCTATGCCTGATCCCAGCCACAACCTGTGTGCCCCTGGCTTTGGGAGTCCCAGCTTGCAGAGAAGCTAAAGCACAAGGAGCAAGGTCAGAATGTGTATGAAGAAGGGGTTTGGGCTGTCAGATCAACGAAGGGGAGCATTTCACATATGGCTGAGAGATTATCCACCATCTGCATTAAAGGACAGAGCTGTAAGTGGGGATCATGTAGGCTGAAGCCCCCCTCACTCTGTCACCAAATATCTGCACGGGTGAGGGGCTACTCTAGGGTCCTTCAGGGCCCATGGACCATATTTCTTTCATACCATCCTTGACTTCTTTTTTTTTTTAAGATTTTATTTATTTGTCAGAGAGAGAGAGCACACAAACAGGGGGAGTGGCAAGCAGAGGGAGAGTGAGAGGCAGGCTCCCCGCTGAGCAGGGAGCCCGACGCAGGACTCAATCCCAGGGCCCTGAGATCATGACCTGAGCCAAAAGCAGACACCATCCAGGCGTCCCTCTTTTTTTTTTTTTTTTAAGATTTTATTTATTTATTTGTGGAGGTGGCAAGCACACTGGCGCATGCGCACATGTGGAGAGGAGGGGCAGAGGGAGAGAGAGAAGCAGACTTCCCACCGAGCACAGAGTCCAATGCGGGGCTCGATCCCACCATGCCGGGATCATGACCTGAGCCGAAGGCAGACGCTTAACCCACTGAGTCCCAGGTGCCCCACCATCCCTGTCTTCCAAACCCCTTGTTCTGACTGCCTTTTCTACCCATCTGAATGAGATCTGAGCATCACATGGAACTGTTTGTAGCATTGTCCATGCTGTTTCCACCCCAACGTGGCACCAGGCCAATGGCCAACACGTGGTGATTCCTACACTGTGATTTGAACATGGAGACCGATGGGATAGAATTCAAAGTGCAGAAATAAATCCACACCCTGGAAAGATACTGAGTCCCTGTGCGCTCCCCTGACCGGTTGCCTAGGATACCCCACTTCCAGTTAGCCACCTACAGCTTCTTCACACCAGTAGCCTCCAACTGGGACACACCTGAAGCCTTCCCTGTTTCTCGCTATAAGGCTTTCTCACTTCACCTGCATTTGAGCCTCTGCCAAACACCAGTGATGGTGGCTGTGACTCCTTGCTACAGCAAGCTCTGAATAAATATAGCCTTTGCTCGTTCTTTTTCAGTGGTCTTCATTTAATTCCACACCATGTCGCCCATGAGGCCCACTTCACCATGCAGCACCGGGCTAACGGCCAGCACATGGTGACTCCTACCTTGTGACTTATTTGCCAGGTCCAAGGTCACGAAAGTCCTCCCACCCCGCCCCGCCATTGTCTAAGTGTTTCAAAGTTCTAGCTCTTAACTTTAGGTCTATGATCCATTTTTAACTTTTGTAGATGGTGTGAGGTAGGGGTTCACCTTCATTCTTTTGTGTGTGGGCATCCAGTCATCCCAGCCCCATTTATTGAGGAGACTGTTCTTTCCCATTGGAGGTCTTATGCCCTTGTTGAAAACCAATTTGCCATGGATGTGTGGGTTTATATCTGGACTCTCAGTTCTATCCCATTGATCACCATGTCTCTTCTGTGCCAGTACCACGTTATCTTGACTATTGTAGCTTCCTAGTAAATTTTGAAATTGGGACACATGAGTTCTCCTTTGTTCCTCTTTTTCATGATTATTTTGGTTATTTGGGGATCTTTGCAATTCCTTGTGAATTTTAGCATCAGCTTGTCAATTTCTGGGAAGTTGGCTGGGATTCTGATGGGGGATTAGATCAGTTTGGGGAGTGGTGCTGCCCTGACTGTGTTGAATCTTTGTTGACCCCTTCCAGGTGGAGCTGTCCTACCCGGATGGCAGCCCAGCTGAGGGGGTGACGGTCCAGATCAGGGCAGAGCTGACACCGAAGGACAACATCTACACCATCGAATCTGTATCCCGGGGAGGGCTGGTGGGGTTTGAAATCCCCTTCATCCCCATGTCAGCCCAACACGTGTGGCTGGAGGTGGGTGAGTTGCTTGGATCCTTGTCATTGAGCCACCAGACACAGTCTTGGTGCCTTCCCCAGTCCATGCTTGGGCACCAGCTCAGTGGACCTGTGGCCTATTGCTGCCCTGAGGGAGTTTACAGTCTTTGATGGGGAGTTTGGGGGATGGATAACCAGCCCATCCCAGGGCAAGATGGGAGGTCAAGGAGAGGTGAGGTCTTCTGGCTCTGCCATGCTGAAGGAGGCTGGCCCAAAGGGATTTCATCATGTGGACTCCTGACTTTGAAGAGGGTCATCCGGGCTGCTTCTGAGAGGGTGGAACAGCATGCAGAGGCCCAGAGGCCCTCCATCGTCGTGTAATTGGGTCCTGCAAGGCCCAGCCAAGCTGAGCCCTTCAGGAAGATACGGAGGAGGGAGCTGGTGGGGTGCCCCTGACCTCACACGGGTGCTTGGGGCTTACCCAGAAGGCAGCATCAGGGGGACAGAGTGATCTGATTTTGGATACCCAGCAGTTGCTCCAGTGACCATAATGGGGGGATACCTGGGGGTGGGAGCACAGGTGGGCAGACAGGAGGTGATGACAGAGAGGTGATGACAGAGAGGCCACTGAGCCTGGAGCTGTGAAGGTAGAACGGGCAGGACATGGGGTCCCATTGTCAGGGGAGGGAGGAGCAGGAGTGATAGAAGAGGGTGTCCCAGCTCCCCCCACCCCTGGCTCTGTGACGGCCCCACGGGCGCTGGATGGCAGGGGAGGGGTGGGGGGCCACCTAGAGTAAATGTGTAGGTGGGAGCCAAGGACACTTGGGGTGACTGTGTCCTCTGTGGGGCAACATGTCCTTAAAGACTTTTAACCATCCAAGTTGCAAGCTTGAGGGTCTCCAGGCTACAGCCCTCCAACTGGCTACAAAATCATTATTACAATTACAGCTTTTTTTTTTTTAATGATCAAAAGTCATTCCTTTATTTCCATTAGTCCCCTAGCAATTAAGTAGCAGCAAAGCCCTGAAATACTACAAATACCAGAATTAGCTGAAAAATTTTCTGTCTCATAGATACATGTCTAAAAATGAGCTTGTCCCAAAAATGTCACTTTAACAGAAAGATATTCTGTTTCTGTTACTAAACACTGCTTAGGAAAAGGTCTTTAATTCTCTTAAACACAAAACTAATTATAAATATTAATTATTTTTACTTTTTTACTTTTTAATTTTTTAAAAGATGTATTTATTTATTTTAGAGAGAGTGCATGAGCTGGGAGGAGGAGCAGAGGGAGAGGGACAAGCCAACTCCGTGCTGAGCGCAGAGCCCGATGTGGGGCTCGATTCCAGGACCCCGAGATCATGACCTGAGCCAAAATCAATTCGGACGCTTAACTGATGGTGCCACCCAGGCGCCCCTAATTATTTTTAACTGAGGTGTAATTGACACATCGCTGTGTGTTTGTTTTGGGCGGACAACATGAGTCCGTATTTGCACGTGTTGTGAAACAGTCACCACAGTAAGTGTGGTCAATGGGCACCACACATCGTTACACATTTTTCTTTCCTTATCATGAGAAATTTGGAGATCTACTCTTAGCAACTTCCAAATATTCAGTACAGTATTGTTAACCATGGTCACCACGCTGAAGATGCCATCCCCAGGGCTTATTTTTTAACTGCAGGTTTGTATGTTTGGCAGTCACAGTTTTATTATAGCGATGTGGCAGATTAGGACCAGCCAAAGAGAGCAAGGGAGGGCTGCCCGGGTGGCTCGGTCGTTAAGCGTCTGCCTTCGGCTCAGGTCATGATCCTGGGGTCCTGGGATCGAGCCCCGCGTTGGGGGTCCCTGCTCAGTGGGGGGTCTGCTTCTCCCTCTGCCGCTCCCCCTGCTTTTGCTCTGTCAAATAAATAAAATCTTAAAAAAACAAAAAGAACAGGGCAGAGGGAGAAACCTGGGAGGGTCCCCCATTTGAAGCTTCTCGTGCTGTCCCTGTGGAGTCCCTGGGACACCCTACCCTCCCGGCTCGCGACGTGTGACGTGTGACAGTAGCCACAGAGAAGCGCCAGCCAGGGGCGTGCTATAGGCATGAGTCCTTGGCTCTGCGACTAAACTCCGGTTCTAGCCAGAGCTCCCTCCCCGGAGGTCCGGCTGGTAGCACGAATCTCGAAGCCCCAGCCCCTTGTCCCTGTCCTGAGTCAGCTTGGCAACACGTGTTACCAAGACACACCGTGAATAACAGACACGCTCGTCACTTGGGAGACCTCAGGGCTTTAGAGGCTACCTCCCAGAAACTGGGGACAAAGTGGGCCAACGTCTTTATTCTTGATCTCACAGAAGTCTTCGATCTGCACCTCTGGCCTCTCCCTTGTGTTGCCCTGTAGTCTTTCAGCAGCAAGTGAAGGGAACAGGCTCAAACTCCAAGGGAGCAAAAAGCAGTATAACAACCCCCGCGGGGCTTGGCGGGCATGGAGGGGAAGGACTTGAGCTCAGGGAGCCGCAGGGTCCAGAGCCCCGGGGATGCTGTCCAACACAGCCACTCCTTCTCCTGTCCACCTTCTCTGTGGTCACTTCCAAGGCCTGTTAGCCCCTCTGAGAAGCCACCAGGGCCACTGGCAAGCCAGAGAGAGAAGGAGGGAGAGAAATGGGGATGGGGAGGGCTTCCTAATATGCCTGTGATAGAACTCTCTCTTGGTGGCCACATGAGTCACCTGCCTCTGCCTGAGCCACCCCCTTACACCCTGTGACCAGTCTTGGCCGCTTGCTTCCTGGAGCTGGGGAGCAGTGCATTAAGGCACATTGGACCGCAGTCTCTGAGAACTGGGGAGAGGGGTCCCCAAAGCCAAATTGGAACATGAGAGGGTCTTGCTGCAGGCCAGGGCAGGCAGAGACATCCCCAAGACCCCCTTCCTCCACCAAGCACCCAGGCCTTGACCAAGTACCCTCTTTTCTTCAGACCAAGGTGGTAGCATTCAATGGAAAGCCCGTGGGGGCCCAGTACCTGCCCAGCTACCTGTCTCTCAGCAGCTGGTACTCCCCCAGCCAGTGCTATCTGCAGCTACAGCCACCTTCCCGCCCCCTGCAGGTAAGGCTTTCAGGTGTCCCCCCCCCTTCCCCGGCAGGATGGGCCCCGAAAGCCATGAGCACGCACCTGGCATCTGCTTGTCCCCCAGCAGGGCTGAGTCTGGTACTGAAGCCGGAGCCCCCATCCCTCCAGCACGGGGCGGGGGGGTTCCTCGGGATGAATGCCCGTCATTTAATTATAGTGAACATTTAGGCTGTGGCCCCGGTGTTTACTATGATAAACCCGGCCCTCGGGGTGCAGTCGCTTGCTCCCAGGCCCGAGGCGGGACCCCTGCAGTTGGCCCAGCTTCCCGCCGTCTGCAGCTGGCACTTGCTGGGCGCAGGCACCGGGGTTCCCCGGCCGACGCTTGCAGACACAGTACAGAGATGAGACAGCCCCCCAGAGCTGGGTCTCGTGTTCCTTCTTCCCGGTCTGTTCTTCAACAATCCCGCTTAAGTAAGATGCGCGGAGATGTGTGTGGAGATAGGGAGCTGTAAACATGGAGTAGAAAGTGCAGAGAGTTCCTCTGGACCCCCTCTCCTCTGCGTGCAGTGTTCCTGAAGATTAGCAGCTTGCCTTCGGGTGGCACGCCCATTACGGTTGATGAGCCAGTGTCCACGTGTCCTTATTGGCTAAAGTCTGCAGGGTATGTTAGGGGCCTCTCCTGCTACTGCAGATTCCGTGGGTTTGGACAAACATATAATGACATGCATCCAGCATTGTAGTATTGTACAGAATGGTTTCACTGCCCTAAAAATCCTCTGGGTTCCCCCCAACCTGTTCATTCATCCCTCCATACCCACTAGCCCCTGGCAACCACCGATCTTTTCACTGTCTTTATTCTTCTGCCTTTTCCAGAATGTCGTATCGTGTTGGGAGAAGTGAAAACCCCTGGGGTTGTTTGAATCGGAGGCACAGTTTCAATAGACACGCACAAAGGAAGTCAAGTCACGAGATTTATTTACAGATCGCAGAGTGGGGTGGGCGGGTGCCCAGTGAGCTGGGTCACCTCCATCCCAGGTCACAAGCGAGCAGGAGACAACAGGGCAGCAAGCACCTGTGACTCATAAGATGGTTGAGGAGGAGTCACTAACATTTTGGGGGTCAGTGCTAAGTGGTTATTTTATTTTAAAGATTTTTATGTATTTCTTTGTCAGAGAGAGTGAGTGCATAAGCAGGCAGAGGGAGAAGCAGGCTCCCCGCTGAGCAGGGAGCCCGATGTGGGACTCATTCCCAGGACCCTGGGATCACGACCTGAGCCACAGGCAGATGCCTAACCGACTGAGCCACCCAGGCGTCCTGCTAAGTGGTTATTTTAAAAGACATGCGAGGAAAAGTGAAGCAGAAACTTGTGGCCAGAATCCTAAGCTCGGGTCCTCAACCCAATATCCAGACTCAAGGTGTGAGCAGCTTGTCAGGGCATCAAATGCCCAGGTAGCAACTCAAAATAGCAGTTTTCCCATCCCACGTATAGAGTCGTCCCCCCTTATCCACGGGGATACATCCCTGCCTCCCCAGTGGCTGACCGAAACTACACATGGTACCAGACCCTACTTAGACGTTCTTTCCTATACATACGTACCTATGACACAGATTGACTTATAAATTAGGCACAGTAAGAGATTACCAACAATAATTCATAATAAAATAGAACCACCGTAATAATACACTGTAATAAGAGCCACGTGACTGTGCTTTCTCTCTCTCAAAATACACCGTACTGTGCCCACCCGGCTTGTGATCACAAGGTGATGGAATGTCTACATGAGGGGATGAAGTAAGGGGAATGACGAAGGTGTTGTGATGTGGCGTTAGGCTGCTTCCAGACCCCCGTGGATGGCGGGTAACCAAAACCACGGATAAGGGGGACTGCTGTAGTTGGAACCGTATGGCACTTAGCTTTTTTTTTTTTTTTTTTAAAGGTTTTATTTATTTGACAGAGAGAGATACAGCGAGAGAGGGAACACAAGCAGGGGGAGTGGGAGAGGGAGAAGCAGGCTTCCCGCGGAGCAGGGAGCCCGATGCGGGGCTCGATCCCAGGACCCTGGGACCATGACCTGAGCTGAAGGCAGATGCTTAACAACTGAGCCACCCAGGCGCCCCGGCACTTAGCTTTTTCACATTGCTTCTTTCTCTTAACAACACGCATCGAAGGTTCTGCCTTGTCTTTCCGTCATATGGTGTGGACGAATGGTGGTTTGTTCACCCCCTCATCTCTTGGAGGATAGATGTATAATAAAGCACCCTGTTAGCTCCCTTAGCTAGAGGCTCCCCAACATTGCTCCCAGGCCTCACCAACCCCGTAAGCCTCTGGCATTCCCTTTCTGAGAGCCGCGGCCCGGACCTGAGGCGGCCAGGGATGCAGCTCAGAGGAATCCTGGCGCCGGGTCTGCCCGTTTCGGGGGCTTAGCGGCCCTCTGCAGGGGTTATGAGAATGAAAAAGTCATTCGAGATTGTGCCTGGCTTGGCTGAACACGCTGTTCTTGTTGTAATTAATGCTATTCAAGCAGCAGCGTGTGGTGGGGATGCTGGCCTTGGCTGCCATCCCACAGGGGGCGGGAAGGAGCCCTGTGTCCCCAGCCGCTGGTACTGCAGTTCCTATTAGGCAGGGACTTGGTTGGGCCACTCGGACTTTCCCCTCGGAGGGACATCTCCATCCTGCCTGAGTCGGCCCAGCAGGCTCCAGCCCCTCCCCCCGCGACTGTCACCGAGGGGCCCTGGGCGCAACCTCAGGGCATTGAGACAAGAGTGGCCGTGCTGGGTCCAGCCTGGGCTCTGTGTCAGGCTCCTTTACCCTTCCTCCAGCTCCGAGGCGCATGTAAGGGGGAGCTGCTCTGTGAACGGGGGCTGGCAAGCCAGTCTTTTAGGATTGCTGTGGTACCATGGGGTTCGTTCGTGAAGAGGAGGAAGGTTTTGCTCTTTTCTTTTTTCCAACATCTGAAACGCAAGGGAACTTTTGTTTATAGGTGTCTTTTTATAAGGTGAATATTTACAAACTTAGAAATCGTAAAAAACGGTAAAACCATGTGCCTTTCACCTAGATTTCTGAATTAACATTTTGCCTCTATCCATCCATCCTCCCACTCAACCAGCTCACTCAACCAGCTCACTTGTCCACCTACCCACCCAACCAGCCATCCACCCATCCATCAATCCACCTAGCCATCCACCCATCCACCCACCCAGCCATCCACCCATCCACCCATCCATCTACCCATCCATCCATCTACTCCTTTAGACTTTTTTTTTTTTGCGGCAACATTGGAAAATAAGTTACAGATATTATGATGCTTCACTCTTAAATACTTGATCATAACATGTCCTAAAAATAAGGACATTCTTCAGCATGATCTCAAGGCTCTTGTCGCATCTAAGAAAATTATGTTAAGATATTGTTTAATTCACAGGCAATATTCCGATTTTCAAAGATGTCCCCAGGGTGTAACTTATGTCTTGCGTGTGAACAACCCATGCACGTGTACATAATCTCATGCACACAAGTAAGCGTGCAACCATCTGCATGTGCCTATGGGAACGCGCGTGCACGTATGCATGCCTGCATTTCATTCAGGATCAGTTTACGTGTTGCGTTTGGCTCTTCTGTGTCCATAGTTGCTCTTGATCTGGAACGGTCCCTGCCTCTGCCTTTTCATTGCCATGATGTTTGTGAAGAATTCAGGCCCGTGGTCTTATAGATGATCCCACATTCTGAATTAGAATCAGGCAGAATTGCTACGTATGTGCTGCTCTTTTGGGGCCCTGGCAAGAGGCACAGATTGAGGACACCCCACTCTTGCTGGAGCTGATCATATCCTTGGGTTGGGTCTGATTCCTCCCCAGCTCTTTCCCCTTGCAGGGGAGGCTGCTGAATAATGGGGGTGACAGTCTGAGGCTCATGCCACAATGTCCTTACCCCCAGCAACCTCCCCCCCTCCCAGCATCACTGACAATCCTGGCTGTAATCCCTTATCGCCAGGGGGGCTGCGTGATGGTGGTTCTGAATTCTGTCATTCCTCTGAATTCTGTCATGATGCCCCGTTCTCAGCCCTGAGGCCAGCGCCCCTGCCCAGCCATGTCCTGGCCTCCCTGTGGCCCCAGAGCAGCCGTCTGCCCCGGGGTGGGCTCTGGCGTTGGTGCCAGGCCATGGGGTGCCAGGCAGTGCTCCCCATGCTGCATGTCTCCCCCAGGTCGGAGAGGAAGCCCATTTCCCCATGAAGTCCACGTGTCCCTGCAACTTCACCCTGTACTACGAGGTGGCTACGCGGGGCAACATCGTGCTCTCGGGCCAGCAGCCCGCGCCCCTCACCCACCAGAGAAGCAGGCGGGTGGCCCCAGAGACACCCATTCGCTTAATGCACCTTTCGGAGACAGGTGAGCCAGGCCACTGACCGGAGTTCCTTGTTCCTTCTGAACCACTGAGACTGGGGCGAGTCACCCCGGAAAGGAGGGGGAAGCAGGGCTCAGCCCGGAGGGGGTGCCTGCCTCGGGGCGGAGGGCACATGTCCCGGGCAAGATGGGGCTCGGGCCAGGGGGCGGGCAGTGACCAGCTGCTGGAGGTGGCAAGGTCCTCCCCAGGCTGTCCTCACTGCCTGTCTGCAGGGGGACAGGGGTGCGCTGGCCCCCAACGGACTGTGTTGCCATCTGCCAGACCAGAACCCCTCCCACCTAGGAGTCCTCCTCCTCCTCCCTCTCCTCGACTCCATGTGCTTCTCAAGAGACCCACCACCTCCCCTGGGTCTTCCTTAGCCTCCTCTTGCCTCATAGCCCTTCTGCCTCAAGCAGGATCCCCACACTGGGCGGGAGGCAGGGGGACACTTGAAGGCAGGCCGTTTGTGGTGGGGCCCTCCTGTGCACGGCAGGGTGTGGGGCAGCATCCCCCGCCTCCACCCATTCGGTGCCGGCTGCCAACAGCAACCTATCCACGCAGTGTGACAACCTAAGAAGTCTCCAGATACTGCCAGTGTCCCTAAGGGGAAAAGTCACTTGTAGGTGAGAATCAGAGATAGATAGATAGGCAGACAGACAGACAGGGTCCCTCTCATGGGAAGGCAGAGTTTCCCACGCCGCGCACTACTAACGTTTGGGGCTGGATCATTCTCCCTGTGCTCTGTAGAGTGCTGAGCCGCATCCCCGGCCCCGCCCACTAGATGCACTCCCAAGTCGTGACAGCCAAAAATGTCCCCTGGGGGGCAGCATCGCGCTGGCTGAGAACTGCTGGCAGGCATAGTGCTTTGGGAATCCTACCCCCGCATCCTTTTGGGCTTCCCTTCCCTTCTAGGTGGAGTAACAGGGGATGTGAGTATCTATGGATCACTTGCCTGGGGCCAGCACCTCCCCCTGCGATGCCACATGTCACCCCCAGGGCAGCCTGGGGCATTGGTGGTCCCATTGTGGGCTGCTGGGTTCTCATGCCTCTCCCCACCTTTGACTTGTCCTAGAGCCCCCTCCTGCCCCAGCAGCCGAGGTCAACGTGTGTGTGACCTCCCTCCGGCTGGCCGTGAGCCCCAACATGGTCCCCCTGGGCCGCCTGCTCGTCTTCTATGTCAGGGAGAATGGTGAAGGGGTTGCCGACAGTCTCCAGTTTGCTGTTGAGACCTTCTTTGAAAACCAGGTAGAACATGGGGAGCCGGCGAGGGGAGCAGGGGAGGGGTGGGCAGGCAAGCACCATCCGGGGTGTCTGTGTCCGGGGCACAGCTGCCCCTGGACTTGCAGAGGGTGTCACAGGCGGGACTTTTAAGGGCCGCCCTGCCTTCAGGAATAATAGCAACATAAGTCGCATCTTTATGCTCCTCTGAAAGTCCCCCAGAGGGGGATTGCATTAACCCCACCCAGGGAAAGCAGCCCGCTGTTCTCTGTCTCCACTGGGTTCCAGGCCTAAGGGGACACTGCTCCTGTCCCCAGCAGCGGGTTCAACCTTCTGCCCCACCCCGTCCCTGCATCCTTTGAAACTGGCTGCCACATGCCCTCAGCCGGTGGCTGTCTCCCCATCCCTCTCCTCCTCTCCCGTCCTCCGCACAGAATGTTCTAGTTGCCCCGGCCTTTTTCCTGTCACTCTGCCTCCCGCCCTTGTCCTCGCCTGGGCAGCAAGGCCAGGGTCCCCCACTGAGCTGGCGAGGACCAACTCTCGTTGGCAGGTGGAGAGGGTGGGTAGGTCAGTCGGGAGAGGTTGGCCAAACTCCCGATTTCTCCGCTGTGTTTGGGTCCAGGTTTCACTGACGTATTCGGCAAACGAGACCCAGCCCGGGGAGGTTGTTGACCTGCGGGTCAGGGCTGCGAGGGGCAGCTGCGTGTGTGTCACGGCAGTGGACAAGAGCATCTACCTGCTCAGGTCTGGGTTCCAGCTGACTCCGGCCCAGGTGCGTAGGGGCCCTCTGGCGCCAGGGTCCAGCACCTCCACGGGGGGCTCTCGCTTTCCAGTAAGTGAAGGGCCCCATGTGAGTCTAGGTTCTTTCTCTCACGGGTGAACCCAGTCCTGATGGTTGCTTTGGTGAGTTGAAAGATCTTGGGGTCAAATTCATCAGACTCTTGCAATATAACATTGTCCAGGCCCTACCTCTCCAGCCCCTCTGCCCGATGACACCAATGCCCACCCCCAAGATGGTCTCCAAGTGATATACATGAAAGGAGGTGGAAATAGGAGCATGCCAGACCCCCGAGAGCCAGTTTGGGTTGACAAGAAACCTCCAGTAGACCGGTCCCTATTCCCCTTTGCCTGTAGGTTTTCCGGGAATTGGAAGATTATGATGTTTCTGATGCCTTCGGGGCATCCCGGGAGGATGGGTCCTTCTGGTGGGCTGGACTGGCGGCCCGACGACGCCGGCGCTCTTCCATCTTCCCGTGGCCCTGGGGCATCACCAAGGACTCCGGGTCTGCCTTCACTGTAAGGACAGGTGGTCTAAGACCCACCGCCCCCTTCCAAGTGCCTCTCACTTTGAAACAGACGATCTCGGGGATACAGACATGGTCGGGGGGACATTTCCAAACTTTTATTGGGGCAGCACTAATTTTTGATTCTCTCCAACGAGAGCTCATAAGTGGATCCTCCCGATTTGCAAGGCAGACGAGGTGTAGAACGTTATGAGTGTCGGACTGATAACTTGAACTTGGGACGAAGCAAAGGCATCAAGGGTGCTTTGCTGGAAGGAAAACCTTCACCCTGAGAGCAGACAGCCGCCCACCCCAACATTCGTAGCTCACATCCGTGCTCCTCCTTCCTGGCTGTGGGGGCCGGGGGTCCCAGGGGGTGCAGTAGGTGCAAGCATTGTTCTAGATCATGCCAGGAGCCCACATGAGCAGGCCGGCGATCTCCACTCGAATGCACCGCCCATTTGTGGGTGCTTTTCATCCCAGTTTTGAAATCATTTAAAATGCATCCTTTTTCTCCTGTTTTTATTATGGAAGACTTTCAGACATACAGAAAAGTTGAACAAATTAACAAACACCTATATACCCACCACCTAGATCCCACAATTAACATTTTGCTGCAGTAGCTAAAAAATACATTACACATCTATACAGACAGATTTTGGGGTTAATGCATAAAGATACACGTATTGATACGTGTATCTATATCTGCATTGGAACAGATGACGTTTCAATGACACATTTGTTGAACGCCTGGCAGCTTGAACTGAGCCCTGGCAGCTTTTGGAATTAAGAGGTGATGCCTCTGAGTCCAAGCAACTGACTTTACATTCCTTGTTCCCAAAGCAGAGCGGGGCTTCCCTACAATCGAGTGGCTCCCAGCACTTTTTAAAAAAATTTTATTTATTTATTTGAGACAGAGCGATAGAGAGTGAGCACAAATTGGGGGAGGGGCAGAGGCAGAGGGAGAAGCAGACTCCCCGCTGAGCAGGGAGCCCGAAGTAGGACTCGATCCCAGGACCCTGAGATCATGACCTGAGCTGAAGGCAGAGGCTTATGCGACTGAGCCGCCCAGGTGCCCCGCTCCCAGTATTTAACACAGTGATGAAAGTAGTAACAGTCACAATTGCAGTCATCTGTCTCTGGTCTAGATCAGGCATGGTGCCAGCTGATTTTTTTTTTATTGTGAAATTCACAATTAGCAGAAATAACAAAAAAATGAACCATTTTATTCATTTATTTATTTGATAGAGAGAGAGCACAAGCAGGGGAAGCAGGAGAGGGAGAAGCAGGCTTCCCGTCCAGCAGGGAGCCCGATGCGGGGCTCGATCCCAGGACCCCGGGACCATGACCTGAGCCGAAGGCAGACGCTTAACTGACTGAGCCACCCAGGCACCCCAAAATGAACCATTTTAAAGTGGACAGTTGGGTGGCATTTAGGACACTCACAGTGTTGTGCAACAGCACGTCTGTCTAATTCCAGAACATTTTCATGACCTCAAAAGGAAACCCCGTCCCCATGAGCAGTCACTCCCTCCCCCCTCCCCCCCGGCAACCATGAATCTGCTTTCTGTCTCTGTGGATTTGCCTGTTCAGGATGTTTCACATAAACGGAGTCACACATGTGGCTCTTTGTCCCGAGCCGCAGATGCACTGGTCTCCCCGCCGCTCTGCCCTGCGTGGTCACTGGGTCCCATGATCCCCTCAGCCTGTGTCACCAAGCCCAGAGCAGAGGACTGACTCCCTCAGAGCCAACGATACAGCGGTGATGTCGGGCTGGTAGCCCCAAAGTGGTGGAACTGTTGGGGCCATCACATCCGCTTGCCCACCAGGGTTCCGGGCATTGTCTATTGCTTAGGAAACGGGCCTGGTGGTGATGACCGACCTGGTGAGCCTGAACCACCGACAGGATGGCGGCCTATACACGGATGAGGCTGTCCCTGCCTTCCAGCCCCACACAGGAAGCCTGGTGGCAGCGGGCTCCTCCAGACAACCCCCCAGGTAATTGCCGCCTCGAGCAGCGTTGTCTGACCTCATCCTGTGGACACTGGGGGCTGGATCACTCTATGTGGCGGGGCTGTCCATGCGCAGTGGGTGCTGAGCGGCATCGCTGGCCTCCACCCACCTGATGCCAATAACACTCCTTTCCCCTGGTTGTTACAACCGAAAACGTCTTCAGATATTGCCCAGTGTCCCCCGAGGGCAAAGTCACTACTAACCTAGTGGGGTAGGGAACCGACCACTTCAGCCCCCCTCCTCAGTTCCTGGCCACACTCGAGTGTGTAGGGGGCTGGGGGTGCAGAGGGAGGAAGGTGCATCAGGAGAGAGCTCCCTGGAACAGAGGGTTTGGGTGGGGAGGGAAGCTGGAGTTTGACCCTCCCTCTCCCAGGGACTGTACTTAGAAAATTCTTTCTATTATCTCTTTCCTCCACCTGTTCCTTCCTCTTCCTTCTCCTCCTCTCTCTTCCCTTTTCTCCTTCAATTCTCTGCCTTTTCGAGTTGGACACCGAGTAACGCTTTTCAGTCTCTTATTTTAACTCTACACATTTAAGCCTTTTGAAGGTTATGAATTTTCCTCAGAATGCTGCTCTGGCAGCTCCTGGGTCGTGCCATGAAGTGTTTCCATTGTTGCTTGGTTCCAAATGGGTGCTAGCTTTCTGAGCTGTGACTTACCCAGAAGTGGACATGTTTTAAACTTTCAAAGTGATATTTTAAATTATTTTTTCATCTGTTTTATAAATTTGTATCAAACATGCATTATGACTGGTGAACGTGGTCTGTATGTTATCCATTGTTTAGTTCTTACTTTGAAGACTTTTTGTGTAGCCAGTTTTTGTAAAGGCTTGTGTCTTCTTGAAAAGAAGATCCCAGCCCCCATCAATTCGGTACAAGGCTCTGTATGCATACTTTAGGTCAAGCCTATTGATGGGGATGCCCAAATCCTCCATATTCTTGCTCACTTCTTGTTTGTCTGTCTGTTTGCTAACTTATCGATGACTGAGGGAGACGGGTTCACATCTCTCCCTTAGATTTGTGGCTTTGTCCCTGGAGTCCTGGAAAACTTTGTTTCACAGGAGGTGGTGTTTTTCTCCTCTCTCCTGTCTCCCCTCCCTTCTCTCCCACCCCCTTCTTCTGCTGCCTGTCTTACTCCCTTCTCAAGCCCAGCTCTCAGCCAGCTAGCTGGGGAAGGGGGAGTGTTCTAAAGACCGTGGCTCTCCACTCTTTCTGGCTTTAGGGGCTGGCATGGGGGAGGCAGGCCTTGGCTTTACTCCCTCCTGCCCACTCCTCCAAGAGGGACTCAGAACCAAGGGGCTGGGGCTGGGGTCTGTGTGGTCAGTAGTGCCTCAGGATCTGGTCTCTCTGGAGACCTTCAGGGTGGGCCCCACACTCCTCAGCCTTTGTGCTGAGCCAGAAGTGGCCCAGGGGACCTCCCACCCTGGCAGGCCTGTCCACAAAAGCCCTCTCCATCTTTCACACCCTTTCTGTCTAGATTGAGATTCCTGGATACTTTGTTCTCCTGGGTTCTTCCTGCCTGGGCTGCACACTTAGCAGGAGTGTGGCAGGCCCTCGAGGGTCCTAGTTTCTAAACTCCAAATCATGGCATGGGCAGACCAGGGTCCCCACTGGGTACTTTGGAGGCATACGGAGGCATTTCTAGCATGTGGTTGGGTGAGGGCCTCCACCCACCAGACACCACCTCGGGGGCCCTGACCCTGTCATGTGCAGGAACCCCAAGAGCTTGGCCTGGAGTGGGTATGAAAGTAATTTTCTGAAACCCCAAACCACGAAGGCAATTGTAAATCCCAGTGCAGAGAGAGGCATAAGACATGCCTTTAAAAGGAAGTGTCCCTGCCTTTTTGTAATTGGTTCACACATCCATATCCTGAGGACAAGATCTTTTTCTTAACCATATGCAGTGGTTAAAGTTTTTTCAAGCAGTGTGAAAGTTTTTGTAATTAAATGTAAGTCTCTCTCCTGCCTCTACACCCTCCATTCCCTTGTTTAGAGGCAACCATGGTCAATAATTTCTTAGATATCCTTCTAGAAATTTTCTGTGCATATACAAGGATTTTTTAAAAGATTTATTTATTTTAGAGGAGAAGGAGAGCACGAGCAGGAGGGGCAGAGAGAGAGGGAGAGAGAATTCCAAGCAGACTCAGTACTCAGCATGGAGCCTGATGCAGGGCTCGATCCCAGGACCCAGAGATCATGACCTGAGCTGAAACCAAGAGTCGAATGCTTAACTGACAGCACCACCCAGGTGCCCCTAAACAAGGATTAAAAAAAAAAAACAAACAAACAATGAGAGAACACTATAATACTGTTCCAAGCCTTCCTTTTTAAAGTCAACAATAAGTCTTGGAGACCAACCCATCTCAGTATACCTGCACTGACCTCACTCTGCTAGACTGGCATGTAGCATCCCATGGCATGAATGTGCTACCAGCTGATTAACCCAGTCACCCTCTTGATGGAGATTTTTGGCTGTTTGCTGCCACGAACCAACCCATTTTTCTGTCCTGGCACTTGTGTCCATGGGTATTTCCTGGGTGCATTCCTTGGAGAGATACTGCAGTTTGAAAAGATGTGAGCATTTTTAATTTTGAGAAGTTTTGCCCAATTTCAAGTAGGGCTTGTTTTTAATTATTATTTTTATTTTTAAAGATTTTATTTATTTATTTATTTGTCAGAGAGAGAGAGATTGAGTACAAGCAGGGAGAGTGGCAGGCAGAGGGAGAAACAGGCTCCCCGCTGAGCAGGGAGCCCGATGCAGAGCTTGATCCCAGGACCCTGGGATCATGACCTGAGCCAAAGGCAGATGCTTAACCCACTGAGCCACCTAGGTGTCCCATTATTATTATTTTTTTAAGGAACAAGACAGTCCCTGAGGAAGGTGGGGTGTGAGGCTCCTGAGGATGAACCCGAATGGAAGGTGCTCTTTAGGAAACAGGGAGGGCTGGGGGGTGGTGGTGGATAGCTCAATGTGATGGTACAGAAAAACATGGCAAACCCAGAGGGGGGAAATTAGCAAAGGGGAAGACATGGCGGGGGGGGGTGGTGTCCCTGTGACCCTTCTTACCTTCTAAATTCAGGATGTGAAGTGCCACTGTTGAGTTAAAGTGATTCTGTCAAACCTTTGATGCATCACTTCTATGAGTCCTCATCAGGTAGAATGTTAACCCTGCCAGGTGAAAGAACTAGAACTAGCACACTCCGTCCTAATCAAGTAGAGTGTTAATTGACAGCCAAGAGAATTAAGCCATGACACCTAACTGAGTCCAATGTTAACCTTTCCAGGTAAGACTTACTATGTTACGTTCTACTTGGGTAGTTTACCTGCCAGGTGACAGAATTAAGGTATGCCCCATGACACTTTCTCATTTCTTCTTTAATTTTTCATAGAGCAGAGAAGACGAAAAGGACCTTCTTCCCAGAAACATGGATTTGGCGTTGTCTGAACATCAGGTACAGAGAGCTTTTTTTTTTTTTTTACAGTAAGATGCCATTTCTTTGCTGTGTTTGCGGTCTGACTCAGAGCCACTCAGGCAAATCTAGATCGTTCCCAGTGGGTTTGCTTTCAGATCTGACATCAGCATCTGAGTCAGACTTTGGGCATCCTTTTCCAACACATAAAACTCAACACCATGAAGTCAGCCCCAAATCCCGCTGCAGCCTCGGACATCTGCTCAGGAAATATGAAATGCAGGGTCTTCGTGCCTCTTATGACTCCCACTTGGGGTAACTCTATCCGCTCTGTTTGCATAACGAGCTCATTAAAACGATTACAGTTCCCTGGAACATGAACTTGACCCCGCCCCCCCACGCCTCCCTCACTCCTCAGGGGCCTCGGGCTCCTGCCCACAAAACAGACTGCTTTTCTCAGCATATTTCCTTTCCACGTTCCCCACCCCCCCCACCTTTTCAGTTCTTTCTGAAGAAGCCCTGCTGTGCCAAATTCCTGCCAGATGCTGTTGGCTTTTTTTTTCTTTCAATGCTTGGTGACAGAATACCAATGGTACTAGTAGAAGGTCATGGTGGTCTGCCCTGGGAAACTAGTTAGGCAGGAAAGATCAGATGCCCCCCGGGCCGTGGGTGGGCTTACTGCTGAGCTGGGCCCCACTTCCAGACACAAGATGCCATGGCATGCCATCATCACAGAACTGAGCTCCCAGCTGGCAGCTCCTCAGCCTAAGGATGTGTGTGTCCCCATTATGGGAAGACTTAACTCCTGGTCAGAACAGATCCAGATGACTGCGTTTCATTCTAGGGGTCTAAATCTAAGATGGGCTGTCTGTCTGTTATCATTCAAATGTACCAAATGTATCTATTTTTTCTGGGGGCCAGATGTTTTTGGTGCCGGGTAATGTTTTGGGTACCAGGGTTGGCACCTTGAACAAGGTGGACGCTCAGGTTGCTTCCACCTTTTGGCTATGATAAATTACCCTGCTGTGAACACAGGTGTGCAAGTATCTCCTTGAGACCCCTCTTGCAGTTCTTTGGGGTGGATACCCAGAAGTGGAATTGTTGGCTCATATGGTAATTCTGTGTTTAATTGTTTGAGGAACCGCCATCCTGTTTTCCACAGAGTCTGCACCATTTTACACACCCACTAACAGTGCACAAGGATTCTTCTTTGAATATTTGATAGAATTTGGGGCACCTGGGTGGCTCACTCGGTTAAGCGTTTGACTCTTGGTTCTGGCGCAGGTCATGATCTCAAGGTTGTGGGATCAAGGGATGCGGGAGCCCCGCATCAGGCTCCACGCTCGGCTTGGAGTCTGCTTAGGACTCTCTCTTCCTCTCCCTCTGCCCCTCCCCCTCCCCCCTAAAATAAATAAATAGATCTTTAAAAAAACTTTTTTAAATGTTTGTTAGAATTCACCAGTGAAGCCATCAGGTCCAGGGCTTTTCTTTGTAAAGAGATTTTTGGTTATTGATTCAATCTCCTTGCAGGTCTGTTCAGCTCTAGGTCTGTTCAGATTTTGGTTTTCTTTATAATTTGGACTTGATTGGTTTTGCATTTCTAGGAATTTGCCCATTTCAGCTAGATTATCCAAGTTCTTGGTGTACAATTGTTCATGTATTTTTTAATAATCTTTTTATTTCTGAGAATGGGTAGTAATGTCCCCACTTTCATATTTTAGTAATTTGAGTCTTCTCTCTTTTTATCCTTTGTCTAGTTAAAAGCTGGTCAGTTTCATTGATCTTTTCAAAGAACCAACTTTTGGTTTTGTTGATACTCTATTATTTTTCTGTTCTCTATTTTAGTTATCTCTGCTCTAATCTTTATTATTTCTTTCTGTTAGCTTTGGGTTTAGTTTGTTTTTCTTTTTCTAGTTCTTTAAATTGTGAAATTAGGTTGTTTATTTGAGATCTTTCTTCTTTTTTAATAGGTATATAGCTATAAATTTCCCCCTTAGCACAGCTTTTGCTGCATCCCATAAGTTTTGATATGTTATGTTTTGTTTTCATTCATCTCTGGGTATTTTAAAATTTCCTTTGTGATCTCTTCTTGGATCCATTGGTTAATTAAGAATAAGTTGTTTAGGGCACCTGGGTGGCTCAGATGGTTAAGCGTCTGCTTTCGGCTCAGGTCATGATCCCGGGGTCCTGGGATCGAGTCCCGCATAGGGCTCCCTGCTCGGCGGGGAGCCTGCTTCTCTCTGCCTCTGCGTCTCTCTCTCTCCCCTTCTCTCTCTCCCCCTCTCTCCCCATGAATAAATAAATAAAATCTTAAAAAAAAAAAAAGAATAAGTTGTTTAGTTTCCACAAATGTGCAAATTTTCCAGTTTTCCTTTTCTTACTGATTTCTAACTTTGTCCCATCATGGTCAGAGATAATACTTTGTATGATATCTACCTTTTAAAATCTCCTGAGACTTCCTCTGTGGCCTAATACATGGTCTGTCTTGAAGACTGTCTCATGTGCACTGGAGAAGAATGTGGGTGCTGTTGCTGGGTAGAGTGTTCTATGAATGTCTGCTGGATCTAGTTGCTTTATTGTGTTAAGTCTTCTACTTGCTTACTTATCTTCTGTCTGGTTGTTCTATTGTTCAGAGTGGAACACTGAAGTCTCCCAACTATTACTGTAGGGCTATTTATTTCTTGCTTCAGTTCTGTCCATTTATGTATGTATATATCTCAGTAGTCTCTTATTAGGTGCACACATGTTCATAACTGTTATATTTTTTTTGTTGTACTGAACTTTTTATTAACATATAATATTCTTCTTGGTCTCTTGTAGCCTTTTTGGACGTAATGTCCATTTTGTGTGCTCTCAGGATAGCTGTACCTGCTCAGTCTTGGTTACTACTGACCTGGCATATCTTTCCATCTTTTCACTTTCAACCTATTTTTGTCTTTGGAGCTAAAGTGAGTCTCTTGTGGACAGCAGATAGGTCATGTTTTTTAATTAACTCTGTTGATCTCTGCTTTTTGTTTGGAAAGTTTAATCCATTTACATTTAATATAATTACTCATAAGGAGGGCCTCACGTCTGTCATTGTGCTCTTTGTTTTCTCTGTGCCTTATAGCAGTTTTGAGATGGCAGCACAGGGCAGGGACCTCGCTCAGGGTACATGGTGGGGATCAGAGACAGCATCCTGGTTCCAGCATCCAGGATGTTCCATCCTCGGCTATGTTGCCCACCTCCCCTCTGTGAGTTTTTGGAGTAGTCGCAGTGCACCATGCAGCTCCCAGTCCATAGCAAGAGCCCAGCCAGTCTGGTAGGCATCTCTCATTCTTGTGGTTGTTTCATGGTTATTTCAGGCATAGGGAACAGCCTGAGCTTGGTGAGCAGAGGAGGGTGTGGTGTGGGCATAAAAGTGGCAGGTAACCCTGAGCAGTTGGGCAAGGCTCAAGGGTCAAGATGCCACAAGGGTAGGATAGTTTGGAGCCTTCAAGAGTTCAGCTGAGCTGGAGAGAGGGAGAGCTGAGCTGTCAGGTGTCAGAGTGGCCAATTCAAGCAATGACAAGGAGCCATAGTGAAAGTAATGGTGGAGCCTTTCATCTTTACTGTGACCATATAGCCTGACTCCCCCTATTCCGTTTGCCCCACAGAATGTCATACCTTGCAGGTGGATCAGACATGGGGTTGTCTCACTGCGGAGGGAGCCTTGGGCAAAAGGCTCTGACAGTTTTATGGACCCTGGCATCAGAGAAATGGAGGGAGGAAGACTCAGAGTGGGAAAGTACTGGGTGCTGAGCCAAAGTGGCGAGAAATGCCTTCGAGATTTCCTCCCACTGATAAGGAGACCTTGGCAATGGGTCTTCAGACACCTAATGACCTTGGGGCCCAGGCAGGTCCCTCGCGACACACAGACCTAGGAATGGAGGCAGTGGGGCTGGGAAGGCAGAGCATGGCTGGTGATCCCCTTCAGAGGCCACAGTTCACTGGCTATGCCACTAGCCTGGTGTGGGGAAGGCAGCGTCCCCTGACGGCTGCCAGGGAAAGCCTTCGTAATGGCCTGTGGTCAGGCCTAAAAGAATCACACAAAGGGTTTTTAACTGGGAGTCGGGCTCCACAGGAGTCTATGGGACAGGGATGCCAGACCAGGAAGAGTTGATGTCCCCTGGGTGGGGGGTGGGAGGGTGGAGGGCAGGTTGGTGGCACTCAGTGTCCATGGAAAAGTTGGCTGTGATCATATGAAGCTGACAAATGTCTTGCCAAATGGGAAGAGGCCACCTGAGTTGTCACGGGTGATAGCATGTGATCCTCATAGAGGGGAGGATGGAGGCCCCAGGTCCTGGGGGGTTGCTGTGTGCCATGGGCTGGCGTGTCTGGCCGTCCAACGAGGGCCACCTGGTCAGGCTCTTGAGAAGCAGACCGAGGCCAGGCAGGTGAGTAAGGAACAGCGGGTCCCCTGCTAGGCATGGAGCTGTCTGGGCTTCACTTCTCCGCTGGTCATAGGTTTTCTCCTCCGAGGACTCTTACACCAAATGCTAAGATAAATCTCAAAAGGACATCCTGGAAATGCAAAGGAGACCACAGAGTTTGTCTTCCCGAGCTGTCCTAGAGTGATCAGGGGGGCCACTGGCCAGGGGCAGGGGAACCTTGGGCGGCGAGAGCCGTATGAGAGAAAGAGAACATGAGCCATACATGTAATTTCCGATTTCCCAGTGCTGAGTTATTTAAAGGGCAAAAAGAAACACGTGGAGTGCACTTGAATCATATATTTTCTTTAACCCGCTGGATATCCCCCAATAGGATCGTTTCAACAGGCAATCGATCTAAAAATTCTTGATGATACATTTTATGCTTGTTTTGCACTGCGTGAGTTTCCTATACTGTCACGAAGTGCCACAGACTGGGTGACTTACAACAACAGAAATGTATTCTCTCACGGTTCTGGAGGCCAGACGTCTGGGATCCAGGTGTGGGCAGGGCCACGCTGCCTCTGAAAGCTCGAGGGGAGAATCCCTCCGGGCCTCTTCCAGCTTCTGGGGGCTCCGGTGTCCCTCAGCTTCTAGCTGCACCCTTCCCATCTCTGCCTCTGTCTCCTTCTCTGTTGTGTCTGAAGTTCCTTCTTAGAAGGATGCCCGTCATTAGATTGGGGCCCCGCCTTCCTCCAGCCTGACCTCATCACTGATTTCATGTGCAAAGATCCTGTTTCCAAATAAGGTCACGTTCACAGGTACTGGGGCTTGCGGCTTGGAGGCTTGGACGTACCTTTCTAGGAGACACAAGCACGCCCCAAATGACCGGTCCCCTCAATTCAGCGTCTTCCCCCCCTCCCCCGAACTGGGTGGGGCGTGCACAGCCAGAGTCAGCACGGCTGAACCTACGTGGCGGGTGACCCTGTGTCCACAGCTGTCCCGAGAGCCATTCGTGTTTCTGATTACATGAGTTGGGGCCGAGGGGCGGCTCTCTCCTGTCACACGCCATATGGTGCCTAAATGCTTATTTCCCAGCTGCAAGGACCGCCTTGCTGCAGTCCCCCAGTCCCGCCTGGCCGCCTCGGCCCGGCCCTGGAGAAGGGCCCATGGTTGTCCATCTTCCTGCAGTGACCCGTCCGGCGAGGAGACGCTCAGCATGCAGGTCCCGGACTCCATCACCAGCTGGGTGGGTGAGGCTGTGGGTCTGTCCGAGGCTTGGGGCCTGGGTGTCGCCGCGCCTGCCCTGCTGAAGACCTTCAAGCCCTTCTTTGTCGACTTCACGCTGCCCCCCTACGTGGTCCGCGGGGAGCAGGCCAAGATCCCCCTCAGTGTCTACAACTACATGGGCGCCTGTGCCGAGGTACTAAACCCGCCCCCTCCCCCCAGCCTTCCCTGTGCCTGGGGGCACCCGTGATCTCAGGAGGCAGGGATGAGGGGGGTCAGCCTGAGCGGCTTGGAAGGGGACAGAGCATCTCTGTAACGGGGCAGGGGGTCGTGGGAGGTGCAGCTGCTGTGTTATCGGGGAGGCAGGGGCCGGAATCCTGGGGGTCCGCAGAGCAGGCGCTCACCGTCCCTGGTTACACTTGCACACTCGCCCATGTGGCCACGCTACTCCACACGTCGGTGTTTCGGTTTCCACAAGCGTCAGGCACAGAGGAGTCACGGCGGTTATGGGCTGCGTGGGTTAGCACCTGCTGAGAACAGTGTCCACGGAAGGGCTGCAGACCCTGCCGATGCCCCAGGGGCCGAGCAGCGGGGCCCGGGGCTCCTCCTGGGAGGAGGTGGAGAAGGCGGCTCTCTCAGCCTCTTGCAGCTGCCTAAACAAAGTAGCCCGAGCTGGGAGGCCGAGAACAGCGGAAGTGGATTCTTCCACGCTTCTGGAGGCCAGAGTGCAAGGTCTCGGTGTGGGCCGGGCCGGTTCCTCTCTGAGGCTCTGAGGGAGCTCCCTCTCATGCCTCCTACTGCCTGGCTCCGGTCTGTCTCCACGTCGCCTTCCCTCACGTGTCTTCCCTCTGTGAACGTCTCTGTGTCTGTGGGTCCTCTTCGAAAGATCCCAGTCCTATTGGAGTAGGGTGGGCCCTAACCTCATTGTAACTTAGTGACCTCTGCAGAGACCCTGTTTCCAAATAAGATCGTGTTGACAGGTGCCTGGAGTTTAGGACTTCAAAATATCTTTCCGGGAGCCACCGTCGAACCCATACAGCTACCCTGAGGGGGTGGGCTTAGGGCTGATCTTGGAGGCTGGGGAGGATTTCAGACCCTGGTGATGAGGAAGGACAGTAGGTGAGGGGGGGCCTGTGAGACCAGGTGGGTGCATGATGGGGAAGGGGGCTTCAGGGGGGCCGGGGTCTGTGTAGCAGTGAAGCTTGGGGAGGCTAGGACCACTCGCCCTCCGCCACCTTTGTGATCCTTGAGCGCTGGCTAGGCCTGGATGTCAGCTGGTGGGAGGGAGGAAGGGAGATGGGGAGGGCTCTCCAACGTTAGGGTTAACCCCCAGGGCTGAGGGTTGAAAGCCGAGGCTGTGGGCGGAGGAGTGAGTGGGGTGCAGGATCAGGGGTCCAGCTGGGAGCAGGCCTGCTCTCTGCACGTCTCAGCTTCATCCCAAAAAGCCACACGCTGGGGACATGGCTGACTTCCTCTTGGCCCTGCCCAAGTGCGTGGGGAACCCCAGGGCCATACCGAGGGCAGAAGATGTAAGCTGCAGCCTCAACCAGACACCGTGGAAACTAAGAGATTTCACCCCGCCCCCGAAGCCTAGATTTCCGTTTTTTCCTGAAAAAATGAGGAAATTGGAATTTGCTGCCTGGCACGGCGCCCAAGACTGCTGGGGGTCCTGCATGTTCACACCTCGCTGCCCCCAGAAGACTGGACTTTGGCTTGGCATTTCTATTTACGGCCTCAGTTTGCCTCAGTTTCCCTATCTGTAAACGGGGCGTGAGAACTCACCCGGGCCCTGCTCACCCCCGCCGGCTGCTTCTCTGGGGCAGGAGGGAAAGAGCAGACGCGAGGGCCCCTCGTGAGTCTCGACGGGGATGGCTGTGGTCTGTGATCATTTCTGAGCCCGGCCCGGAGCGGGGACAGCAGACATTCTGAGTCAGGCTCAGAGGGGGACCTGGAGCTTACATGAGACGTTTTACTCCTTGTTTTCCTTTGCAAATGCTATGCATCCACTGAATGATTTCATCTGCCCAAAAGCGTGTTGGACGCAATGGTGTGTGACAGCCGCGAGGCTAGTAAGGGGGTTCTCGCCCCACCATCTGGCAGGCACAGTACGAGTCCGACGCTGGTGTTTGCACTTGACTTTCCTGCTGGTGTCTCTCTTACTCTGTAGAAGAGCCGCACATTAATGTACTGTCACCTAGGAGCTTCTTGTCCCTTGAGCCTTTAATTAAAGGAAAATGTCAACTGGAAAAAAGAAAAAAAAGCAGTCCGTGCAGATTCTGAAATAAGGATGAAACATCCAGAGACCACCGGTAAGGAGCTCCTTGGTGCAAAATGCTGGCGATTCTCATTCATTGGCACTCAGAACCAGTGTGTGCTGGGCCTCGTGCAGACATCAGAAGACCCCAGGGCCCAGGACGTGGGGCCTGCCCGCACCTGACCTCGGAGCGCTGACACCGCTAACCCGCCGGCCTCAGGATTCTGCCTGCACAGATATCAAGCAGCTGCCTGGGCCGGGGAGGAAGGGCTGTGGATGGAATCGTTCCCAGACAGGAAACTCTGAGATGCATCATTACATGTCCAAGGTCTCCCAGAGTGTTTGGGGCTGAGCTGTGTTAGAACTGGGTGTTTACAGGGAGCCAGGCAAGCCGAGGGGGACATGTGAAATAGGCTCAGAGCAGGCAGCCCCGAAGCCCCCGTGCCTGTACGATCCATCCTCTGTCATTCTTTTTATGTAGTGTGTAGCCAGGAGGAATAGGACCCCGGTCTTAAAAAGCCAGAATAAGTGCAGACTGATCCCTGATCTAGAGGGTGGTCCCCCCAAGGGAGGGTCCTCACCGAGTTGGCAGGCAGGACCCTCAGGTGCCCATTTTAGCTCTGAGCACACCCTGGTGGCTGCTTTGTTACACATCCCCAAGGCACCAGGGAAACAGACCCATTTACCCCTGTCAACATGGACAGCTCGTCATTCCACCCAGGACCCGGAAAATATGGCTCACTGACGCTTGGCTCTTAAGTCTCTTCTTTCCTCCCTGGAAGAACTCAGACTCAGAGGGATGTGGGAGCTCCTGACACACCCTGCATCGGCCGTTCACACTCGGGTCCAGCTGGGCTTGTCCTGAGGCAGGGTTCAGATGCTCTGTCACACCTGCCACTAGATTTTTCTCGTGCCCTTCCCTCCACATCACACGCGCCTGTGTGTGTGACTTGGACGTGTTGATCCTCTGAGGCCCAGAGATCCCGCGTGTCTTCTTCGGCCTCATTACTTTAGCTCCTAGTAGGGTGCCTGCACCCACTAGGTGATTCATATATGCTGATTGGGCAAATGGATGTGGACCAAAGAGCCTGTTCTAGATTGGGAGGTATAACCACACATGCACATAGAGACACTCACGTGCGTGTGCGTGCACTCAGGCACTGTGCGTGTGTATATGCGTGCATGTGGGTGTGCATGGGCCACACACACACGCACGTAGGTATGCACACACACACACGGCACACGTGTGCACACACACAGAACTCTATTATGACGCTGCGGACCTCAGAGGTGGGACAGAGGGTCAGAAGAAGTGCTTTGCGGAGCAGCAGGTGGAGAGGTCCCTCCCCTCTGGTGCCCGGGGTGGACGCAGCCAGAGAAGCTGCCCTTGAATGCACCTTGGTCCTGAGGGGAAGCTGCCTCCATGGGGAAGTTGGGGGGCTGAAATAAAGAGGGGGCTCCCAGCAAGACAATGGTGAGTAGCTGGTTCTGATTGGAAATGGAAAGGGGGCCTTTCCAGAAGAGCACGGCTTTTGGCGAGGGCTGACGCGGTGGGCGGTGGGACATGCTGGCAGGGCACCCATATTCCAGGCACCACGAGCGGCATCCCGCCCTCTGCAGGTGTACGTGAAGATCTCAGTTCCCAAGGGCATCCGGTTTATCGGGCATCCAGGCAAACGCCATCTGACCAAGAAGATGTGCGTGGCCTCTGGGGAGATGGAGCCCGCCTGGGTGGTTCTGTCCTTCAGTGACCTGGGACTCAGTAATGTCACAGGTGAGGTCCCGTGCTGCCTCAGGCATCCCCCCTCCGGGCCACCAAAGGGTCCGCGTGCTGAGCCCAGGCACAGGTGAGGGGTGGGCGGGGCAGTAGATGAGGTCAGAAGGGCAGCTGGGGAAGCAGGCCAGTGGGATGGATCAGGAGGTCAGGACTGATGTAGACATAGGGGTAGGGCGGGGCGGTCCCCCGGGGTGGGGCCTGAAGCTTCACCTGGAGGGAGCTGAGCTTAGGTGCCACACCAGCCTGGCACACGTATGTGCGCATACATCTGCACATGCAAACACTCGGGCCGAGGGTGAGGGACGATGCGCCCCTCCCCCCGGGTGGGAACCTGTTCTGACCGAAAGCACTGAGCGCTCAAATCTCCGCAGCCAAAGCCCTCGCTTACGGAGAAACAAGCTGCTGCCGGGACGGGCAGTCCATCAAACACTTGGAGGAGAGCTTCGCTGACAGGCGGGTCCCCGCCGGGAGGGATCACATCAGGCGCAGTGTGATGGTTGAGGTAAGCCCATGTCCTCGCTGAGGGCCCTTGGCCAGGGCCATCAACCATGGGGTGGGGGCCTCGCTGGAGTCTGTGATCCCCGCCCGGGGCTGGTGCAGCCCCGGTCCTGCTCTCGGTCTAGGGGCAGGTGAGGGGTCTCTGCATCTCCTCGTTAGGGGACTGCAGCATCCGGCCTCCCCTGCCGTGCAGAGTGAGATTTGGTAGAGCGGCCTGGGACAGGCAAGGGCTTCAGGGAAGTGTCCTCTGACCCCCACGTTGACCATCTTAGAGGGCAGTGTGCATCTGTCTCCGACTTCCTATGTGTTCTAGGCAGTTATGGGGATCGTGACCTGATATTTGGAGGGCTGTCGCTGAATGCCCGTGCAGAAAGGACACAGAGCCTAGAGCGGAGGGGCCCAGGGGTTGGGGTCTTACTGACATCCCACCCCACCCCCGCCCCCCGGCTGGGAATCTAGGATCTGCCACTTAGTGTGGGCTGGGCACCTGTCTTGATATTCCGACGCCGCTCCCTAAGTCGGGGCTTCTCACGCTCAGCCCATAGTGTGGGAGGGCCGGAGAGAATGCACACGATCCCTCACGGTGCTGGGCGGGCGGCAGCAATGATGCCCCATCTTGTGGGTGCTGCTTGGACACATCGGAGCCCAGAGCCCTGCTGAGACTCTCACACTACACCGAGGGTGCCCGGCAGCGCCGATGAAGCTCCTCGCAGCCTCCCGAATGTCTGCCCCTGCCCTGTGGCCCAGCTGCAAACAGCTACCCTCCCTCCTGCCTGTGGTCCTGGCAGTTCCTGCGGCACCTGGAGCCACACGTGCGCCGGGCACAACTCCCGGAGGTGGGCGAGTCATTGCCACAGCGTGGTTGACGGGACATGATGGATTCCTCCGGGACAAGCCTGTTGTCTGATGAGGAATGCCATTTCTGTTAGCCAGCAGGATGGAACGGCCTCAACAGGAAGCACGGAGACCCCTGGCAACCCTTGGCTCAGCCCGAGCTTGCTCCCTGGCCCTCAGCCCGCCCTCCTGCAAGGATGGCAAGCCATCCAGAGCAGCCAGGCCTTGAGTTCTTGCCTCCTCCATCTGCGGAAGGAATTTCTCAATGCACAGAGAGGGATCCTCTGTCCCTGGGCCCTTCCTCCCGTTCACGCTGCTCAGCAGTCTGCTCTGTCTGCAGCATCTGCCGGCACAGCTTAGTGCAGGCCGTTCTCGGGGCAGGAGGTAACATTTAGGTATCAGAAGACCTGAGATGTCGATGCAAAAAACTGAAGCGTGAACTGGAAAAACGGATTTCTGAAACAGGAGGTGGCAGATGTGTGGCTTGATAAAACAGCAGAATCCTTCTCCCGCTCCCCACCATGGGAGAGCCCTGGGTGCATGGTTGGTTTGCTGGATCGGTTATTTGGTGGACCCTCACGCGACCCTGCCTGCCATCTGCCGGGGAGGAAACTGCAGATGACAGAGGCGTACGGTGGGGAAGCAGGTGATGGTTGGGACCTACGGGATCGTGGAGGAGCCAGGCTCCACCATTAGCCCAGGAGACCGGGAGGACAAGGTGGGAGTGTGTGGCAAGCATGACAAATCTAGGAGTAGTTGGTGAGTTGGTTTGACCAGAACCCGGAGAAGGGGGATGAGCCTCTGTTTCCCCCCCCTAGGCCTGGGGGGTAGGCAGCCTGGTCCTTCTCCGTGTACGTGTGACATTGGCATCACCCTGCAGGGTCCAGGCTTGGAGCACTGCCATGGGAAGGCGGCCGCTCCCCTGGGCGGACTGCCCCTCCAGCACTCAGTTCTCCCCGTCTCTCTGTTTCAGCCGGAAGGAGCCCCCCGTGCGTATACCTACAGTGCTTTCTTCTGTCCCAACGGTGAGTCCCTGCACCCACCCTGCTGAGGACTTTGGCCCTTACCCCCACACTGTCACAGCTCTCCCACTGTGAAGTGGATGCCTGCCCTTCCTGGGCTCAGAAGACACAGAAGCGGAAAACTGAGATGTCCGGGCTGGTGACAACCATGAGCCAGAGTGAGGGCCGGGCATCTGCCACGCAGGAAGGAAGTGCCCACGAACGTAGACTGGAGGCGTCAATGAGAAGAGAGACCGTGGGCACAAATAGGGCTGTCTGCAGGGCCCTGGGGTGAGGAGCCTAGGATCCAGGGAAGGGAGGGCTTAGAGTCACGTCAGGGGAAAGCTGTGGGAAGAAGTCTGACCCAGAATCCTGGGCCCATAGAGAAGATAAGAAATTAAAGCGGGTTCCAGAAGGTGTGGGATTCGGGGTCTGCCTCAATCCCCTGAAATCGACATTATACTTGTACATGATCCATGACAAGGAAATGGGTACAGAGTGCCCAGTGGATGCCTCTACCTTGGTGGGGTCAGGGAAATGCTAAGCAGAATGTCTGCCCTCTCCCTGTCCAGTCCCTCCCAGAGGAACCATTTAGCTTGGAGCTCAGGCCTGGCTTGTCACTGGGCAGTCACCCAGCAGGCTTTGGCAGGTGACGGAGCTGAGGATCCAAGCTGGAGTCTCTGGGGGTTGCCATTGCCAAGGCATTCAGCATGACAGGTCCCATAACCCACACAGACCACTCTGGACACAGGCTTCCTCTTGACATGTTTCCCCATTTTTTGTATTAAATAGCAATATGGTACATATATGCTCAAATGATTTTTGACAGGGGTACAAAAACAATTCAATGAAGGAAGGAGAGCCTTTTCCACAAACGGTGCTGGAGTAATTGGACATCTATTGGCAAAAGCATGAACTTTGACCTAAAGATCCCACTTTATACAAGAATTAACTCAAATGGATTGTGGACTTACATGTCAAACTATAAAATTTTTAGGAAAAAATTTGGGAGAAAAACCTTTGGGATCTAGGGCTAAGTGAAGAGTTTTTAGATATGATACCAAAAAGCATGACCCATAAAAGGAAACTGATGAATGAACCTCATCAAAATTAAAAACTGCTTTGCAAGGGGTGCCTGGGTGGCTCAGTCGGTTAAGTGTCTGACTCTTGATCTCAGCTCAGGTCTTGATCTCAGGGTCTTGAGTTCAAACCCCATGCTGGGCTCCATGCTGGGTGTGGAGCCTACTTGAAAGGGGGGAAAAAAAACTGCTTTGCAAAAGATGCTGTTAAGAGGAAGAAATACAAGCTACACACTGGAAGAAAATCTTTCCAAACCCAGATCCAACAAAGAACTAGTATCTAGAATATATAAAGAGCTCTCAAAGTTCAACAATAAATAAAACAATCCAATTAGAAAGTGGGAAAAAGGAGGGGCACCTGGTTGGCTCAGTCAGTGGAGCATGCGACTCTTAATTTTGGGGTTGTGAGTTCAAGCCCCATGTTGGGTGTGGAGATTACTTAAAAATAAAATCTTAGGGCACCTGGGTGGCTCAGTTGGTTAAGCGACTGCCTTCGGCTCAGGTCATGATCCTGGAGTCCCAGGATCGAGTCCCGCATCGGGCTCCCTGCTCGGCAGGGAGTCTGCTTCTCCCTCTGACCCTCCCCTGTCTCATGCTCTCTCTCTCTATCTCATTCTCTCTCTCAAATAAATAAATAAAATCTTAAAAAAAAAAATAAAATCTTAAAAAATATATGGGAAAAAGAAATAAACAGTTCACCGAAGAAGATACACAGGTGGCAAATAAGCACATGCAAAGGTGTTCAACATCATTAACCATTAGCAAAATGCAAAATAAAGCACTGTGAGTTATCAATGCATACTTACCAGAATGACTAAAATTAAAAAAAAAAAAAAAAGTCACCACAATAAAAGATGGCCAGGATGTGGAGAAAAGGGATCATTCATACATAGCTGGTGGGAATTGTAAAATGGTATGGCCACTGCTGGTAGTTTCTTAAAAAGCTACACATGTTCCAAAGAAATTGCACTACGAGGCATTTATCCTAAAGAAATGAAGATTTCTGTTTACACAAAAACCCATAAACAGACATTCATATCAGCTTTATTTGTAATAGCCCCAAACTGGAAACAGGCTAGGTGTCCTTCAGTGGAATGAGTGGTTATACAAATTATGGTACATTCATACCTTGGAATGCTATTCATTGGTAAAAAGGGACAAACTATTGATATATGGAGCAACTTGGATGAAGGGGATTGAGTGAAAAAAACTCAATCCCAAAGGGTCCATAAATGATTCCATTTATGTTATTTTTGAAATGACAAAATTTTAGAAATGGAGATCATATTAGTCGTTGCTGAGATGGGGAAGAATGGTGTGGATATGGTGATAAAGGGCAATAGGAGGGATCCTGTACAAATAAAATTGGGGAAATCTGAATAAGATTAATGGATTGTATCAATGTCAATATCCCAATTGTGATACTGTAGTAGAATTTTGAGAGATAGCACTGGGGGAAACTGGGTCAAGAGGACACAGGATCTTTCCATATTGTTTCTTACAGTTGTCTGTGAATCTATAATTATCCTAGTAAAATTTAAATTAAAAACATTTTTCAAAGTGAAACATGTGTGGGACACTAGGGTGACTCAGTCAGTTAAGCGCCCAACTCTTGATTTTGGCTCAGGTCACGATCTCAGGGTCGTGAGATCAAGCTTTGGGATTTTCTCTCCCCATATGCCCCTCCCCACCTCCCTCTCTCTAAAAAAAAAAAAAAGTGATACATATGTACAAATACTGTATGAATGTACTTGTATGAGGTACTTAGAGAAGTCAAAATCATAGAGACAGAAAATAGAATGGTAGGAGCCGGGGGCTGTGGGGAGGGGTTGCTGACTTAGTGTTTAATGGGGATAGAGTTTCAGTTTTGCAAGATGAAAGAGTTCTGGAGGTGGACAGTGCTGACATTTGCACAATATGACTGTATTTGATACCACTGAACTGTACATTTAAAAATGTTTAAGATGACAAACTTTACATTATGTGTATTTTACCACAATAAAAAAAATTGGGAAAAGAAAAAGCAATACCTATGTATTACAGAGAACTTAGAAAGAAGGAAAAAATATCTCCTCTGGTTCGCATCCATAGATGACCTCTTCTGACATTTTGCTGTATTTGGTTTCATAGGATTGATTGTTGTTTGTTTTAACATAGTTGTAACTCATGAGCTATACAATTTTGTGTTCTGCCTTGCTCATTTAACACATCCCGAGCCCTTTTCCTTGTTATTGTAAAGTCTTTATAAACAGCATTTCAGAACAGTTTCAGTATGTTCTATCAAACGACTGTTCACGGGGTGCCTGGGTGGCTCAGTCGGTTAAGCGTCTGCCTTCAATTCAGGTCATGATCCCAGGGTCCTGGGACCAAGTCCCGCATCAGACTCCCTGCTCAGTGGGGAGCCTGCTTCTCCCTCTGCCTGCCACTCCCCTCTGCTTGTGCTCTCTCTCTCTGTCAAATAAATAAAAATCTTAAAACAACAACAATAACAAAAAACGGCTGCTCCATAATTTGATTATTATGGAATGTTTTGAAACATTGTTGGGCACTTATATATGGTTTCTATTTTTACATCATAATTTATGCTAGGCTGAATATATATTTGTATTCAAAGTAAAATTGGCAGTGTTTTTAACATGTTTTTGGAGGTATAATTGACTATAATAACTCACACGTACTTTAAGTGTACAGTTTGGTAAATGTTGGCATATGTGTACATCTGTGAAACCATCACAACTAAGATAATGAGGATTTCCACTAAACCCAAAAGTCATGCTCCCTGTAACTACTCACCCCTGCCTACTCTTGTCACTAGGGAACTACTCACCTTCCTTTCAGTCTCTATAGATTGCTTTGCTCTTTCTAGACTTTTATATAAATGGAATCATATAAAATGTACTCTTTTTATCTGGTTTCTTTCAGCATAAAAATTTTGAGATGCATCCATGTTGTGTGTATCAATAATTCAGTCATTTTAAGGCTGAGTGGGACTCCACTGAATGGATGCATTGCACTTTGTTTATTCATTGACCTGTTGGTGGACATTTGAGTTATTTCCAGTTTGGGGCTATTTCCAATAAAGCTGCTATGAATATTCATGGACAAGTCTTTGTATGGGTAATATGTTTTCCTTTCTCTTGAATCAGTACCTATGAGTGGAACAGCGAAATCATACAGTAGGTATGCGTCCAACCTTTTAAGAAATGGTCGCACAATTTTCCAAAGTGGTAGTACCCTTTTGCATTCCCACCAGCAGGGGGTGAGAGTCACTTCCTCGCTCTCCTCACCCACACTTGGGGTTGTCTGTCTGATTAATTTCAGGCATTCTAAAAGGTGTCTGATGGTATCTCATTGTGGTTTTAATGTGCATTTCCATCATTCAAGCATCTCTTCATGTGCCTGTTTACTGCTGGTATATTTTTTTTCAGTGAAGTGCCTGTTCAGTTCTTTTAACATTTATTTTAAATTGAGTTTTGGAAGTTTTAAAAAATATATTCTGGATACAAGTCCTTTCCCAGGTAAATGCTTCACAAAGACATTTCTCCCAGTGTGTGGCTTGTCTTTTCTTTCTCCTAATAGTGTCTTTCAAAGAGCAGAAGTTTCTCATGTTGATGTGGTCCAGTCAATCAGTCTTTCCTTTTATGGATTATGCTTTTGTTGTATCTAAAAAATCTTTTCCAAATCCTACGTTTTCTCCTCAGAGTTTGTAGTATTAGGTCGTACGCTTATAAAATGGCTATGAACTATTTCAAGTTGGTATTTGGAGACCATGCAAAGTGTGGTTCGGAGTTCCCCTTTCCTGCTTCTGGGTAACTAGCTGTTCCAGCACCATTGGATGAGACGATTTTCGCTGTTGAATTGCCTTCACACCTTTGTTGCAAATCAGTTGTTCATACACATGTGGGTCCCTTTCTGGACTCCCTACTCTGTTCTGTTGAGCACCTGCCTGTGTTGACATCAGTACCGCACTGTTGTGATTCCTACAGCTTTTGATTACGTCTCGGTGTCAGAGGTGTGAGTCCTTTGACTTGGTTCTTTATCAAAGTTGTTTTGGCTCTTCTAGATTCTTAATGTTTCTCTATAAATTGTGGAATCAGCTTTGTAATTTCCCCCAGAAGACCCTGCTGTGTTTTGATTGGGATCGCAGCAAATCTGAACATCCGTTTGGGGAATAATGAACGTATTTGCCGTATTGTCTTCTGACCCACGGACACGGTCTAGCTCTCCACCGATTTGGGTCTTCATCAGTTTCAAGAATCTTTTGCAGTCTCCTGTGCACAGGTCTTTGCACGTATTCTGTAGGATTTATCCCTGTGAGCATTTTATCTTTTGTGTGCTCTTGGCAGAGCTGTCATTAAGCCAGCTCCATTGGCTGTCCCCCCCGTGGTCCTGATTCTAAGCTCTGGGCACAGGCAGGGAGAGGCAGGATGCCTCCAGGGGTGCCTTCAACCCCCTCTCTCCTTCCCTCCATCCAGAGAGAGTCCACATCTCCACACCCAACAAGTATGAGTTCCAGTATGTGCCACGGCCGCTGTGTCTCACCCGTTTTGATGTGGCTGTGCGAGCCCACAATGATGCCCGAGTGGCCTTGTCCCCCGGGCCCCAGGACACAGCAGGCATGATAGAGATCGTCCTGGGGGGGCACCAGAACACCAGGTCCTGGATCTCCACCAGCAAGATGGGCGACCCTGTGGCCAGCACACACACGGCAAAGATCCTGTCCTGGGATGAATTCAGAACATTCTGGATCAGCTGGCATGGCGGGTTCATCCAGGCATGGCTGGGCTGACTGGGGTGGGCATGGGAACCTCCTGCTTCTGGGCATTTGCTACCTCCTGATCTGTGTCCAGCTCTGACAGGGGGCAGGGAGGAGGGAGGATAAACACAGGGCACTATCTCAGGCTGCTCACAGTCTGCCTGGAGTTGCTTACAGGGGTGTAGGGATCTGAGAGCTGAGGGATGGTGGGTAGCCATGGAGAAGGAAGGTGGATATAAGTAGGTGAAATGGGGGCTGGTGAATTTTAGGGACCAGGCAAAGGGGACATAGAAAAGGAGCAGCTAATACAGCTTTCTAGAGGAGGGACATAGCCAAATGGGGTTTTGAAACATGAATAGGAGTTCACCAGGCAAACTGGGGAGTGGAGGATGTTTCAGGCAGAGGGAATAGCATGTGCAAAGGCCCAGAGACTCCCAGGAGCCTGATGACTTCGGAATCTGTAGATGCCACACTTGTGTCTCTGTTGGCCATTGAAGGGGGTGAGGTGACCTTTAGTTTCTCTGTGACCCCCATAGCCAGTGTCCCTGTTGCCTGAGCACCACTGTGTGCTTCCTTCCGGCATCCAGCATCCTTGGCCTCTTTTTCCAGGTTGGCCATGGTCCAGAGCCTTCCAATGAGTCTGTCATCATGGCCTGGACCCTCCCCAGGCCACCAGAGGTCCGATTCATCGGCTTCTCCACTGGCTGGGGCTCGGTGGGTGAGTTCCGCATTTGGAAGAAGGTGGAAGTGGACGAGAGCTACAGTGAAGCCTTTACCCTGGGAGTCCCGCACAGCGCCATCCCTGGGTCTGAGCGGGCAGTGGCCTCCGTCATAGGTGCGTCTGCCTTGTAGCCTGGCCCGGGGAGAATGGGGGCAAGGACTCAGGCCAGGGGGCAAGGTGTCCACTCCAGACTCGGTTTCACATCAGCCTCTACTGGGGATCTGTTTCTCCGGGGATTCCAGCCCCATACCCACTCACCCGACAAGCAGCTTCTGGTGATTTCTCCGTGCTGGGGCAGACCCAGAGATGACCCCAACCCTGTCTTTGAGGCATTTCCAGTCTGCCCGAGGTGGGTCCAGACCCAGCCTGTCCAAGCCCTGTGTGAGGCAACCCCAAGGGGCAGGTGGTCAATTCTGTGAGAGCAGTGAGTGTGGGGTGATGTGCAAGAAGGCAGAAAGTCTGGGTGAAGTCAGCGAGGCGCAGGGTGGAAGGTGGGGGTCCTGGTGAGAGGGGCAGACATCCAGAGCGTTTGCTAAGCAGGAGTAAGTGGCTATGACTGGGGGTCTGTAGGATGTGGGTTGTCTCCTATAGCCCAGGTACAGGAGTGGAAAGTGGGGACCATGTGGTCAACATGGTGTTGGGTGTTGGAAGGATGGAGAAGAGGGGAAGAGGCCCGGAGGGGCACATAGGCCTGAATGCAGGGGTCTTGGGTCTCTCTGACATCAGAGGACAGAAGTCCTGGGGCCCAGACAGGTTAGTGTTTGTAGCCAGATCAGAGGATGTGGGAGTTTGCAATTTCTGAGGCAAGAGATCAAGTGAGAGATGGCCCTAGGGGGCGAGTGGCCTGGGTAGTGGCATAGGGGAGCAAGCAGATGGGCAGGGATGGAGACGGGGCAAGGGCCGGGACCTCTGGGCCAGTGCCTATCAGCACAGTGGGATGGAAGGTGGAGAAGAAGCTGGGAAGCCCAGAGGAGGGTGATGAGAAAGTAGGCAGGCTCTGCCATGGATGGAGGCTGCAGGAGCAGTGGCAGCCTCGGTGGGGCAGGAGGAAAGGCCAAGGAAGGAAGGGAAGTGTGACCAGGGAAGAGCAGGAGTTCTGGAGGGCCCATCAGCCATGTGTGATGCAGAGAAGCCAAGAAGAGGAATGCAGAGTGCTGAAGGGAGGAGAACACAGGAGAAATTGAAAAAAAAAGAACTGAAAAATATATCAACAATGTCATGTGGGTATGGAAACTTAAAAAAGAATCTAAATACTCATGATTGAAGAGAAAATCACGTTTCCTACTGGAAATTAGAAAAGATATTTAAAATAGAACCATAATGGCTGGATTGATCGATCATTTGTGGGATGCAACCAAAGTTGTAAGAGGAAAATGTATAGCTTTAAATGCACCTGTTTTAAAAGCCACAAAGAAATGAGCATTCAGCATAATGAAGAGGTAGAGAAAGAACACCGAGCTGAGACCAAAGAACACAGAGGGAGGTGTGTAGGAGAGTTCCAGTGGGTGGCCACCAAAGCCAGGGCCCCCGGTGGGCTAAGTGGGCATGGGGCGCAGTCGGGTCCCGAAGGGCAGTCAGAGGGTGGGTGGCCGGTGTTAGGCCATAGGCCGCGCTGGCGAAGGCTATCCCTAGGACAGCCAGGGCACCATTTGAGGCCGGCCCGCAGCCCAGCCCTCATTTCCTCCCCACCAGGAGACGTCATGGGACCAACCCTGAACCACCTCAGCAACCTCCTGCGGCTGCCCTTTGGCTGCGGAGAGCAAAACATGATCCACTTTGCACCCAACATCTTTGTCCTGAAGTATCTGCAGAAAACCCAGCAGCTCAGCCCCGAGGTGGAGCGAGAGACCACGGACTACCTGGTACAAGGTACCGGGGCTGGGGGGGCGGGGTGCTACCCAGGGAGACGGCATGGGGAGGGAGGCAGCCCACGTGCCCGGTATAGCGGATGCGGAGGAAGGGACCCAAGTGGATGAAAGGGGCCACTCGGGGTGGCCCATCAGGTCAGTGTCAGCAGGAGCCCAGGGTCTATACAGTTTGGGCATGGCTCTGCATGCTGGGAATCAGCTATGGGGAGAGGAATGGCATCTTCTAAAAATGTAGATTTTTTTTTTTTTAACAAGAAGAGCAATATAGGGTGCTTGGGTGGCTCAGTTGTTTAAGCGTCTGCCTTCGGCTCAGGTCATCATCCCAGGGTGCTGGGATCAAGCCCCGCATCGGGCTCCTTGCTCAGCGGGGAGCCTGCTTCTCCCTCTCCCTCTGCCGCTCCCCCTGCTTGTGCTCGCTCTCTCTGTCAAATAAATAAATAAAATCTTTAAAAAAAAAAAAAGAAAGAAATAAGACCGCATGGAACAGCCTCAGAAATCACGCGGCACCGAGGGTCTTCCATCACCAGGAATCAGATCCTTAGGAAAGGGTACAGCTCTGTGTGTGGAGGGTAGGACCTCTGAGCGCCCTGACCCACCCCCTCTGCATGTCTTGGCCCCATAGGAGGGTCATGGGGAAGTTTGTAGCCTCACCTCTGTCACCGGCACCTGCTGTGTGTCCTCAGGTAGGGCCTGTTCTCAGTGCCTTAGTTTCCTATCTGTGTAGCAATGGAGTTAAGTCAGTTGATGCCAAGGTCCTGAGGCCTCCTGAGGTGTGCTTCTGGCCTTGGGCTGGAGCTGGAGCGAAGGGGAGGAAGGCGAGGGTTTGACCCAGCTGTGAAGCTGGCGTTCACAGCGGGCAGGTACGTGTACTTGACCTGTGCTGCCCCAAGTCGCCCTCCCACAACCCCAGACTAATGGTCCTCATTTCCCACATGAGCCACGTGAGGCTCCTCAGAGCAGCCAGCCTGAGACCATGCAGGGTGGTGGGGGCTTCTGAGACCCCAGGCTCGTCCGGATTGGATTGGCTGGCCAGGGCACTAGGTCCCAGCCAGAGTGAGAGGAGAGCCCACAGGCACCACCTTGGAAATTTCTGCCTTCAAGAAAGACCGGCGTGTGCCCGGCTCAGAGGATGTCAGGTCCCTCTCAGATGGGGAAACTGAGGCATGTGAGCGCCTTGATTCCTGAGGCGACTCTGGAGTTCCTGCTTCCTGGCCTGTCAGGGTTCCCTGTAGAAGATCTCCAAAAGCAGTCCTGATGATCCAGAACCATCCGTTCTCAATGGGAAAAGGAAAGCGCAAGAGCTCATGGTGAATGTGGAAACTCTTGAATGGAAAAGCAAAGTCAGGGGTTGCCACGGGCCGAAAATCTGGCTTGATAAAGGCTGACCAGAGACTGCCGGGAACCCCAAGAAGCCCACTCGGTCTGTGGCCAGGGACGCTCAGGTCGCTGAACGCATCTGGGCTTGGGCCTCGAACGCCACCCCCAGTCTGATGACCCCTAGTTATCAACGGCTGCTGGGAGCTCCCCTGAGCAGCCAGACCCGTGCCCTTCAGCTAGTGGGCATTCCAGACTCTACAAGCTTCCCATCGAGCCCCCTCCCCCGGTTTTCTTCCAGGCTTGCTGGTGTTCGTTTCCTGGGGCCGCTGGCACAGGGGCAGGCTCCCTGGAGTGCGCTTCACAGGCAGGGCGTTTCTTTCTCCTGTGTCTGAGTCTATTTCTGCATCTCTTCTCTTCTGAGGATACCAGTCATTGGATCCAGGTCCTACCTTATTCCAGGACGATCTCATCTGGAGATCTTCAGCATGATCACAACTGCAAAGACCCTTCTTCCCTCATAAGGTCCCATTTTGGGTTCCTCTCCAGACCCTACAGACCACCCACTACATATGTCCCCTCACAGCCCTCCCTGGCTCGCCTGGCCCATGCCCCCCTGCTGCCCTCACAATAAGGCCAAACACCCAGTGTGGCCCGAGTGGCCGCCTCACCTCCCTCCCCTGCCCCCTTGCTCTTCTGCTCTCTGAGCACACCAGGCTCTCGTGGACTAGTCCCCACCCCTGGGGACAGAGGGTGCTGCCTCGAGATGGGGCAGGTCCCTGACCACCCAGGCGTGAGTGAGGGCCTGTGTGTGACCAGGAGTGACAGAGAGGTGATGTCAGGAAATGAGAGGAACAAAGTAGAGCTTTCAGCCACACCCGTGGTGTGGAGCCCTTTCAGGGTCTCCAGGGGTGGGTGTGGGGCAGTTTCCAGACTCCAGATGTGGGTGGGGGTGGTTTTGGTGACCCTGGATGTGAGTGTTGCATCATGGGGGGGATCCCAGGGACGTTCCAGGACGCTGACCCCTCCGCTTGCTCCGCAGGCTACCAGCGGCAGCTGACCTACAGGCACCAGGACGGCTCCTACAGTGCATTCGGGGAGCGGGACGCATCAGGGAGCATGTGGTGAGTCCCCACTTTGGGGGCACGGCCATGGGGGCTCTCCCACCCGAAGCCGCAGCCCCCCATGCCACACCGAATGGCCAGGACGCTCGGGGCCAGATCCCCAGGGTGACAGAGATAGCCATGGCCCCGGCCCCCCGGCGTTCAGAGGGCTGGATGTGGGCAGCTTGCTGGGCTCTGGGTGTGGCGATGGGGGGTGGTGGCAGTGACAGGGACTATTTCTCGTAGTTAGTCTTTCTCCTGTTGTCGCCACATGGCCCGGAACAGAGCCCTTGCTCTCCAGCCTCTCAGGAGCAGGTCCTGGATGCTCTGAGGCCTCTTCAGAGCCCACTGGACCCCAAAACAGGGGTGACCCCGAGTAGGACGGGACGGGAGAGGCCCTACCACCACCGGGAGGCTGAGGTCGGGGGAGCGTGTGGGCAGAGCAGCCTGGAGTCTGGTTTCCCTTGCAAGCGGCTCCCTTTGGCTTTCGGGCGACCAGGCCAGGAGGGCCCGGTGCGGGGCTGCGCACCCCTGGGTCTTGCTCCCCGGGAGCCTCAGAGCAGGGCAGTTTGCGTGATTGTGGATTTGCCATATCCACCTTGGGGCTTGCAGGGACCGTGGGGCACCCCAGCTTCTGTCCCCAGATGGGGTTTCTCTCCCTGAGCGCAGGGGGCTGTGGGCATGAAAACTGCCCTCCCTGTCCTGAAACTGACCCAGAGTGTCCACCGCACAGCAGCATGGCCAGGGCCCACGGGCGCAGCGACACAGCTGGCTGAGGGTCCCCCCCTTACCCCCCCCCCCCCGCCGTGTGCAGTGTTGCTTACTTGGCTCCAGAGGGCCGACCTGCCCAGAGAGAGTGTGGGGATGCACAGGGCCCAGCACTCGGGCTCCGCGTGGCCCCGCGGCCGGTGGCCTGCGCATGCGTACGGCGTTGGGCCCCTCCCTCTGGGGTGTGGCCGGGCTGATGGAGGCGCCCCAAAGGCAGGAGAAAGGATGGGTTTGGGGGTCCCGGAGGGAGAGTGGCCGGGACGAGCAGACTCCTGGGGAGGGTGCACGCAGCCTTGGAGTTATGGGCTATTTCACATTTTGGCGATTCACCGCAACAGAGCCTTGATTTTCTTTCTCTTAACTTCTTTCTGTGGGTGCGGTAAAGTACGCATAACATACAATTTATCATCTTCACCATTTTTAAGTGTCCAGTCCAGTGACATTCAGTATATTCACGCTCTTATGCCGCCGTCACCGCCGTCCGTCCCCAAAACTCTTTTTAATCTTGTAAATCTGAAACTCTGTCTATTACATACGGACTCCCCCCCCCCCCCCCCCGCTCCAGCCCTCAGCACCCCCGTTCTAGTTTCTGTCCCTGTGAATTTGGTCCCTCCCGGGACCTCCCGTGAGTGCGATCATAGCTTCCTTTTCTGCGCGGCTTGCTTCACGGCTCACAGTGTGCTCGAGGTTCGCGCCGTGCTGGAGCAGGGTCAGTGTTGCTCCCCCTGAAGGCCGAATAACATCCCGGTGTGTGGAGGCACCCCGTTTTGTGAATCTCTTCGTCAGTCTAGACACTCAGGTCATCCCACGTTTCAGCTGCTGTGATAGAGAGCGGTGAACACGGGTGTACAACTATCTCTTCGCGACCCTGCTTCCGATTCCCGAGGGGATGTTCCCAGGAGTGGAATCGCGGGACCCCATGGGAGCTCGGCCTCTAACTTGGCCAGGAACCGCCCGGCTGGCTTTTTACAGCTGCTGCGCGGGTTTACACTCCCACAGCGGCGCACAGGGGCTCCCGGTCGGCGCCGCCTCGCCGCAACTGTTGGTTTCTGCCGCTTGGACAGTAGCCGCCTGGTGGGCGTGGGTGGGGGAGCCACTTGATCTTGAAGAGCGGGGCCTGCTCCTCCGTCCTGTTGCTCGTCCTTCTCGGCTCCTTGCATTCCATCCAGTGGTTCTCCTGCGTTGATTTTTCACCCCCTCATTCATCCCTTGGGCCCATCAGCTCTCACTCAGGTGCACCGTGATGCAGCAGGGAGGCGGGGGGGTGGACAAGGCACAGGTTGCAAAGCCAAGGATGGACACCTGTGACACAGAGGTGGGCTGTGGGGAGGCCAGTTGGGGGTCCTGGGAGTCCAGAGAGGCCCATCTCAGAGTGGGGGCGCCCAAGAAGCTTCCTCTGGGGAGAGACACGTGGGCGGAGCGTTGAGAGACAAGCAGTACCTCATTCTGTGTAGACAGGACGGAAACACAACACGAACAGTGCCTGGATGGGGTAGCTGAGGTAGTGGGTTGGTGGAAAGTTTTCCACTGCAAGCAACAGAAATCTGGCTGAAAGGCAATTCTAAATGTCAGTTCACACCACAGGGCTGGGGCGGCTACAGGATGGGCCAGTCTGGCAGCCTGCAATGCATTGCCCCCCCACCCCCGCCCACCAGGTTCTTTCCTTTGGTCCCTTGTGGGCTCTCTCAGCACTGTGGCTCCTCCCCTCATGGTGGCAAAATTGCAACAGCTGCTCCCAGCATCACCTCATGTGCCCATTCAAAAGTCATTCTCAGGCCCAAGGACTGAAATGCCCCTAACTGTGGCTGGCTAGAGCCATAGAGGGGACCAGGCATCTAAGTTATCTGGCTGCAGGTTCCCGAGAAAGACGAGATCTCTCTGCAAGGCTGGGATCCCTTGGGGATTGGCGGTGGGGGGGCAACAAGAAAGGTCTTCTGCACGTGGCAGGGGGAGGCAGGGCTGAACCATCTCATAGGAAGGCCTTGAGTGCCAGGGTGGGAGGGTCCATGCAGGGAGGCTGGCCTCTGTCATTGGGCCCTGCTGGGTGCCCACACACTTCCTGGAGCCCTCACAGCAGCCCTGCAAGGGCACGCTGGCCCCTCCCATGTTACAGGTGAGGAAGCAGAGACCCGGGGCCGTGCGGGGAGCATGCACAGTTCCTCAGGGGGCATACGGGAGGTGACCTTCTCTGCACAACCGCCCCCAGCCCATGGCCCCCCCAGTCCCTGCCTCATCCTATTTCAGGCTCACGGCCTTTGTCCTGAAGTCCTTTGCCCAGGCGCGCAGCTTCATCTTCATCGACCCCCAGGAGCTGGCGGCTGCCAAGGGCTGGATCGTCCGGCAGCAGCGGGTGGACGGCTCCTTCCCGGCCGTGGGCAGGATCCTGAACAAGGACATCCAGGTGAGTGGCCCCTCGGCCCCCTTCTGGCACCTTAGCCCTGCCCTGCCTGCTCTCCGCTGCTGTCTGGGGCCAGTAAGGGGTCGGGGGCAGTCCCCTCTGGCTCAGGGTGAGGCTCGAGAGTCCTCTTGCAGGGTGGGATCCACGGCACAGTCCCGCTGACGGCCTATGTGGTGGCTGCGCTCCTGGAGACGGGCACGGCCTCGGAGGTGAGCACAGGGTGGCCTTGGGAGCTGTGGGTGGCTTTCCCCTGCAGGCCAGGCCAGCCATCCTCTGGCAGGCTTTATTTCTTCCTTGATGCCCTCCTTCCACTCTTTCTCATGCTTTTCAGTGGTCCCAGGATGTCCACCTTCTTGTAGCCTGAGCAGAGGATTGAGAGATTCCTGTGATAATTGTGGGGGGCCTAAGGGAGCTGTATCCTGAGATCTCCCAGGACTATCTGATGCCTCCAGTCCCTGTTTGGGGAATCATTTGGGGCTAGAGCAGGTTCCTGGCTGGTCAGGGAGTCCTATGCAAAAACTTGGGAAAGTTTTGGGAGAAGGGTCTGGAACCTTCATTTACAGTTGGTACTGGAACCAGTCAAGGTTGAGGTGTCCCGGGGGACTCGGGAGCAATTGTTGCTTTTGTGAAACAGGAGTGGGGGAAGCACGTCCCCTGCAGTGAGGGTGTCCATAGTGGATCTCAGCCCTGGGGGTAGGGACCCCACCATTCCTAACATCTGTGTCTGTTCTACATCCTCTGATGATGAATTGTGAGTTATCTTAACAGCGTGGCTCCTTCAGTGCCCACGTTGGTCATTTGCTAAATTCATTAATGCTTCTCATCACTTATTTTTTCCCACTTAACCAATATTACTGGGCAGCTTCTCTGAATCAAGCTGTCACTGGACTCAGTTTCTGTGCTCCAGGGGCTCACATTGGGGTTGGGAGGGGGGAAGTGTGATCAGGGTTGGTGGGCTTCCTGGAGGTGACCACTGAGGTGAGGCCTAGAGGATGAGGTGGGCCTGGGCAGGGGGTCTTGGAAGCCAGCCTGGTGATGGGGTCGGTGGGACAGGGTGGTCAGGGCTCTGCCGACTTCCCCCAGAACGTCTCCGAGTTGATCTGCTGTGCTCAGACCTCATTTGGAAAAAGTTGGCACCAACATAAAGGGGACGGGGTTCTGAAAGCCAGGTCTGTAGGCTGTGGGAGCCCCAGAGGGAGGCAAAATGAGAGTCTGTGAGCCATCCAGCGCTCTCCCTAGGCGTGCCCTGGGAATCTGTGGGTGGGCAGGTGGGTGGGGGAGCAGAGCAGCCTCCCAGGGCTCCACTCCCCCCCGATCCCCACCCTGCAGGAGGAGAGGAGCGCCATTGCCAGAGCGCGGCACTTCCTGGAGTCCAGTGCGCCCTTGGCCGTGGACCCCTACAGCAGCGCCCTGACCACCTACGCGCTGACCCTGCTCCGCAGCCTGGCAGCCCCTGCAGCGCTGCGGAAGCTCCGCAGCCTGGCCATCACGCAGGGTAGGGGGCCCGCACAGTGCACCCCAGTAGACAGCTCATGGACACATGCTTGGCACTAAGGAGGCACCCTTTGCTCGCTCTCTTTTGTTTGTTACTCATTGTCGCATCTCCTAGTGGCTCCATTTGATGAAGTGGCTTGAGCCCGAGGGTCATTTTTCTCCCTTGTGAAATAGGGGGTAGCTACCCCTGCCCCAGGGAGGACCCCCCGCCCTCCATCGCTGGGTGAGCCTTGCAAAGCCTTTTCCATCTTCAGGATGTCGGTCTCCCCATTGGCAAAATGACTACCCACTATGTTTGGGGAGCCCCGGTCGCAGAGACTTCTCAGACTGAACCCCCTCCCCTCCCACCTCCAGTCCTCATCGCACTCCCCACTCCCCACCTTCCCCAGCAGCTTCTCAGCTTATGATGTCACCTGAAGAATGCTTTCATTGCTAGGAAGAAAAGAAAAAAATTAAGCAAAATTCTAAAACCACCCAATTGGATGACCGTGTCTAGGAGTACCTGCTTGGGCAGGGAATGCCGATTTCTCTGTGGTCTGAGGGCCTTTTGCACCTCACATGAGCTCAGAATCCTCGGAGCCTTTGCAAATGGCAAGTGGCTTCCTTGGTCCTAAGTGGGGACAGCTGGAACCCCATCAGGGCCCTGTCAGGAGGGAGGCCATTGATGTCTACCAGGGGTGCCGGAGGGACGGGGTCTGTCACGGAGTTGCAGATTGGAGACCCTTCTTGCCCCAGCCCTCTGCCCTGGCACCCTCCTCCCCTGGGGTCCACCACCCTCGCCCCCCCTCCCCCCCACCGATGTCTCTTCTTGAGACCATATGCACTGACCCTTCCCACGGGATGCCAGGCTGCACACTGAACTGGGTCGTGGCCCCTGACCTGTCCTGGCCCTGCAGATGGGGTCACCCACTGGAGCCTGACGGGTTCCCGGGATGTGGACAAGGATGCATTCCTGAGCTTCAGCGATGGGGTCTCTCGGTCAGGTACTGGCCCCCTGCTTTGGGTGCTGGGTGCTGGGTCCCAGCATCGAAAGGCCCCAGCCAGCCTCGTCCGTTGCAGTGGTCTCGGCCGAGGTGGAAATGACAGCCTATGCCCTGCTGACCTACACCCTCCTGGGTGACGTGGCCACCGCCCTGCCCGTGGTGAAATGGCTGTCCCAGCAGCGGAACGCGCTTGGGGGCTTCTCCTCCACTCAGGTGAGTTGAGCAGGGCCAGAGGAAGGGGCTCAGGTCCCAGCAGGGTCACTGGGGTCCAGGCTCGGGGCTCAGAGCTCGCCAGGAAGCCACCGCCTACTTCAAGTCCCAGGGCGGCTCCTGGGGGACAAGGAGTCCAGGGGAAGGCAGGGGGTGGAGCCTGAGGGACAGACGCACCAGGCTCTGGGACAGGCACGCAGCCTCTGCCTCTGCGGAGGTGCCTGCCCGTTCTCGGGAGCCCCCAGACTGTGGATGTCTGCACCAGATTCACTCTGCCTCCCAGCCACATGGGTCCCTGGCCTTCAGAGAGGGTCCACGCCTGGTGCCTCTGGTCTGGGCCGGACCTCCCGGGAAGGGGGCAGGGAGCCTGCCGGCTGACCCGTCCCTGGGGCTTCCAGTGCCTCCTCGTCTACCCCCAGGACACCTGCGTGGCTCTGCAGGCCTTGGCAGAGTATGCCATCTTGTCCTATGCTGGCGGCATCAACCTCACCGTCTCCCTGGCCTCCACCAACTTGGACTACCAGGAGACCTTCGAACTGCACAGGGCCAACCAGAAGGTTCTGCAGACAGCGGCGGTGTGTATTCCTGGGCCAGGGCTTGGCGGCCCCTCCCCGCTGCCCGCCCACCCTGGCGTGTCTGCGGAGGGCGTCATGGTGTCCTGTCTCTTTCAGATCCCCAGCCTCCCCACGGGGCTGTTTGTGAGCGCCAAGGGTGAAGGCTGCTGCCTGATGCAGGTGGGGCTGTGGGGACATCGTGTGCTCACTGGGGGCGCCCAGAGGGGCAGGCTGGGGGCTGCAAGCTCAACGGCGGGCCAGGCTGAGTGGGGCAGATGGGTGCGGCTGAGAGAGACCCTGGGGCAGACCGTCTGCCCCCCGTAATGCAGCCCAGCCTGCCCAAGGCAGGTGGCCATGCCTCCTCTCGGGTGTGGGGGCTCCTCCCAAGAAAGTCCATCTGACCCTCAATCCAGTGGTCTCTGACCATAAGCAGATGCCCTCCCCCACCCTGGAGTTGGCCCAGTGCCTCATGTTTAGTCTCCCTGCGGCTGCCTGGACCAGGATGCCCCGCCTGGGCGCCCTCCCTCAGCCCCTGGACCAGGATGCCTCAGCCTTGCCCTCCCTGCAGCCCCTCCGTCACCCTCCCTGGGATTTAGCTGCACTCTGGGCTGGGGCAGGCTGGTCTTGTGGGCTCTGGCTGGAGGTCGGAGCGCAAGTCTGCCTGGAGACCCAGAGTGCTCGTTGCCTGGGTGATGGTTTGGGAGCCCAAAGGTGGATGGTTGTCATGGCATCCAAAGCCCATCCTACGCCGCCCTCCTATGCCATGACCTTCAACCTGCCATCAACTGAGATAGGGGGAGAAGGAAGCCGCCGGGCTGGCCCCAACTCTGGCTCCATGAGGCCTGCTGGGGACATCTTTGTTCCTCTCTTAGATGTGTCAGAAAGAACCACTGTGTACCATCCAGATATGGGTGTGCTCAGGCCGCACCCCCATCTCTAAAACGGGAGCCCAGACAACACAGTGGCTAGGTGGGAGAGGCCTGGAGGCTGTGGGACCTGGGCTTGACATGCGTGAAAAGGGGATGACGGTTGGACCTACACTCGCTGGGGCTGTTGCAGGGCTAAATGAAGTAACAGTAGTCCCCACGTCTGTCGCCGATGCCCCACTTTTGTCATCGTTCTGACCATGCCGCTGCCTCTCCCCTCCCCCACCCTGGGTTCCCTAAGCCTCGGTCCTCCCACACCCCCCAGATTGATGTCACCTATCACGTGCCGGACCCCGTGGCCAAACCAGCCTTCCAGCTTCTTGTGAGTCTCCAGGAGCCAGAGGCTGAGCCGCGGCGGACGCCTGCTCCCGCCTCCGCTGATGACGACGACCCGGCGGCCGACCAGCATCACCAAGAGTACCAGGTGACTCTGGAGGTGTGCACCAGGTAAGGCCACCTCCCTGCTGGCCGACACCCCTGCCTGGGCCTACGAGGAGGGTCATATCAGAGGAGCACGGCCTCCCGGGACCAGGGCACTGAGCAGGTGCTCAGTCTGAGCCTGTGGATTATGAGGCTGTCGGCTGGAATGCGGGATCACGCCTCTGGCCCCTGCTGCATTTCCCACTGTGGGGGCTGGACCAGCCCTGGTGGTTCCTGTGATGGTTGCAAGATACCTCAGCAAGAACCATTGGGGAACTCTGAGGGACAAGGATCGTTCCTTACTGCTCCTGGAGGTTACCGGGCACGCCCAGGGCCACACAGCGAGGTCACAGGTAGAGAGAAAGTCTGGACCTGGGTAGGGCTTTGCCTTTTATGGGGGCACAGGGTGGGGGCTTTGGGTTTCGCCAGTCCCCCTTATTGGCAAATTTAAAAAGATAAGCGCAGGAATGAGGGAGCGGGAAGGGAAAGGTGGGTCGGTTATCTCAGTGACCCGGGGTTTTCTGAAAGGGGAATTTCATGTGGGGGGTGGCTCCTGGCTCCTTGTCTAGCTATTTATCTGTAACTGTGTCACAGTCGGCAATATGTTGATCCAAGATGGGTATCTTTGAAATGGATGCTTTTGCAATCAAATGCTTACTGTCAGGCACTTAGACTGCAGATGGTTTTTGAAATGAGGAGGGAGATGGAAGCTTCCAGATGGATGCAGCAGACCCCAGTGGTAGATGAGGCAGGTGGCCCAGGTGGGGACAGCTGTTGGTGGCCCCTGCCTGATGCACCAGACGCAGGCCTCTGGGTTCCCTGACGGTGACCCCGGGACCAGGCCACAGAGGGTCCTCAGGGGAGGTGCAGGCAGCTGCCCTCACAGGATGCTCGTTGCCTGGGTGATGGTTTGGGAGCCCAAAGGTGGATGGTTGTCATGGCATCCAAAGCCCATCCTACGCCGCCCTCCTATGCCATGACCTTCAACCTGCCATCAACTGAGATAGGGGGAGCAGGAAGCTGCCGGGCTGGCCCCAACTCTCTGGCTCCATGAGGCCTGCTGGGGACATCTTTGTTCCTCTCTTAGATGTGTCAGAAAGAACCACTGTGTACCATCCAGATATGGGCGTGCTCAGGCTGCACCCCCACAGGAAGCCTCCCCAGTGGCTGTGGCCCCCATGACCCTTGGGCCCACAGTCTGCAGGTCCCTCTGTGAAGGTCAGCCGCCCTCCTTGTCACCAGCACTTGGAGGGCCTGGCATGGAGCAGGCCCCAGAGGCCAATATGCACACCCCATGTCACAGAAGGGGACACGGAGGGCTGGCCTTGGGGAGTGACTGGGGATTCCCAGTCACCAGGGCTCCCGTGGCCCCATGGACCTGCTTCCTGTGCTGGGGACATAGCATGGGGTTCGGGGCAAGCACGACCCAGAGTCAGTAGGCCTGGATCAGGCCCCGAACCCTCGGCGAAGCCCTCTCCTTATGGTCTTAGGGTCTCAGCTGTGAAATGGGCTGACCGGTGGCCCGGCCAGCTGTGTTTGTACAGATGGGCCACCCAGCCAGGCCCAGGTTGGGCTCCCCCAGGACTTCATTCGTGGGGATTGTGGCTGTCAGAGGGGGCCATGAATTCCGCCATAGGGCTTGAGCTCGAGGGCCTATCTCTCCTCTCATTGGAAGGTGGCTGCATGCAGGGTCCTCCAATATGGCTGTCCTGGAGGTGCCCCTACTCTCGGGCTTCCGGGTGGACATCGAGAGCCTGGAGCAGGTGAGGTGGCGCCGGCAGGCAGGAGCCAGGCGGGGTCTCTAGCTGACCGCCCTGTCCGGGTTGCAAGTTCCCAGCCCTTCATAATTTTTTTTTTCTTTCTGGGCAGAGTTGGTGCTTCGGGGCTGGCCACCTGCTGAGGGGCAGGTGGGAAGGGGTGGGATCCAGGTGGTGGAGGAGGGATTCAGCAAATGTGGATGTGCTGTAGGGACAACGTGCGGTGCCACAGGGTAGCCTCAGCCTTGGTTCTCCAGAAACCTGCACTGCCCTCAAACTCAAGAGATACCAGTCCCACATCCCCTGGGGGGATGCTATCTTGCCCAAAGCTGGAGGAGGTCTGCAGTGTGGGGAGGATGGAGAAGGAAAGGCAGGCCAGTCCCGGGGGTGGGCAATCAGGGAGGCTTCGCCGAGCACCAGGGTAAGGAGAAGGGCCCGCACAAAGGCCTTGGGTTTATGTATCAAAAATTGTGACTTCCCAGGCTGGATGGTGGCTGAATGTTGCAGTTGAGATAAAAGGAGATGGCAGGGCTCAGCTGGGCACCTCGAGTGCCACAGGGAGGCCTAGCGTAGGGCTGGGGCTGGATCGAGGGAGGCTGTAGGAAGGGAAGGGGAGGGAAGGCAGGAGCTCGGGGGTAGAGGTAACCAGCCTCACATACCCTCTCCCGGGTGCTGGGTGGGCTGGCAGGGCCTGGGTAGCCTTGACCGCCATCCCCTGGCCCTGGCGCTGGCCCGTGGGGGCTTGCTGGATGACCACAGGCAAGTCGCCAGCCTGTGGGGCCTTGCCCACCTCCCACTGACCAGTGAAGGCCCCGCAGAGACCGGGGAGGAAGCAAGCACTGGGGACAGAGGGGCTGGGTGGACCCTGACCTCTGACTTCCTTGTCAGCTGCTCTTTGACAAGCATTTCACGCTGAAGAGGTACGAGGTGGCCGGACGCAGAGTCCTCTTCTACTTTGATGAGGTACTGTCACTGGTGCGGGGGCGGGGGCGGGACTGTCAGGGCCCAGGGCAGTTCCTGCAACCCTCTCATCATGAAAAAGAAACGGGAACAACCAGTCCAGGCAGAGCTGGTGCAGCTGGTGGCTTAGTGCCCCAGGCAGCTCACTTGGGTGGGAAAAGTTGGGAGGGGATGGAACAGTATTCAGGCATAAAAAGGAATGTGGCGCTGGTGCGTGTAGATGAACCTGGAAAACGTGCGGAATGGAAGAAGCCTGATACAAAAGGCTTCGTGGTGCATAATCCCATGTACACGAAATGCCGGGAACAGGTAAATCCATAGAGACACACGGCAGATTAGTGGTGGCCAGGGACTGGGGGAGGGGGGAGAGGGAGGGCGTGGGGAGTGAAAGACCAGCAGAGAGATTTTTCCAGGTAGGATGGAAGGACCCACGGGATTGAGTGGAATCAGGTTTTTGTGTTTCACACGTCCTGGGTACCCCGAAATCCGCCAGCTCAGGGCCCAGGCTTTGAGGCATAGCAGAGCGTAGGGGCGGTAGCTCATCCCTGAACCCAGTGGCCGCAGGCAGGCCTGAGCCCTTCTGCTAACCCCGCAGATCCCCAGCCGGTGCCTGACCTGCGTGCGGTTCCGGGCGCTGCGTGAGCATGTGGTGGGCAGGACGTCCGCGCTGCCCGTCTCTGTGTACGATTACTACGAGCCTGGTAGGCCCGCACCCACCCGCACCCCCGGCTCAGTTCCTCACCTTGTCACCCCATCACTTGGTCACTCTTCCCTTCCTCGTCCCGCAGCCTTCGAAGCCACGCGCTTCTACAACGTCAGTGCCCGAAGTCCGCTTGCCCAGGAGCTGTGCGCGGGGCCCGCGTGCAACGAGGTGGAGCGCGCCCCGGCTCAGGGCCCCGGTGAGTGCGCGGGCCGCTGCCTCCCCTACCACCGGCCACCCGGGCCGTCCTCTTGGAGCTCAGATCAGAGCAGGGAAGCGGGGTCTCTAGGCAGAGGACGACAGCTTGGTAAAGGCAGGAGGACGGAACTCGGTCAAGGGCGCACACTTTGGGGATATGGCCGAGCGGGGTGCGGGCCGGCGGTGAGGAGGGGCGGGGCCGAGCGGGCTGTGGGCGGGCAGTGAGGAGGGGCGGGGCCGAGGGGTGTGGGCGGGCAGCGGGAAGGGGCGGGGCCGAGCGGGCTGTGGGCGGGCAGCGGGAAGGGGCGGGGCCGAGCGGGGTGCAGGGGAGATTGGAGAGAGGATACCGCCGATTGGGGTGGGAGGGCGCCCAGAGCAGAACCGGTGGTGCCCCCTCCTCCACAAACCAGCGGTGTAGGAACTGCAGGGCCCTGGCCATGAACTCGGACAGTGGCCACAGCACAGGTCTGGACGGGGCTGGAGTGTCCTTCAGGGCCCTTTTCTTTATTTTTTAAACATTTTGAAGTAGGTTTATATTGCTTTTGTTGATAACTTCTATTTGTTTTCGTAATAGTAGGCAAATTCCACCAGGTCAGGGCTCAGGGACTCCCAGTAACTGTCGCGCACCCGTTCCTGCCCTGGGGAAGGTCGTCCCTGCCCCCAGGGACTTTCCCCCCACTCCAGGCCTGGTGGGAGGCGCCGCCCAGGTGGGGGTTGGGGTCCCGAAGACCCGGCCGACTTCGCTTCGCCCCCAGGCTGGTCCCCCGGCGCGCGGGGTCCTGCGGCCGCCCCGGAGGAGGGGGCGAAGATTGCGCGCTGTGGCTGCGCCCGCTACTGTCGCGCCGGCGGGGACCCGGTGTGCGGCTCCGACGGAGTCGTCTACACCAGCGCCTGCCACCTGCAGGAGGCTGCCTGCCTAGGCCGCGCGAGATTGGAGCCCGCGCCCCCTCGCCGCTGTGCCCTCGGTGAGGACCCACCTTGGGTCTGGCCTCTGGGATCCCAGCTCCCCCTGGACATAGTGCATTGCCCTATCTTCTTCATCACCTCTCCCTCCTATCACCTCCTCCCCATCACCTCCTCCTCCTCTTCCCCATCACCTCCTCCCCCTCCTCCCCATCACCTCCTCCCTCTCCTCCCCATCACCTCCTCCCCCTCCTCCCCATCACCTCCTCCCCCTCCTCTCCATCACCTCCTCCCCCTCCTCTCCATCACCTCCTCCCCCTCCTCCCCATCACCTCCTCCCCCTCCTCTCCATCACCTCCTCCCCTTCCTCCCCAACACCTCCTCCCCCTCCTCCCCATCACCTCCTCCCCTTCCTCCCCAACACCTCCTCCCCCTCCTCCCCATCACCTCCTCCCCTTCCTCCCCAACACCTCCTCCCCTCCTCCCCATCACCTCCTCCCCCTCCTCCCCATCACCTCCTCCCCCTCCTCCCCATCACCTCCTCCCCCTCCTCCCCATCACCTCCTCCCCCTCCTCTCCATCACCTCCTCCCCCTCCTCTCCATCACCTCCTCCCCCTCCTCCCCATCACCTCCTCCCCCTCCTCTCCATCACCTCCTCCCCTTCCTCCCCAACACCTCCTCCCCCTCCTCCCCATCACCTCCTCCCCTTCCTCCCCAACACCTCCTCCCCCTCCTCCCCATCACCTCCTCCCCTTCCTCCCCAACACCTCCTCCCCTCCTCCCCATCACCTCCTCCCCCTCCTCCCCATCACCTCCTCCCCCTCCTCCCCATCACCTCCTCCCCCTCCTCTCCATCACCTCCTCCACCTCCTCCCCATCACCTCCTCCTCTTCCCCACCACCTCCTCCCTCCTGTCTAGCATCACTCTCCTCTTCCTCCTCTCCTCTCCCCTTTCCCCCACCCCTCCTCCCTCTCTCACAGCCCTTGATTCCCTGTCTCTCCCTGATCCTCCCAGCTTTCCCCCCAGCTGTGGCCCCTGCATCTCTCCTCCAGTCTTTGTCTTTCTGTCTCTGTTCCTTAGGCTTTGTGACCTCCCCCATCTCTGGTTCCTTGCATCTGGGTTTCTGCTGCTCCTCAGTCTCGCTGAGTCTCTCCCCACACCCACCCCAAGTTTGTGCCTTTCTGCATCTACTACTACCCATCTCTGAACACTGTGTCCCCTTCCCCCACCCTTGTGACCTCCCACCTCCGGCCTGTTGCTCTGGGACACGTTATCTCCTTTTCATGGTCTCTCTGAGCTATCTGCTATCCAGATCCTCTCCCTCCAGTGCCCTCCTACCGACCTAGCCCCCCCTTCCTTCCAGAGCAGCCGACACCGGCCTCTGCCTCCTACAGCTATGACTATGACCCAGCTCCCCCAGACGCTGGGCACCTGGCAGCCGGCCATGGCCATGAGGTGATGGACTTGGAGGGGGAGGCAGAGGACAGGTGAGAGCTAAGCCCCCCCTCCCCAACTCCTTCCCCCTAGTTGCCCTGGACCTGACAGGGAGTGGGAGTAACCAATAGACAGGTCAGCCTGCAGATTTCCAGGAACATGGTGGGGGATCCATTCTCTCTTCTCCCCACAGTCTGTCCAACACACATCAGAGAACAACCTGTATGAGCATGGGGAGGCTGAGCCCTCCCGAGGACACAACCCCAGGACAGACCTGCCCATGAGGCGCCCTGGAACCCCATTAAAGAAAGAAATTATTCACTATACTTGTTAAGATGGCAAGGAAGACTGTTCAAGGGAGGGGCCTGGTGATAGGTAGCAGGTCATGCAGTGGGGTCTTGCAGTGGAGGGGAAGACAGGACCCAGCTCTGAATACTACAAGAAAAAGTGGGGGTTTATAGCCAAGGGGTGGGGGGGGTCAGTGGACCGAGAATTAGTGGCCGGAAACATCAGGGATGAAGGGGGATTCTGGCTGAACCCACCTAACAGCATTCCCACTAAAGGCAGGCCAAGGTATCAGACAGTGCCCCAGGGCTGGTGGGAAGGAGGAACTCGATTAAATATTAGATATCGAGGGTGATCAGGTATGGAGTGGGAATTCGGGCTTAAACTGATGTAGAGCGTTCCTGCTATAATTGGACAGTGCTGAGATGAACACCAAAGCCCAGAAGTGGAGACCTAGTCAAAAAGAGTGGAGTTTGATCAGAGAATCTTTGTCACCCCAGGGGAGGGAGGAGGAAGTGGGTGGGAGACCAGAGAGCCCTGTGGGGTGAGGCTGAGAAAGGGCTGCCAGGCCAACTTCCTGGAGGAGGCGAATCTTTTGAGTCTAGTTACAGCAAACTCAAGAGGTTTAAGCAGCAGGTTGGCTTTAATCAGCTTAGGTAGGTGCCAGCCCCAGGGGCCGGCTGCACTGTCAGGCCTCGGGCTGTGTCCACCCGCGCCCGGCCTGCCTTGGCAGGGTCTCCCCACCGCACGCCAGTAGCAAAGGCAGGTTGTCAGCCTCATTCGGCAAACCTAGTGGAATGCTTTTCCACCAGTACCCAGCAAAGTCCTGGAAGTTCAGGGCTGCATCATCCCACACCAAGCACTGGGGCTTGGTCCATGTGCATCTAAGATAATTATTGGTAGAGCTGGGCTTATGGCTATTGTTTCAGTATTTGTTCTGTTTTGTCCTCCGTGTGCCTCCTTTTGCACGTATGGAATATTTTTTTTAGGATTCCATTTTGATTCAGCCCCCGGGGATTACAATATACATCCTTAAACTTTGCAGCTTACTTGTTCATTTCACCACTGTCGCATCTGAGTCTGCCGTTTTCCCCCACCGGTAGCCTTGTGTCCTCACCACCATAGGCAAGATACACAAGAGCTGCCCTTTTATAGCCACGCCCACCCGGAGAGTCTGTCCTCCCGGGCATGCTGTGTAAACAGGAATCCTCTTGAGATCGGCTTTTCTCACTTAGCGGAGTTCCCTTGCCATCCACCCACGTTGTTGTGTGGACCAGAAGTGAACAACCTGTCCCATCACCGTGACCCGGTGGGGGTGGGCAGGGTCCTGAGGGTCTTCTCCAGGGGGGATGCACCTGCCCCAATGGGCAGAGGCAGCCAGGCCGAGCCACGACGTGGAGGCGGGTTCAGCAAAAGGCACGCCGGCCCCCCGAAGGCCGGGCAGCCCACACTGTGTCTTTCTTTTTTTCTCTCTTCAGTCAGAGTGGCTTCTCTTCCTAACGCTCCGAGCAGGAGGACTTGATCTGGCTGCGTCCTGTCCCTGTCGGCCCCACCGGAAGGGGGCCACTGATGGGAGAGTTCCCTTAACTCTCTGGTGGGCTGGCGGACCCCACCCCAGGTGACCGCAACCCAGCCTCTAAATGAACCTGATACACAGAACGCAGAGACCTGCCTCGATGGATGACGGGCCTCCTCCCAGCCCTCCCTCAACAGGAGGGTTGGCCTTGATCCCCCCACTTCCCCAGCTGCACCTGGCCCTGGGCACCCCCTCCTCGGGCCAGAGCAGCTCCGCTCCAGGAGAAGGGACGCTCCTGGGAAGGACCTGCGGCCAAAGGCCTCTGTCGGAGGAGACACGATGACATTTAGCCAAATCAGGGACGTAGATAAGCATCCATCCCCTCATCACCAACTTCAAAATGAAACAGGCCGCCTTTCTCCAAAATGCAAAGCTTGGGCCCTCTTTGGGGCACCTGGGCTGCCAAACCCCTGGACCTAGACCTCGAATTGTCCCCTAACTGTCACAGTCTCCACACACCCCCATCTTGTCTCACCCCAGGGGTCCCCAAATGTTTGGTGCCGACAGGGCCAGGCCCTCAGGGAAAGCCATATGGGGACTGCCTTCTCCCAGCTTCCTGGCGGGGGAGCCCCAGCCCCGCAACCAGCCCTGCCTTCCTCGGGGGACCCTCCAGCTGTGGTCCCATTCCTCTTTGTGACCCTCAGGGCACACCTGTTTCTGGTCCCTCGCCTGTCTGCTCCCCTGTGCAGTGGTATTTATGGTGGCCAGAGCTGCTCGTCTCTGACCTCCAGCGGGGACAGCACAGAGACCCTGAGGGCACTGCCCAGCCAGTGGGTCCCCGGCCATTTCCCGCGCCCCTCACCCCCACCAGCCCCGCTCCCTGTGGAGGCCGCTCCCATAATAAAAGCTCCTTTCCAGAGTCACAGACAGGCTTTGGCCTGGGCAGGGGGACGGCGCAGCACTGAGGGCTGGAGGCCCAGCTCCCGTCAGGCCCCCCAGCACCTCTGTTCCCTAGTCTCCGGCTCAGCCTTTCAGGGCCGGGCGGGGAGGAGCGTTTCGAACACCTGCACCCCAACCTAATGATAGATTCCCGTGCATTTGTAAGAAATTCTACCGGTACAGAGAGGTCTACTGTCCACCCAGCCTCCCCGCCCCCCGCCCTGGCGGTAACATCTTGGGAAACTCCTACATCATCAACCAGGCTACTGACATGGATACATTTCGCTGCTCTTACACTTCTCCAGGCTCACGGGCACGTGCGTGTGTCCTGGGGCTGCCCACCCACTGGCTCATTTTTCTCTAGACCAGACACATACGGACCCTGATGGGGAGCCCAGGAATGGCCCCCACTCCCCTCTGCCTTGGGAGAGCCTCCCACAGTTGACGTCTCCGTGGCTCCAGACAAAGTGCCCCATGCTGCCCCCACCCCTTGCGGTACCCCCCCCATTCAGAACGGCTCAGACCCCGGGGTAAACAGCTTGGGGTGGGGGTCGCAGGGCTGTAGCCCCTGCCCGGGCCCACCTGTCCACCCTCCAGTTGCCCACCCACCTGGTCCTGGGGTGGTGGGGGACGTTAACATCAAGAAGAGTCAGACCTAGGGTTAAGGGGAAGAGGTACCGTCCTGCCTCCAGGGTGACAGAAGGTGACAGTCCTGTGGGTCCCCATGACAGGCCACACCGGGCTCTGGGGAGCAGAATGACGGCCTCCGCAGTGATTGTCCAGGACACGCCCCAAACCCCGGAGCCCATCCCAGAGCTAGACGCTGGGCTTTGGGGAAGGAGGACTGCCAACCAGCCTTCCTGGCTGCCTGGGCCACGAGGGGGCGGGCGGCCCGAGCCTCCTCCTAGGAGGGGGTCCTGGAGCGGGTCCACAGCAGCATCAGCCTTGCCTCCGCCCCACCTTGGACGTGAGGGAGCTGGCTGGGCCTGGGAATATGCATTTAACCCCTATATTCATTTTTTTGGTGCTGCTCTAACCCAAAACCACAAAACGGGTGACTTAAAACAACAGAAATTTATTCTCTGACCGTTCTGGAGGCCGGAAGCTTGAGATCAGGGTGTGGGCAGGGTCCACTTCTTTGGGGGGGCTCCGAGGGAGGGCGTCTCAGGCTGCCGTCCCGGCTTCTGGTGGCTGCTAGCGATCGTCCTGTTCACCCCAGTGTCTGCCTTCGTGATCAGATGGCCTCTTCCCCTGTGTGTACCTGGGCCTCTCCTAATAAGGACACTGGTCACAGCAGATTTAGGGCTTCCCCTAGGCCAGTGTGACCGAATTTTAATAACACCTGCAAAGGCCCTATTTCCAGATGAGCTCAGTTCAGGGGCTCCCGGTACACGTGAATCGGGAGGGGGCCCCGCTCGAGCCCGCACGGCGCCCTGTCCACCTGCCCCGCCTTCCGGGGGGGCCGTCACACGAGGGAGGTGGACCGGGTGCCAGTGCCCTGGGCGGCCCCCTCCCTGGAGGCTGCGGAGGCGCCCCGAGCCACGCAGAGCAGCCCCTCCCGCACCTTGTCCCTGAACTCCACAGACACGTAGTAGTAGATGAAGGGGTCCACGCAGCTGTTGAGGGTGCTGAGCGCCAGGCTGGGCACGTAGGCGGCGTACAGGTCGCCCCAGGCGTCCGGGCGCGGGTCCGAGTAGTGCAGCAGCAGCAGGACGTTGCTGGGCACGAAGAAGGCCACGGCCGAGGCCAGCACCAGCGCCGTGAGCCTCAGCGCGCGGCCGTAGCGCGGGCCGCCGGCCGCCAGCGCGCGCAGGGTGGCCCCGTAGCCGAGCAGCAGGCCGAGCAGCGGCAGGAAGCAGCCGAGCACGGCCAGGCAGAGGAAGGCGGGCCGCCAGTAGGAGGCCTGGGCGCCCACGGGCAGCGCGTCGTGGCACAGCACGTGGTCCGAGCGCGACAACCGGAAGGTCTGCGGCTGCAGCGCCAGGGGCAGCGCCAGGGCGCCGGCCGCCAGCCAGGCGGCGGCGCAGAGCCCGGCGGCCAGGCGCCCGCCGCGCAGGCTGAGCGCCCGCAGCGGGTGCACCACGCCGAGGTAGCGGTCCAGGCTGACGGCGGCCAGCAGCAGCACGGAGCCGTACATGTGGCCGTAGAGCGCGGCGGTGGTGGCGCGGCAGGCGGCCTCGCCGAACGGCCAGTGCGGGCCCTGCAGGTGGTAGGCGACGCGCAGCGGCAGCGTCAGGGCCAGCAGGAGGTCGGCGGCCGCCAGGTTCATGAGCAGCATGGTGGAGGGCAGCCGCGGCACCCGGGTGGCCAGCACCCACAGCGCCAGGCCGTTGGCGGGCAGCCCCACCAGCAGGGTCAGCCCGTAGAGCGCGGGCACCAGCCTCGTGGACACCCAGCCCAGCAGCAGGGCCCGGGAGCTGTCCGGGAGCTCCAGGACGTTGCTGCCGTTGTCCTGGAGCTGGCCGGGGAAGCTGCGCAGGTGGGGTGAGTGAGGGGTCTCCCCCTGGGGCCCGCTCAAGGGCCCCAGTGTGCCATCTGGGGGAAAGGGGATAGAGGTGTTGAGAGTCCAGGCGTCACCCCCACCTCCCCCCCCGCCCCCCCAGCCCCCCCGCCGGTGCGGCTCCCGGTGCGGGGGCGGCGGCGGCGGAGGGGGGGCGGGGCGCTACAGTCCAGGCCCCGGCTCTCAGGGGCCCCCAGCTTGGTGGGCCAGAGCTGGACACAGACACCCCAGCCCCGTGGGCTCCGGGCTGAGCTGGAGGACCCCCCTCCCCAATTCCCTGTCTCCCACTCATCAACTCTACTGGGCCTCCCCGCCAGGCCCAAGACAGCGCCCAAGGTCACTCACCATTACCTGCCCCCGCGCTCCCCATCTCGTCGTAGGTGAGGGTGTTCTGGCTGTCATCTTCCAGGCTGAACCCCAGCACCACGGGCCACAGCAGCACGAGGACCCACATGCTGCCAGGGCTGGGCGCCGGCTGCTCTGGACTGCAGCCGCTGACCTCAGGCTTCCTGCCTGGCTGACCCCCCACCCCCAGCTTCCTGAGCGCCCGTGGAGGAGCAGACAGGGCCTGTGAGATAAAGCAGCCCCTGCCCCCACAAGCCCGCGGCAGGCCCGCGGTGTGGCCTGAGGAGGCCTGGGGGCTAGCGTCAGTCAGTTCCACCCGCGGGGGGCCAGGTGCGGGGCCAGCAGGATGCGGGAGGAGGTTCCAAGCTGCACTCCCCGCCCTCAGCCCCCGTTCAGCTCAGGAAGCCTCTATGGGCCAAGTGGCTACTTCCTGCTATCCCGTCCTGTCTGCAGCCCCTGTTCCCATGACAGCCCGCCGGGTCACGAACTCAGGGGCTCTTGGCCCTTCCTGAAACCTCTCCCCACCTCCTGCCTGTGGCTGGCTGGACCACAGCCCTGCCTCGCCAGGTCACAGACCAGAGCACGTGAGCGATCGTCCCCCTCTCCGAGCACCCCAGGTCCTCCGTGGGGGCTGCCTGCCTTGTTGCCTCTTCACTCACACCCCAGCCCGCTCCCCTGGGCGGGCAGGCCCAAAGTGAGGTGCAGAGATGGGAAGGCACTTTGTGAGACCTCCTCAGAGGTATCTGAGGAGGTCTTGGTCCTTGGCCCGGACCCCCAATGCTGACCACGTGCTACCCTGGGGAGCAGAGAGAAGCCCAGCTTCGGCCCCCTTTGGGCCCAAGAGCTCCTTCTGCTCCCGTCCTGGCTCCATCCTCCCCCTGGGGCTCTTGGGAATGGTCATGGCCATACCTCAGCCTGAGAGTGGTGGTCAGGCCAGCCCGGGACAGAGGGCCCCTGAGCCACCCACCCTGCTCTGGCCCCTCCACGACCCTGCACTCAGACGGGGCCTACCGTGCAGCTGAAAAAACACAGAGGGGCTCAGGGGGGAGGGTACGCCTTCTCTGCCTTCTCTCTTCTGCACACAATGCCCTCTGTTGCCCCTCCGGGGGAGAGGCCTCGACCATCCTGCCCTGGGGAAGCTCTGCATGGGGGTTCTTGACCAGTGTGGTCAGGGTTGGGCCATGGTGGCGGTGGGGGAGGGGGCGGTCTGAGAGCAAGGGGACCCTGAGGGGTTGGTGGGGGGTCAGGGAAGAAGAAATGAACTAGGGACGAGAGAAGGGGAGCAACGTCGCCATGTCCTGGTCTGGGAGCCTTAATCTAGCCACACACTTGAGGTCACAGAGACCAGCCAGGAAGTGACCAAGCAGTCCTGGACAGAGTCAGTGCAGCTGAGGGTGAGATGCTAAGGTCCCTGCCCCCAGCCCTGGGTGGGGGACTAAGGCCTAGAGAGTTCCGGCTGGGACAGGGTCCTAGCCAGGAGTCTCCCCCATTTCCGGACTGTTTCCACCGGCACCAGTGACAAATTCAGCCACGCCTATGTCTCTTGGCAGTTCGTGGCCAAGGTCACGCTCAGCGCACAGGGGAACCCAGATGAGGACCCCCTCCTGCCCTCCAGGAGCAGAGCTGGGAACCTGTGCACAGGAGGCTGGGGGGCTGGCAGCTGGGCGACCCTGGGGCAGGGTGGACTGGAGCCCCCCAAGGAGGGTGGTTTGACTCAAGAGTCCCGTGTCTGGGAATCGATGGCAGGCATGCGCACACAGGAACTCGCCCGCACAGGGGTATTCCCCGCTGCACAGAGGCGGGGATGCCGATCAACAGCCCCATCACAGAAACCACCCTGTGCCAGCCGGGGTGGCGGGACCCCGACACAGGAGGTGCAGGGAGACCCACCATGGTGAGGCGCTTTCTGGAGGACGCTGGGGGGCAGCTGCTTTGGGGAGAGGGACTTAGGTGCCTACTTTTCTCCGTGTGGTTTTTTTTGTACTGTTCGAATTTTCTGTATCATCTGTCACTTTCCATAAAAACTCACATTTATTTATTTATTTATTTATTTAGCTCCATGCCCAGCATGGAGCCCAACGTGGGGCTTGAACTCACCACCCTGACATCAAGACCTGGGCTGAGACCAAGAGTCGGACGCTTAACCGACTAAACCATCCAGGTGTCCCCAAAACTCACATTTTTTAAAATGGTAGAATAGTAGTTTTTTTTTTTTTAAACATTTTATTTATTTTTTAGAGAGCGAGCGAGAGAGAAACAGCATGAGAGGGGAGAGGGTCAGAGGGAGAAGCAGGCTCCCCGCTGAGCCGGGAGCCCGATGCGGGACTCGATCCCAGGACCCCGGGATCATGACCCGAGCTGAAGGCAGACACTTAACCATCTGAGCCACCCAGGCGCCCCTAGAATAGTAGCTTTAAAAAGGAGGGAAAATCTGGGCGCCTGGGTGGCTCAGTTGGTTAAGCGACTGCCTTCGGCTCAGGTCATGATCCTGGAGTCCCGGGATCGAGTCCCCCGTCAGGCTCCCTGCTCAGCAGGGGGTCTGCTTCTCCCTCTGACCCTCTTCCCTCTTGTGCTGTCTCTCACTCTCTCTCTCAAATAAATAAAATCTTTAAAAAAAAAAAAAAAAGGAGGGAAAATCTGATACAAGCTCTTCCACAACATGGATGAGGCTTGAGGACATTATGCGGAGTGAGATAAGCCAGTCACAAAAGCATCAAAGCTATATGATCCAGGAAGATGAAGTCCCTCCAGGGGTCAGGTTCTCAGAAACAAGAAGGAGATGGTGGGCTCCAGGGGCTGGGCGCGGGGGTCGGGAGTCCGTGTTTCATGGGGACAGAGTTGCAGTTTGGAAGATGACGAGTCCCGGGGATGGAGGGTGGGGATGGCCACACAACCATGTGAAGGTACTTAAAGCCACTGAACTGGATACTTAGAATGGCTAAATTTTATGTGTATTTTAACACAATTAAAAACTTATTTAAAATAGTGTGTGGGGGGGGAGGGTAATCAGATCCGGGCAGCAGCTAGTGCTGGATTCCTTCAGCTTGCAGCCCCACCTGAACCCCCAGAAGCCCCCGGAGCCCCTCCTGGCCCACCTCACTGTCTCCAGTGTTAGATGGAGGTCAGGGCACCAGTTAGAGACTCCACAAGTCCTTCCAACGTGACGCCTCTCGGGGAACCGTCTTGGTGGAGATTGTGATTTCTTTCTGTTGTAGACCAGATTGTGATTTCTTTCTGTTGTAGACCAGATTTTCCACCTCCTCATGTTCTTTCTGCCTAAACAACTTCCTTTAAATATCTTCTTTTAGTTCAGGATTGTTAGTGGTAAACTGTTGCAATATTTGTCTGAAAAATGCCTTATCTTCCCCTTTCATCTTGGAGGATCTTTTCGTTAGCTATAGACTTCAGGTTGGCAAATTTTTTTTTTTTCAGCAAATTTCCTTTTGGCTTTTCTGAGAAATTAGTGGTCATTTTCAATTTGCTTTTTCTTAACTTTATTGTGTTTGTGTGTGTGTGTATGTGTTTACCTTCTGGCTAATTTTAAGATTTGTTTCCTGATCCTTGATTTTCAGCAAATTGATTATGCTGTGTGTGTGTGTGTGTGTGTGTGTGTTTAACCTGCTATGGATTGGCTATGCTTCTCAGACCATTCTTGGAAAATATTCTGCCTTTGTTTCTTCAGTGATTTTTTTTCTATTACTCTATCTGCAACTCGAAAGAATGCATATAAAACTGCTTGATATTGTCTCACAGGTAATTGATGCTCTTTTCAGTTTTTGTTCAGCCTTTTTCTTTGTGTTTCAGTTTGGATTGTTTCTACTGCTATGTTCAAGTTTTTACTTTTTATTCTGCAGTGTCCAATATGCTAAAGTTATTCAATAAAATTTTCATTTAGCATAAAAAAAAAGTGGATGGGCAAGTGGATGGGCACCCACCACTATGCCTCCATTTCCCCTTATTCCCGGACCGGGCCTCAGCCCGTGGGCAGGGACAGTAACCCACTTCCGGCCGAGAGGAGGGTGCTCTGACTCCGGCCGGCTTTGAGGTCTGGCTCTCCCAACCCCAGATGCCCCGTGTCTCCTCCCGGGGACCTCAGTCCCAGCTACTCCATCGGGCCAAGCACTGGAGCTCAGACAAGGCGCTGGAAGCCCTCGGGCAACCTTCCAGCAACCGTGGTTGTGGAGGTGCTGGGTGCGTTCAGATCTCACCCCATACCTCTGGCCCTCAGCCTCCTACTGGGAGGTCCTACCTACCCCAGTCCCCACCCCGCCCCCTCCTGAGACTGCCTTGAGGTCAACTTGTTGTTCAGAACAATCGGCCTCCTTCTCAGCCAGGACATAAGGGGTAAAGCATGGCTTATACCTTGCAAAAGGTATAACAGAATAAGAGGAGAGAAATAATAACAGAATAAATGTGCATCACACCCCACTGGAAAGTCCTCCCCCTCCCCGCCACCTCCCCAAGCATCACATACCTGCTCCCTCTACCACCCTGGGGAGGGGAGGGCCGCCTACCTGGTCCTGCGGCTCGGCCCCTCCCCAGACTTGAAGGAGGGAGGAAGAGAGGGGCGCGGTGGTGAGGTTGGAGGGCTGCTTTATTTATCAGGCCTGTTCTTCACTGCAGTGCAATCCAGGGCTGCAGACGCGGTGGCTTGGAACGACAGGCTCTTAGGATCTGGTGCCTCCGTGGGTGAGGAGTCCGGGCCCCGCAGGCTGGTCCCCTGCTCAGCGCCTCACCAGGCTGCAGGCTGGGTGTCCACAGGGCTGGGTCCTCACCCGCACTGGTCACGCCCCCTTCCCAACAGGGCCAGCAGGAGACCCTCCCTCCAGTTTCTCCTCCAGCAAGTGACCTGATCACAGCCATAGGCCCCGCCCACTCCGGGGACCCGGTGCCCTTTCCTGTGCCCTTCCCAAAGGCTGCAGCGGCCAGGACCCGCACCCCAGGACACCCCTCCCAGCGCTTCCAACCAGAAGGCCAGTCCTTGGGCACACAGGGCCCTGGGACCCATCCTTGACGTGGGCTTGAGGCAAGGAGGAATCTGGGACAGCACTGAGCCTCATTCACCAAACTCCCCGGGAGCCCCGACTCTCTGGAGGGGGAGGTGTGCAGCACCAGGGGACATCACGTGTGGGGTGCACATGGACGAGGGGTTTCCTGGAAGGTAGCAAAGGCCACTCGGGAGATGGAGGACCGCACCTGGAGAGGACAGGCCCCGTGGGCAGTGCAGTCTCAGCTCAGGGACCTGACTGGTGAGGCCTGGAGGTGGGCACTGGGGGGGAAGTGGGGGGAAAGGCCAGCCAGGAGCCTCAAGAGGTATCCGCTAAGAGGACCCTAAGAGCAGCTGTGGTCTCCCACTTCCTTGCAGGCGGGGCCAGATGGGAGCAGGCCCAGGTGAGTTCAGAAGGGGTGATGACGAAGTCACAGGAGGTGTGCTGAGAGGAAGGGGGCGCCCAGCTGGGAGCAGGGACCAGAGAGCACGGAGGGAGGGTGGCTTTGTGGGGTGGGGGAGGGAAAGACACGGCGCTGGGCAGGCGGAGCAAGCTCAGAGCCAACACCAGTCTTTAAATTGGGTTTCCCACGCACAACACTCAAAGGAAACACCTCTCCGTTCTACTGAAAATAAAAACTGAGTTGGGAATACATTCCAGAAAAGCCTGTGGGTGGGGCGACACCCTGGGGGGCGGGGAACAGGACCCTCCTGCAGAGGCATGGGGTGGTCACAAGGGGGCAGCACTTGAGGTCTGGGAACCCAGGGGGCGCAGGAGCAGATGGGGATCCGCCGACAAGCAAGAAGGACGGAGAGGACCTCATGGAGTTAGGTCAATATTTAATTTTTAACTTTAATGTGCAAATAAATAGAAAAGGAAAACTACATTCAAAACAGCTGCAAAGGAAGTACAAGCCCCAGAACAGAAATTCTTCAAAAACAGAAGAGACGCTCCCTAGAAGCATGCAGGGCGGGGCTTGGCAGGGTGTGGCCCGCACCCCAGACCCACACGGAGGCACGGAAGGGGCCACGGGCTCCCAAGGATGGCGCCGGGAGGTTCTGGTTCAGGAATTCTGGTAAGTTCCCTTCTTACAAAACAAGGATGTGGACAAAGTGCCTGGTAGACTTGAGCAAACAAACGCGGGCTAGGAGACCCTGGGTGGGGCACACTGGCCCTGGAATCACCCAGACTCCGAGTCAAAGGCTTTGCAAACCTTGAGTTCCACAGGTAAACTCCTAGAAAACTTCTAGAAACATGTCTCCACTTCCCAGAACCGCGGATTTGGCACAGCTCAGTTTTGGGAGGGTGAGGGCTGCCGCTGGGCAGAAGGGAGGCTGCACACGGGGATGGTTCTGGGCCCTGCTGTTGGTCGATCCCCTTCTGATGGTGCCAGGAGCCCGGCCAGGGCTTCTCAGGGTGCAAGTATTCTAAAGACCTGGTCCCCGGCCCGAACTGCTTGGCATTCTTGGCACAGAAAACCTTGCACACCTCTGTAGGACAGTTGCCTCAGGCCCTCATGCCCATACCCCGTCCAGGCGGTGGCTGTAGGAAGAGCAATGTCAAGGGCAGGTCTGCAGAGTCCCACGAAGGCGGCTCTCACTACCCAAGGAACCGTGGGACTTGGCTGTTGCAGAAGTTACAACCACTAAGAGAGCTTACGAATAAATATGTGTGTGCATATATATATTTTTCTAGAATGTCCTTCTTAGGTACACGGCCGCACTGCTGGGCCCTCCCAGTGTGGGGCCGCTTGAGCTCAGCGGGAGTCTCGGGCTGAGCCCCCTCCCTTTGAGAGCTCCGAGTGCGGCTGCCAGGTCAATACAGGGTTAGGAGTCTCATTTTTTCCAGAGTGCGGTCTTCTCGACAGTTCTGGTGCTGCCCACCCACTTTACATCTTGACAAAGCAGAATCTCAACAGTTTGGCTGAAAGGGCTCCTCCTGCTTTCAAAGTGACCAAGGACCCCAAGCATCAGCTGGGCCTAGCCCAGGCCCCGACTACCAGATGCTGGCACGGCCCAGCTCGGGAAGTTTCTGGAAGCTTTCAGAACCATTCAGGAAGGACGTGCTTTTCAAGCAGCTCCACCCCGGCCCGACTCCTTCGATGTTGGGGTCTCCTGAACCCCAACACACGCCCCCGCACGGTTCATCACGGACTTTTCCAGACACCGTATGCACAAAAGGACCGGTGGTGCCCCCGCTTGGGGATTTGGCACGTGTGACGGAAGCGGCCCAGCAGGTGCATAAAGGCAATCACTTGCTCCTGGGCTCGCGTGTGGATCCTCCCCCTTCCAGCAGGGAGCGAGCCCCCCGAGTTCAAGGGCAGGAAGGACTCAGGTTTGGCACAGGACGGGCCCAAAGGAAGCAGGGAAGCCGAAAGGGATGGCAGCACGGGGCCACAGGCCAACACAACCCCACCGCTCTCGGGCGCTCGCGGCCTGTAGCAGCAAGGCTGGGGGACGCTCCGCTCCCCTCAGGCTGTTCGTGAGCTCGCTCGGCGCAGCTCCGGGCCGAGGCGGCCGCGGACGGAGTCAGGGCGAGGCCGGGCGGCGGCTGTACTGCACTCGGTAGCGGGTCACCGGCAGCCCGTGCACGTGCGCGGTCTCGCAGAGCGTCTTGCAGGGCACCATGTCCTCGTCCTCCTCGCCCATCAGCCAGTCCTGCACCAGGCCGGCCGCCTCCACCGTCACGTTGTCCTCCAGCCAGCGGCTGTGCCACTCCTCGAAGTGCTGGTGGTGGCGCAGCAGGACCAGGGGCTGTACCTGTGTGTGGGGGGCGCAGGGGTGCAGTCAGGGCAGCCCCAGACGGCCGGGGCCCGGAGCTCGGGGGCGCACCCCTCCCAGGCGGCTGTGGGCAGGAGCCCGGAGCCCAGGGAGCACCCCTCCCAGACGGCCGTGGGCAGGAGCCCGGAGCCCGGGGGCGCACCCCTCCCAGACGGCCAGGGCTCAGAGCTCGGGGGCGCACCCCTCCCAGACGGCCGTGGGCAGGAGCCCGGGGGAGCACCCCTCCCAGACGGCCGTGGGCAGGAGCCCGGGGGAGCACCCCTCCCAGACGGCCGTGGGCCGGAGCCCGGGGGAGCACCCCTCCCAGACGGCCGGGGCCCGGAGCCCAGGGGAGCACCCCTCCCAGATGGCCGTGGGCCAGGGCTCAGAGCTCGGGGGCGCACCCCTCCCAGACGGCCGTGGGCAGGAGCCCGGAGCCCGGGGCGCACCCCTCCCAGACGGCCGTGGGCAGGAGCCCGGAGCCCGGGGGCGCACCCCTCCCAGACGGCCAGGGCTCAGAGCTCGGGGGCGCACCCCTCCCAGACGGCCGTGGGCAGGAGCCCGGAGCCCGGGGCGCACCCCTCCCAGACGGCCGTGGGCAGGAGCCCGGAGCCCGGGGGCGCACCCCTCCCAGACGGCCAGGGCTCAGAGCTCGGGGGCGCACCCCTCCCAGGCGGCCGTGGGCAGGAGCCCGGAGCCCGGGGGCGCACCCCTCCCAGACGGCCGTGGGCAGGAGCCCAGGGGAGCACCCCTCCCAGACGGCCGTGGGCAGGAGCCCGGAGCCCGGGGCGCACCCCTCCCAGGCGGCCGGGGGCGGGGAGGGGCACCTGCTTGGCCCGGCAGAGGGTGCCGCGGCGGTACATGTAGTCCTCCGAGTTGACGATGAACATCATCTTGTGGGTGCTCAGCTTGAAGCGGCAGTCCACGTTGCAGGCGCTCTCCACCCCGACCAGCCGCTTCCAGGAGCTCTTGGCCTCGCCACGCAGGGCGCGCACCTGCTCACACTGCCACCGGCGGAACTTCTTGAGGTTCCTGGGGGTGAGAGGAGGATCTGCAGACTGGGAAATCCTCCGGGCGCTTAAGCATCGGGAAGGCATCCGACTTCCCCGGGTTGGAGAAATGCAAACGGAAGCAGTAGAAACCACCACCCAACCCCTCCCACCAGCAACGCGCGAAACCCAGGCAGGGCCCGGTGCTGCCCGCGGCGGGAGGGGCCTCCCTGGGCCCACGCGGAAGGAAGCGCATCTGTGGGTCCTCTTACCTCTGCAGGAACACGGGCTTCAGGAGGAAGCCCTCGGTGGGCGAGCTGGACGCCCCCTCGGTCCCCACGTACTGCTCCACGTACCGAGCCAGATGCTGTGGGGCCAGAGGGAAGCAGGCCTGTGTTTTCATCCCCACCCCCCAAAGCATTAGGAGAATGGCAGCTAGTGAGGAGCGGACGCATGACGGAAGCCACCAGACGGCGGCTCTGGATGGAGCACTCGTCTAGAGCCATGAGTTCAACAGCTGTGGCACTTCATGCTCACGTGGATGAATCCCGGCCATGTCCCATCCTCTCTGTCCGTCACATACAAGCTCACATGGGGAACCGGGCCCTCACACAGAGGAGCGCCGGGTCTGGGGAGCAGGAACGACATCAAGACACACGCAGTAGGGCAAGGCCAGGGAGGAGCTGGGGATGAGCAGAAGGCAGGGCTTGCAGGGGCCGCCTGGGGCTGGGGTGGGCATGGCCTGCAGTGTCCCATGAGCTTCATCTGCTCGCCACCCTCTAAAAGCCAGACACTCCTCCAGACTCAAGCCTAACCAAACCACATTTGCTGGAAACTTCCGGAAGGGGCAGGATGTGCAGACCCCCGAAGCACGCAGGAAAGGATGCAGTGAGGGAGCCCCCCAGCTGGCTGTGGTGGCGGGGGGGCCTGACCCCGTGAAGCCGGCTGGGGGCTTACAGGCCCCAGGACCCCAGGTGGAACGTGCATCCCGGAGTGCGGACCAGGGCTCTGGGCTTTGTGCACGGGGAGCGCAGGCTCATGCGCCCCAGGGTCTCAGTGACCATGCTGAGCGCGGGCCCAAGTGGGGCATCACAGTGTTGGCGGCAGGTGGGAGGAGCCAGAACACGGTTGTGCGGGGAGGGCGGCCCGGCTCTCACATGGCCTCCTGCCCTGGGACACCCCCACTTGCTCCCCCTCAGGCTTCCAAGGACAGCATTCGGGCTACAAGTGAGGCTTCTCTGGGTGGACATTTGGCAGCCTGTGCTTGGCCAGTGTGTGCCCAGGGCTTGTGGCAGGGGCGCCCACAATGCTGCCCGTGGGACGGCGGGTTCAAGGTGCAGAGCACGGGGCTGAGGTTCTCACCTGGACCTCCACGGGGTCCTCTGTCTGCGCCTCCTCGGTGTCTAGAAGCTCGATGGTCATGATCACCTGCCCTTTGCGCTGGAGGAACATCACCTAGGGAAGAAGGGGGACGAGCAGCTGAAGCCACGGGGAGGGCCCAGGCGAGACTGAAAGGGCGCCTACGACTGCCTTCCCCGGCCTCCAGGGCCCAGTAAGAGTGTGTGGTTATCAGGCAGGCCGGCAGCCACGTCAAGGCCTGGCCCCAGCGCGCCTCCCGCGCCCGAGCAAAGCCGCCGGTCCTCCCCCCTCCCCGTTGCGGGCGCCCCTCCTCGCAGCCCCGGCCTCGTGGGGGACTGAGCGCGGCCCCCACCTTACCTTGAAGCAGTTCTCATCGGCCATGCACCGCTCGGCCTTCCACTGGTAGCTGGTCTCCCTGGCAGCACGCACGCAGCGAGAGGACAGGTTCCCCCCCGCGGCACCCCGCTTCTTCTCGTTCAAGTAGAGCTCCACCACCTTCAGACAGACGTCGTCACTCACGAGGTGGTGCAGCTGCGGGGAGGGAGAGCCAGTGGGCGCCCGGCAGGCCGCCCCCCGGGGAGGGGTGAGGCACAGCTGCCGCCCAGGGAGGAGGTCCGCCAAGTCCATGAGGTGGCCCGGAGGCCGGGGTCCGCCGGGCCGTGCTGGGCGGCCACTGCGCTGGGGACAGGCGGCCCCGGACCAGATGGGAAACCAGCCCAGCCTGGGCGTGAGGAACGCACAGAAAAAGGACCGAAGGAGAAGTCCCCAAAATGGGGGCGGGGATTATCCCAAGGTGGTACCGTGGCAGGTAATTTTCCCTAAGTGTTCTACTATCAACACAATTAAGTCTTGTAATCCCTACAAATGGACTTAAAACCCGCAGGTGCAGGAAGAGAGGGGTAAGGGAAGCAGCTGGCGGCGGCGCCCTGGACAGGCTTCCGCAGTCTCGGGGCCTTCCCCGCCACTGCTTTGTTGAATAAATACAACATGTGGCCACACGTCAATCTCACACGGTGCCTGGCACACGGCAAGGTCCCAGTAAACACCGGCCGCTGTTACTGAAAAGAAGAAATGCTGATCAAACAAGGAAGAAAAGGCAAAGAGCACCAACAGGGCCCCGCAGGCTGCCAACGGAGGCACGGAGGGCCTCGAGAGCATCCAGCCCGCTGGAAAGTGGGGAGCTCGGGGCGAGGGGTCCTGGCCCCTACCAGGACTTGAGCTAAATACCCCTGTTTTTCTAGTTCCTTTTTAAAACAAAACAAAAAACAAAAAAACGAGTTCTACAGGAGACATTTGTGGAAAGGGAAATTAAAAAAAAAAAACAACACAACATTCATCAGAGCGTCCGATCTGGTCCAACCCTCTGGGTGCTACAGACGAGCCTGCTGTCCCCAGAACGGGGGCCCACTGGGGGCAGACTGGACGGCCAGCCCCGGGACGCATGCCCAGCCCTGTAACGGCCTGAACACCGGGGGCTGTCCCTGTGCCAGAGGCCAGGCCGCAGGTGCCTGCCCGTGGGGAGGGCTGAAAGGAGGCAGGGCTGAGGCTGTCCGGAAGACCCACCAAGCTGCACACTTCGGATCTGGGCACGCTTCTGGGGGTGTTTTTGCCTCAAGGACAAGTTTGTAAAGCCTGAAAAGAAATGCCATTTCTAGCAACTGTATCTGGGTGGGAGGGTCAGGACACTATTCTTTCCTCGGCTTTTTTGCTTTCCGGCGAATAGCCTTCCTGGGCAAACAGGAAACCAAGTCAAGCTGAACAACAATAATTCTGGTGGTAACTGAGCAGGACTTACATCCCAGGACCACATCTGCCTCATCTGGGGTTTTGCTGTTTATAATAACGTGACTGATTCACGTGCCTGACTTTCTCTCATGGACACTCAGCTGTCGTGTCTTTTTTGCTATTCTCAGTGATGCGGGTAACTGGCCAACAGTCTCCCTCCAGGAGGAGCGGGCCGTGGTTCCTCACGTGTCGCTACCCTCAAGAAAGATGTGTGGACAAGGAATCGCCAAAAGGTGGCAACGAGCCACACGCCCATCCGCAGGCGAGTGGATGAACCAATGTGGTCCACTCACCGCCACTGCTCTGTTCACGTGATGTCGGTGAATTCTGTGTTACGTGAATCCTACCTCCGTAAGAACAAAAGGAAGGTGCTGACCCTGGGGATGAAGGCAGGGCCTCTCCCAAGGGGCCTGAGGCTGCCCGGCGCACGCTCACCTGCCTGGCAATGCTCTGCACCAGCTTGTCCATGGTGAAGCCCACGTAGGCGTGGATGGTAAACATCTCGCGCAGCGTGTCCTCGTACTGCGTGGGGTCGATGCTGCCCTCCAGCAGGCTCCGCACCATGTCCAGGAAGGCCGGGTAGTACTCCTCCAGCTCCACCTCACCTGAGGGGCGGGGACAGCCATCACCCAGGGCCAGACACTCGCGCGGCCCTCCCACCACAGGCTTCCTCCTACCGGCCCTGATGAGCCGCCCGCGTCCCCGCCCGGCGGGGGGAGGGGAGCACCCGTGCAGCACCCCTGGGGGCCCCAGGCCTTACTCGGCTGCTTCAGCCGCAGCTCCATGGCAGGGTCATTGCCCTTCTCGCGGCGGCCCTCACAGAGCAGCTTCTCCCGCTCCTTCTCGGTCCGGTACTCCAGGAGCTGCTTCTGCGCCTGGCGGTAGATCTTCAGCAGCCTGGAGCACAGGGTCTGGTGGAGGCGCAGGAAGAAGTACCAGTTGTTGTTGGCGAAGAAGAGGCTGTACACGTCGTCCAGGGGCTTGTGCTGCTGTGGCGGTTGCTCGGCGGCCGGCGGCTCGCCTACGGCCCCCTTCTCCTCTGAGGGGCTGCTCTGCGGCCCCGGCGCTGGCTTCTTCCGGTCACCGGGGTCGGCGCTCTGGCCCTGGGGGCTCCCCCGGCCCTCATCGGCAGAGTCCTCGGATGCGCCCAGGTCCAGCTGCTGGGAGAAGAAGAGGCTGGGCACGAACTGGTGCACCAGCTGGTGGATGGTGCCCTGGTCCTCCTTCTGGATGGCTGGCTGCCGCTTCACGTAGTAGCTGATGAGGGCGGCCGCGTCCTCCAGGATCTGCCTGTCCTCATACACGAAGATGAGGTGTGGCTCGCTGGAGGGGGCGCTACGGCCCTCGGAGTGCTGCTCCTGGTGCTGTGGGGACAGGGGGCTATTAGGCAGGAAGTGACCAGCTGGGAGAAGTCCAAGATGGGGGGATGGGGCCAGGGCCACAGGGCTCTAAAGGCATCACACTCTGGTCCGGGTACAGCCCAGTGCCTCCCACCTGCCTGGTCCCGTTCCCCAGCCTACTCCGACCACTGTCCTCTCTGGGTCTAGAGTGATTTGACCTACGGGAGTATGGTCAGCCCTATCACACCTGCCTAGGCCTTCCTGCACTGCTCATGACAGGACCACAGTCCCTGGCATGTCGTCCTGCAGCCCCCCCACACCTGGCCTCTTTCAATGCTTCAGGGGTGCTGAGCTCCCTCCTGCTGTGTGCGGGACCTTTGCACATGCCCCTCTGCTCCCTGGCCCTGGAAAGCCACAGCCCCTGCTCAGTCTTTATCCAACTCGTGACTGCTTCCTGCGAACCTGTAGATGATCATATTCCCTCCAGAATGCCTTGAACTGCCTGCTGAGGTCAGGGCCGACGACGTGCTCTCCCGGGTGGCACCGATGCCCAGCACCAGGTACCAGGCACCAAGGCTGACACACACCCAGGCTCTCGGAAAAGTGAGCGTGGATGCTGTCCCTGCAGGTGGGGAGCTCCCAGGGGCAGGGCTGGGTCTCTCTCACCTCTGAGTGACCAGCCTGCGGTACAGCACTGAGGGGGCTCCTCGAACAGCCATGGAAGGAGTGACTTACAGACAACAGGTGCAGGGCCAGGGCCTTGGCTTTCTGGGGTGGGCGACTCCTGTCTCTTTCCACCAGAGGTCGTGCTCCCCCAGTGCCACTGAATTCTGCCGCAGCCCGAGACCGCCTTCCCCCTACAGGGAGGAGTCCTGAGAGCTGGTGTGCCCAGTGCCTGGCTCTGACGTGACCTTTCTGCTACTGCTTTGTGAGTCCCGTCTCATTTGTGCCACAGACGCCCTCAAAAATCTTTTCAAGTCCTTTCCCTGGGGCAAGTTCCGAGGCACGGAATACAGAACTGTGCTCTGCTAACACCCAACCATGAGGGGCCAACCTCCCTATGCACGAAGGGCTTGCACATGCAGAGCTCACGAGGCTGGTGGGCTGACCTCTGGCCCCAAACAGTGCCCTGTCCTTTCCTCTTGGCCCCTAGGGCAAGAGCGAAGGAACTCAGCGGTGACTGTGGTGGGCCTCATGGGTCACCTCATCAACTCTCATTCTGACGATGTCCCACGGACCCTATTTGGGAGAGTGGGGGTGGCGCTCTCAGGCTTGGACCACCAACTCGAGGATTCAAGTGAGGAAGCTGACTAGCTGCAGGTGGGCCCTGCGGGGCCGAGGGTGGCCCAGGGCAGGGAGGCAGGAGGGAAGGAGCTTCCTATCACAGACCCTTGCAAGTAGCTCACTCCCTGCATGCATTTTTCGATGCCTAAATCCTCGAAGCCTGGCCCCAGCCCTGCCTCAGGTCTGTGGTGAAGGCCCCATGAGCCTGACTGTGCCAAAGTTGGCAAGAAGGCACAGGGCAGTGGCTAGAGGCAGAGCCCTAGGGCCCAGAGCCCTGGTCGCCTGTGACCGACCTCGGCAAATGGCCACCTCTCGTGCCTTGGTTTCATTGCTGCTAAAACCAGGACAATGGTACCGCATCGTAAGGTCTGTGAGCATGAGACAGATGGAACGTTCCTTCTCAGGGTCTACCTGCGCCAGGCACACAGCTGGCAGCAGAGACAGGAGAGCTGAGGTCACCTGAAGGAAGGTCCATCGAGGCCCCGGGGGTAAGCGGGGAGGCGAGAGTCCCCTGCCAGCCATGGCGGAACCGCTACAATCCTCCCCCTGAACCCATTCTAGTCTGTCACAGAAACATCCCCTCCACCCCTACACAGTCCTGCAAGAGAGATGCTGGGGAAACAGAGGCACAGAGAGCCAGCAGCCTGCCTGAGACTGGGAGAGCTGGAGGTGGAGTCGGGACCCCTTGCCCGCTCAGCCCTGCACAGAGGGCCTCACCTCGTCATAGACACTCTCGATCTCGTTGAGTAAGCTCTTGGAGCGAAGGGCCTTGGTGTCGTTCTGTTTGAAGTTTACGGCCTGATGGTCCAGGGACTTGAGATATGCCTTCTCGTACTGCTCCCGCCAGATCTTGTTGAAGCCCTGCTGGGCCTCCCGCCATTCCTCCTCCTTGGCCTTCAGCCTGCAGGGTCAAAGGGGCTCAGCATGGGGACAACCCCGGCACCCACCATGGGCAGCCTGTCATCCACCCACAGGCCCTGCCGCGTGCATTCCAAACTCGGGAAGCCGGCTCCCAGCCTGGGCCATGGGTTCTGTGCTGAAGAAAAGAGGACGGGAGGGAGCAATGGCTCTGTAGAACCAATGTGGCTGGTTTTACAGTTTCTCAAAATACTGCTGCCCCAACACCTCCTCCCTGCCCCGGGCCATGGCACTGCCCACACTCTGGGTAGGTGCTGGATCAACCACGGGGCTCACTCGCTTGACTGCAAGCCCCACAAGAAGGGACTATGTCAGCCTGGCTCAGCTCTACAACCCCAGGGCTGAGCACAGCATGTGGTCAAGGGCAGCCACTTAATAATTAATACCTGTTCACTAGCACAAAAAGGGTCCCAGAACGTACTGCTAAGTAAAAGACAAGCTAGGGCGGTCCTATTTGTGCTTTAAAATAGTAACTTTTCATGTTTAGATAGGATTACGTGCATGGTGGGAAGTTCTAGAAGGACACAGACAATTGTTCAGTTGTGCTTTTCTCTCAGGAGTAGAACAGGCGATGAAGAAAGACTGGAAACCGCACTAAGCCAGCCCGAGGCCCCGGGGACCCCCTCCCGATCACACTGGTGACAAACACCACTAATGAGCTCCCTGGGGACCGCCTGCGGCAGGTGGAGCAGCCAGAATCTGGAGGACACCTTTTCAGGACGACGGGGACGGCAGTGACGGGGTTTTTCTTGAGGCTCTCGATGATCTCTGGAGCCTTGTCGCCGTAAATGCGGTGGATGGCGCGGCGCTGGATCACCTCCGACGTGCCCCCCAGACAGTCATCCAGCCGGAACTTCTCCTGATCTTCAGGTGCCATCCGCGAGAGCTTCTTCTGCACACTTTCCAACACGCGGATCGTGGCCAGGTTGGTCTCCAGGACGACATCTAACTATGGAAAGGAAGGCAGGGGCCGGCTGTCGGGGGGCAGCGGGGCCCTGGGGACTGGCCTGGGTCGGCAGAAGAGATGTGTAGACAGAACTGATCAACTTCTGTGTCTCGGGGGTGGGTGGGGGGATGATGGATGCCAGGCCGTGGAGGCCCTGAAGCGGCTCCAGGGGCCAGAGCAAGAACGGCTGGTTACGGGGCTGGGGTCCGACCCTGGCAATGGTGCAAGCCAGACGCCCACTAAAGAAGACTTGTGGGCCCCTTCCCACTGCACGAACATCCAGTGGCTAGAACACAGGTGGACCCATCTGAGGAGGGAAACGGTCCCCGGGCGGACCCACTTCACGGGCAACAGCGGCAATAAGGGAGGACTCGCGGTACTCACAGCCCTGGGGAAGACTCTCCAGGGCACGTGCTGATGGGGAGCCAACCCCCAAAGGAACACACTGTGTGATTCCACTTATGACAAAGTGACAGAGCTGGAGGGTAAGTGAGTGGTTGCCAGGGGTCGGGAGGGAGGTGGGGAGGTCCATCAAGGGCAGCAGGAGGGATCCCAGGGGTGGGGGAGCGGTGGAGTCCCTTAGTGGTGGAGAACACCCACACACGCACCACACACACGCGAACACGTGCACACACACACAAACACAAGTTCAACTATGGAGATGTGAGTAAGATCTCAGGGTGAGTCAATGGCAACCTCCTGGCTGGGACACTGTGCCCGCGATTTTACAAGCTGTGACCGCTGGGAGAAGGGTGTCCGGGTTCACTAGCTGCATATAAATATATAACGATCTCAATAAGCATTCCAATGAAAAAAATTAAGGTAACTTGAATTAGTTAATTAAATTTAAATAAATATATGTATTTAAAATCGAAAGAAACAGCACCATTGCCTAGCCAGCCTAAAAGCCAGCAAGGCAGAAAAGGGACACTTTTGGGTGCTGCCCCCTGCTGGAAAGTGCTGGAATCCCAGATACTCGAGACTGGGGAGGGTGCGAGGGAGGATCAGGAGGGAGAAAAAGACAAAGTGGAGAAGGGGGTACAGGCTCGCTCGCACTCCACGCCTCCCTGATCCCAGCAACACCAGCACACACACCTCAAAACGCTCATCCTCACAGCGGTGCAGCTGCTCTTCGTAGGGGGTCTTCTTGGAGCTGACGAAAGTGGAGTCCTCTGACCAGGAGGGGAAGGAGACCCAGGTGTCATTCAGCACCTGCACCAAGAGGAAATGCTATGACCAGGGTGGTAGGCCTCGGTGGCCAGAACCATTTACTATGCCGCCCAGCATGAAAGATACGGAGATAAGTAACATTGTAATCCGCATTTTACAGGAAATTATCTTCTCATACAAATAGCAACCTTAATTTTAAAGTGGTTTTAAGAGAAAACAGGACTTTGGTCAAGTAAACAAATCGTACTCTTTCAGGGGTTGGCAAACTTTCTCTGTAAAGGGCTAGATAATAAATATTTTAGGTTTTGCGGGCCAGCCCATCTGTCAGGACGACTGAACTCTGCCTTTGTCCTGATAAAGAAGCCACAGGCACTATGTAAATGAATGAGCATGTCTATGTGCCAATAAAACTTTATTTGCAAACACAGGCATAGGGCCAGATTTTAGTTTGTTGACCCCTGGACTATATATCCTGAAATCAGCAAGCACTCTTGAATTCTGGAAACAGAGTAACAGCCTGTCTACTAACCTCGAAAAAGTATTCCATGGTCAGGCTAAACAGAGACACCAAGGGCAGTGAACCTGGGACACAGCAGGCTCCTGGCAGAAATACACATAAATCTAGATGGAGGAGAATGCCAAAGCCAATGCCAAGGCCACGTGCTCTGCGGCTTGCCAAAGCTACCAGTAGGGAAGGAACCACCATCTCAGCTCAGGCATTTTGTCTGGCCGCATCCCAGCACCGTCTGTTACTCAATATTTAGGGGGCCGACACTCAGTTTTCATGTAAAACATGGGGGTGATGGGTGTTTTTGCGGTGTGGGGGGTGATGCACCACGTAAGCTGACATGAGCCGCCAGGGAGCACTACCTCCTTGCAGATGGCCGTCCTCCCACTGCACTTGGGCTGCTGGTAGGTTTTGGGGAGCGCTCGGTAGCTGGATCCAATGCGCTTGCAAGACGCGTAGTCAATTTCCCGGCTTATTCCATCCCCGGATCTGTCGCTCATGGGTGGGGCGAATGACAGCTCTTTCACCCCCAGGAAGGACTTGAACTGTGCAAAGAGTTCTGGAAATTTCCTTCAGAAATAAAGACAAACAGTAAGTTGGCCTCCCTGGGGCCTTCTGGGAGGGACCTAGTGCTTTTGGGATGGCCTCCTGTAAACGCCCCCTGACGGTGGTCAGAGAGGAGGGCCGAGGCGGAACCAAGCATCAGATGTGTGTAATGTCCTCAAATGTGTGAGTAAATCTGCCTCCCGCCCTTCTGTCACCTGCCAGGTCCCAACACTAACAGGAGAGCCTTGGAACACGCTGGGAGAGACAATTCGGATTGGCAGAAGCTGGGGCTGGTGAAGTTCTTTAACTGGAAAAGGCCGGGCATCAGGCTGGGGATCGGTAAACTACTGCCCGGCTGCCCATGCCCGTCCCTGCAAATAAAGTTTTATTGGTACACCACTGTGTCCATCTGCTTGGTGCAGCCTGCTGCTGCTCCAGCATGAGTTCAGCGGCACCGCCCCTCGGCCCCGACAGGTCGTCTGCCCACCCTCGCTCCAGAGTCGTCCTACCTGAGGGGATCCCCTCCCAGACACCATCTCACAAGTGATTAAACGATCTGTGATTAAACGAGTACCAAATCCTACCGAGGGGCGCCTGGCCGGCTCAGTCGGTGGAGCGTGCGGCTCTTGATTTTGGGGTTGTGAGTTCGAGCCCCACGTTGGGTGCAGAGATTACTTAAAACAATCTTAAAAAAAAAAAAAAGAAAACCCGACCACAAGGAGGCAGGTACTTGGACGGGTGGCACGGCGATCCTGCCCCCCGCAGCCCCCTTCTGTCGTGGACCACACGCTCCCCTCCTGAGATGGCCGTCCACTGTGCCCCACTGTAGGGACCCCATGCCAACTCCACTCACAATGAAAACCCACGAGCACACGGAACTGCAGGGAGGGAAGACATCAACAAAACCCATGCGGAGGACATCTGACATTGCAGCCGTGACAAATGCCCACCGTGAATGCTCCAAAGGGGGAGTGGTCACTCCGACACAGCCCACTCCTGCCCCGACTCTGGCAGATCTCGGGGCCCCGGTGCCTGGCTGCCCCTGGGCGTGCAAACCCAGACCGAGGCTCACACCTCGAGAAAGGCCTTGTCGGGGCGACTGCTAGCCCAGCCAGGTGTCATAGCAAGGCGAGCGAGCAGAGGCCCGCTGCAGTTCTTCATTGCACATCCCCATGGCCCTTCCCCGGCACTGCTCTCGGTGCGTGGAAATGGGAACAGCGGGCCCCAACCCAACACTGCCCACCCGTTCAGCACCTCAAATTTCAAGCTCCTTCATTCTTCTCCCTTAATCCCTCCCCGCCCCCGGCCCCCAACAACGGCGGGAAGTAGGTTTGGCCATTTTGCAAACAACATGCTGCTGGTAGGAAGCAGGGTCCCAATTCGGACTTGGGGCTGGTGACGCACCCAACTGGGCATGCCCGCCCTGCCCAGGCCTCCGCGGGCCCCTCGCCCACCACAGCACGTCATCGTTCCAGCAACAGCGCCCACTCCGCAGTGGGACCCAGACCCAGAGCACTGGATTCTGAGCTCACAGACACACTGCCGTGGGAGTGAGCACGCAATTCAAGCCCATATAAAAAGCCAGCCATGGTTTAGCCGAGGCTGTGTAACAGCGCCATCCTGCTCTGGGCCATTTTTCCTTAAGAGATCCCTACCAGCCTGGGAGAGTGAACCCAAGTGAAAAGGTCACCCTGACGTGTGTATCCTCTCAGGATCTCAGGAAGCACTGCCTGATGACCCTAACTTGACCTCTGAGTATCCCAACCTATGGAGCATGACCTTAGCACTGACTATAGAACCTGGAGACAAACGCCCTTCATTACAGACCTTGCTGAGAAAACCACGATTCGTACAAGTAAGGGAACAGTATGCAGTCACTACCAATGATCATGTAGACTCACATTTCACACTGAAAGACATCCAAGAAATACCAAATTAAAAAAAAAAAAAAGGATGCTGCAGCCCAGCCTGATAGCATCGTGTCCCGAGGGCAGAGGATGAGCGAAGGGCCAGCTTCTGGGCTGGGCCACCCCAGACCCACCCATCACCACGGCAACTCTCTTTGAAGAGTCGTCTCTGAGCCTGAGCGAAGTGAGAGGTATGCACTCTGGGCCTCAGCCTCCTCATCTTTAAAATAGACTGGAACAGGGGTGCCTGCGTGGTGCAGTTAGTCAGGCATCCGACTCTTAGTTTCAGCTCTGGCTGTGATCTCGGGGTCGTGGGATCAAGCCCCGTGCTGGCCTCCATGCTCAGCGGCGAGCCTGCTTGAGTCTCTCTCCCTCTCCCTCTGCCCCTCCCGCTTGGGGTCCCTCTCTAAAATAAATAAATAAATAAATCTTAAAAAAGAAAAATTGAAACACATCAAATGTGTCCATGAGCCCGTATGACGCTTTATAAAAAGAAAGAAAGAAAAAAAAAAAGAATTGGTCCCTAATTGGTCCTGTTAAGACAGGAATGTGACTCATCAACCAGCCATTATAATGAAGGCAGAAATCAAGCATCTACCCTGGGCCGCCGAAAGGTGAAAAATGCTGTTGAGGGTCTCTCTTTTGCAACCTCCAGTGAACCCATAAATGAATCGAGCCACAGAAAGAATGTGGACACCACTGCCTCCTGATGGACAGAGGGACGTGGCGGCAAGGGCTGCAGGTGTGGGGGCGCCACCACAGAAACAGCAGGGAATGAAGCGGGAGGGAGAGACTCACAGACGTGCTCTAACACAAAACCCAGACGAGGCGGCAAGAGTGAGCCGTGTGCTGGACGGTACCTGCGCCATCCTTTGGGTAGGGAGGCACTCGCTCCCAAGTGATACTTTTGAGGGGGGAGGGAGCACAATGGGATGGCCCAGGGAGGGGGTCCTGGGGGCTGGTGAAGGTCCACGTGTGACTTGGGTGGTGGGCACAAGGGGCTTTGCCTACAAATGATTCATCAAGTCATCCATCATGCAGATTCCTGGATCTGTGCTTTATTTTGTATTTAAAAAGAAAACTTAAAAAACTTTTTTTAATTAATAGTAAAGGGCTCAGGAAGCGCCTGTCCCTGGGGATGACTTTAGGGCTAAATAAGCCGCTACACAGTCATTATACAATGTGCACTTGCCACATCCCAGACACTATTTTAAAGGTCTTAAGTGTAGGGCCCACCTGGAGCACTCTGAAACTGTGTGGTACCTCTAGAAATCCCCATTTCCTAACAGGAAAACTAAGACTCAGACTGTCTAAGAAACTTGCCCGACATGACAGAGCTGATGAGCTGGAGGCGACGCTGGGGCCGGCCCACTCCCCTCCTAAAGCGCACTGTGCATGTGCATTCACCTACTAGAAAACCCCTGCCCTGGGCAGCGGCCGCCCCAGCCCCCAGGGTCTGCGCATCTCTGCCCACAATCTGCAGCAGCCTGTGCTGAAAGCAGGCCGCTGACCCCACCAACAGGGCTTCTCTCTGGCCGGCAGGGGTGCCGAGTGGCCATTTCCTTCTTCCTGGCAATTTCCGATTGGCAGAATTTTTAAAAGCACGTATCAAGTGAATCCCCAGAGGATTATACTGGGTGGAGAAAACCCAATCCACAAAGGTTATGTACTATGTAATTCCACCTACATAACACTTCTGTTATGTAAGTTTTAGAGTTGGAGCGCAGATTAGGGGTTTGCCAGGGGTGTGGGGCCAAGATCGGGGCGGGGAGGAGGACGAACGTGGGTGTGGGTAACACAGGTCAACACAAGCATCCCTGTGGTTCCGAAGCCGCTCAGTATCTTGACTGTTGTGGTGGCCACAGGAGCCTTCGCAGGTGACGGAGCTGTACACACGCACGCACACACATACGCGTGCACACGCGTGCATGAAGCGGGAAAACCTGACAAGACGGGTGGACTGTGCGAGTGTCAGCATCCTGGTTGTCGCCGTGGGAGAACAGGGCCCAGGACCTGTCTGTGTTCTTTCTCACTCTACTGCGGCTCAATCTAGAATGACCTCCACCACCATGGCAATTTACAAACAAAAATCAAAGAAAGCATTTACTGTTTCCCGAAAGCGACAAGCAACAGAAAGGTGGACAGAGTTTAGGGATGCACAGCCTCGGGGAGGTCCCGGGAAGTATCACTCACCCGAGAAACGGGCTGACGAGCTGGAGGAGCTCGGAGCCGGACACGAGCTCCTGGTTGAAGAGCGCGATGCAGCGGAGGAAGTTCTCGTAGACCTCCTGGCTCTTCAGCACCCTGCGAACCTGCGGGGAGAGGGAATGAGGGGGCCCTGGAGGGCCAGGCCCCACCCGCACTCCCCACTCCACCCCACTCCACCCCACCCCTCCCTCAGCTCAGACATCACTAGGAGAGCACGGAGTCACCGATGCGCGTGCTCTCAAGTGACCAGTTGTGGTCAGCAGGGCAAGGGGCTCCAGGCAACTAATTCACGGCTCAGAAGGTATGCACGCGCAGGGCCAGCTCGCTGGCTCCTGTCACTGACCCTGGGCGGGAGCCCCATAACCACCCCGGCTTTAGAAAAGCCACACAGCTTCGGGGAGGCCAACATGTGTCTTCAAACCTGCGCGGGTCCCGAGCTCTGCTACCTTCTGCCTGCACCGCTGCCCACAGTGTGAAGCTGGGTGGCGGCCCCTTCTCCCCAGCCTACCCCAGCCGCTGCCCAGCCTACCGGCTCCCTTCCCACGGGCTGTCCCATCCTGCACACCCGAGCTGGGTGAGGCCAGCCTCGACGGCTCACCTTGTCAAAGAAGGAAAACTCCTGCAGGGTGCCGTACTTCCCCACGGCAGCAATGGACAGGTCTTTGGTACCTCGGAGTTTCATTTTCTTCTGTGGAGAGAAATTCCATGCTATGAAGGCTCTGGGCATCTTTGTCAGAGTTAGGGCGTCACCGGCGCGGAGCTCCCTGACAGCAACCGCCACGAGGGGCTGGATGGGGTCTGCCCAGGACCCCTGTGGAGGAAATCTCAGGACCACCCATCTCAGCCTCCGTGGCCTAGTGAAGGCTGCTCCACCCACGATCTGGGCTCTAAATTTCAGCAGTTTAGGGCTTCTGGTAATAGGTGGGAGCATCACAAAATTGGAACAGCAAGGGAGATGTATCCTGGGATGTAGTATCAGAAACTTCTCCCTCTGCCTGTTTTGTCCTGTGGGCTGTAATGGGGTGGCAAGGGGATAGAAAGAAGACAAGATGATCCTAGAGAAGCCTGAGTTTTAAATCTCTGTTAAGAGTTTTGCCTCTAAGCTGGACTTAGCCCAGAAATTGGCTGCGTGCTTGAGGCATCGAAGACCCTACAAAACCATCTCCCAATGCGGGGGTATGTCCAGAGGACACAGAAGCCAGCTCAAAGGGGCCCCATCGGCCAAATCTGAGACAGTTTAGATGCGAAGATGAACAATAAAAGTCACAGATTACAACCCAGAGTCCCTGCTGATGTAGGTGCCCAATAAATGGGGACGAAGGAAAAGCTCTTCCTTACAGTAGAAAGCCAACTAGTAAATGCACAAAAAATGATGGAATTAGAAAGTCACCATCATGGGTGATGAGTGCAACAGGAGATGGATCTCAGCCCCTCTCACTCCTCAACGGGGCTTCTTGTGCAGTGACCAACCTGCACAACTGCATATGGTGGCCTGCCCATGAAAGAGCATGGTGAAAAGGAGAGGACCTAGCGGTACATCCTGTTTCTACAGGAAGAAGTAACACTCCTCATAACAATCCTGTGAGCCACAGGTAATGAGTGAACAGCCACCTTAGAGGTGAGCAGAACTCCTAAGTTCCCACAGCTGGTGAATTCCAGTGAGACCAAGGTCCAGACTCCGCCCATGCCCTGGGCACACTGCTCCGTAGGTCGTCTACAGAGAGGACCCGGTTGCTGGGGGTCCATATAGGTGGACATCTATGTGCACAGCTGATGGTTACCTTGGCTGGTGCAGACACTGGACGGAGGAGCGAGGGCCGAGAGCGCTTTTTGCTGTGTTCCAGATTCTTCTCATGTTCACTCTTCTGGACACTGTTCATTTCACATGGCCCATTTCCTGTGAACTACAAACACAAACACAAGAGGTGATTAGTGCTGGAGAGATATAGCTGAGCCCCTCAGTACTGGCTCTTGGTGTCTGGGTGTGTGGAACCACCTTGGGCTCAGCCCATGGCCCCAGTGAATGCTGCCTGCCACAGGCCAGCAGGGGGCCCCGTCTGCATGCGAGGCAACTCTAGCTCTTCAGATGTTGTTGTTGTTTTTTTTAAAGGATTTTATTTATTTATTTGAGAGAGAGAGAATGAGAGACAGAGAGCATGAGAGGGAAGACGGTCAGAGGGAGAAGCAGACTCCCCGCCGAGCAGGGAGTCCAATGTGGGACTCGATTCCGGGACTCCAGGATCATGACCTGAGCCAAAGGCAGTCGCTTAACCAACTGAGCCACCCAGGCACCCAGATGTTGTTTGTTTTATTAGAGGAGAGACCGGGTACCCAGATTATCACAGTTTAACATGGCTGTGATGGATGACGGTCCCGATAGGTGAAGGAGGGCACAGTGGAGAGACATGAGAGTTGGGCTTTGGCGTGCAGGGCTCACCCAACAGACCACTGACAACAGGGGTCTGCCTGCATGTTTGTGCACCCCACAGTAAGAGAAAGCATTTCAGGCAGGGGACTGGCACGCATGAAGCCCTGGCAGCGAGAAACAGCCGACAGCCACCAGCTTACTGGGGCGGGGGGCGGGGGGGGGGTGTCTTCCAGCCAAGTCTGTATTCTTTTCTATGAATGGAAAAACAGGTCTTGAGGAGTGTCATCACTCACTGGCAGGCTCGTCACTGGTCCTCCCAGGCTCTATGCTTAATAGATAGGAACGCTCATCACAAGTGGGGTATCTACAGGGTGTTGGCAATATTTATGAGGAACAGTTCTGGAAGAACAGTTCAGGATTGCATTTATGTGAATGTGCCAGAAAGCTGAGCAGACATGGGGAAGGCAGACAGACCTCAGGTTCTCTGCAAGATGTGTGCTGGGACAGGGAGGTACCTGGCAATCACCCCATCACCGGACCTGGGACGTGGAAACACCTGAAGGGAGTACTGCTGGCCCAAGGTGTGGGCTGGGTGAGTAAGCTGTGGTGTATCCAAACAAAACAGCCAGGAACTACCAGATACCAGTGTGCTAGCTCTGTGTCTGGGGACAGGCAGACCTGATACATTCTTACAGGAACAAGAAAAAAACCCTAGGGGCAGAACAAACAGGATACCATTTAGTTTTTCTTTAGAATAAACATTTGTTTGCCCCTGTGTAGGAAATTTCTGGAAAGACAGATAGTATAAGATACTTGTGAGTACCTAACTCTGAAGAGAGCAACCAGGAAACTGAGACAAGGAAGGAGAAGTTTACTTTTCAAGCCTTATGTTCTAACTAGTGCTTGATTTTTTCATTAACACGCATGGTTTTTGTACGACAATAACTGTAACAATAATATTAAAGACCTATCATTTAACGACAGGCAAAACCTGGCCCTCAGGGGATTACGCTTCTCTGGAGAAGTTTTCTGAAGATTCAAAGCTACTCTAAGAACCTGAAGTGGAAACATCTTCAACTGCTATTTCTTGTTATAGATGCCAGAATAGGTGCAAGCACCAACTCCTGAAGGAGGGGGCCAGGTGACACCGTGAGCGCTGAGTGGGACCAGGGCCCTCACAGGGAGACCCACTGCTCGCCCAGCCACGCCTCCCCCAGCTGGAAGGCAAGCCCAGTCTCACCCAGTTTCCTTAACACTTCAGACAGTTCTTACTTTTTATAGTTACATGTCACCATTTGTGACCGTGTCAGTTAGATGGACCCTCAAAGACCCTTTGGGCATACTCACCATGCTCAGCCTGTTTTTGTAAATAAAGTTTTATTGGCACATAGCCATGCCCACTGGTTGCCATACCATCCAAAGCTGTTTTCCCCACCATAACCCCATAGCCAAGTCTTTGTGACAGAGACCCACTGGCCTGCAAAGTCTAAGACACTATCAGGCCCTTTACCAAAAAAAAAAAAAAAAAGTTTGTCGACTCTGCCTTAGGCCAAGTGGTCACATTTAATTAGAACAATATCAGATTTCATCTTTAGTTTCTTTTTCCTGCTGTTTTAATAAAAATTCAAAATTTAACATAAAGGACGGTGAGGATAAAGATCAAATTATACAACAGATTCTTTGTGGGTGTTTTTAATAATTTTTAAAGAACTGATTCAATCGTTTGAAATGTACAAGATGCTCTAATCAATGAACTCTGCTGAATTGGTAACAAAATGCTATTTCAAGAAACCGTGTGGGCAGGTGCCTTTCTGAGGGAGATGCTTATTTTTCCGGGGCCGGCTTTGTTGGGGTCCAGCTCCGTAAGTGCTGAGTGGTGCCCAGCAGGGGGAGCCGCAACCACAGCAATCAGAGGACGGGGGCTCCGCTGCCCCCTGCAGCCCGCCCAGCAGAGTCCTGGACACCAGTAAGGCTGCCCTCGAGGCAGGCCTGCAGAGCTCCCCGGCGAGTGTCTGCAGTGCACTGCCCCCCACAGCTCGCAGCCCCTGCCTCACCCAGGCCAAGGACTTTGCTGAGCAAACTTCCAGCGGGCTTAGGGGGAGACCTCCTCACGGCCGCTTCCCAGAGGAGGAACTGAGGCTTGGGGAGGTGACCTGCCAGGGGTCCCTCCACATGCACCCTTGCTCCTTGCTCCAGCTCCCCCCACCACCTCCTGTCCAGGCAGGGCTGCTCTCTCCAGCCTCCTTGTGTGGAGAAAGGGCACGTCTCTGGCCCCTTGATCTCTGCCAGAGCGGGGAAAGCTGGCCTGGGACTCAGCCAGGCCTTTCTTCCCGCGGGGGGGTGGGGGGGGGGCACTGCCCCCGTCTCCCATGCTGCCCCCAGCAACGGCAGAGTTCAGGAAAAGAGCTGCCATAACAGGGGCTGGAGCCGAGATGTAAGAGGCAGATGCAAGAGGACGAGTCAGACAACCCACCAAGCGTGCCCTGCGAGGGGGCGAGTCAGGGCCGGCCGGCATGTGGCAGTGCGCAGCTCCGGCTCCTGGGGGACGTGGAGGCCGAGGGTCTGCAACTGACACAAGGCTGCGCAGCGGGCAGGACGCGGCAAGATCCCTCTGCTCCTCGTCTATGGGGCCCCTGGAGCCAGTAAGGCGGCTCTCTGGCAAGCAGAGGAAGAAATGGGAGTGATCCTAGGACGGCCCAGGACATCATTTGGGAAAAGGGGGCCAAGCCCAAGGAGGGACGCTGCGCTTGGGGGGGGGGGGGCGGCGCTGAGAGTGGACGTGTGGGTGGGGACACGAGGAGGTGGGCTCAGCTGGGAGTGCAGCTGCCTTTGGTGCAGGTGAGCTCCCTGTCCCCCAGGGAGGGGGTCAGGAACTCCACAGGAGCGCTTTGCTCAGCCCTCCCCAGGGGCCTCCCGCAGGCCCGGCAGCAGGCTGGTTGGTCCTGGGGAGGCAGGCGGAGGCCCTGCCGCCTGGGTGGACACTTGGGGAGGGCAAATGGGACGGATGACGTTGGCACAGGGAGGGGGTGGGGACAATCCATCTCGATCCTCCGCCTGCTTTTCCTTAACAATCCCAGCTCTTCTTTCCAGAGCACTGCACCTGTGCTGGGCTGAGCGTGAAGCACTTAAGAGGATGCTGGCTCGCCAAGTCTGAGCAGGAAGGCCGTCATCCCCGTGTGAGAGAGAAGGCAACCAGGCCCGGGAGGTGAGTGAGGTCGCTGGCTCAAGCCCTCCTGAGCGCCTGCAGACGTGGAGTGAGCGTCTCGGCCTGGACTGTGTGCTCCCGGGGCTCTGCCTAGCCCTCCAGCCCCTGAGGATACCCAAAGCTCGAGGCAGGGTGAAGGACAGGCGACAGCTCCAGGACCTGATGTCAACCCCACGGAGAGGCACAGAGCTTCTCTGACTTTGACTCAGGAAGTGCTTCCAGGTGGCATCCCGACTTTGAGGTGGCACTCATGGGCGCTGGAAGGCCATGTGACTCTTGGTGGTACCCAAACCCAGACCCCTGTACCCACCCCACCAAGCCCCTCCCACTTCGAGACTGCTGCCCCCCAGCCCTGCCTCCCACTGCATCTTCCTTTAGAAGCAGGACCCAGGAGAGGTGGTAGTGATGAACTTCAGTGGGGGGTGGGGGGACCTCTCGTGTGCGCAGGCCCCAAGTCACCATCCGAAGCAGAGAAGAACAAAAAGAGGAAAAGGAACAGTCAACAAACTAGGAGTAGAAGGGCGTTTCTTCAATCTGATTAAGGGGTATTTATTTATGAAAAGCCCACAGCTCCCAGCACACTCAGGTGCAAGATGGAAAGCTTTTCCTCTAAGATCAGGAGCAAGACAAGGATGCCTCCTCTCACCACTTCTATTCAACTCAGTACTAGAGGCTCTACTACAGCAATTAGGCCAAGAAAAAGAACGAAAAGGCATTCAAATTGGAAAAGAAGGAAAATCATCTCTATTAGTGGATGGCATGGTAACATGCATAGAAAAAATCCTAGTGAATATACAAAGACTATTAAAGCTGATAAACAGACTCAGCAAAGTCGCAGGAAACACAATCAACACACAAAAATCAGTGGTATTTGTATACACTCATGACCAACAATCCAAAAATGAAATTAAGAAAAAAAAGAGTAAGATATTTGGGGATATATTTAAATAGGAGGTGCAAGACATGTACATCAAAACCCACAAAATGTTGCTGAAAGAAATTAAAGATTTAAATAAATGCAAAGATGCCTCATGTTCATGGATCAGAAGACTTAACATTATCAAGATGGCAATATTCCCCAAAGCAATCTAAAGATTCAATGCAATCCCTATCACAATCCCAATGGCTTTTTCCCCCTTTTTTGCAGAAACAGAAAAGCTGATCTTCAAATTTATATGGAATTCCAAAGGGCTCTGACTAGCCAAAATAATCTTGAAAAAGAACACAATTCAAATCACTTCTTCATTTCAAACTTATGACAAGGTTATAGTAATCAAGACAGTGTGGTGCTGGCCTAAGAAGAGACGTGGGGGATCAATGGATTGGAACTGAACAGTCCAGAAAGAAATCCATACAACTATGGCAACCGGTTTTCAACAAGGGTGCCAGGACTATTCAATGGGAACAGAAAAGTCGCTTCAATAAACGGTGCTGGGAAAACTGGATCTCCACTAACCAAAGAATGAAATTGGATCCCTACCTCACACCATAAAAAAAAAATAAAATAAAATAACTCAAAATGCATCAATGATCTAACTATGAAAGCTAAAATTATAGAAACTTTTAGAGGAAAATACAAGGAGAAACCTTCCTGTCCTTGGGTCTGGCATAGATTCTGCGACACTAAAAGCATGAGCAACAAAAGAAAAAACAGATAATTGGATTTGATCAGAACTAAAAATCGGTGTGCATTAAAGGACACTGACAAAGTGAAAATACAACCTACAAAAAGGAGAAAATTTTTTAATAAGGGCCTAGTATCCAGAATATATATAAAGAACGCTTACAGCTCAATAATAGACAAACTAAAAAATGAGCAAAGGACTTAGACATTTCTCCAAAGAAGATATACAAATGGCCAACAGGTGGGGCGCCAGGGTGGCTCAGTCGTTAAGTGTCTGCCTTTGGCTCAGGTCATGATCCCAGGGTCCTGGTATCAAGTCCCACATCAGGCTCCTTGCTCGGTGGGAAACCCGCTCTCCCTCTCCCACTCCTGCTGCTTGTGTTCCTGCTCTCGCTATCTCTGTCAAATAAATAAATAAAATCTTTAAATTAAAAAAAAAAAAAAGGTACCAAGGATGCCTGGGTGGCTCAGTTGGTTAAGCGTCTGCCTTCATCTGCCTTGATCCTGGGATCAAGCCCCGCATCAGGCTCCCTGCTCAGCGGGACGCCTGCTTCTCCCTCTCCCATTCCCCCTGCTTGTGTTCCTTCTCTTGCTGTGTCTCTGTCAAATAAATAAATAAAATCTTAAAAAAAAAAAAAAAGAAAGAAACCAAATGGCCAATAGGCACACAAGATGCTCAATATCATTAGTCATCAGGGAAATGGAAACCAAAACCACAATGAGATACAACTTCACAATGACTAGACCATAATTTAAAAAGAAAACGGAACACCAAGTGTTGGTGACAGTGTGAAGTACCCTGCTAGTGAGAAGAGATGGTACAGCTACTGTGAAAAGCAGTCTGGTAGTCCCTCAAAAAGTGAAACACAGAGTCACCATATGACTCAGCAATTCCACTCCTAGGTGTAGACCCCAAAGAACTGAAAACAGGGACTCAAACAAATCCTCCTGCACTCATGTTCATAGCAGCATCACTCACAATCACCAAAAAGAAACAACCCAAATGTCCACTATCGGATGGCTGGATAAGCAAAATGTGGTCCATCCACACAACAGAATATGACTCAGCCACAAAAAGAAATGAAACACCGACGCACACTATGATGTGAATGAACCTCAAAAACATCACGCTGAGCGAAAGCCAGACACTAAAGGCCACATGGTGGAGGATCCCATGTATATGAAATGTGCAGAACAGGTCAATCTACAGAGACAGACGCAGATTTGTGGCTGCCAGGGGCTGGGGGAGGGGGAATGGGGAGTGACTGCCCATGGGGACGGGGTCTCCTCTGTGGTGATGAGAATGTTCTCGAACTAGACAGAAGAGCTGGTTGCAGAACACGGTGAATGTACCAAATGCCACTGAACTGTATACTTTAATGGTGTATTTAATGTTATGTGAATTTTACTTCAATTTTTAAGGAAGTCTTACGTTCATAGAAAATACAATGAAAAGAGGATATGGAATGCGCAACCCAGCAGGCCTCAGGCTGTGACGGGAGGAACGAGGCTGATGGTGCAGGCTGCATCCCCAACCTCCCCAGCCCAGGCCCCTCCTCACCCTTCTCTGCCCTCCAACCCCCAGCCTACAGTCACTGCCAAGCCTCAGACTGCCCCCACCGGCCCCTTCCTACAGGGCACTGGTTACAAGCAGGTCTCCACAGCAGGATGCTCTCCACCTCCCAACCGGCCCTCACCCCCCAGGCACTGTTCTATAAGAGAGGCCCTGCTCAGGATCTGCTCCAGCAGGATGTGGAGGTGAGCCTGCACGGAGGCCTAGGGGTGTCTGCACGCTGTGTGGCTTCTGGGAAAACCCGGCGTGTCCCCGGGGGACAGATAAGCCCAGCCTGGTCTTCAGGGCTACACTGAGAAACAGGGTCTCAGCTGAGAGGAAGGTGGCCCTCTGGCCAGGGTGGGCACCCCGTACTCACCAGGGACCGCTTGGCTTCAGGCAGGAACTGTCCAAACTCGGACAGCAGGTCCTCCTGGCCCCGGAAGAGGTTGGCCACCTCGGTAAACACCTCCTCCTCAGACATGCCGCGGAATGGCCGGCCCTTTGTGCTCAGCTGCTCCTTCTGCCGATTTTCGGGAAAGGGAAAATGAGTCGTTAGCCAAGGAACGAGGCACCCCAGGCTGTGACATTCAGGCATCCCACTGTGGAGGAGACAGAGGGACGACTCACGAAACAGAGAACTGGCTGGCAGAGCCCATGCCTACCACCACTGGGAGAAAGGAACCCAGTCCACCACACTGTTAACAACTCGGGGTGCCCTGCATGCCTCTGTCCTCGTCCCACCCCACAACACAGCCTGAGCCCTGGCCAGGGGTGGGGCTTACGTGGTAGTGTGGAGGGGATGTGGGCAGGGGCACAATCATGAAATGATCTGGCCTCCGTCCTTGCGTGTCCTCAACCAGAGGCTGGGGAAGTACAAGGTCAGGGACGAACCCGTGGATAGGGGGCAGGGAGTGTGGGGCTGGCGCTGGGCCTTGGAAACAGGAAACAGGGTGACAAGGGAAGGAAAAGGACTACCAGGACAAGGGACCATTCCACCCAGAGTCAGAAAGACCCCAAGAGTTGAAGGAAGATGGCCTAATCCAGAGCTTAAAGCAACAAGATGAGGACCGAAGGGGACCCGGGTCAGGAGGGCAGGAACTCAGGATGGCCATCAGAAGCAACGCCGTCAACTTTACACCCGAGAATGTGGCAGAGCTGGGGCCCTCCCAAAGCACATAGCTCCAGATTCCCGCTCCGCGGTGTGAAGGGAAGGAGCCGACCCGTCAAGAGCCCTTGCTGTCTGACCCCTCCCCTTCCTCAGGTCCCCTGAAGCTGGCTGGCTGCCCTGACCCCCGGGACTTTGCATGGGCTGTTCCCAGCACTGAGAAAGTCCACCCTTTGTCTATACTCATTTGCCTGGTGGTTCTGACTGATTTCTCAGGATTCAAGCTAACTCTGCCCTTCCTGACACCCCTGCCCCAGCCCCCGGTCAGGGTTGGCAACTGTGAATCCAGACACACTTCTACATGTTTCCCTTTTTCCCCACCCCATCCCTCTCTAAGTCTCGTCCACCTCCAGACTGAACTAAGCAGCAGCCATTCATCTTTGCTGCCCCGCTGCCTGGCACAGGGCCCACTTGTAATCCACTTGTAATCTGCATCAACAGAGCGTAGCTGTGTTGTCAAAACACTAGCGAAGCCGTCTTAAAAAAGACCATCTTCTTAGGTTCTTTTTAAGTCCCCGTACGGTGTGTTTCCTAGTACTCTTCCTTGGGATGTAGAGGTGCCTCAAGGAGCAAATTAAAATCCTAACAACTCCAACAGGTATCCGGATGCCCGTGTTCACAGCAGCATTATTCACAAGGGCCAGAAACATGGAAGCAACCCTGGTACCCATCAATGGATGAACAGATAACCCCAAGTGGTGCATCCATGCCATGTTCTCCAACCTTAAAAAGGAAGGAAGTTCTGACCCAGGCTACAACATGGATGAACCCTGAGGACATCACAGTGAGCGAAAGAAGCCAGACACAGAAGGACAAGTACTGTATAATCCCGCTTACAGGAGGTCCCTCGAGTTGTCAAACTGACAGACAGGAAGTGGGATGGTGGGCGCCAGGGGCTGGGGGAGTTACTGTTTCACGGGGACAGAATCTCGGTTTCGCATGATGAACAAGTTCTGGGGCTGGATGGTGGGGAAGGCTGCACAACATGAATGTACTTAATGCCATGGAACTGGATACTTAAAAAGGGTTAAAATGGTAAGTTTTAGGTAAAAAGAAAAAAAGCACATCGGAATTGTGCAGGATTTCCTAATTCAGACCAGAAAATACGACCGCCTCAGACGCACCCTGAAGAGTGGGATGGTACCACCAGCACCCACCCAGTGTGCCGTGGGGCCTCTTACCTGGTAAGTGTGCAGGATCTCCAGGAATGACCTGTAGATCTCTGGGTGGTCTAGAAAACGGGTCTTAATCTTGTTCACGTAGCTGATGGCGTTGTTGAACTCCACGGAATCCGACTCCAAGGGCACCTGCGGCTTGTCCTCCTTATACAGCATCTGTGGCTTGAAGTTCTCCGCACAGTCGCTGTGGTTGTGTGAATTCTCCTGACAACAGCACGACAGTGAGTTACTGGCAGGCCTGACCCCGCAAACAGACGTGAGAAACTCCAGACAGAGCCATGGTCTGTCTGAGACCAAGCAATACCCAGCACAGAGCCAAGGTTTTTAATGAGATGCAGGAGAACGTTCCTTGTGGGGGCCTGGAGGGAAGGAAGCGGTGGGCGGGCACGCACAGGCAGGTAATTCCTCCCTCACCACGCGGTGCGTCTGCACCGTCCTGGGTGAGTCTCACGAACCCACCTCCATCTGATCGAAGAGCATGGGAGTTTGATGGATACCCAACACCTTGAAAAATGAGCATACGGGAGAGAGATATGACAAGTGGATTGTTTAATCCCCTCTGGAGTGGAGTTTGGGACTGTGTTTACAAAAGAAGCCTTCCACACCTCCTGCCAGCCCATTTCAGCAAGACTGTTTTGAGGAGTGAAAGCAGCTGCTGTCAGCGGTGCTGGGCAAGTGGGGACCCTGGAGGTAAGGGGGGCCCACCGCCCAGGTTGTCCAGGACTGCAGGACTCTTGGTGCTAAGCCGGGGTTAAGTCACTTGAGAAGAGACAGGCCCTGACCGGTCATCATGCTTGCCCTCCATCTGTGGGTTTTTCTGTCCATACAAATAAAAATTCTGGGCACCCAGAATCCTGATTTTGGGTGGGACTGACCTACCCCCTGGAAGGAGGAGATGTTTGTTTCTAAACTGAAATTTTATGCGTGGTTCTGATGATTCCCCACAAACCACGACTCAGATGTCAGGGGCGACCCCCCGGGGCATCCTGTGGGTCCGATGCACACAGGGGCTGGTTCTCGAGCAGGCCTCGAACCCTCCAGTGCAGCTCCAGGCGTCTGTTAGAAGACACCCTCTCAGCAAGTCTTCCAGAACCACCCAGCGCCAAACCAAAATGTCTCTCCCAGCACTCTGAGCCCCTTTCTCGCTTGATTTTCCTCCGTGGCACATGTCACCTTCCGACACACACATATTTTACTTATTTTATCGTCTGTCCACCCCTGACCAGATGGCAAACGCCCTGAGAGCAGACAGTCCACACTGTTCACCACCACAGCCCAAGTGCCTGAACAGTGCTTGGAACAGAATGGGCTCCACCCACTGTTGGGAATAATCAGATGACCAGAGGAAGGAACAAAGAGCCCGGGGTTTCCATCCCCCTTGGCACGGGGCACCAACCGTGGACCTGAACACTCCAGCGGGATGGGGGACGCTGGGCACAGAGCTGCAGAGCCGTCACCGGGAAGGACGCGCCTGCTGGGCACGCTCGCTCTCATTGGGGTGGGGGTGCACTACTCCGCTCAGGCGGCCGTAACTCCGCAGCCTGGGCGGCTTACACAACAGAAACTTTTCCTCACAGTCCTGGAGGCTGAAGCCCAAGATCAAGGTTCAGCAGAGGTGGTATCTCCGGAGGCGTCTTGGCTCGTGGGTGGCCCATCTTCTCGCTGTGTCCTCACATGATCGTCCCTGTGTGGGGGTCGCTCCCCGTGTCCAAATGTCCTCTTACAAGACACCAGTCAGACTGGATCAAGGGTCACCCTAAGGGCCTCAGTTTACCGTAATTACCTCTGTAAAGGTCTCCAAAAACAGTCATATTCTGAGTACTGAGGATTAGGACTTCAACATATGAATTGGGGTGGGGTGGGGGTGGGGACACAATTCAGCCCAGACTGTGGGTGAGGGGCAACTCTAGGAAAGTCTGAGCTGAGACAAGCAGACACACAAAAGACCCAAAGCAGCCACAGTTCTAAATACCACCTCTCCCTGGCAGTGGGATGCATCCTAAGGCCCTCTGGGGGCTCTCTTGCTGATTACCACATTCCTTCCAGGTGTGCTGGCCTGGCAGTGGAAGGAGCTAGAAGGAGCCAGGGAGAGGCGGGGGAGGGAGCAGGCTGGGAGCGGAGACTTGCTTCAGAGGCGGCTGTGAGCTCGTGGGAACTCCCCACCGCTCCTCGGGGGCATTTTCTAGCTCCGTGTACCCTTTCCCATGCCCTGGACAGAGGCGCGGGGAAAAGATGGGAGAACCCTCCTCAAGGCCAGGGCTTGGCAGAGAGCCAGATGGTAATGGTGCACCTGCTGAAGCCAACAGCCTGGCGGTTCCTCACTAAGTTAAACGTAGTTACCACGTGACCCGGCAATTCCACTTCTGGGTATCCACCCAAGAATCGCAAACAGATGTGCAAACGACCCAGATGTCTACACCAAGCAGTAACGGATTAACACACGTGGCGCATCCCGACGATGGAATCTTCTTCAACTGTAGGAAGGAATGCAGCTCTGACCCAGGCTACAGTGAGGATGAACCTCGACACTGTTAACGCTGGGCACAGGAAGCCAGACAAGAGAAGTTACACGACGCCACTGAAACGAAATGTTCACAACAGGCAAATCTGCAGAGACGAAGTGGATTAGTGGTTGCCAGGGGCTGGTGGGAGAGGAGAACTGCGCGATACGGTTTCCTTCTGGGGTGATAAAATGTTCTGGAATGGGGGGAGGTGCTGTAAGATACTGTAAATATGCGTGAACCTGCCGAACTGTATACTTTAGTTACAAAAAGTGAATTTATGCTACTGTGAATACTGTCACAATTTAAAAACATTTTTTAACGTAATCTCTGGAAAATGTAAAAACCACTCTCCATACAAATACGAGCTGGCTTTGGATCCTGGGCCAAACCCCGCTCTAAACGTTCCGGAACAATCCAGTTTTTTCTCGTCTGTGCCTGCCCTGGGTGGCCTAATCCGGGCACAGTCAGGTATACTCCTACTAGACACCGAGGAGCAGCCCTGCACAGCCCCACCTGGGTATGTACGAGACACCTCATCAAACAGCACATTCCCCACGCAGAGCAGCACCCCTGCCGCCCCCACTGCTCCCAGGCCCCCCTCACCCTAGCAGGTGCTGCCACCTTCACCCAGAGGCTGAGGCATCCTGGAATCTCCTTGGACTTCCCACTCTGACTCCCCGCCCCGGGTCCACATCACCGCCCACTCTGCCTGGATCACCAGGGGCCCCTCGCTGGCCCCCAGATCCTCTCCTGCGCCCCTAGAGTCCACTTCTGGCACCACAGCCAGAGCCGCCTTCCTGGAACTCTCCACGGGTTCCCCATGCTCCTGACTCTCTCCCCCAACCCGCTCACCTCCCCACCTCGCAGGCTCCCTGGCTGTTTCTTAAGCACACCCACTCATTTTGCCACCTCAGGCCTTTAGACCCAGCCCAGGAAACCCCCGCCCAAGACACAGGCAGGGTTCCTGATCTCTCACACGGCCTCTGCCCACGGCCCCTCATGCCCTGCCCGGGCTTCACTCACAGTGCAGTATTTCTCATCTGTCCACCTGTATCTCCCGAGTGCCCCGAGAGCAGACTCTGAATAAACCCCAGCGCCTGGCACAGAGGTGGTGGTCGACACCTGCTCCGTGGGTGACTAAGACACAAATACGAGGCGCGACCCACGAGGGACTCACTGAACTTCCAGATGACCCTCCCCCCAGAGAGAGAACACAGGAGGCCTGCCTCTCAATGTAAAGGTGCCACTTACTGGACGAGCTAAAGGTTTAACCTTTACCTGTGTTCAAGCCGGCTGTTCGTCTAGCCAGCCCTAAAGGGGCTGGCTCCCAGGAGGCAGGGGCGGCTTTGAACGGAACCTGGGAGCTGAGATTCATCACCTTCCCACCAACACGAGGTGTCTTGCTCCTCCAACATGTGCCTGGCATGGCCCCGGGACAGGGACACAGTTGTGAACCAGACAGACAAGGGTCCTGCCTGATCTGGACTCAGTCTGCCAGGCAAGGCAGACCAAGACATGCTGGATTTCTAATTTCAAACTCTGGCTTTGCAATTTTACAATATATAAAATGGGTGGCATGCGTATAACCCAGGGGTGGGAGTAGAGGGCTCTCTGGGGAGGGATGCTACAACCGAGGCCCGATGACCAGCTCCAACATGCTGCTGACTCAGGAGGCTGTAGCCCCAGCAAGGTGACCTTCTTCCCACCATGCTTTCCGGGCCTGTCTGCCTGTCTTCCTCTTAGACTTGTGTTCTCAGTGAGGCTGATTCTGTCACCCAGGGGGCACTTAGCGACACACGGAGCTACTTCTAGGTTGTCACATGGTGGAGGGTGGAGGCCGGGGATGCTGCTCAGCCCCGTAGAGTGCATAGGACAGTCTGCTCCAGATAAGAACAATCTGGTCCCGAGGGCAATTGGGCCAAGGCTGAGAAACCTGCACCAAGGGCTCCCCACAGCCTGGGACTCCCCCTTTTTCTCTTCCTCAGCACCTCAGAGCTACTCCCTCCCTGTCTAGAGTTGACAGGACTCACGAGATGAGAAATGACAAAAAAATGAAGGTGCTCCTTCAAAACACGAAAGCTAGAAAAACCAGTAAAACAAAAAAAATCACCGGGGTGTGGCACGTAGGGAGCCCTGAGAAGTTCTCGGGCTTCCGTGGCCTCTCAAAGGACTCCAGGACACCAAGAGGCCGTCTCGCCTATGCCTGGCAGGAAGGAGCTCTGAAAAGCAGGGCAGGAAACCCGGCAGGTCAATCGATGTGCACAGAAATGGAGTGGGCAGCGGAAGAAGGGGGGCCCTAGATGTCGTGGCTTCGGGGCTTTAGCAAGACCATAAAGCCGGGTTAAATAGTAGCTGTGAAGTCAGGGGGAGACAGGGCTGGTCCAGTCTCGCTGTGTCCACAGCTCCTCTCCATGGAGTGAGCACAACAGGGGCCTTCTGGCTACTGCCCGGAAGGGCCACGTCCTAATGCAACCACGGTGAGGTTCGCATCGAGATCCAGCCCCGCAAGCCGAGTTACTCCAACAGTCGGGGATTGAGAAAGGCGATTTTCGTAATTGAGGTCTCCGACCTCGGCTCTTTCTTAGGAAGTGATGGTCACAACACACCCGTGTTCAGACTCGTCCAAGTGCTCCCCTGCGCACCGCTGCAAATGAGCCTGCTTTTCTTCCCAGCCTCGACTGTTGCGCAGATGAATCCCGCTAAGGCTTGTGATCGTCTGGAGCAACGAGCCCTACATCTGGATTGAGCTCCATTTGTAAATGTGAAATGGAAGAAGCTCTTTGGAGTTCAGTGGCCACGCGCTTCCGAGTTCCTTTTCAAAACGGAGACGCTCTCCTTGGCTTTAATGAGGCAACATGCTGGTGGTGGAGCTTGCCTTGCATAGAAAGAAGGCAGAATTTACATGGGGGTCCCTCTCAGAGAGGGAGGTCACTGTCACACTGCCTCTGGCTGTTCTTCCAAATCTGACTCCTGCATTGATATGAAACTGCAATCTCTGTCATCGGAGGCAGAACCGAAAGAATGCTTTCCCGGGTAGATTTTTATATTCCCCCGCTAAAACCCAAAGCCCTGCGGCAGAGACAGAAGAGGCTTAAAGAGCTGGTTCACGGAGATCAGGGGTTCTTGATGGGGGAGCGATGTGGCTCCCAGGAGTCATCTGGCAATGTCTGGGGATGTTTCAGCTGTCGCCTGTCGCCAAGGGGTGAGGGCCTTGTGGGCGGAGTCAGGGATGCTGCTAAACATCTCCAGATGCACTAGAGGGTCCCCCGCAGCACAGCATTACGGCAATGGGGCCAAGGTGGAGGAAAGGCAATGGCTACCTTATAAGAGTAAAGCTCACATAGACTTTCACTTTCTCAGGGGCTCTGGTGGGCTCGGGCAAGAAGGGACCACAGAAACAGAGGCAGCAAGCCACCACCTGAGACAGAAGGAACCAAAGCCACAAGCCTAAGCTGAGCCAACCCTGGTGGCAATGAAATGCGGCCCAGCGACAACAAAATGGCTATTCCCACACACATCTCAACTGCTTTATTTTGTGGCTGGCATCTGGGACGATCAGAGAGACCCCATGCCTGAGTACAAGTGCGCCTGCCCTGTGTGCTCGTGGGGAGAGCCTCAGAGTAAGAGCCTGGTGCCGGTGGGTGGTTATTTTGACAGGACACAGAACTGTTAAGAGAATGCCCCTGACACAACCAACCACATCCACTCTTGATCTGAATCCTCCAAACGGATCGATGTGGAATAAAGAGGCTGGCTGGGTAGGGATTTTGATCTATTTTGACCTGTGCTAGAAGGGAGCAGAGTGTCTAGACAAAGACTGGATCTTGACTGGCTTTCCGCAACAAGATGCACAAGACGGGCTGCCTGACCTGGGTACCTGAGTACCAGGGCGCGCCGTGTTAGGGCCAGATCACTCGGAACACCAGAGCAGCATACCTGGTTGGACAGAGGCGACTGTATGTTTAACTTGCCGTTCTTGGGAATGTCTATTCTGTACCCGAGGGGAAGGAAAGCGTTGAATCCAACAATGAGGTCAGGGTGTTCGTGGAAGAGCTGCGACACGCGTCGGATGACTCCAGGCGTATCGATGCTGGAAGAAAAAAAATTGAGAGTGGGCAGAAGTGTTCTGGGGAGCACTTGGAAAGCAAAATCTACTCCCAACTCGCTTGACAGTGCCACCTAATGGGCTTCTCGAAGGACAACGAAGCACCCTGCAATGTGACCAGTGTGATTCAGCCAACGTGTTACGTGTCATCTACTTCCACAGCAGCCAGGCTCGGGCTCCCTGTGCCCTGCTAGCGAGAACCACAGGATATTTGCATGGCACAGCTCCCCTAAACACTCCAAGCATACACACGCTCGGTTCTGAAAATGTCAGGAGAGCCAAGTGAAAGTCCGGGACTCCAAGCAGTGGCAGGAAGCCACAGCCCTCTAAGCAACGTGATGAACCATGACACAGGTGTTGATCCCAGCAAGTGATGGCAAGGCATGAATACCAAAGGCCCTGCAAGTATGAGTTGCACATTGCCAGGGGTCTCCCTCATGGCTGGTGGGAGGGGCCCCTCAAGGCTTTAGCTTGTCTCTCCTGGAAGGAAACCAGGCCAGCCCTGCCACATTTCCTCAGAAGGCGTAATCAGCCTGGTGGAGATGTGACCACCGAGAATCTAAGAGTCAGAATGCCCACGTTCTAGTCCTGACTGCCCCTAAGGTTGGTCTAGGCAAGCCCCTGGCCCACTCTAAGCCTAAGTGAGCCTCCTGTTGGAAGATGGCATGATCTCCAGGTCCTCCATCTAGCTCTAACCCTCCTGTGTGCCTGCAAAATCAGCCAATGTGTTTAAAACCCTTTCTATGTGCCAGGCCCCTTACAAAGCATTTTATGCGCATTTACTGTCCAACAGGCCTGGGACTAGGGTGCCACTGACCGGTGAGGCACTCACCTTGGTGACAAGATTTAAGAGGGAGAGGGCGCCAAAACATTCAATTATCAAGGCAAATAACATTTTAATGTAGTGCTTAAAAACATTAAAATTAATTTTAAAAAAATCCTTGGTGAGCAAAATTCATTTAAAAATCATTTGAGTAAAGACAGGACCAGACTCTCCCGCTTGCAGACTTCGCTCTCTTGCTCTCTCCTCACCCCATCCCTGCTCTCCTTCCAGGAATCCCCACAACAGCTCCACAGGGGTGGGTACTCTCCACTCCCGTTTTTTAGAAGGAACTGAGGCTCTGAGAGGTTCCACGACCTGCGCAAGGTCACCCGACTGGGGCGGAGAGGCAGCCGGAATGCGGGGGTTCCCGGGGGTTCCCACCCCGCTCAGCCGGATCGCGGCCCAGGACGGACCCCCCGGGGTGGGGAGGGCTCCCGCGGGTACCTCTGGCTTTTGAACTCCTTCATGATCTCCAGGAAGCCGTTGTAGGTGGCAGGGTCGCTGCCGAAGCGGATCTTCACCTGGTCCAGGTAGGTGAGGGCGTCCTCCACCTGCAGGGAGGTGGAGGGTCCCGGTGGGCGGAGGTCGGCGGAGGAGGGGACGGAAGACAAGGGACCCTGGAGGGGAGGGGGACGGGCCGAGCCTCCGAGGAGCCGAGGTAAGGGGTCAAGGGACTGGGGTCCGGGGCCGTGAGGAGTGGAGGCCGAGGCGGGGCCGGGTGGGGCCCGGGCGAGGGGCTTCGGCCCGCGGGTGCCGGACGACAGGGTTCCCGAAAGAAGGTGGGGGCAGCACTCACGTGCACCGGCAGCTTCTCGTGACCCGCGGAGCCCGAGCGACCCCAGCGGGCGCCGCTCAGCCCCCGGCCCGCGGGGCCCCCGCCGCCGCCGCCGCTGCCGCCGCCGCCGCCAGCGTGCGCCATGTTGGAAGTCGGAGCCGCGGTCCGCCCCGCCCCCGCCCGAGGGCCGGCCGCGCATGCGCAGGCTCCGCCCCGGAGGGGGCGGTGCTTGATGATGTGAGGGGCGTGGCTCCTTGAAGGACTTGCTCCGGGTTCTTACTCCAAAATCGAAATGCTAACCAATGCCTTATATAGTGCGAACGAGCAAACCGAGACCTGCCGTTTGCTTTTGTCCGGCTCCACTAGCGAATTCATAAGGGTCTTCACATTTTTTAAAGTTGGAAAATTTTCCAAAAAGAAGACTATTTTGTGACATGTGAAATTTCTGAAATTCAAATTTCAGTGTCTGTAAAATAAAATTCTATTGGAACACAGGCACACCCACTCGTGTACCCATTATCTGTTGCTACCTTCGTGCTACAACAGTAAGGTGAGTAGCTGTGACAGATCCTAAGATGTGCAGACCCTGATATATTTACTAAAAAATATTTGTGGACCCCTGCTTTACAGGGTTGATGTGACAATGGGCCAAGACCACACAGCACCACAGGGGGCCTTTCGAAGTGCATTTTTGCTAACTGGCTGTTGACTTAGTTCCCCTTCTCTCTTCACTTCCCTAACCCTGATCGCATCATTTCCCCAGTGGACCAGTTCAGGAGCCTCTTAAGAAGAAAAATTATTAAATTTCTCTAATACTTACAGCCCATTGACAAGTCCTTGAAACAGGCAGAGTGACCTTTCTCTAGGGACTCAACTGCCTTAATGTTAATACTTTGTTAAGGGCAAAAAGCAATCTTAGCCCGACCCCCAGAATCATGTAAGTCTACTTTAACATATAAAAATTCCGTTGGAAACTTCCTTTATCTCTACCCCCAAAGATATATGTTGGCTATCATCCCCCAAGCATATGACCCACCGATATACATCTGAAGGGTCTCATGACTCAGTTTTATTAGATGTAATAAATGACTTCCCCAGCAATAGCTAGCCCCCTCAAGGTCCTGGAAACCTTGCTTCCAAAATTCCTTAGAGACTTACACTATGCCTAATCCCCTCCCAAACTGGAAGTATATAATCAACCACTCCTCATGACTTGGGGGCAGCTCTTTCTGCCTATGGGTCCCACCCCATGCTTTAATAAAACCACCTTTTTGCACCAAAGACGTCTCAAGAATTCTTTCTTGGCCGTTGGCTTCGAACCCTAACGTCTTTCCTACGTCAGCAAGAACCTGGCCCTTACAAACCTTTTCTTGCAGAATTTTCCACCCACCCTCTGCCTGCCCAGCCATGCTGCTTCCTGCCCCATGCATCAGCACATACCATTTCCCTGGTCAGAAGCCCTGTCCTATCTCTTCATTACCCAGAAAACACCTATGCATTCTTCAAAACACAACCTGATCCCTCCTCTGTCTTCCCACCATCCCCTATACATCACCTTATTTTTATGCTTCAACTCTAACACAAATCCCTGCCATAGAGCCATGTCCCTGAATATGTATCAAATGAATGAACATTCAAGCAATGACCAAATATGTGAGAAAGTGCGGGAAAGCTAAGAATACCTTGGCAGGGAGTGCATCATTTGCCAAGCTCCATGTCAGGATTGGAATGGTGAACAAATCAGGCAAGACTTCTGCGCTCATAGAGGTTTCAGTATTTCCAGAAAAATGGGGATCAAATAATCACACACACAAAAATGCAGTTTGAACTGTAAAAGAAAAGGTGCAAGTGTTAACACTTACTATGTTCCAGTTAACTGTGGCTGAGTACCAAACCACCCCAAGATTTAGAGGATTAAAATAGCAACATTTATTTGCTCTGCAATCTGCAATTTGGGCAGCTGGGCAGGGACAGCTCATCGCTGGCCCCTCAGTGTCCGCTGGGTGGTTGGAAGGCTGGGGCTGGAATCTTCTGAGGGTTTACTCACTCACACGTCTGTCAGTTGCTGTGGCTGTAGGTGGAAACCTGTTCCCAGGAGCACCTACCTGAGGGCTCCGCATGCAGTCCTGAAGCAGGAGAGCGAGGTTCTTGTCTCACAGAGTCGAAGAATGAACCTCGTGGACAAAGGAGAGTGAGCAAAGCAATCGAGTTTTATTAAGCAAAGGTACAGAAAAAGCTTTCAGGAGTGAGATAGGGTTGCCAATGAGGGCTTTTCATCTCTGGCCTTTTATTAGGACTTTACATCTGGAACTAGACATGACGCTTATACATTGTGTGAGAATCTTTGTTTCTTGTGACATCTGTGATCTATAGATATGTTTTGCTAGGTCTGGTTAATCTTTATAGTTAACTTCTCCTTTGAGGCCTGATCCTTTTTGTAGTTAATTTCTATTTTCTGTGGTTACAGTGTAATTACTAGAAAAACATGTTACCCCTAGCAGTTGGGACAGGGGTTCTGGTTTTTGTTCCCTACCTCTATTTTTGTTCTGTCCCTGTATCTGGATACCTGAAATACCCTCCCAGCCTAGTTGGGGCCCCTGTTCTTTCCCTACCTGAAGTCCCTCCCTATTCAGCCTGAGCATCGTGGCAGCTGGGTTCTAAGAACGATTGTCCTGAGAGGAGCTGGATCCCTGTTCTGATCCAGCCTCAGAAGTCACACAGAATCATTTCCATGGTAGTCTTTCCACAGTGGCTGTTACAAAGTCCCTCCCGAATTCAGGGCATCTGGGTGGCGCAGTCGGTTAAGGGTCCAATTCTTGGTTTTGACTCAGGTCATGATCTCAGGGTCTCACGTTAAGCTCCACACTCAGCATGCAGTTTACTTGAGATCCTCTCTCCCTCTCCCTGCATCTCCTGCTTGTGCTCTCTCTCTCTCAAATAAATAAATCTTAAAAAAATAAAATAAAAAATAGTCCCTCCCAAGTTCAAAAGGAGGGCAAACAGACTCCAGAACCTGGGGAGTGACCAGGTTCTGGAATAGTATAGGGGACAGGAAATATTGCCATGACCATTTTTGGAAAATACCACCTGCCACCCTGGGGATTTAACCCAGGCTAGTAGGGGATGCGGAAGGCTTCCCGGAGGAGGTGGCATTCTAGATGAGTTCTAAAGGTTGTGTAAGGCATTCACCATGAAAGTCAGACGGAACAGCTGTGCGAGGGCCCATCGATGGGAAGCAAGGTGGTTCATTTGAACTTAGAAAGCGCGAGAGACAGAGACGCCAGGGTTGTGGGACTGCAGAAGAGTCAGGGGGTGGGGTGGGGGGCAGGAAGGTGCAGGATAAATGTGCCAAGGTCAGAAGAGGCAGACCATTCATCCTTATGGGAATGAGTTAAAAATGTTGGTCTTGGCACTTAGCACTGGTAAAAATCACGCATGGGTTTTCTGCGAGGAGGTGCTTGAGCAGCTTTGCATTTGGAAGCAAATGCCCTGGTTGCTCTGCAGGGAAGTGATTGGAGGGCAGCCAGGGAGGGTGCAGGGAGGCTGCTTCATCATTTAGAAGGACGATGGTGGCTTAGGCCAGGAGCGGGGGCAGGGGAGGTGGATAGAAGGAGGTGGAAGGGAGCGATACTCAGAAGGTGAGGCAGAGAGAATGTGGTGCTGGGTAGATGTGGGGGGTGAGCAGGAAGAAAGCTTCAAGGATTCATGGCTCCCCGCCCAGAAAGGGATTCAGCTCAGTTTCAGCACATTCCTGTATGAACCTCAGCTAAGGCGGTCTGAACCCCCTGAGGCCACCAGATGTCCGGACCGTCATTCTCACATCAGTGCCCTCCTGGCAATCTATTCATCACTGTCCCGGAGGGCCAACTGTACGTGTGGGCTTTTGACACGCCGTGGGGTCCTCACTCATTGCCTCCCCGCCTCCAAGGAGTATGAGTCTATTCACATTTCAAGGATCACTTTTAGTTTTCCGTTCTTTTTACAGATCTCATGCGATCTGAGGAAGCCCTCACTCATTTGGAGAACAGGAAACCACAAGCCAGTTCTACCTTGGGTATGTGTGCATGCATGTGTGTGCGTACATCCAACATGTAGACAATAGTACACAAACATCTCTCACTTTTATTTTTTTTAAGATTTATTTATTTATTTATTTGACAGAGAGAGAGAGAGCCAGAGCAGGAACACAAGCAGGGGGAGCGGGAGAGGGAGAAGCAGGCTTCCCAAGGAGCAGGGAGCCCGATGCGGGGCTCGATCCCAGGATCCTGGGATCATGACCTGAGCTGAAGGCAGACGCTTAACGACTGAGCCACCCAGGCGCCCTCTCACTTTTATTTTCATAAAGCATAAAAATGCTGAGTTTTTTTTCCTTTACTGTTTTCATCTACACAGATGAAATTAAAAACCTTAAAGTTGGCCGCTTAGATGGACCAACACACATTTCCCACCATTTCACAAACTTGATAGCATTATGGTAAACTTCATAGGTAGGTCTTTCTTTGGACAGTATTCTGGCAAGGTTAAAAAGACAAGATCAAAAGATCCTACTCTGAACTGAGTCTTTCCAGACGGCAAGCATTATGACCAAAATCTCTAAAGTCCAGAATCACGTGTTGTGGCAGAATTCTAAAGCAGGCCCCGAGATTCTCACCCTGGTGTGTGTACCCTGCCTAATCCCCCATCCTGGAGTATGGGCAGGACCGGTGAGTATAATGGATGTCACTTTTGCAACTAGGTTACAGCATGTGGCAAAGGTGAAGGGATTTTGCAAGTGGGTTTAAGGTCCCCTTGAGTTGATTTTGAGTTCACCGGAAGGAAGATTATTTTGGGTGGGCCTGACCTAATCAGGAACATCCTTTGAAAGACAATCTGGAGGTCAGAGCCTCGAAACAGCAGAGGTGGGATCCTGCCAGCCTTAAAAGAGGAACCAGCTGTGTCATGCCTGCCTGTGGACAGAGGCAGTCTTTAGGAGCTGAGGTCCACAGTCTGCGGCAATGAGGAGCTCAGTGCTGCCAACAACCTGAATGAGTGTGGATGAGGGCTGTGAGCCTCTCATTGAGATCCCAGCGCAGCTCGTGAGACCCCGAACAAAGAACCCAGCCATAGTGAGCCTGGACTCGCAACCCACAGAAACTGTGGGATCATACCTGGCTGTTATATGCAGCTGCTAAGTGTGCGGTACTTTGTGCAGCGATGTATAACTAATCTTTATGAAGTCATCTTGCCAAAAATATTTACCTTGTGATTGTGATGTGTTAAAAAACAAAATTCAACTGAGTAAATTTAAAGATCAAATTTACTTTATTCAGTGATTCATGAATTGGGCAGTATCCTGTCTAGCAAACAGAAAAGAGCGCCAAGGAGGTGTAAAAAATGGAAGGATTTTATAGACAGAAGGGGGCAAGAAAAAACAGATTATCTTATCTTTCTTTGGGGGATGGAGGGGGTCCATCAGGTGGATTACCTCACTAGTGCTGACCAGGAAATTCCAGACTGACTGGTTAAGATTCCAGTCCTGGGAAGGGCTATTAAATTAGGTATTAAGTCTTGGTTTGTTGGGGCGCCCAGGTGGCTCAGTCGTTAAGCGTCTGCCTTAGGCTCAGGTCATGATCTTGGGGTCCTGGGATTGAGCTCCCCCATGGGGCTTCTTGCTCAGCGGGGGGTCTGCTTGTCCCTCTCCCTCTGCCCCTCCCCCCATTTGTGTGTGCATGTGCGCACGTGCTCTCTCTCTCTCAAATAGATAAATAAAATATATATATATTTTTAAAGATCTTATTTATTTGAGAGAGAGAGTGACAGAGAGAGAGAGAGCACAAGCTGGGGGAAGGGACAGAGAGAGACGGAGAAGCAGATTCCCCACTGAGAGGGAGCCTGATATGGGGCTCCATCCCAGGACCCCAGGACCATGACCCAAGCCCAAGGCAGACGCTTAACCATCTGAGCCACCCAGGCGCCCCTAGATAAATACAATCTTAAAAAAAAATCTGTTGGGACTCCTAGGTGGCTCAGTTGGTTAAGCATCTGCCTTCAGCTCAGGTCATGATCCCAGAGTCCTGGGATCGAGTACCGCATCAGGCTCCGTGCTTCTCCCCCTCTGCCTGCCACTCCGCCTGCTTGTGCTTGCGCTCGCTCGCTCTCTCTGGCAAATAAATAAATAAAATCTTTTTTTTTTTAAAGATTTTATTTATTTATTTGAGAGAGCGAGAATGAGAGAGAGTACATGAGAGTGGGGAGGGTCAGAGGGAGAAGCAGGCTCCCCGCGGAGCAGGGAGCCCGATGCGGGACTCGATCCAGGGACTCCAGGATCATGACCTGAGCTGAAAGCAGTCGCTTAACCAACTGAGCCACCCAGGCGCCCTATAAATAAAATCTTAAAAAAAAAAAAAGTTTCCTCCTGTCTTATCCTTCTTTTAAAAAAAAAATCTGTTAAAGTTTTACCTTGAATCTAATCAAGCCTTAAGACCAGGATCAGCACACTTTTCTGTAAAGGGCCAGATTGGCTTTTGGAACCATACATTCCGTCACTAATGAAAGCTGCCATAGGCTATATGTAAATGAATGGGTGTTGCCATGTTCCAATAAAACTTTATTTACAAAAACAAGTGGCACGCCTGCTCTAGAATTTAAGAGACAAAACAAGGGGGCGCCTGGGTGACTCAGTCGTTAAGTGTCTGCCTTCGGCTCAGGTCATGATTCCAGGGTCCTCGAACTGAGTCCCGCATCGGGCTCCCCGCTCAGTGAGAAGCCTGCTTCTCCCTCTCCCTCTACTGCTCCCCCTGCTTGTGTTACTGATCTTGCTATTTCTCTCTCTGTCAAATAAATAAATAAATAAATAAATAAAATCTTTAAAAAAAGAGAGAAAACCATGTGCAACACATGAACAAATCTTGATTAAGTCCTAGTTTGGGAAAAAAACCAGCTATAAAAGATGTTTTAGGGCTGATTAGGAAAATTAGGGATGCCTACTGAAGGATATTAAATATTAAATAACAACTGTTCATTTTCAAAGGTGTGTGGTTATGTCCAAGAATAACTATTCCTGAAAAGATGTCTCCTGATGTATTTTGGCAGCAAGGTGTCTTGACATCACCAGAGCAGAAATGAGGGTGAGGCAACTGAGGCAAGTTCACTCAAGTGCAGGGTCAGATCCCATCTTTAATTTAAAATGTGGATATTTTGTTTAACGTGCATTTTTTAAAATCCATTTTGAGTTTTTTAAGAATAGTAATAAAATATTACTTACTTTGATTGCTAAGTTTTTTGGTGCGCCTTTAAACCTTGTGCCTGAGGGGCACCTGGGTGGCTCAGTTGGTTAGGCGTCCGACTCTTGATTTCAGCTCAGGTCATGATCTCAGGCTCGTGGGATTGAGACGTGTCGGGCTCCATGCGGAGTGTGGAGCCTGCTTGGGATTTTCTCTCTTCCTCTGCCTCTCCCCCAATCCTTGTGCTCTCTCGCTGTCTCACTCAAAAGAAAAAAAAAGCTGTATGCCTGAGATGAGACCCTCGCTATCCTCACCCAGTACTGGCCCTCACTTTGAAATGTCTTAGCAGAAGATTGACAGTGATAGGACAACTGTTCAGTCTTGATGGTGAGCAAATGCATGTTCATTGTCCTCATATTGCAACTTGGCTGTAGGTCTGAACATATTCATGTTGGGATAAGTGAATAAATAAAAAGTATGTAGACTTTTATTTATTTTTTTTTTGTAGACTTTTAAAATAAAGTAAAATTTAAAAAATAAATTTAAACTTAAAACTTAAAAAAACAAACCCCAAACTTATAGATACAGAAAACAGATTGGTGGTTACTGGAGGCAGAGGATAGGGATGATGGGAAAAATGGGTGAAGGTGGTCAAAAGTTGTAAGATAAATCCATTATAAGATAAGTAAGTCCTGGAGATGTCATGTCCAGCACGGTGACTGTGGTTTATGATACTGTAAGGTATATTTGAAAGTCTCTAAGAAAATAGATCTTAAAAGTTCTTATCACAAGGGGCACCTGACTGGCTCAGTGGGTGGAGCACGTGACTCTTATCGCAGGGAAGGTGAGTTCAAGCCCTACATTGTGTAGAGATTACTTGAATAAATAAATCTTAAAAAAATAAATAAAATATTTTTTTAAAAAGTTCTCATCACAGGAAAAAAATTGTAACTGGTGCTGGATGTTAACTAGATTTATTGTGGTGATCATTTTGCAATATATGCAAATATCAAATCATTATGTCATTTACCAGAAACTGATACAGCGTTATATGTCAATTATATCTCAATTTTAAAAAGTCTCTGGAATTTCTTATAAATTAATTCCTGCTGCAACTAGAGGGGTGTATATTCCAATCATCTTGGGACAATCCAGTTTTTTTCAGTTGTCAGGAGTAATCTTTTTTTTTTTCTTTTTTTTTTCTTAAGATTTTATTTATTTATTCATGAGAGACAAAGAGAGAGGCAGAGGGAGAAGCAGGCTCCCAAGGAGCAGGGAGCCCGATGCGGGACTCGATCCCAGGACCCTGGGACCACGACCTGAGCCGAAGGCAGACGCTTAACCATCTGAGCCACCCAGGTGCCCAGGAGTAATCTTTTAAAGCCCCACCTTTTGCTCTCAAAAGTGTCCCAGTTGGGATGCTATGTTACATGGTCCTGTTTAGTGGAGGAGAGCAAGGTGGGGGTTGTGATAACCTTGTTTTCATCCTGGTTCGGCCATGGCTGGAGGACCTCGGCTAAGTTACACCTCCTCAAAGCACAGCACTTGTCAAACATTCATAGCAACAACTCTTTCTCAAATGAGAGATCACTGCAAAAAACTCCAACAGAACAACAATTTAGAGTTGCATTTTATTAGTAGAATTTCTCTCCTACGTTCAAAGTAGTATTTACGTACAAGCAATGGATTCTCACTGAGGCTGTTGAGACGGGCACACACATTTTAAACTCGAAGTTGTAGCTGAAATCTTACTCTGTTACAACATCCACTTTATTTCTGCATTGGGCAAAGCCCCTGGTTCACAGAAAAGTGGTGGCAAAGAGTAGTTGGGCTCCCATCAAAATCTTAGTTAAATGAAGGAGAATCCCAAGTTAGTTATCTCCAACACCTTAAAACCTGCTGCCTCACCCAGCTGGCCATGCATTTTTTTTTTAAAGATTTTTATTTATTTATTTGAGAGAGAGAGAATGAGAGAGAGCACATGAGAGGGGGGAGGGTCAGAGGGAGAAGCAGACTCCCCGCTGAGCAGGGAGCCCAATGCGGGACTCGATCCGGGGACTCCAGGATCATGACCTGAGCCGAAGGCAGTCGCCCAACCAACTAAGCCACCCAGGCGCCCTGGCCATGCATTTTAAAATTCCAGTTTAAAATATTTTTTCGAAATGGAATTTGATACTAACATCTGCAGAACTGCCAAAGCCTCCCTTGGAACCCTAGTTTGGGAAATGACTGAAGAAGACAGTCAGTAGGGTCACACCTAGCTTCAAAGTCTCTGTTTCTAAGGTTGCTTTTTCTGAAACTCTCTGGAATCCAACAAAGAGGAGAGAGAATAGCACCTTGAAGTTTGGACTTTCCTATCTTTATAGCAAAAGCCCCAGAAGCAAGTGGGGGCTTTTGGAAGGCTGCATGCAAAGAAGCAAGATCCATTTTAGTGGAACAGAAAGAGTTCCTCTGTTGAACTTGGGGAGAGCAGAGATGGTCCAAAAGGTCAGCAAAGAGATGTCGGTAGGTTTTTTTGTCCACTTCCAAGAGCCTCCAGGTTTTGAGATAAAAGAGCATCTTTATCCTCAAAGTTTGGGAGCCAGGAAGTAGGGATGGAAGAACTACAACAGGTTTATTGTTTTCATGCTGGCTTGTGTCATGAAGTCAGCTCCCGATCTAGAGAGAGCTTGTTTGGAGGTTCTAGCAGGGGAGCGCAGCTACTCGTATACCCTTGACCGAAGAACGGTCCTCCGCTATCGGGGAAGGTCGTCCTCTTCGACCGAGCGCGCAGCTTCGGGAGGGACGCACATGGAGCGGTGAGGGAGGAAGGGGACACCCGCCTAGCCAGCCAGATCAGCCGAATCAACCCTGGCGATCAATGGGGTGACAGATGTCGCAGCCAGATCGCCCTCACATCCCAGCTCCCGATCTAGAGACACACAGGCTAAATGTGCCTGTGGATGTAAATTTGAACCAATCGACAACTTTTAAAAATGGGAACATTTTGCATAAAAGCCTGGGTTTCTGGCTTTGCTTACAACAATAGGAATCTCTTGCTGTTTTTCCCCATGGCCATTCTGAGTTAGAGTCAGGGTGCCCATGTCCACTCTGGAGGGCAGAGCACACATCCTCCACATGACCCATGGTCTCCATCATTCTCTGCTGCTCTCCGGTGCACGGCAATCATGTAGATTACTCACTGGCCCCCGGGGGCATTGGAGTCTGTCACCTGTGGAACGGTCATGCTTCTGAGACTAAAATTAGAGGGAGGTGGTCCAACAGGATGGGGGCAGGATGTCTCCTGGCTCTCTTTTCCCAGAGCTCTTTTTTTTTTTTTTCTTAAGATTTTATTTATTTGACAGAGAGAGACACAGCGAGAGAGGGAACACAAGCAGGGGGAGTGGGAGAGGGAGAAGCAGGCTTCCCACGGTGCAGGGAGCCCGATGTGGGGCTTGATCCCAGGACCCTGGGACCATGACTGAGTCGAAGGCAGATGCTTAACGACTGAGCCACCCAGGCGCCCCCCCAGAGCTCTTGCACCTCAGGCTTGTGAGCTTGAGCAAATCACAGCTACCTACCAAGGCTCAGTTTCCTTGTCTGCAAAATGGATGCAGAAACTCCTGCCCTCCCTGAAGTATAGGCTGTGACAAGGATCAGACAATAGCACCTGATGCTTTAAAATTATAAAGCTGTATGATCCACATCTGTAGTTGGATCAGTTTCACATCCATCCATCCTCCCTTTGCCTTGTACCCCCTGGCCCCAGCTCCCCTCCTGGGATTAGCCTCTCCCATTCTCTGGCAACATGGGTGGGTGGTATTGACTCCATCCTCAGCCTTGGTGGGCACTGGGTCAGGCTGGCCAATCACAGCACAGCATTCTCCCAGAGACAGGTGCAGGAGCCCACAGGGGCCAACAGAATCAGGGCCAGCACTTTGATTCAGTCTGCTGGCAAGGGGAAGATCTCTTTTCTACTGACCTTGGCTGTCATATTCCTAACCTGGGGGTAGCTAGTCTTTGACTGCAGCCAACAAGGAGAGAAGAATGGAAGGGTGGCGAGAAACAGGTTCTGAGTCATATAATCTGAGGCTTTGGGTCCAGATATACATCAACACATACATACTCTTTGCATCAGCCATATTGAATGGGTCTAACTCACTGGAGTCCCATGCCCCCATTGGCGGGTTCTACACTAGCAGGCAGATTTGTGAGCGTTTGTCTGATTTACATTCATTTCCCTGGGTACTTGCTGATCTCAAGTCCTGGAGTGTTCCTGCAGCAGCTGCTAGCTCTTCTCTCTGTCTGGATTTGACCTTCCACACTGCCTTCTTGAAGTTCTTGAGAGGGTCCTGCTGTGACTTTCTTGACGAAGGGCACTGGAAACACTGGCGGATGAGATAGCCGTGTCTAGTGGGGGCAACGAAGCCATTGGAAGTTGGGATGATCCTGTTCACCACAGCGTGGACAAACTGGACAGCCAGCAGGGTGCCTTTTGGGGGTGGAGGGCAGGGCATTGATGAGAAAATGGGGGCTACAGAGATCCAGTCTCACCCATTGGAGAGTTGGCTGCATGGGGCCAAATCCTTCCTATGCCCCTTACTAGCTTACGCACAAATTCTAAACTCTTGGAGTCCCTCTTGCTTCATCTGCAATATGGGGATGACAACTAAACCCACCTGCAGAGGGGAATTCTAATATTTGAAGAGGTCACCTGTGACAGGTGCTTTAGTATAGGTTTCAGCCCAGAGTGAGCTCAGTAAATGTTATTAGTGGAGGAGGAGGAGGAAGAGAGGTTGTGAACCTGCCTGGGGTGGGCTTGTAAGGCCACCCTCCACAGATCTCAGCTTCTGAGCCATCTGTGACGTTTTGCCAGGCATCTTTGCCATGAAGTAGTAGACTACGATATATTTGATTGCATTGTATTTGATTACAGTGCATTAAATCTACCTGATCTTGATTCACTCACTTGCTTTGTGACCTTGGACAAATCTCTTAACCTCCCTGAACATCAGCTTCTTCACTTTGGCACCCACCCCTCTTCCAGTGTCATAAGGGGTCCTTTCTCTATAGGAGACCATGTAGGAGGGTGACAAAGGTGACCATGGGGACCAGGCAGACCAGCTGCGAACCACTGCCTACCAGTTACTCATTGTGTGACTTTAGGCAAGTCACCCCAGGCCCTAAAGAGGGCACCATCCCAGGGGGGAGAATGTTTTGGGGTTCCAGGTACCCAGAGCATGGGTCTAGAAGAGGAGATGTAGCTCCAGGGGGGGCCTGTCCCCTTGACCTGCAGACACCTCTAAGTAGCTCCCCCCAGCTAGGGAAGGCCAGGGCAGGGCCCTCCAACATCCAGAGCCCAACACAAGGCCTCCTTCTCCAGATCTAAGCTCAGTCTTGCCCTCGAAGCAAAATGACTCACCGTCTAGCACACTCCAGACAATGATGGAGCGATCTTTCAAGCCCGCATACACATACTTGTCATCCATGGAGAAGCAGACACACTGGACTCCTCTACAGTAAGGATTCTGTAGAAAAAGACAGTGTGATCTGGAGTTCATACTGGGACACCCAGGAGATCCACCGCAAGGCATTTGTGTCAGAAGCCAGGCATGTAAGCCTCCCATGGGGATGGATCCAATGAAACCCTGAAGAGATGGGTATATTGCATCACCAAGATTCCCAGCACCAAAACATGTTTTCATAGGGATTGGACTGAGAGGTTTGCAGACAATTTGCACTGGAGAGCAGGAATTATTGGATTTAATATCCTAAGTGACCTCAGTTCTACAAGCATTAGCTATCATGGTCTTTAGTTAAAGGCTATATGCTAAACACAGCACAGCATCCTAGATTGGATCCTAGACCAGGAAAAGGAAATTCACTGAGAAAAACATATGCTCCCAATGAAGTTGGTAGCTTAGTTAACAATCCTGTCCCCATGGTAATTTCTTAGTTTTGACAAATGTACTCGAGTTACGTAAGATGTTAACATCAGGGAAGCTGGATGAGGAGGAGGTAGAGGGGAACCTCTGTACTATCTTCACGACTCCTTTGTAGATCTAAAATGAATCATTCCAAACTTAAGTTCATTTAAAAACAAAAATGGTGGGGGCACGCCTGGGTGGCTCAGTCTGTTAAGCATCCAACTCTTGATCTCAGCTCAGGTCTTGATCTCACGGTCCTGAGTTTGAGCCCCATGTTGGGCTCCATGCTGGGTGTGGAGCCTACTTAGAAGTAAGTAAGTAAATAAATAAATAAATAGGGGCACCTGGGTGGCTCAGACGGTGCCTTCGGCTCAGGTCGTGATCCCAGGGTCCTGGGATCAAGCCCCACATTGGGCTCCCGGCTCAGCGGGAATCCTGCTTCTCCCTCTTCCCCTGCTCATGTTCTCTCTCTCTTTATCTCTGTGTCTTTTATTTTTTCAAGCTTATTTATTTATAATCTCTACACCCAACATGGGGCTCGAACTCACGACCCTGAGATCAAGTGTCACATGCTCTACCGAATGAGCCAGCCAGGCTCTCTCTACAAGACTTATTTGACCTTCCTAAATAGCAGCCTTTGCCACCCTACCCCATTTACCTTGCCCTGTTTTTTTCTCAAAGCTCTTGTTCCACAGCCCATCATGTATTTGCATCTTTGTTTTTATTTCTTTTATGTTATTTTTTTTTCTTTTTTTTTCTTTTTTAAAGATTTTATTTATTTATTTGAGACAGAGAGAATGAGAAAGAGAGAGCATATGAGAGGGAGGAGGGTCAGAGGCAGAAGTAGGCTCCCCGCCAAGCAGGGAGCCCGATGCGGGACTCGATCCAGGGACTCCAGGATCATGACCTGAGCCGAAGGCAGTCGCTTAACCAACTGAGCCACCCAGGCGCCCTCTTTTATGTTATTTTTTTAAAAAGATTTTATTTATTTGAGAGAGAGAGGGAGAGCCAGAGAGAGAGCACGAGTGGAGGAGAGGGGCAGAGGGAGAAGCAGACTCCCCACTGAGCAGGGAGCCCGACGTGGGGCTCGATCCCAAGACCCTCAGATCATGACCTGAGCCGAAGGCAGATGCTTAACCGACTGAGCCACCCAGGCGTCCTGCTACTTTGTTTTTATTCCACAAATACTTACGGAGCCCTGAGGACATATCAGGAGCTCCCCTAGGGATGGGGGCCACCTCTGTAAGCAAAACACAGAAAGATCCTGCCCTCCCGGAGCTCACACTGTGTCCCCTCCGAGAACGTGGCTCCACGAGGCGGGACAGTGTATGCCCTGGCCACGGCTAGAAAGGGGCCTGCCCAGACCGGGCAATCAAAACTGTCAGACGCAGGAACAGGGATCAGGATTAGGGTAAGGAGGGTGAGGCAGGGGTGTGCCAGGGCAGGATTTGATCCCGTCTTTATTTAAAATGATATTTTGGGGGGCGCCTGGGTGGCTCAGTCGTTAAGCGTCTGCCTTCGGCTCAGGTCATGATCCCAGGGTCCTGGGATCGAGCCCCGCATCGGGCTCCCTGCTCTGCAGGAAGCCTGCTTCTCCCTCTCCCGCTCCCCCTGCCTGTGTTCCCTCTCTCGCTGTGTCTCTTATCTGTCAAATAAATAAATAAAATCTTTAAAAAAAAAAAAAGATTCTCTATCTCCCTCTCCCTCCTCCCCCCATACACTCTCTCTCTAAAAATAAATAAATAAAATCTTTAAGAATAGGGGAGCCTGGGTGGCTCAGGTCATGATCCCAGGGTCCTGGGATCGAGTCCCACATCGGGCTCCCTGCTCCGCGGGAAGCCTGCTTCTCCCTCTCCCACTCCCCCTGCTTGTGTTCCCTCTCTCGCTGTCTCTCTCTCTGTCAAATAAATAAATTTAAAAAAAATCTTTAAAAATAAATAACTAAAATGATATTTTGGGGGCGCCTGGGTGGCTCAGTCGGTTAAGCATCTGCCTTCGGCTCAGGTCATGATCTCAGGGTCCTGGGATCGAACCTGGTGTCGTTGGGCTCCCTGCTGCTTCTCTCTTTGCTCCTCCTCCCTGCTCTTTCTCCCTCTGAACAAATAAATACAATCTTTAAAAAAATGATATTTTGTTCTTTGTGAATTTTTTGCATTTCTTTCGATCTTGGTAAACATTATATTAAAATAGCATCTCTCTCTTTTTTTTTTTTTAGATTTTATTTATTTATTTGACAGAGAGAGAGATCACAGTAGGCAGACAGGCAGGTAGGCAGAGGGAGAGGGAGAAGCAGGCTCCCCGCTGAGCAGGGAGCCCGATGCGGGGCTTGATCCCAGGACCCTGGGATCATGACCTGAGCCGAAGGCAGATGCTTAACTGACTGAGCCACCCAGGCGCCCCAAAATAGCATCTCTCTTGATTGCTGAGTCTTTTGGCTGCCCCTTAAACTCTGCTACCAAGGTGAGCATCTCTCACTGGCCTCACCCCGCTCCTGACCCTGGGCTGTGGTCCTTGGTGTGCACTTAATACAGGACACCTGTCCTCAGCTTTCTAATGCCAGGACCTCGTGTCACGTGGTGTGCGGGCCACGCACCATGTAGCTCATCTGGAATCTCCACTTGCAGGCCTGCAGGTCCCAGAGACACAGCAGGGCTTCCTCGGACCCGCTGACCACCAGCTGCTCCTTGTGGCTGACCTGCATGCAGGTGACCTGGCTCCCGTGGGCCTCCAGAGGGAACACTTTGGAGTTCGCACACTCGTAAAGGAAGAGGTCACCACTGGTCATGCCGTAGATCACGCGGTAGTCGGCCAGCACGGCCACGCTGGATATGGTCTCAGGCAGCTGGGTGTAGAAGGTGTAGATTGGCCCGTCGATGACGGGACAGGGATCCCCAGGGCTGATGTCCAGCACCAGGACAATGCTGTCATAGGCGATGGCCAGGCGCTCCTCGCCTTTACTTAGGGCCATGCATCTGATGGCTTTCCGAGCCTCAGGAGGGGGGATGCACATCACATCCTGTCTGGAATTCAGGGGGAACACCAGGACGACCCCCGAAACGAGGCCGGTGAAAAGGAGATTGGCCTGCTGGGCAACCTCCAGACACCTGACCTCATTGGAGGTGTCCAGGGCATCTTGCTCTTCCCCTGCCACCAAGAGAAGACCATGTCAAGAACAGCTCAGGGGAACGCTCGTGCCACAGTTTTCTTATTTTTAAGGATTTTAAAAACTGCTTTCATGATCCATACTCCCCAACCTCTCCACTGCAATCCCCCTGCCTCCACCCCTGTCCTCCCATTTCCTCAGCGCCCTGCCTAACACCTTCTGAGGACTTCCCGCTCCCCATCAGGACAGATGGACAAACAGACATGCATGATCTCTCATCCCAGACCTTCCCTTTACAAACGTCTGGAGAAGGTCAGAGAGTAAATATTTTGCCTTTCGGGCTGTATGAACTCTGAGTGCAAGCTCTTAACCCTGGTAGACAAATGGCTTTAGCTGGCGCACGTGTATCTCACGCCCCACCGTGCCCCCTACCTTTGTGCTCGGCTTCGCCCCGCAACTAGCAGGCAGGCATCTCAAATGTTGTAACCTCACCCGTCTTGCTCACTGCCAACCCCAGAGCCTGGCTCGACGGTCAGCACTAACCAAACATCTGCCAAACCCATGAATGCAGGAAGGTGAGAGTGAATCTCTTTTCTCATAATATTTTATCATTAACAAGGAATTTCTGTACCTCCATTCGCCCCGTGGAGGTTACAGTAGACACAGTTGGTGACGTGCCCAGAAGCCCGTTACTGGCCAGGGCACCCAACCCCCAGGCTGCCCACTGCCCTCGGGGGAAGGGAGCCCCTCATCTCAAAATGTTTGCGGGGCTGTGCCCACCACCCAGAATGGGCTGCAGCCAGTGACTGCTTGATATGGGGATACAAAAGATGGGCCCTCTTGCTTCACGATGGAACAACTCTGAGCTGCAATTTATACTCCAGGGCCCCCCTGGGATCAGGCTGAGCCCACCTCCTTGTTCAGTCCTCTCCCTGCCCCTGCCTGCTTCCCTCACTCCCTTTTGGGTTTCTCTGGGAGCTCCCTCAACCCACCCCTTGTGCAAATATCCCCATCACATGCCCTGCTTCCCGGGATTGACAACCGGATGGTCGATGACCCGCGTGCTGGAAAATTTACAAAATCAAGTCCTGATCTCTGGTTAGCCACTTTCAACCTGACTGGAGTTATGGGGGTCTTATGGACTGAGTGTGTCCCCCCCATATTCACACGTCGAAATCCTACCCCCTAATGTGATGGTGTTGGGAGGTGATGAGGTCATGAGGGCAGAGTCCCCACCTTTATACAAGGGCCCGGGGAGCTTGCTTCCTTCTCTATGCTCCTGTGAGGACATAACAAGAAAGGGAAAGGGGCCATCTGCAGCCAGGAGGCCGGCCGTCACCAGACACCGATCTGCCAGTGCCTTGGCCTTGGCCTTGGCCTTCCCAGCCTCCAGAACTGTGAGAAATAAATGTCTATTGTTTAAACTGCCCAGTCTGTGGTGTTTGGTTCTAGTAGCCCAAGCGGACCAAGACAGGGGCTCTGGCTCTTCCCCACACGAACAACCAGGCTTATATCTCACCGACCTTCTGCCGAGTCCCAGATGGTGACTTTGTTCTTGTCCCCAATCTTGGGGAAGTAAATGTAGCCTCCATTGTGTGACATCGCAGTGAGGCCAGTGCGGTCCAGAAACGGGGTGCAGGCCCTCGGCTTCTGAATGTAGGTGAGATCCCAGACTTTAAAAGACGAGGACTGCTGGGAACCAGATGCCACCAAGGCCCCACCCCAGGCCAGCAGGCTCATGGGGGCCCCGACGCCTTCCAGAATGTCCAGCAGGGTCCCCTGTTCCGACAGACTCCACACCTGAGGACGGACAGCAGAGGGCCAGAGCTGACTTCTTCCTTCTGCTGTCACAGCGCAGAATATCTGCATCTATTTGTCCACCTAAGGTGGAGTCTCAGGCTGCAGTTCAAGGGCCTTCACCAGCCCCTCAAACTTCCCCACACCTCACCAATCTGCTACCACAGCAATTCTCAAAGTGTGATCCAGGGAACCCCTGGAGGGTACCTCCAGGCATCTTCAGGAAGGCATGCAAAGGCAAAACGGTTTTCATAGTAATTCAAGAAGTTGTTTGCCTTTTCTACCCTCTTCCTCTCGTGAGTGAGCACTGGAATTTTCTAGAAGCTACGGGACATGTGATATCACAACAAAGAGAATGCAGAATTAAATATGAGAAACCAATTCATCTTCTACTAAGCCAGACATAAAAGAGATTTGTCCAAATGTGCACCAATGACACTCTTCTCATGAGTTGTTTTGTTTGTTTCAGAAACTATAGTTATTTTCATAGATGTCTGTTATTACATTGACGTGTAATGTTCATGAATCGATGGATGTGTATTTTTGGATTTCCTCATCTCTAATTTTTAATATGCTAACTACCAATAGATACTAACTGCAACGTGGGATCCCAGATTGGATCCTGGAAATAAAGAAAAAAAGGGCATTGGTAGGAAAGCTGGTGAAATCAGAACAGAATCTGCAGATCAGTTAATAGTATTGTCCTAATGTAAATTTTTTAGTTTTGATAAAGAGCTCGGTGGCATGAGATATTAATATTGAGCAAGCTGGGTGAAGAGTAGATATTTATATATGGGGGCTCTCTGTGCTTTTTTGGGCAACTCTTCTGGAAATCCTAAAATTATTCCAAAATAAGTCTTTGTTAAAAAAGTATCAATCAAATTGATGTAACCCACATAAACAAAAGCTCTTTGGGGTCCTCAATAATCTTTAGGAATGTAAAGAGGTCCTAAAGCCAGAATGTTGGAGAACTGCTACCTTTTTTTTTAGAGAGAGAGCGCATGTGCACATGAATGCACATCCATGCATTTAAGCACAAGCGGTGGGGAGAGGCAGGGGAAGAGAGAATCCTCAAGCAGACTCCCCACTGAGTATAGAGACCCACGTGGGGCTTGATCTCAAGACCCTGAGGTCATGACCTGAGCTGAAATCAAGAGTCAGATGTTTAGCCGACTGAGCTGCCCAGGTGCTCGGAGAACTGCTACTTTATCGTGAGAACTTGGAGCTCAATGGGAATTTTCCTCCACGTCCCCCCACCCTGGCCCCACTCTGAAGCCAAAATCCTCCCAGGTTTTCAGGTTCGGTGGGAAGGCTGTATCCTTTGTTGAACATTTTGGTAACTCCTGCCCCCCCAACCCCAGGCCTGTCGAGGGGTCTCAGGGGATGCCTCCCCCACATCCTCCCAATGACCTGCCCTGTTTCACCTGCACTAGTTTCTGTCTCTATATTTCGAAGCCAAAAGACTCCTAAGGAATCATACTTTCTATTCCAGAGGCAGAGTGAGGATGACCCCTCACCTGAATGAGTGCATCCCGGGACCCAGTAATAATCAGATTGTTCTCAGGACCAAAACCGGCTGTCTCTACTGTGTCCTCGTGTTCAAGGTCGGTGGCCATGAATCGATGAAACCCCTGTGAGTCAGCCAAGAATATCCGCACAGATCTTCCAAACCCTGAAATGGAAGGCATGGGATTATCCCTGTCATTCCTGGAGGAGCTCGAGAGTAATTCCATCCAGTCAACAAAGATTTTTCTGAGCACCTGCTATGAGGAGGGGGAAGGCATACAGTGTCGAACGAGAGAGACATCCTCACCTAGCGTATAGTTTCGGGGAGGGGGGCAGCTGACCACAGGGATCAATAAGCTCACAGAAAACAGCCAAGTTATTTATTATCCCAAGACTCTTCTTTTTCAGAGGGCTGGGACTGCCTGTTTGGGCTGCTCGTGGCGTCCCAGAACCCAGCACAAAACTGGACATAAGGCAGATACGTTTTGAAGACAGAAGGGAGGGAGGAAGGAAGACAGGAAGGAAAAGAAAGCAGTTACAATCTGTGATGAGGACAATGAAGGGGCAAAATAAAGGATTCTTCTCTGGAGCCTTTGGAGGGAGCATGATTTTGGACTTCTGGCCTCTAGAACTGTGAGAAAAGAGATTTCTATTTTGTCAAAGCGACCACGTTTGTGTGGTCATTGGTTGCAGCAACCACAGGACATTGGAGCAGACATTTGAGAAGGGGATTGGCACTGGAAGAGTGGGGAACAGCGTGGGATGAGCGGGAGGTAGGAAAGGCCTGGGTATGTCTCAGGAGCAACACAGAGACCAGTGTGGCTGGAGCGGAACGAAGGAGCAGGAGATGAGGAAGAGAGAGGGAGAGGGTTGCTAGATTTAACACGAAACAACACAAAACCAAAAACCCAACGGACAGTTCAATTAAATTTGAATTTCAGATAAACAGTGAAATTGTGATTAGTATAAGTGTATCCCAAATATTACATGGGATATTTTTATACTGAAAATTTGATTTGTCGTCTATCTGAAATTTAACTGTATTCTGTATTCATTTTCTCTGGCACCCCACCCAAGGCGACTTGCTCATGTGTGTTCCAGATACGGGCTGGGTGAATGCTTTGTTAAGAGGACCCCTGGCAGTGCAGGAAAGTGGGCTAAGTCCAGATTATGCAGCTCTTCCTGGGCCTGCAGCCCTGGGGGTGGTGCTGTGGGACTCTGGGCTATGCACCTGGCCTGCACCAGCTCAGGTCCGTTTCCCGGAAACCCCAGAATCAAGTCAGCACAGGAGAAGCTAGGGGCTGAGAGTCCATCTTACTGCCTCTCCAGGCCCTCCGTGGAATTGTTTTACTGAACTCCAGTTGAACCTGAGGCTCACACAGAAGGATGTTATGGGAAGCGGATCAAGTGCATCAGGGTATCTGCTATCCAAGGATATCTGCATTCCATTCTTGTGCGGTAGAGGATTAACTCCGCTGGCCTGGGCTGTCCACATCCTGCATACGAATGGTTTGGCCCTTGCCGGGCTCCTGAGAGGTGCCCTCTAGGCCCCTAGAATGTGCTGCTTGATTAAAGTGTCCTTGTTGCCTGAGGCCTTGGGCCACACGGGATGGTGCGTGCTCACATGTGATCTATGGTGGGACACGCAGTATTGGATGGACCTCAGGGGATATTGGAGACCGAGGTCAGCTGTGCAGGTGGTCAGCTGGGTCTACATAACCGACCCGCAGTAAAAATCCTGGACAGCAAGCTAGGTGAGCTTCCCTAGTTGGCAGGACACTGTCGTCACACCCTGTGGCTAAGAGAATTAAGTGCTGTCCACGTGTCTCCACGGGGAGGGGACACCAGGAAGCTCGTGCCTGGTGCCTTCTGGACTCAGCCCCACGCACCTCTACCCTTCGTTGATCTTCATCTGTGTCCTTTGGCTACAATAAACTGTGAGCATGAGCCTTTCTAAGTTCTTTGAGCCCTAGCAAATCACCGAACCTGACGGTGATCTTGGGGACCCCTGAGCTGCAAGTCCGTTTATGACCTTGGAAGAAATCTCTGCCTGATCTTAGCTGAGTCGGGATCGGGGTACATCTCCTGAGCAACAGGTGGGATCCCAACACTGTGGATGGAGAACCTGCTCAGGCTTCTCCTCACTGGCTGCTGGACAGAGCCACACTTGAGACCCACTGTGACAAGGTTCTAGGTCACTGAGGTCCTCGGTGCCTTTGGCCTCGGTCCTGATTCCATGTTGTGCCTCTACCCTCCCCCCATTCCCATTTCCTGTGCTGCATTTCACACATACTAATGCCACCTAAAATTCTTTTGGAAACACGATGCAAGATGCATTATCAGTCAATCATCCATCAGTCAGCCTCAGAGGCTAAGTGTCTATTTATTAGACCTGTGATCTCTGTGCAGGTGTGGTCACCACGAGCCACGTGTGGCTCTTACTGTGGCTGAGCCAAGTTGAGATGAGCCGTCAGTGGACTACACATGCCAGGTTTCATATCCTTCGCAATGTGAAAAAGACCGTTAATAATTTTTATATTGATTTCATGTTGAATTTTTGGATGTGTTGGATTAAACAAGATATATTATTAACGTGAATGACACCTATGTCATTTTGCCTTTTTATTTTTATTTTTTATTTTTTTAAAAGATTTTATTTATTTATTCATGAGAGACAGAGAGAGAGAGAGAGGTAGAGGGAGAAGCAGGCTCCCCGCTGAGCAGGGAGCCCTATGCGGGGCTCGATCCCAGGACCCTGGGATCATGACCTGAGCCGAAGGCAGACGCTTAACCATCTGAGCCACCCAGGCACCCTCATTTTGCCTTTTTAAATAGGGTCATGAAGACATTCGGTTATAAAGGTGGCTCACATTTGTGGTTTGCCTTACTGGACAGCACCGGTCTCCCGTTGTCTTTGACCCCTGGAAATGGATTTATAAAAATCACTGGGGTGCCTGGGTGGCTCAGTCGGTTAAGCATCTGCCTTCGGCTCAGGTCATGATCCCAGGGTCCTGAGATGGAGCCCTATGTCAGGCTCCCTGCTCAGTAGGGAGCCTGCTTCTCCCTCTGCTCCCTGCTTGTGCTCTCTTGCTATCTCTGTTATTATCTCTGTCTCTCTCTCTCAAATAAATAAATAAAATCTTAAAAAAAAATCAGGCTGATTTTAGGGCAATGCAAATACCCTATCTGAGATTATGATGGTAGATATATGTCATTACATGTCTGTCCAAACCCATAGAATGTACAACACCCAGAGTGAACGGTATGATGATGTGTCGATGCAGTTCATCATTTATAGCAAATGCACCACCCTGGTGGGGGGAGGGGGGAGTGTTGATATTGGAGGAGGCTGCGAGCGTGGGGGGGGTGTAAGGAGTATATGGGAAATCTCTGTACTTTCTGCTCAATTTGGCTGCGAACCCCAATCTGATCTTGTTTTTTTAAATATTTAGTTATTTAAATAATCTCTACACCCAAGGTAGGGCTTGAATTCACGACCCTGAGATCAAGAGTCACACACTCCTCTAAAGAAACCAGCCAGGTGCCCCCCAAAACTGATCTTTAAAAAATAGTCTTTTAAGGGGCGCCTGGGTGGCTCAGTCGTTAAGCATCTGCCTTTGGCTCAGGTCATGATCCCGGAGTACCAGGATCGAGCCCCACATTGGGCTCCCTGCTCAGCAGGAAGCCTGCTTCTCCCTCTCCCACTCCCCCTGCTTGTGTTCCCTCTCTCGCTGTGTCTCTCTCTCTGTCAAATAAATAAAATCTTTAAAAAAAAAAAATCAGGCTGCAGAGTATCTGTTGGTCACCTCCCAGGAAGCCTTCCCTGACTGTTTCAGACTAAAGAAGGGAACCCTGTCACATGCTCCCATAACCCCTGAATCTTGTCTGGTCATCACACCAACCACTCTTCCTCGTGTCTACCTTACCGTCTGCTAGCCTGGGAGCCCCTAAATGCAGGGGTCGCGTGGGCTGGCTCACCCCTGAGTGCACCCCATCCTCCCAGGCGGCCCCCCTCCAACCCTGTCCCTGTGTGGCAGGGATAACCACCCTCATCTCAAAGATAATGACCAGGGGTTGGCAAACTATAGCCGTGAGCTGCGACTGGCCCGCCATCTATTTTTCTATGACCCATGAGCTCAGAAGACTTTTCACATTTTTAAATAGTTTTACAAAAATAAAAACACGATTCCTGTTTTGTGACAGGTGAACATGATACGAAATCCAAATGTTGGCCTCCACATGAGATAGCATCTGCAGCGGCTTTCACATCACAGGGGCAGGCTTGATTTGTGGCCACAGAGACCACTGGGTCTGCAAAGCCAAAAATGGGTACTGTGCAGCCTGCTGCAGAAAAGGTTGCCATCCGCTGGTCTAGGACTGTCCCTCCAACACTCCCCGCCCCCCACCCCCCCCACCAAGCCCCTTTGCTCTTGCAACCAAATCTGGAGTTAGCTCCTCATGGCTCCGAATAAGAGCTAGACGCTACCTGCAGCGAGAAGGGACTCGTCTTCAGAGAGTATAAGGAACCTCACGGCTTCCGGAAGCTTCTCCAGCAGGCTGTCTCCTTCGAGGGTAACCTGTGCAAAGTCAAGGATGCCCATCAAGCATTTCCACAGGGTGAAAGGTCCAGGGCCAGGAGCTTGGCTGCAAGGCTCTACCGCTCACCAGCTTCGAAGCAAGTGCCTTAGCCCTTGGATGCCTTAGTTTCCTTATCTGGGAAATGGGCGATGATACAGGACCACCGCATAGGGCTATCATGGGGGGGTTCCCAAGGTCTGTTAAGCATCTGCCTTCGGCTCAGGTCATGATCTTGGGGTCCTGGGATCGAGTCCCACATCAGGCTCCCTGCTCCGCGGGAAGCCTGCTTCTTCCTCTCCCACTCCCCCTGCTTGTTCTCTCCACCCCCCCTTCACAAATAAATGAAATCTTAAAAAAAAAAAATTAAACAACAATCCTGTATAAGATGGAAAAAAAAAAAAAGAAGTATCCAGAGCACACCATGAGCACCTCTTCACCTTTCCTGCCGTTCTCCCTTCCCCCCAGAAGGGACTGTTGTCTGCTTTGCTGCATCCGTTTGCATAGATGAGCACTTACACGACCATGCTTTTTTGCACCATCCATCAGAGACACTGTTCTGCAAGTTTTTCCCTGAATGTGTCCAGGGCAGTGGTTCTCAAGGGGTGGGGAGGGCAATTTTGTGCCAACCCCGCCGGCCAAGGACAGTTGGCTATGTCCAGAGACATGAGTGCCAACAGTGACCCACATTGGTCAGCCCCCAGGAGACACCAAGAGATGTTTCCTGAATCGCGCTGAGTTAGTTGCAAATCCCTAAATTAAGAAACCAAATGTCATTTACGAAAAGATCAAAGGGGAAGTGGTTTCTCCCAACTTCTAGGACATCTGAGCACGTTGGAGCTGAGCGGTGTGGGCATCACACTCAGGAGAGAGACTTACCAAAGAGATGGAGCCCTTGCTAAACCCGGCCACCAGCTTGCCTTGCTTCTGGACCGAGACCCCACAGGTAGGTGTTTCTTCTTTGATGCTGGATAAGTGTTGCCTCCCCTGCAGTTTTCCTGCGGCTGAGCTCCACAGACTGACCACGCCAGCCTCAGACACGGTCAGCAGCGTGGCCCGGGAAGCCAGCACAGCTGCGCATATCCAGCGGTCAGACACATCTCCCAAGATACGGAAAACCAGCTCTGCAGTTGCCAGATGCCAAGCACTGACCTGATGGAATCATGGAAAGGAAGGGCAATCTCAGCAAGAGACCTGGATTGCAGGTTTTCCAGAGTCAAATGCAAAACCTGGGCTTTTTCAGAGGGCATGCATTTTATTTTCAACACTGTTAGTTCCAAAAAAAAAAAAAAAAAAGGCAGAGGGGAGAGGTATCCTGGATTAGATCCTAGAGCAGCAAAAGGACATTTGTGGAAAAACTGATGAAATGAGTAAAGTCTGAGTGAGACTGATAGAAACTTTACCAGTATTAATGTCTTAGCTGTGGCAGATGTACCCTGGTTATGTAAGATGTTGACATGACTGAAGACTGGATAGACGGGCATATGGGAACTCTCTATAATAGCTTTATAACATTTCCATGAACCTAAAATTTCTCCAAAATAACAGTCTTAAAAATGGGGGAAAAAGTCAGCCGTAACGTATGCATTCACGTATCTGTTCACTACAAATAATTCTTGATTACGGCAGGTTTCATATTTAACCTCACCAAAAAAAGTACCTTTTAAAATCAATAGTAACCAGGGCACCTGGCTGGCTCAGTCGGTTAAGCGTCTGCCTTCGGCTCAGGTCATGATCCCAGGGTCCTGGGATCGAGCCCCGCGTCAGGGGGGAGCCTGCTTCTCCCTCTCCCACTCCCCCTGCTTGTGTTCCCTCTCTCGCTGTCTCTCTCTCTCTGTGTCAAATAAATAAATAAAATCTTAAAAAAAAAACTGTAGTGGAGTCAGTGCAAGGACATCTCACGAAATCACTAAGCCTGCTGATTCTGAAGAATGTTTGAGGTTATGGGCAAATAAAAATAGATTATAAAGCTGCACACCTAGCTTTCTATATGGTTTTATCCCCATTTTGTGTTATACTTACACACACGTGCACTTGTATGTGCATACCCACACACCACAGGAGACAAACTCATGTAAATGTAAAACTGGTTGTCTTTGGGATTAACTATTATTATCTCTTATCTCTTTTAAAAAAGATTTTATTTATTTTTTTGACAGAGAGAGAGAGAGCACAAGCAGGGAGAGCGGTAGGCAGAGGGAGAAGCAGGCTCCCCGCTGAGCAAGGAGCCCCACCCAGGGCTCATCTCAGGACCCTGGGATCAGGACCTGAGCTGAAGGCAGATGCCCAACCAACTGAGCCACCCAGGCACCCCTATTTCTTTTTTTTTTTAAGATTTATTTATTTTATTTTTTAAAAGATTTTATTTATTTATTTGACAGAGAGAGACACAGCGAGAGAGGGAACACAAGCAGGGGGAGTGGGAGAGGGAGAAGCAGGCTTCCCGCTGAGCAGAGAGCCCAATGCAGGGCTCCATCCCAGGACCCCAGGATCATGACCTGAGCAGAAGGCAGCCGCTTAACGACTGAGCCATCCAGGCGCCCCATTGCAACCATTTTTAACTGTCCAGTTGCAGGACATTAAGCATATTCACACTGGCATGCAGCCAACCCCCTCATCCATCTCCAGGACTGGTTCATCTTCCCAAACTGAACCTCTGTCCCCATGAAACACAGACTCCCCACCATTCCACCTTCTGTCTCTATGGATTTGACCACTCTAGAGACCTCATATAAATAGACTCATACGGTGCTTGTTTTTGTTTTGTTTTGTTTTGTTGTTTTTTAAAGATTTTATTTATTTATTTGACAGAGAGAGACACAGAGAGAGAGGGAACACAAGCAGGGGGAGCAGGAGCGGGAGAGGGAGAAGCAGGCCTCCCGCTGAACAAGGAGCGGGACGCGGGGCTCGATCCTAGGACCCCGGGATCATGACCTGAGCCAAAGGCAGATGCTTAACGAATGAGCCACCCAGGTGCCCCAAGATTTATTTGTTTTAGAGAGAAAGAGAGAGCAAGAGAGAGTGTCTGAGTGTGGGGAAGGGCTGAGGAAGAGAATCCAAGCAGACTCCCCACTGAGCGCCGAGCCCAAAGCCGGCCTGGATCTCACAACCCTGAGATCATGAGACCTGAACCAAAACCAAGAGTCAGACACTCAACCCAATAAGCCACCCAGGTACCCCTATTATTTCCTATTTCTTTACTGTGTTTTCCAAACTTCTGCTGATAAACAAAGTGATTTCTTTAACCAGTTTTGAAATCAGTCAACACCTCCCTAATATTTAAGCCTGCCCTGTCAATAACAGTATAATGTAAAGCTGCGTGACTTCAAATTCTGTATTCGTCCCTTTAAAAAAAAAAGTAAGAAGAAACAAGTGAAATCGATTTAAATAATATATTTGGTTTAGCCTTATGTCCAAATGTTACCATTGCAACACATAATCAATATCAAATCACTACTGAAATCTTTTACATGATTTCTATGGTACTAAGGCTTTGAAAGCCAGTGTGTTTTGTACTTACAGCACATCTCAATTCAGAATAGGCACATCTCAAGTGCTCAGTAGCCGCATCTGGCTGGTGACCACCCATATTGGACAGCACGGTTTATAAGCTACCAGTATTACTTATGTTAACATCTGCCTGTTCCTAATAAAATATAATAATAGCTATTAAGTATTTGGTGCTTACTATGCACCAAGCACTATGCCAGGTGTTTTAGTCATTATCTCATCAGGTAGACGAAGAATGGAGGCAGAGAGGTACGGTGATAAGATCAAGATCACTCAGCTTACAAAGAAGTCAACTGGGAGTTAGGTACAGATTTTTTCCCCACGCCTTTAGTTCCTAAGCTTTCACCCACTGTTCTACTGCGTCTCTATTCATCACATAATCAGATCACAGGGTTGTAATTGACATAGAGGAATAACACAGCAGAATACAGATTGTTTTCAGATGTATGTGGAACATTTACCAAGAGAGACCCTAAAATGAGTCTCAATACATTTGACAGGATTCATCATACAAATGAAATTAAGTTAGGAAAGAAAAAGGTAAGCTACCTGGGAACCTTTCAAATATCTGGGAATAAATAGCACACTTCTAAATAGCCCATGGACCTGGGGCGTCTGGGTGGCTCAGTTGGTTAAATAGCCCATGGACCAAAGAGCAAATCAAAAGGGAAATCTGAAAATGTTTTAAACTGAAGGTAAATGATAATATGACATAGCAAGGTTTGTGGGATGCAAGTAAGGCTGTACTCAGAGAGAAATTTATAGCACTAAAATGACCGAATTAAAAAAGATTTGGGGTGTCTGGGTGGCTCAGTCAGTTAAGCCTCCGACTCTTGATTTCCGCTCAGGTCATGATCTCATGGGTCATGAGATCGAGCCCCGTGTCAGGCTCCCTGCTGAGTGGGGAGTCTGCTTGAAGATTCTTTCCTCTGCCCCTCCCCACCAATAAATCAATCAATCTTTATTTATTTATTATTTTGAGAGAGAGAGAGTGAGAGAGCGTGGGGAGAGGGGCAGAGGGTGAGGGAGAAAGAGAATCTCAAGCAGACTCCCCACTGAGCTTGGAGCCAAACATGGGGCTTGATCTTACGACCTTGAGATCATGACCTGAGCAGAAATCAAGAGTCAGAGGCTTAACCAACTGAGCCACCCAGGTGCCCCAATAAATATATCTTAAAAAAAAAAGAAAAAAGAAAAAAGATGAAAAGTCTCAACTCTTAGGGTCAGAAAGAACTATCAAGATCATCTAATCCAACTGTGAAGTTTGAAACCCCTTATAGTATCCTATCCAGTGGTTGTGCACCCCTGTTTATGCCCACCCCCTATTAGGGAGCCCCATCTCCTAGAAACACCATATGCTGTCTTGCAATGCTCTGGTCGTAGCTTTCCTTTGCAAACAGGGCAGGTGTTTGTTACCTTTGAGCCAGATGCCAAATACACAACTTTCTTTGCTTCATCCATGTGAAGACTGCAGATCTCAGTGTGATCTTTTGAGCCTCCGTCCCAAATGGTGAATTTCTCCTGCCCAGAGAGTAAATCCCACAAGCGCAGTGTGTGGTCCTTTGAGGCAGAGAGGGCGAGCGTCCCTTTGGCAAACACTTTCACATACCTCACCTCTCCTGCAGTAGACCAGGGTCAGGGAGAATATATTAGCTGAAAACATTTTGACTTTCCAACTACCAAAATGCCTGTTGGTTTGGAAAAGATGATGGATTCAAACGTAACCAAATTACAAATAATGGAATGTGGCAAAACTCAATTAAGAGTGCAACTGGTTATGATTAAATCAATTGCCCAGATGTGAATATGTAATAAACAGAGATCACTGCAATTTATAAAAGTTCAGCATTATCCAGGGAGTGTTTAAAATCAATAAACATGTAAAAACAAGGTAAGGTTATAGAGAAAATTTTACAATCTTGGAAAGATATTTTCCAAGCAAAACACGAAATTTGGAAGACATAAAGAGGAAAAATTGATCAATTGGATTACATAAAAATGCAAAACTTCAGGAGGATAAAGTAGAGTTGAAAGTCATATGACAGATTAAGAGAAAATATTTGTAATATATAACAGATAATGGAGACTTTCCATAATAAACAAAAAGTTCTTACAAATAATCAGGGAAAATGCAAACAACCTCCTCAGAAACTGGACAAAGAATATAGACAGGAAATTTACAGAAATAGCACTTGTAGACAATAAGCATTAGAAAATGATGTGCAACCTCACTAGTAATCACAAAAATGCAAGATGAAATACCAATATATCATTATTACACAAAATATTCGCAATTTTTGGGGGAGAGAGAAAGTGTGTGCATATGTGCATGCACGAGTTGGGGGGGAGGGGCAGAGGGAGAGGGAAAGAGTCTCAGGCAGGCTCCATGCTCAGCCTGGAGCCCTATGCCAGGCTCAATCACATGACCCTGAGATCATGACCTGAGCTGAAATCAAGAGTCGGACATTTAACGTACTGAGCCACCCAGGCGTCCCTGGCAAAAATTTTCAAGATTGATCACTGTACTACTGACAAAGATACAAGAAATAAGTTACTTTCGGGCGCCTGGGTGGCTCAGTTGGTTGGGCGGCTGCCTTCGGCTCAGGTCATGATCCTGGAGTCCCTGGATGGAGTCCCACATCGGGCTCCCTGCTCAGCGGGGAGTCTGCTTGTCCCTCTGACCCTCCCCCCTCTCATGTGCTCTCTCTCTCTCATTCTCTCTCTCTCAAATAAATAAATAAAATCTTGAAAAAAAAAAGAAAGAAAGAAGTTACTTTGCTGATGGAAGTATAAATTGATATATAAATTTGTAAAGGACAATTTGGTAACACTTACCAAAAGTTAAAGTGTGTAGTCTCTTGATTTTGTTAATACACTATAGTTATATAAGATCTTGCCATTCTGGGAAAGCGCATACAGGGTATGAGGGACTTCTCTGCACTATTTTAGCAACTTCTTGTGAGTCTAGAATTATTTCAAAATAAAATGCTCAGAAAAAGAGGGGAAAAGGAAAAATGTGCATACAATTTGACTCAGCGATTCCACTTCTAGGAATGTGTCTTGCTGAAGTAATAGCATAGGAGTGTAAAGATATGGATGTTAGTTGCGGTGTTGTCTTATAAAAATAAAATTGCAAACAACCTATTTATGAAAAGGAAGTTGTTAAATAATACGGTGCATCCTTATAAAGAATGTTATGCAGCCATTAAAAATAATGAGATAGATCTATATATACACCTAACCGTAATAAATTATTACAACCGCCAATACTTACTGGGGGCTTTCTATGTAACAGGTATAGTTGTTAGTACTTTACATGCATTAAACTCCTTTAATCTTATAAAAAGTCTATGAGGTACTATTATTATCCCATTGTATAGATATGGAAACAGAGGCAGAGCTGAGTACTGTCACTTATCCAAAACCACATGGTTAATAAGTAGTGGAACCAGGAATCCAGCCCAGAACCCAGGCTCTCAGCCGCTACAAAGTATTGTTACAATATATTGTGAAAAAAGCAAGTTACAGCCTAGTGTATAAAATAGCACCATCTGCTTTCGACACAAACTCAAAGTACATGAGCCTATACAGAGCCATGTCTGCATAAGTCTAGAAAAAAACTGCTTATGGCATATAACAAACTGTGAGTCCTGATCACTTCCATGGAAACCGATGGATGGGAGAGACTAAAGGGAGTTTTATTTCTTTATAATTTAAATGACAGGAGGAGTGGGAAATTCTTATTTGTTGCAATTTGGGTATTTTTCAACTCCAAATTTGTGTACGTAGTAATACGTTACAAAATATCCCCACACATGGAACACTATGCTACAGTTAAAATGAATTAGAGATACATACATAAATATGGAAAGAGGCAAAATATGTGATGTTAACTGAAAAAAGAAACAGGTTATACAAGCAAAAGCTTATGTGACTTTATATAAAACCACACATATTTATGTATATCCAAACACCCCTTGGGGAAAGGGACTAGTAAATGCTTCACAACGGGCTCTCCAAGGAGATTGGGGAAAACCCTGATTTGTGGCATTTGCCAGTTTCCTTGGTGTAAATATTCCCATCCCTGGTTGATTTCAAGCCACTAACATGACGTCACTGAATGTAGGGTCTTAAAGAGAAACCAGTAACAAGCACCCCATTTCCACCACATGGGTGATAGGTAATAGAGTGTGGTACAATACTTAGAAAGTGCTGAGTTTTGGGCACCTGGGTGGCTCAGTTGGTTAAGCGATTGTCTTCGGCTCAGGTCATGATCCTGGAGTCCTAGGATCGAGTCCCACTTCGGGCTCCCTGCTCAGCGGGGAGTCTGCTTCTCCCTCTCCCACTCCCCCATCTCATGCTCTCTCTCTCTCTTATTCTCCTTCTCTCAAATAAATAAATAAAATCTTAAAAAAAAAAATAAAGTGGGTAGGCTGTGAAAGAGAAGTATGCAGGAGAGAGTGAGTTCATGAAGGAGGAGAGCCAGAGGATTTGTCTCAAAGTTATCACAGAAGGGAAAAATGTAAGGACCTGGTGTTATAATGTTAACTCAAAAAAAAGAAAGAAAGAAAATGCTGAGTTTTGAGTATTTATTACCTTATTTTAATGGAATTGATTTAGCTGCAAGCTTCTATAATTGAATATTTTATAATGGCTGTGTTTGGGGCGCCAGGGTGGCTCAGTTGCTTGCTCGAGCCAACTCTTGATTTTGGCTCAGGTCATGATCTCAGGGTTGCGGAATCGAGCCCTGTATCAGGCTCTGCTCTCTGCATGGGGTCTGCTTGTCCCCCTTCTCTCTCTCTCCCTTTCTCTCAAATAAATAAATAAATAAAATCTTTTAAAAAATTAAAAAATAATGGTTGTGTTTGATAACTGTCTCACCACATTCCTGAAAACTTCACCATCAGCTCTCGCAAGCCAGGATGAATGACCAGCTCACCAGCATGTGATGGGAAACTTTCACTTTCCTTAGTACATATGCCCCTAATGCTCTCTGTTTTGCCAATAAACTGATTACTGAGATTTCCTAATTACAAAGTTTGATGACTTTTTCAAAAATGAATCAAAGTCCATTGGTAAATGGGTTCAGGTCTTGGAGAGACAGCTCACGCACACAAAAATACAAATATTGAATAGACCTATAGGAAAATAGCCATCCCGATGATAATAAAATGAATGGAATCTTATTTGACAGAGACTCTATCAGGACCCACCTCACTCCCAGCCCTTGGAAGAAAAAAAAAACCAAAGAAGTTGAGAACATCTGATGCTTGCAGCTTTGGGGTTGGGGAGGAGGGTTATTCTGTTACATACATACAGCGTATTTGGAAAGCAATAAGATGCCACTTCTCAAAACCCATAGAAATGCTCACATCCTCCAATTCAAGACTCCTACTCACTGGAAATATTCAACAGAAGGAAAAAAATATCGATGAGAGTAAAAAGAGATTCGTCGCGGTGTTATCCACGATAGCAGATAACTAGAAGTAGCCTAAAATAGCAAAAATTAAAAAAAAAATAAATGGAATAAAATAAATAACAAAAAAAATCATTTAATACATTCTGGAACATGATCTGTTGAGAAGAATGAGCTATTTTTGCTGCATTTCAACATGATAAATATGACATTTGATGGATCATAGCAGCATGACTCATACCAGCCTCAAATTGGAAACCATGTAAATGTCCTTCAACCGATGTGATCAACTGATAAACACATGCTGTCCCTTCCATACAACGGATGGACTCGGCAAAATGCAGAGGACAAACTATTGCCTCATGCAACAGCGAGGACGAGCCTCACACACATCAGGCGGTGTAAAAAAGATCACATAGTGTGCAATTCCATTTGCATGAAATGTCCAGAAAAGGCGAGTTGATAGACCCAGGAAGCGCATCGGTGCCTGCCACGGGGCTGGGGGTAGGTAGGGGTGGAGATGTACTACAAAGTGGGCAGGCAGTGCAAAGAGAACTCCTTTGGGGTGATGGAAAGTTCTATGATTATGGTGATGGTTGTACAACTCAGCAAATCTACCAAAAACTGTTGCATCCTACGCTTAAAATGGGAGGAATGCTATGTCAATTACAACTCAATAAAGTTGTTTAAAAAAGATTCAATGGGGAAAAAATGTTTATGGCAAAATGTTGAGAAAAAAATAAGTAGTATACATTTTTGGTTCACGATGAAATAATATTTTTAGTGCCTTTACTGAGGGGCACCTGGGTGGCTCAGTAGGTTAAGGGTCTGTCTTCGGCTCACTTCATGACCCCAGAATGCTGGGATGTAGTCCCGCATTGGGCTCCCTGCTCAGTGGGGAGTCTGCTTCTCCCTCTGCCTCCCCCCGCTTGTGCTCTCTCTCTCACTCTCGCTCCCTCTCTTTCTCAAATAAATAAATAAAATCTTAAAATAATACCTTTATTGAGATCTAATGCACAAGCATAAAATTCACCCATTCCACAGACAGTAGTACAATTCATTGGTCTTTGTCTGGTCAAGAGCTATGCAACCATCGCCACGGTCTAAATTTAGAATATTTTCAAAACCTGGCATTCCCTCCCCTTTCTCTCCTTATCATGTAAACCATTTGGAGGTGTGCAATTCACTGACATAATAATTCACAGTATTGTGCAACCATCACCTCTATCTGATTCTGGAACATTTCCATCACCCCAAAAGGAAACACTGTCCCGATGAGCAATCACTTTCCCTTCCTCCCTCCCCAGCTAACAACTGCTAATCTGTTCTGTGTCTCTCTGGATCTGCCTGCTCTGGACATTTTGTATAAATACATGATGTGGGCTTCTTTCATTTGATACAATGTCTCGAGCTCCAGCCTCATGGCTTCCTTGCTGTTTCTGGAAACATGCCAGCCTCCTTCCCCCTGTCAGGGCCTTTGCACTGACTGTTTCCCATTCCTGGGATGCTCTTCCTCTTCCTACCCCTCTGCCCTTTGCCCACCTCTTTGTTCGCACCCCTGGTATCTTGGCTGAATCGTCTCCACTGGAAGAAATGCCTTACACCTGCCTGCCCTAAGTGGGTCACTTGGGTTACAGTTGCTGATGACACCCTGTTGTCTTCATTACAATCCGTAACTATATTTTGCCTTCCCAAATACTTGAGTCTGACTTGGGCCAAGATTAAGGTAAGGCGAGTGAGACACTCATCTCTGGTGCCAAATTTAAGGAGGTGCCAAATTGTTGAGTTTCCCTGTTGCCTCTGGCTTCCATATGGCTTGGCATAGCACTATTGCTGATCCTGTCTTTAAGACAGCTTGCTATTTATTCATGGTGGATTTTTTTGCATTAATTTTGATTTTTTAAAACATTGCATTGAAATATTATTGATCTTTTTTTAAAGAATATTTTATTTATAGGGGCGCCTGGGTGGCTCAGTCGTTAAGTGGCTGCCTTCGGCTCAGGTCATGATCCCGGGGTCCTGGGATCGAGCCCCGCATCGGGCTCCCTGCTCCGCAGGAAGCCTGCTTCTCCCTCTCCCACTCCTCCTGCTTGTGTTCCTGCTCTCGCTATCTCTCTCTCTGTCAAATAAATAAATAAAATCTTAAAAAAAAAAAAGAATATTTTATTTATTTATCTGAGAGAGAGAGAGAGAGAGTGTGCAGGAGTGGGGGAGGGGCAGAGGGAGAGGGAGAAGCAGACTCCCCGCTGAGCACAGAGCCGGACAGAGGTGGGGCTCGATCCCAGGACCCGAGATCATCCCCGGAGCCAAAGTGAGATGCTCAACAGACTGAGCCACCCAGGCGCCCCGAAATATTATTTATCTTGATGACTAAGTTGACGAAGCCAACTTCCCAAGCCTCACCTGTGTGTCCAGTTAGGATGTGGATCACCTGCTGCTCTTCCATGTCCCACACAGCGACAAAGCCGTCCTGGGTGCCAACAACCAGCAGCCTCTCCTCCAGGCTCCACGCCATGGCAGTGATGCCTGTGGCCACACAGGGACAACAGTGACCACATCAGCCCCCGGGCTCAGCCACGGGGTCCTCTAATGGGGCTCCACTCCACAGATGGGGAAACTGAGGCACGGGTTCAGTCCCTTGTCCAGAGCTACACACCCAGAAAGTGGCAGGGCCAGGCTTTTGAAGCCCGTGCTGCTGGAGGCCAGGTTCAGATCTCGGTTGTAACATTCACGTTGCTCTTAGGGACCAAACCACATCGAGGTCACAAGTGTCTCCCAAGTTCTGTGGTTCTCACCGAGGGGCAATTCTGCTCCTGGGGAAGGTCTGGAGCCTGGGGACACTGGGCAATGTCTGGAGATGTTTGTTGGCTGTCACAACTGGGAAGTGGGGTGCGACTGCCATCCGGTGGGTGGAGGAGGCCAGGGGAACTGCTGACCACCCTGCCATGCATAGGATGCCCCCTCCCCCCTGCAGAGGATGACCCAGTCCCAAATGTCAATAGCGCATGGTTGAGAAACCCTGCCCTAGTTGGACAAGACTCAGAAATGGAATTATATTGGCTGAGAACGAGGACTCTGCTTCTGACTTCTCTTTGAGATCAACATGTATGGAAAAATAAAGGCTGGTGCTCCAGAGAAAAAAAAAATTTGCCAATAATTTGGGCAAACAACAGCCCAGGGCTCGCTGCTGGGTCCTGACTGAAACATCGCTGAGGAGAGAGGCACCAAGTTACACGGGAGAAAACACTGGCCCAGATAGCTGGAGACCAGACTTTCTGAATGCCCTCGGGTAATTCCTTCCCCTGCTCCGTGCCTCAGTTTCCCCAGATGTAAAATAGTGAGGGGGAAGTGTTGAAATCAGAGCCAATCCAAGTTTGAGAAGCCCAGATTTTGTTCCCGCCTCATTGGGACAGGGAGTGAGGACATGGGATTTGTTTCTCTTTTCTTTCTTTCTTTTTTTTTTTTTCTTGTCATTTACGGTGTGACCTTGGAAATGTGAACTCAAACTTCTCATTTACAAAATGACCAAACGGAAGCCCAGAATGGGTAGAAACTTCCGCAGCTTCGCCATGACTGGGGCTTGTCAGAGAGGCATGGTGGGTCCGAAACACAGACCATCTCCCCCCACCGAGGGATGGCAAAAACGAAATTTCACTCAGACTGTAACTTCTTATGCCCATGCTGAGGTAGACACCACGAATCAGCCCCTGCACTATCTGAGATTTGTCCCCCAGAGCCATCCTGTCGTGTTTCCTTTTGTAACCAAGCCAGGAGCCCACAGGTGTTAGCGGAGTCCGCACTCATCCGGACCCTGTAATTCCCAGGCTCCCTTGCAGCTGGAGATGGCCAAGTTCTCACCAATGAGACACTCATCCCAGAGGTGATAAAGTCTGCTTCTAGACCATGCCCTCAAAGGGAAGGGATCTTCCATCCATCTCCCCTTCCCACTTCCCACTGGCTGGAATGCCCATGGCGTGGGTCAGAGCAGGAACTGCCATTTTGAACCATCAAATGGAAGTTTCACATTGAAAATGGCAGCAAACGAGACTGAAAGAGTCTAGGTCCCTGACACCTTGGAGACCTGGAGTTTTACCTCTACTTAACGCCTGGACTGTTAAGTGAGGGGGAAATGAACCGCTATTTTATTTAAGTCACTGCTATCTTGTCCTTTGTTATAGCATTTGAACCTGTAACCCAATAAATACACAGTCTTACCCATTAAACTAGATTTGGTCTCAGAACCTTTCTTAACACAGCATTCTAGCAGCTGTCCCTAAATCAATTCCTCCATGCATCATACTTAATTTCTTAGAATTTCTATTTTGGAAGCTCTATGCCTAGGGAATGTATCTTTCCCTACAAGGCCCATGGCACAGAAATGGCCTGAGTTGCAATAATTGACATTTGAACCACAAGTTCATTGTATATTTAGTGGCCTTATAATTAATGCAAGAGATTATGGGTGGGCAGATGAAGGGATGGATGAGTGGAGGTAGACTGGTGCATGAGTGGATAGCTAAATGGCTGGCTGGATAAATGGATGAGTGGATGGATGGGTGTGAGATGAGTAGATGGATGAATCAACTGAGAGATGGGTGGGCAAGTTGATGAATGGCTCGGTGGATAGATGGGTGGAGGGGTGAGTGGATGGAAGATGTCCAGAAGAGGGAAATGGAAAGATAAGTGGTGTGGAGAGAGGGATAGAATGAAGATAACTAATGAAAGTATGGATGACTGATGGGTGGATGGAAGGAAGGAAGGATGATGGATGGATGAATGGATGGATGGATGATGGATGGATGGATGGATGATGGATGGACAGAAGGACAGACAGAAGATGGAAGGAAGGAAGGAAGGATGGAAGAATGGAAGGAAGGAAGGTGGATAATGGATGGATGGATGATGGATGGATGGATGGATGATGGATGGATGGACAAAAGGACAGACAGAAGATGGAAGGAAGGAAGGAAGGAAGTGGGGGGAGGAAGAAGGGAAGGAAGTGTAACAAACAAATGGAGAGAACGAAGTCCTCTTGTCTCTCTGAACTTCTGGTGTCCCGGGGGAATCTATGAGTGCCACCAGCCTCTCAGGGGCCAGTCAATCATCAATGCCTACCTTTTGGTCTTACTAGCATGAGCCAGTAAATCACAAAAACTATCTGTAAGACGGACACTTGATTCTTAGAGGCAGTCAGCACCCCCTTGCTCTGGGCTCATGAGCAGTATTTACAATACTCATCTACAGTCCCTGAGAGGCAGAGACAGTCGAGTCAGCATGAGACAGCAAGGGCAAACCCTGATGGGACCCTCGAGGCCTCCCTACCAACAGAGGGGAGCCCCAGAGAGCAGCCAGAAACCCCTGCCAAACACTGCCCTCAGGCATGACGGGGGCCTGGCAGGATTTTTGCCGTGCTGGGGAGACTCACCCTTGTGACAGCCTGTGACGGTTGCCCGGAGGGGTCCCCCCGGGGGCTGGAGGAATCCCCCAAGGGGTATGAGCACAGGGTGGGGGCACACCCGGAACCAGCTCTGGGCCTGATGGCACAGCTGTCCCACCAGTGCTGGATGTGAGGCGGCGAAGAAATGGAGTCGGGCCAGGAGTTCTGTATATAGGATGCTCCTCTCTGCAACAAAGAGGACTCAGGTTAAGGGAAAGGGCACTGCTGACGGGTGGAGTTCGCCGCCATCTTCTCCTGCCTCCTTCTCTCCTTTCCAAGGACACTCACCCCTACTTCAAGGGCACCAGGTGGTTCCTAGCCTCTGGACCTTTGTCCCCGCTGGTTCCTCTGCCCGGAATACTTCCTTCTTCTCCCCTCCCCCTTTCTCATGCTAAATATCTCATTTTAGCTCCAGGGTTACTTCTTTAAAGAGCATTCTCCAGCCCAGCCCTCTAATCCACCCACCCCACCCCCACTCCCCTGCGCTCATCAGAGCTACAATTGACATTTCTTTGTTTATTCCTTCACTACCCTAGATCTTGAGTCTCCCTGAGAACAGGGATGATTGTTCATTGTGTTCTTAGAGCCTAGAACATCACAGACACCCAGTAAATGGTAGAGGCCGCTTTTCGGCAGTGGGCTTGAACAATGCAACGCAGAGCAAGGCAAAAGGGCCCACAGCGACCACTGAACTGAAGACAGGCCCATCAGGCGGGCCGCCTCAAATTATCCAGAAGCCCTAGTGGACCAGCTACTGACAACCAGGCACAGATACAAAAAAAAAAAAAAAAAAGAAAAAGGAAATTTCCATATGTCCCCAGACCTCCTGACCTTCCTCCTTTAAATACAGCCCCTCCCACTGCTGTGGGGCAGACAGCCTCCTCTGTGTGGTCCTGCCTGCAGCTCCCTTGGGGTGTATTCAACAAACTTCCATCTCCTTTGTTCTAGAAACTTCTATCTCCTTTGTTCTGCCTCCGGTGAATTCTTTCACTGCTGGAGCCTGAGCCACCCACTTCTACCGGATCATCATCATCACCCCACTCTCCATCTCAAGTTCCTTAATTTAGTCACATCATTTGCCATATAAGACAAGAGTCACAGGTTCCAGGGATTAGGAAGTGAATATATCTTTGGAGGGGGGTCGTGTTTTCTGCCTACCACAACAGAGGTATCATCATTATTATGCCTAGTTCATGAAGGGGGAAATTGAGGCTCAGAGAGGTTAAGCAACTTGTACAAGGTCACACAGCCAGTAAGAGGCAGGAATCTAACCTAAAAAGTTTTATTCCAACCTCGAATGAAGACCAGGGACAGTGAAGCAGGCAGTTCATTTTCCCTGTTGTCATCTTGTCCTAACTGTGGGGTTTGGGGCAATGGTGACAATGCCCTGTGCCTTGGTTTGCTGGTGGGTGAAACGAGGCAAGGTCAGGACCAGGTGTGAGTGCCCCACTCACCATGGGTGTAAAATTTAAGGTGGCACCACCAAACTCAACCACCCAGACAAATACTATTTTTTTCTTTTTAAAAGATTTTATTTATTTGCTTGACAGAGAGTGAGAGAGCACAAGCAGGGGAAGCGGCAGGCAGAGGGAGAGGGAGAAGCAGGCTCCCCACTGAACAGAGAGCCCAACGCGGGGCTCGATCCCAGGACCCTGGGATCATGACCTGAACCGAAGGCAGCCGCTTAACCGACTGAGCCACCCAGGCGCCCCGAGATAAATACTATTTTAATGCAATATTTTAACAAATCAAAATTAATGCCCCCCAACCCATGGTGAACAAAATATCGGCTTTTAAAATAAAAATAGAGTCAGAAACAGCACCACCAAATCATCCTGGAGCCTGAGGCAATAAGAGAAATCCGGTGGGCTTTGAGGAGCAGGCTCAAAGTCCCGGAATGTGCTGGAACCCAAGGTTGGCCAGCTGCGCCCTCTGGTGGTGACATTCATTCCTACACCTTCTCATGCAGGGCAAGCCCCAGGTTGTCAATCAAGGATTGTTGAAAAGAACATGCTGTGATTTGGGCTTTGAAATCTTCCCTCGAACTGGGCAGTTGTTCCCAAGGCTGTTTCCCTGGTAAATCACTCCCCGTGAGGTTTACAACTGCTGAGCATGAATGCACAAGAAAGGCCAAACTGCCCACCAGCATCTTCCTCTTGGGACATACTTTAGTTCAATCCCATATTTTGCGGATGATGGAAGCTGAGGCTCCACGCAGAAGGGATTCATCCAACAACAACAACAAAAAACCCCAAAGAAACAAACAACAACACAACAAAAGAAATGGCTTGTCGAAGGCCGTTCACATCAACAATGTCGACACTATCATGTGACAGTAATAGTACCCTTGGATGGCACCATGGGGACAGGCTCTGCAAGAATTGACTTGCATAAAAAAAAAAAAAAAAGAATTGACTTGCATATCTTTCCTTGAAGCTCTAGGTAAGAAGGTTGACCAGCATCCCCATTTTGCAGATGGAAACACTGAGGACAGCAAGGTGGGGGGTGGGGTGGGGAGCATAAGGGAGTTGCAAGGTCACACTGCCAGTAAGTGGCAAAGCCCAGATTTGAATCAACACGGTGGGCCTCCAAATCTGAGTTCTTGGCCAGGACTGGTCTATGTGGTAGGGCTAGCAATTTGGCAGGGAGTAAGCGATGATGCCCCTACCCTCACAGAGCTCAGAGTCCGGTGCGGCCCTCAGGTGATACAAAAGACAACCAGCAGAAATAATAAGAGCTAAGACAGATGGAAAAAGGGTGCAGTGCTGGAGAATGCAGGGACTAGGGAGCCAGGGGGTTGTCCAGGTTCAGTGGCGGGTGGGCTTCTCCTAGGAGGAGCATTTGTTTAAGCTCCAAGGGAGCCCCAGAAGGGATATAGGGACTTAAACACCTCTATAAAACTCCTTATAAAACCCTCAAACAAAAACCAGATGGGAACTGTGTAATAAAAACCACCCTGGGGGCGCCTGGGTGGCTCAGTTGGTTAAGCAGCTGCCTTTGGCTCAGGTCATGATCTCTGGGTCCTGGGATGGAGCCCCATGTCTTGCTCCTTGCTCAGTGGGGAGTCCGCTTCTCCTTCTCCCTCTGTCCCCGCCCTCACTTGTGCGCGCTCTCTCTCTCCCTCTCTGTCACAAATAAATAAATAAAATCTTTTAAAAAAGATAGCCTGGCCACCTCATACTCATTAGGATGACTATTTTTTTTTTTTTAAATCAGAAAATTGGGGCAACTGGGTGGCTCAGTCGGTTAAGTGTCTGAATCTTGGTTTCAACTCAGGCTGTGATCTTGGGGTTGTGAGATCAAGCTCTGCATGGGGCTCCACGTTCAGCATGGAGTCTGCATGAGATTCTTTCTCTCCCTCTGCTCCTCCCCCTGCTCTCTCTCTCTCAAATAAATAAATTTTTTAAAATCTAAAAAAAAAAAAAATCAGAAAATTAAAAGTATTGGTGAGGATGTAGAGAAATTGGAATCCTTGTGCTCTGCTGGTGGGAATGTGAAATGGTGCAGCCACCGTGGAAAATGGTATGGTGGGGGGCGCCTGGGTGGTTCAGTTGTTAAGCGTCTGCCTTCAACCCAGGTCATGATCCCAGGGTCCTGGGATCGAGCCCCGCGTCGGGCTCCCTGCTCGGCGGGAAGCCTGCTTCTCCCTCTCCCACTCCCCCTGCTTGTGTTCCCTCTCTTGCTGTCTCTCTGTCTCTGTCAAATAAATAAATAAAATCTTTTAAAAAAAGAAAATGGTATGGTGATTCCTCAAAAAAAATAAACACAGAATTACCATTTGATCCAGCAATTGCATTTCTGGGTGTATACTCCAGGTCTTGGTGTAAGGTCTTGAAAAGATATTTGTATACCTGTGTTCACAGCGGCATGATTCACAATGGGCCAAGGGGAGAAACAGCCCAAGAGTCCATCAAGGGATGAGTGGATACACAAAATGTGGTCCATCCATACAATGCAATGTTATTCAACCTTACAAATGAAGGAAATACAACATGGATGAACCTTGAGGACATCATGGTGAGTGAAAGAAGCCAGTCATAGAGGGCAAATACTGCATGGTTCCCCTGATATGAGGTCCCTACAGTGGTCAGATTCATAGAGACAGAAAGTAGGACGGCAGGCGCCAGAGGCTACAGGTGGGGGTGGGGAGTTGGTGTTTCATGGGGACAGTCTCAGTTTGGGAAGATGGAAGAGCTCTGGGGATGGATGGTGATGATATTTGCACAACATTGTGCATGTGCTTAACACCACTGGGCTGTACACTTAAAAATGGTTACTTTGGTAAATTTTATGTTCTGTGTATTTTGCCACAATTTAAAAATGAAGATGAAAACAGACCAACAAAACACCATCCTGGGCAGAGCATCAGAGATTCTTCGAGCTCTAGGGCAGAGGGTGGACCAAACCCAGCCCAACGGTTTACCCCAGGAGCTAAGGATGTTTTTTACAGATCAATATTTGCAATGGACAGGATGGCAGGGAACACCGACTTTGAACCCCAATTAAGCAAAATGTTTTCCCCCAGAGCAAAAACTGCCCCCTTCTTTCTCTTGAGTAGACTTTTTTTTGGTTTAAGATTTATTTATTTGACAGGGACAGAGAGACAGCGAGAGAGGGAACACAAGCAGGGGGAGTGGGAGAGGGAGAAGCAGGCTTCCCGCTGAGCTGGGAGCCCAATGTGGGGCTCGATCCCAGGATGCTGGGATTGTGACCTTAGCTGAAGGCAGATGTTTAACCAACTGAGCCACCCAGGCGCCCCTTGAGTAAACTTGTGTTACAAAAAATCATGTTCAATTATTATGATTGTATTTTGAATATTATCAATAAAAAAAGTCATGGGAACGTGTTTTCTGCCTTGTTATATTAAGTACTGACATAATTTCCTCGATTTTTGCCTGAGATTTTTCCTATCTGGCCCTTTCTAGAAAAAGGTGCCGGGCCAGGGAAGGGGGCGGACACTGCTTTGGTAGTGTTCAATCCAAAGCTCTTCCAGGTTCAATTCAAGATTCTAGAAACCCCACAGGTGTAGACAGGAAAGGTGTGTGGGTTAATGAAAATCCAGCTAGGGGCTCAGTGAGGAGAATGGGCTTCTAGAAGTCAGTGCAGAGTGAAGGCCCCGGCCCGCCCCCCCTTCCCGGCCAGGCCGACTCACCCATGCCTTGGAGCTCCACAGCCGGGCGGCACAGCTGGAGGGCGTCCCGGACCAGGCCGACCTCGGGACAGTCCAGGTGAGGGCCATACAGGTCAAAGTCATCCAACAGGCCCTCGATGCCCCCAGAGACACCCCGACAGGAAATCCAGTTCATGTTGCCTGTGGGGGGCAGGGGGTATTGTGGGGGCACACACACCTATCCATTTCTCTGGGGGTTCTCAGCATCGGCACTGCGGATGTTGGGGCCGTGCACTGTAGGATGCTGATCAGTACCCCTGGCCTCCACCCACCAGATGCCTGTAGCACCTCCCCAGTAGTGATAATCAAAAACATGAACATTGCCCCAAGAGTCCCCCAGGTGCAAGATCACCCTGGGTTGAGAATCACAGGGAGGAGCAGATGGATAGATAGATAGACAAATAGAAAGATGGAGGGATAGATGGATGGGTACATAGATGATGATAGATGGATAGGTATAAAGATGAAAGATGATAGATATGATAGACAGACAGACAGACAGGGTCTCATTCGAAGATCACATTTCTCACCTCTGCACTATCAACTAGCACTAGATGCCGGTAGCACCCCTCCCCCAGCTGTGACAACCAAAATGTCCCCAGACATTGCCAAGTGTCCCCTGCTGGTGCACAGAATGACCCCTGGTGAGAACCACTGTCTTAGGAGGAGCCAAGCATTCTGACTTTTGCCCTTTACCCTTCCCAGGCTCCGGGAGGCAGGAGCACAGCAGAGGGTTGGGACCCACTCACTGTCCCCTGCAATGGGTGCAACCCTTACCCAGAACCTCCTGTTTCAGCTCTTCGATGCGTCCTGAGTGGACCAGGTGATGGGGCAACTCCTTTAGCTTTCGCAGATTTGCCACCGTGTCTGAGAACCACAGGGGCTGAGGGGCCACCTGCAGGGGAGGAGGGGGCTGGAAGCCAGGCCACGATGACACAGCTCACTCATTCACTCCACACACATGGGCCAAGCCACCACGCGCGTGTGACACTGGAGGGGACTGGGACACAATTCCAGATGGAGGTGTCCCATGCCCACCCCAGGCAGGGCCGAGGCAGAGGGAGGAACTTGGGGCTCAGGGAATCCAAGGGGCATCGGAGCTGGGTCTTGGAGTTTAAGTAGGAGTCTGTCTGGGGAACCCTATAGGAAAACAATGGTATTCCCGGGCAAGGGAATGGCATGTGCAAAGGCCCAGGGGTGGGAGATGCCAGGAGTTTAGGGCGGTTCTGTATGCGCCTGAATGTTGTGATTCTTCTGCCCCCCACCCCAGAATGTTGGGGATGGAGGGCATATTCCTCATCTGCTGCTCCTGATCCCCCCATTATGCTCAGAGGCCGAGGGGACATCCTGCTTTCTGTGGGAAGGGAAGGGAAGAAGGTGAGGAGAGCATTCTGGATGGAAAAGAAAGAGCAAAGTGGTCCTGGCCAGGGAGCCTTGGCTTTGCCTGCAGAGCAGCGTGGAGCCTGCAGGTAGTGAGCAGGGGGTCCCAGACAGACAGTTCACCTTGCGATCCAGGTTCAGGGGCTTCCCCACCAGCGGCAGAGTGATGAGTTTCTTGGTGCCCTGGCTCCAGGCCCCTGAGAAGAAGTCAGCCAAGACTCCGTGCCTCTTGGCCCTCTCGGGCCCGGACAGGTAGCGCTCTTGGACCACCTCGGCCAGCTGCCTGCAGAGAGGGGACACGGGCTCATGGGCCTGGGGGGTGGGGTGAGCTCAGAGGGGGCCCCCAGCCTTCCAGAAACCTGTTCCCAAATGCAGGTCCCTCCTAAGCCACCTGCCAGATGCTCGCTGGCCTGCTGACCACCTGTCCTACTTGTTACCTAACATTCATCTATAAATTGGCCCATCTTTCTTTTTCCCCTTAAATATATTTATTTTTTTTTTAAGATTTTATTTATTTGACAGAGAGAGACACAGCAAGAGAGGGAACACAAGCAGGGGGAGTGGGAGAGGGAGAAGCAGGCTTCCCGCTGAGCAGGGAGCCCGATGAGGGGGCTCAATCCCAGGACCCCGGGATCATAACCTGAGCTGAAGGCAGACGCTTAACAACTGAGCCACCCAGGCACCCCTAAATATATTTACTTTAAAAAGGAACATTTGGGTTCCTCAACTTAAACTTAAAATAAGGTACTGTAGGACCCAGCTACTCCACTCCTGGGTATAGACCCAAAAGAATTAAAAAAGAAAACAAAAAAAACAGGTGTTCGAATGAAAACTTGTGCTCACGTGTTCAGCACTGACCACAAGCCCGAGGAATGACCCAAGTGTCCATCAATGGACAAACAGATAAACAAAATGTGGTCCATCCATGCAACAGGGTATTACTCAGCCACAAAAAGGAGCAAAGCCCTGATTCACGCTACAACACGGATGAACCTTGGAAGCTCTATGCCGAGGAAAGCAGCTGGATACAAAAGGCCACATGTTGTGTGGGTCCATGTATATGAAACGTGCAGAAGAGGCAAATCCACAGAGACAGAGAGCAGATTTGTGGGTGCCAGACAGGGGCTGGGGGCAGAGAGGTGGGGGGATGGGGAGTAACTGCTGATGGGGACCAGGTGTCCTTTTGAGAGGATAGAATTGTTCTGGAACGTTTTAGAGGTGATGGTTACACCACATTGTGGATGCACTTAACATTACTGAATTGTACACTTTAAATGGATGAATTTTATGTTATGTGAATGTATCCTCAGTTTAAAAACCGAGTTAGTTGTGTGTTAGTTAATTAGTGGTGTGGAAACCCCTGAATGCCGTGCTAAACGCCCTTGTTTCGCTGGGAAAGGGGATAAAAGAAGGATCTGGAACAAGGAGGAGCCCGATGAGCGAGCCCTCGCTCCCGGAAGCCCAGACAGCATGTCCACCATGCCGGACCCACCTGTAGGCGATGGCCAGCAGCGTGAAGCCGTCCACGGGCCGCCGGGCCAAGCAGTGGCCCAGATCCCGGCGGAGCCTCACCCACAGCAGGGGTGGGAAACGCAATAGCTCCTTGCTGGGCGGGGTCCAGTCCCGGTACACAGCCTGCAGGACCTCGTCATCCAGGGACAGGACGTCCTTCAGCTCTGCCTCTGAGAGCCCATGCCTGCAGGGAGAAGGGACGGACACTGGGACACGCTGTGTCTCCTGCGGTCGGAGGGCGCAGACACCCAGGGACAGGGAGACGTGGCCAGCAGCACAGCACCCTGCCCGCCACCAAGGGGTCCACCCTGAGGGTCGGCATTCGGACCGTGCCCAGCAGGTACGGATGCCCGGTTACGGCTGTGCCCATCGAGGAAGACCTTCCTGCTCTTTCCTTCTGCACACACACCCGCAGAGCCGTGAACTAGCCTCTCCCCAGTCTCGCATGAGTCGGGCAGCATAGGGAGGGAGACAAGAGGTCATTTAGAAAAATAATGCAGAAACCAACTGTGCCCACCCTGGCCTCACCCGTGTTTCCAGCCCCAGAAAATTATCCACCCTCCTTACCAAGGCCAACTGGACCTGGCTGCCTTCCACCCCTAGGGAAGCGGCCCTATAGGGGATGAGTGATGACGTTTCGGTGCTGGATCACAAGGGACTTCCTGATACCTGAGAGGATCAAACTGGGAAAACTGGATTTGCCTGCACATTTCATCCGGGAAGGACAGCAATCAGAGCACCCTTCAGAGCAAGGGAAAGAGGGATGCTGGCTTCTGTGGGCAACCTGCGTGTGTGTGTGTTTAACTCTCTGATGTGGATCGAAATCTTCATTTTGATCAGAACACCTGCCACATATATAGAGCACCTGCTCACTTAGTGTTTTCTAGTGTATAACAGGGTGGGTGTCCCCTGGGGTCTCTTCTGTGAGATCAATCATCTTGGACAATCCCAGCTATAATATCACAGTTTTCTCCAAACCAGAATTCCTGGGAGTTACACCTCGGGGGTCCACTTACCAGCACCCCTGTGTGGTCCTGTGCCTCCTCAGAAACCCTCTCCTTCAGGATAGAAGCTTCTTTCCCACTCTTTCATGTACCCTCAGTACAAATCAAGCTTGGGTCCCCTCCTTTCTGGCTCAGGTTCGATGGCTCATCCCACCTGAGCCGGATGGAACAGCCCAGCAGGCTTGCAGGATGTCTATCAAGGAAGCTGCAGTCCCATAATTCCCTGGCAGCGTGGCTCTGTACAGGGCCCCCTGGGGAGGGGCCAGGCCAGTCCATTCTTTCTCAGAGAAGCAGATGCTGGGTCCTAGGAGGTCAGTGGCTCATCAACAAACCATCGGCAGGTTTGTTTAGCCATTATTCATGGAGGGGCGTCTCCATGCAAGGCACCATGCTGACTCCTGAGGGACAGAGAGCTAGACACCCATGAAGCTTATCTTCTCATCCCCAGAGCCAGGTAGGAAATAGCAGGAAAAGAGCACAAAGAAATTGGGTAACACCAATGGCTAGGAAGAAGATACACCGCGTCACACGAAAAAGAGCCACATGGTGGGGGGGGAGGCAGGAGAGAGACTGTTCTTGGAGGAGGTGGGTCCCTCTAGGAAGGTGCCACCGCAGCTGGGACTGGGTGGGAGGGCAGGGGCCAGCATGAGATCTGGGGCCGGTGCTCCAGGCACGGGGTGGAAGGCAGCCAGGTGATGGGAAGTCACTGGAAGGGTTAATCAGGGCAGGGACTGAATCAGATTTATGATTTTAAAATCTCACTCCGGACAGGTGTTCAAACCACACCTTGTACATGCATGTTCTGAGCAGCATAATTCACAATAGCCAGAAGGTGGAAACGGTCCAAATGTCCATGAATGGATAAACAAAATGTCGTTGCTATGGACTGAGTATGTGTCTCCCCCAAATCCACAGGTTGAAGTCCTAATCCGCAAGGTGATGATATTAGGAGGTGGGGCCTTTGGGAGGTGGTTAGGTCATGAAAGTGGAACCCCATGAGTGGGCTTAGTACCCCAGAGAGCTCCCTTATCCCTTCTGTCACGTGAGGACACAGCAAAAAGATGCCCATTTATGAACCAGGGAGCGAGCTCTCACCAGACACTGTATCTGCCGGCACCTTGACCTTGGGCTCCCCAGGCTTCCAGAACTGCGAGAGATAAATTGTTATAAGCCACCCACTCTATGGTGTTTTTGTTACAGCAGCTCAAATGGACTAAGACAGGGGTATATCCACACAATGGAATATTCTTTGGCCATAGAAAGAAACAAAGTACGGACACACACATTGCAACACAGAGGAGCCTTCAAAACAGTCCACTCAGTGAAAGAAATCCGTCACAAAAGACTGCACAGGGTATGATTCCATTTACTTGAAACGTTTAGAGCAGGATCCAGAAAGCCACGAGGTAGATTAATGGTTGCCAGGTGCTGGATAGAGAAGTGAGGGAAGGCACAAGGCGTGTTCCTCCCGGCATTACTCAGCCTCGCACCACTGACATTTGGGCTCGGATCACTCTTCACGGTGGGGACTGTTCTGTGCTTTTAGCAGCATCCCTGGTCTCCGCTCACTAGATTCCAGCAGCATCACCCACAAGCTGTGACAACCAAAAATGTCCCTGGATGTGGCCTAAGGGTCCCCTGGGGACAGAATCTCCTCCGGCAAGAACCACTGGCCTAGAAGGACTCAGATCTGCTCTGAGAGCTGGGCTCTCCACCATCACAGCACGCTGACTGCGTGGGGAAGCATGATGTGTTTTCAAGGAACAAGAGGTACCGAAATTACCCCTGTAGGCTCCTTCCCTAAACCACCTGCCCCTGCCAGTCCCTGGGGCGGCTGATCCGACACCCCCGTGAGACCCTCGGCTTTACTAATTGGACAAGACGTGGGACTGAGCAGGTCGATTATTTTTGTCTCCCCAGATTTTGGAATCGGGACTCAAGAAGGGGCCAGTAGGCGGTGCCAGGTCTCTGAAATGGGGGCTCATGATGCCAGTGGAAGCTCGAGGCAAGTGGAACAAAGGAAGAGTCCAGAACAGAAGCCAATGGGCAGAGAGGACCCAGAGGGCCAGGGGATGAGAAACTGTTCTGATTCTCATGGCTTTCTGGTTCCCATGACAACACCACCTCCTCCATGCGGACTGCATCAGGCTGGCCTGACGGCCCACCCCTTCACCCTGGAACATTCCCCAGTCCGTCTTTGTACTCTTATAGAACCCAGGCCCAGCCTCCACTCTGCGGGCACCAGTCACAAAATCTGGGGTATGGCATGAGATCTGGGGTACGCCCCCCCTAGAGCCAGCAATTAGGTGGGTGGTCCTGGACCGCTTGAGCTCTTCCCATGGCCTTGGCACAAAGCCCTGACTTCCTACACACTAGCACGAGCGGATTCTGTGGCTGGCAAACAAACAAACAAACAAACAAAAAGCCACCCTCACTGGTCAGATCACTGCCATCCTGACTGACATGGTGCAAAGGAAAAGGTCTGGAAGGAAAACCTGCCTGTGAAACTGGAAAGAGGCAAAACCAGCTAGTCCAGCATTTTTTATATATATATATGTTTTTTAAATATTTTATTTATTTATTTATTTATTTATCTATTTATTTATTAGAGAGTGAGCGGGAGAGAAACAGCATGAGAGGGGAGAGGGTCAGAGGGAGAAGCAGGCTCCCCGCTGAGCCGGGAGCCCGATGTGGGACTCGATCCCAGGACCCTGGGATCATGACCTGAGCTGAAGGCAGTTGCTTAATCAACTGAGCCACTCAGGCGTCCGTAGTCCAGCATTTCTGATGGTGAGCTTGAGTGTTGGCTTTGTTGCCATGTGCCTGCTAATTGGCCTCCGCCCCACCCTCCTGGGGGTCCGGAGTCCGCTTGCTGGGTGCATGATGGACCCACTCCTCTCTCCTGCTCCTTATTTCTGACTCCCCTCCTTCCCTACCCGGCAGCTCTGAGAGTGGCTCCTGACCATCCTGACATCGCAGTGTGCAGCCTTGACACTTTCTCTGGGCTGAGCAGCTAGATGTAAGCATTCAGTCCTAAAGCTCTAGAAACACATTGAAATTGGATTTTCCTATGTGCTTTTTTTGCTGATTCCCACGCGACAAGCTTGGGATGAAGTGTAGATGCACGCTGGTGGTCAGTCCTTCAGGGTAATTGGCTTTAAAAAGGTTTCTCTGAGATCTCCCCATAATATTACCTATTAAATACAGAGGGGAGCTTGCAGATTTACAACAAAGAAAAAACATCCGTGCCTGAGAAGGGCTGAGCATCACTCAGGTTCACCCTGAATGTGATCGGGAGGAAACATCAGACCAACCCAGATGGAGGGACATTCTACAAACTCCCCCCAGCCCAGGTGTAGTCCCCTGGACCAGCAGCATCAGCATCGGCCAGAGAGAAACATGGGATTCCTGGCCCCAGCCCAGACCTGCTGAATCAGATTCTTTATGCAAAAACAAGACCCGAGATACGAATCCCCATCAAGGGTTGAGAAGCACTGATCAATAAAATAACTGGCCCGGACTCTTCAAAAGGACAAAACCAGATGGTGGAATGTTCCAAATTAAAGGAGACCAAAGCAACTTGACAATTAAATTAGACATGCCATCCCGGTTTGGATCCTGGATTGGGTGTGGGCGGAGAGGAGGGGGGCCGCTATAAAGGACGTTTTTGAGACAATTGGCAAGTGTTCACTGTAAACTGTGCATTAAATAATATTATTGCCTCTGTGATGTATTTCCTGACTTTTGTAATTGTCCTGTGGCGATGTGGGGTTCTGACTGTCCTTGTTTGTAGGAAATATGTGACGTATTTAAGGGTAAAGGGGAATAATGCCTGTAATGAATTTGCAAAAGAAAGAAAGAAAACTAGAGGGGGTTAGGGAGGGAGGGAGAGAGAAAGCTAATGCGGCAAATCAGGGATTCTGGGGGAAGGGTGTATGGCCGTAGTTCTCAGCTGGGGCTTACTCTGCCTGCAGGGGACTCTTGGCAATATTCTGAGACAGTTTTTGGTTGTCACAGCTCAGGGGTACTATGAGCATCCAGGGTCAAGGCCAGGAATGCTGCTCAACACCCTACAGTGCATAGGACAGCCCCCACATGCTGATGATGCGGCCCCCAATATCAGTAGAGCCAAGGCTGAGAACCCCTGATGTGTGGGCCAGTCTTTGCTCTAGTTTTGTACTATGGGAATTCTTCCACTAGTCTATAATTTCAAAATATTTCTTTTTTTTTTTTTTTTAAGATTTTATTTATTTATCTGAGACAGGGAGGGCACAAGCAAGGGCAGGGATGGAGGGAGAGGGAGAAGCAGGCTCCCCGCTGAGCAGGGAGCCTGATGCAGGACTCGATCCCAGGACCCTGGGATCATGACCTGAGCCAAAGACAGACACTTACCCGACTGAGCCGCCCAGGTGCCCCTCAATGTATTTTAAGTAAAAATTGTACAAAGGAAATACCACAGGCAGACCCATGGAGACAGGAAGCAGGTTGGGGCCGCCAGGGGCTGGGGGTGGGGAGTGGCTGCTAATGGGGATGGGGTTTCCCTTTGGGGTGATGGGAATGTTCTGGAGATGGACAGTGGTCGCACAACACTGTGAATGTCCTCAATGTCACTGAACCATACACTTTAAGAGAGCGAACTTTATGATCCATGAATTGTGTTGGGTTGAATAGTGTCCCCCAAAGGTCATGCCCACCTGGAGCCCGTGAAGGTGACCTTATTTGAAAACACTCTTGAGAGGAGCAATCAGCATACCATGAGGTCTTCCTAGATCATGAGAAGGAGGGAAATGGGGACACGAAAGCCCACAGGGAGGAGGCGGCGAGATGGGCAGAGGCAGCGGTGGGAGGGATGGGTCTACAGGCCAAGAGTTGCTGGCAACAACAGAAACGAAGAGAAAAGCCTAGAACCAGCTCCCCTGGCGCCTTTAGAGGGACTGTGAGAGAAGACGTTTCTGTTCTGAGCCCCGAGGGGCGAGTGCATGCATTCTGTCTCAGTTAGAAAGAGCGTGAAGACAACAGAGACTTACCGGGAAGACACAATGTAGCCCAGCACGTGGGCCACCAGGAGCTGCCCGTGTGTCTGCTCCAGGCGGGCACACAGTTGGTGCGTTGCTTCCTTAGCAGTGGAGGCCAGAGGGGCAGGTATGGTGAAGGAGGCCCATTTCCAGGCCTCCTCGAAGGCCAGCCTCAGCCGTCCTGGGTGCCCACATTCCGGGAGGCTGGCCCAGAGCAGTTCCCTCTGCTCTGGGCTCAGCGTCCTCCTCGAGTCTGCCAGCAGAAGCTGGATCATCTCTTGCCCTTGGTTTCCGGAGAGGGGTTTCACCTCCCAGTAGGCCCCTGGGTCCGTCAGCGTCTGTCGCATGGTGTCTAGAATCCCCCGCTGCCCTGAGCAGGCTGAGAGGATGAGGTGGACCCTCGGTGGGCATTTGGGAGGCAGCCAGGGGACCCTCCGGGCACGGCAGATGGAATCCACATCATCCATGGAGTCCAACAGGATCACCAGGGACTCAAAGTTTCGGCAGGAGACAGTGTGGAGGAGGGTGTGGAAAAACTGGACCACCCTGGCATGGGCCTCCAGGACCTGGGCCGGGGGCAGGGGCAGCCCGTAGGCCAGGCACAGCTGGAAGCAGATGCTCTGGAGCAGGCCCCGGGCATTGGAGCTCATCTGTGACATCCCCAGAAGCCGGAGGACGGTCACCGTCTTGCGGCCAAGTAGTCTCGGCATTTGCTCTGCCAGCTTGCACATCAGAGCTGTCTTTCCGATGCCTGGGGGTCCAAAAAGCACCATGGGTGAGTGTGGATGGCTGTCATTCTGCCAGAGCTGCTGTGCCAGCTGGGCCAGGAGCTCCTGGCGCCCGCAAAAGGTCCGGGTGGCCTCGGCACTCAGCCCCAGGTGGTGGCGGATCTCCTGGTAGAGCCATGCCAGCTCCCGCCGGCCCACCTCCAGCTCCCGGAGGTGCTCAAGGACCTGGTGGTTAGCCCTGGCCACAAACTGCTCCCCCAGCTCCTTCAGGTACTGAGCATGAGCCTTGTTTTTGGGGTTCACCAGGTCTCGGCTCCATGGCAGGTGGTGGGCCTGGAGGACTCCGGGTTGCATGTCGGCAATGCGTCCCTTGAGGTCACTGAGAAGGTTCTGGGCATCCGTGTCCAGGCAGCCATCTGTGAGCTGGTCTACCATCTTGAGGGTGCAGTCTTCCAGGATGTGTTTGTGGAGGTCTTGGATCTCTCTCAAGAAGACAGTTGCCCCCTGGTCTCCGTCTGTCAAGCTCAGCAGGCCCCGGTCTATCTCCCATTCAATGACTGAAAAAGTGAGGGAGATGGGAAGAGAGTGTGGTCATCATTGTGTGATCAGCTGGCCCGAGTGGAGACACTTGAGAGACATATTTGGGGAGGTAGGGACATTAGTTCTCCCACTTAATGTGTGCTGGAGTCACCGGGCATGACCATAGACAATATGCAAACTAATGCACTCAAGTGGGTTCCAATAAAACTTTATTTACAAAAACAAGCAGTGGGCCACATTTGGCCAGAGGACTATAGTTTGCCAGAGTCTCCTGGGGGCTCAAAAACCCCATATGTCTGGGCTGTGCCTCCAGGAGTTCTGATTCAGCAGGTCTGGGTGGGGCCCATGGGTCTGCATTTCCAAAAAGCTCCCAGGTGATGCTGAGGCTGCTGGTCCAGGGGCTGGGCCAAGAATAGCGCTGATTTAGTCATTATAAATCAAAGAAACCTTGGTGTAGGCAGCACAGAGATTCTATGTGAGAAGCAGCCCCGTTATAAAACCCTACGGTAGTTGCTGGGGCTGGGGGAGAGGGATGGGGAGTGACCCTTAATGAATATGGAATTTCTTTGGGGGTGATGGAAATGTTCTGGAACTAGACAGAGGTGGTAATTGCACAACATTGTGAATGCACTAAATGTCACTGAATCATTTACTTTAAAATGGTTAATTTCATGCCATGTGAGTTTCACTTCAATTTAAAAAATATCCAATGTCAGTTTTGGGTGCCTCCCTCATCACACATTCATTCAACAAACATTTATTGAGCTCCCACTTGTGGCAGCCTCAGCTCTCCAGACAACTAGCAGTGAGGCTGAGAGCAAAGGTTGGCATGCTTTTCTGTAAAGGCTCAGATAGTAAATATTTTAGGCTCACAGGTCAAATGGTCTCCATTACAACTATTCAACTCTGCTGTTGTAGCGTGAAAACAGCCATAGCCAACATGCGAACTAATATGTTGAGTGTGTTCCAATAAAACTTTATTTATGAAAACAAGTGTTGGGCCGAATTTTGCCTTTGGGCCCTGGTTGGCTGACCCCTGTCCCAGAGCATGCAGCACTGCCCTGAGGACCCGAATTTTCCAGAGCCAAGAGCAGACACAGATTTCTCCTCAGAGGCCATTGTTTTGAAATAGCAGTCAGACCTGAGGAGTTATTTTTTAAGCTGCCCTGGGCCCAGCAGAGGCTCCCAGGTCTCTGGAGCTGAGTGAGTCAGGCTCCCTTGGAGACAGGACTCAGTCTCAGAGCCAGAGATAAGAGCCACACAAAAGCCCTCCTTGGAGTGACACCACAGCCCCCTCAGGCCCTCGAATGGAAGTCGGGGATAAAGGCAACTGACAGTCCTGACATGGGATCCTTCTGGGACACGTCTCAGCATGAATCAATGCAAGACCATCTGCTCTGCTCCTGCAGGCTGCGCGACCTTGGTCAAATCACTGCGTCTCTCTGAGTCTGTTTCTTCTCCCATAATATGGGTGTACTAGTTTAATCTCTCTCTCTCTCTCTTTTTTTTTAAGATCTTATTTATTTATTTGTCAGAGAGAGAGAGAGAGAGAGCACAAGCAGGGGGAGCGGCAGAAGGAGAAGGAGAAGCAGACTCCCTGCTGAGCAGGGAGCTCGATGTGGGACGCAATCCCAGGACCCTGGAATTATGACCTGAGCCGAAGGCAGACGCTTAACCAACTGAGCCACCCAGGCGCCCTAGGGCTAGTTTAACCTTGCCTAGGCTCCTGGCCGCATCTTCTGTGAAACAATGCTTGTGAAAAGCTGAGCTCCTTATGCCGAAGGAACAAAGCCAATCTCCAAAGGTTGCAGACTATGTGATCCCATTCTATAACATCATTGAGATAACAAATTATAGAGATGGAGACGGATTACTGGTTGCCAAGGGCTGGGGACTGAGGGCAGGGCCGAATGTGACTCTAAGAGGGTAGTGGGGGGGAACTTTGCAGTGAGGAAACAGTCCCGCATATGGACTATGGCAGTTATTCGAAGCTACACGGGTGTGAAATTTTCTTAGCGTGAAATACACATGTGCACGTGCACACACGAAATGCACGTTTGTAAAAGTGATGTTTTGTCAGGGGCGCCTGGGTGGCTCAGTGGGTTAAGCGTCTGCCTTCAGCTCCCAGGGGTCCTGGGATCAAGCCCGATGTTCGGCTCCCTGCTCCTCTGAGAACATGCTTCTCCCTCTGCCTCTCTTTCTCTCTCTGTCTCTCATGAATAAATCAATGAAATCTTAAAAAAAAAAAAAAAAAAAAGTGATGCTTTGCTGGTTGTCACAATGTCCACTTTTGGTTGTACGACTCTAGTTTTGCAAGATGCTACCTGTGGGGGAAACTGGGTGAAGGATACATGGAATTACTTCCTACTTTTTTTTTTGCTTTTTTGGGGGAATCTCTATTTCCAAATACAAAGGCTGAAAAGAAGAAAACTGAGAGCAAGGGGCATGGAAATATGCTCTGAAGACACTGTTGACAGCAGCATATGCCTTTGTGCTTTCTGCTACTTTCAAGGAGTTTCTGTTTGTTCTTTCAAGTGGGAATTCTTTTTTTTTAATCTATTTGTTTGAGAGGAAGAGAGTGTGCTGGGGGAGGGGCAGAGGGAGAGAGAGAATCTCAAGCGGACTCCATGCTGAGCACAGAGCCGACACAGGGCTCAAGCTCATGACCCTGGGATTATGATCTGAGCCGAAATCATGAGTCGGATGCTTAACTGACTGTGCCACCCAAGCGCCTCTCAGGTGGGAATTCTTCATGGGCTACGCTTGATCGAATGAGATCATGGCTGGGACGAGATCATGGGACAAGATCCTCACAACGATTCCGTGATGTACTACCTCAGACTAGTTCCATTTTACAGATTAGGAAACTGAGACTCGGAACCTGCCAGAGGTCAGTACAGCTGGGAAAGGGCAAGGCTGAACTGCAAGTCCAGGCCCACCCCAAAGCACAGACCCCAGACGCTGATTGCAGTCCCAATGGCAGATATCTCTACGAAAGCAGTTAGCACATTTGGCTTCATGTCACAGAGCAAGGAATAACAACACAGTAAGTCCTCAATAAATGGTGGCCATTAATGTTATTATTCACATAAACACTGTATTCAAGATCAATATGTCATTCGTAGTCTTAACCAAAGTATTGGGTTAGCATCACCTGTGATATCAGGTGGGTGTCAGGTACCCCTGGTATGATGGGATAGGGAAGGAACTTCACCTCCGTGGTCTTCTTCCCAGAAACCTATGACCCCCGTCCAACCATGAGAAAACACCAGACAAGCCCAGATTGAGGGACATTCTGCAAAAGACGTGGCCAGCCCTCCTCAAAAATGGTCAAAGTCATGAAAAACAGGGAAAGGCTGAGACACTGTCACAGTCCAAGGGAACCTGAGACGTGACAACTAAACGCAGCATGAGAACCTGGACGGGATCCTGGGACAGAAAAACATTAACGGGAAAACCAAGGAATTCTAACTAGACTCTGGAGTCTAGTTAATCGTCATGTACTGATGTTAATTTCTTACTTCTGGCAAATGTACTGTGGTCACATAAGACGTTAACGTCTCTGTGTGAAGAACATACAGAGACTCTGTACTTCCTGCAAATCTAAAATTATCCCCAAATAAAAAGTTGAGTTTTAAAAATTGACATGTCGGACGCCTGGGTGGCTCAGTCGGTTAAGCGACTGCCTTCGGCTCAGGTCATGATCCTGGAGTCCCTGGATCGAGTCCCGCATCAGGCTCCCTGCTCGGCAGGGAGCCTGCTTCTCCCTCTGACCCTCCCCCCTCTCATGTGCTCTCTCTCATTCTCTCTCTCTCTCAAATAAATAAATAAAATCTTTAAAAAAAAATTGACATGTCATTACTAGAATTAATATATATAATAAATAATAATCAATACATTTTAGTACAATTAAAATACTACTGACATAAATTACATTCAATATCTTTAAACAAGTCAATGTGTTTAATATGTTCATAATATAACTCCATGTATTTAATATGTGGACAAAATGAGTTCATGTTTTTAATATTTTTGGTAAGAAAAATTCATATACTATAGTTTTGGTGATATAAATGGACATATCTGACATACTACTGAACACGTGAATGGTAATAATCTGTTTCTTGCTGGCAGCAAGCAGTGGGGAAATGGCTTGGCGACACTGCCATTTTTTTAAAAAAAAATTATTGATTTATTGATTTTAGAGAGAGAGGGAGCACGAACAGGGGGTAGGGGCAGAAGGAGAGGGGGAGAGGGAATCCCAAGCAGGCTGCACGCTCAGCACGAGTCTGACTTGGGGCTTGATCTCAAGACCGTGAAATCATGACCTCAGCCGAAACCGAGAGTCAGACACTTAACCGACTGAGCCATCCAGGCATCCCGGCAACACTCTGTTTTTAGAAAAATCTTTCTGGTAGCCAGTGCGGAGGATGGAAGAGCCAGAGGTTAAGGCTAGAGGTGGGAGGTAAGGGGCCAGCTGAGAGCTGGGTGATGGACTCTGGTCAAATCCCTATTCCCCACCTTAGGTGTAGGAGACCCCTTCCTGTACCTCAGTTTCCACCTCTGAGGCAGGTGCAGGGAGGCTGGAGGACTCAATGTCCCCAGCAGGGGCTGGCTCCTGGGCTAACATAAGATGATGCACTGCTCCAGTTTTTCCAGGACTGTCTGGGTTTAACCCTAAAAGTCTCCAAACAAACCAGGATAGTGGTCATCTTAGAAGCCTTCCCTCAGAACCAGGAGTCTCTCTGGGAGAAGGGGAGCAGGAGCTGGAGGAGGAGAAGAAAGGAGGGTCCTAAGGGACAAAGAATCAACCAGGACCTGGCTGAACTCTGGGACGAGTACAGTAACCTCCTGCAGAACCAGGGACCCAGGAGCTAGGCTGGTCTGGTATTTACAGGAGTGTAGGCTATGGCATTTGGACAGAAAGTGATGCGTGTATTTGAATTCGGGGCATTTCCTGTGGCCCCTGGCAGGGGTCCCCGCAGCCTCACCTGACCAATGGTAGTGGTACCACTGCTCCTGGGTGATGAGGCCCAGCCTCCGGGCCTCCTGGGCTCCAGAGCGCAGCACAGAGGTCAGGGTGGCCTCTTCGGGCCCGTGGGCCTCCACGGTGCCTAGCGCCTGCAGCAGGTAGGTGGGGGGCACGGAGTTCTCATCCCTCCGGAAGCGTCGAGCCACCAGGTCCAGGTCGCGTGGCCTGGAGGTCAGCTGGGCTCTCAGAGCCTCCCACTCCTTCTCCTCGATCAGCGTGGGGACTGGACGGGGGCCGTACTGGTCACCTAAGAGGGCCTGGCAGAGAGAGGGGCACGGGTTCAAATCTTGGCTTGGGTGCTCAGCTCCGTGACCCTGGGTGAGATGCACTGAGCCCCCCAGACATGGACCCGGCTGTGGCGCCACAGTGATGGGTTCATTAAGAAGTGCAGGCTAGAAGACATCCAAATGGCCAACAGACACATGAAAAAGTGCTCAATATCACTCGGCATCAGGGAAATCCAAATCAAAACCTCAATGAGATACCCACCTCACACCAGTCAGAATGGTTAAAATTAACAAGTCAGGAAAAGACAGATGTTGGCGGGGATGCGGAGAAAGGGGAACCCTCCTACACTGTTGGTGGGAATGCAAGCTGGTACAGCCACTCTGGAAAACAGTGTGGAGGTTCCTCAAAAAGTTGAAAATAGAGCTACCATACGATCCAGCAATTGCACTACTGGGTATTTACCCCAAAGATACAAAAGTAGGGATCCGAAAGGGTACGTGCACCCCGATGTTTATAGCAGCAATGTCCACAATAGCCAAACTGTGGAAAGAGCCGAGATGTCCATCGACAGATGAATGGATAAAGAAGATGTGGTATATATACACAATGGAATATTATGCAGCCATCAAAAGGAATGAGATCTTGCCATTTGCAACGATGTGGATGGAACTGGAGGGTATTATGTTGAGCGAAATAAGTCAAAAAGAGAAAGACATGTATCATATGACCTCACTGATATGAGGAATTCTTAATCTCAGGAAACAAACTGAGGGTTGCTGGAGTGGAGGGTGGGGTGGGAGGGATGGGGTGACTGGGTGATAAGACACTGGGGAGGGTATGTGCTCTGGTAAGTACTGTGAACTATGCAAGACTGTTGAATCTCAGATCTGTACCTCTGAAACAAATAATGCAATATATGTTAAGAAAAAAAAAGAAGAAGAAGGTAGCAGGAGGGGAAGAATGAAGCAGGGGAAATCAGAGGGGTAGACAAACCATGAGAGACGATGGACTCTGAAAAACAAACTGAGGGTTCTAGAGGGGAGGGGGGTGGGAGGATGGGTTAGCCTGGTAATGGGTATTGAGGAGGGCACGTTCTGCATGGAGCACTGGGTGTTATGCACAAACAATGAATCATGGAACACTACATCAAAAACTAATGATGTAATGTATGGGGATTAACATAAGAATAAAAAAAAAAAAGTGCAGGCTAGAGCCTCAGAGCACCTGCGCATGAAGGTCCCTGAGAGCAAGGGACATCGGACAGGTACATTTTGAATCTGATCATGTACCAAGCATCAAAGAATCTTTTGCTGGGAAAACCCTCTGTGGAAGCTGACTGATGGCCCCCAAGGATAGCCAACCCTAATCCGTGGCCCCTGTGACACACCTTATATGGAAAAGGGTTGTGATGGTTATTTTTAGGTGTCAGTTTGACTGGGCTGAGGGATCCTCAGATAGCTGGTCGAATGTGATTTCTGAATGTGTCCATGATAGCATCTCTGGAGTGAAGCCGATGGCCCTACCCAGTGCAGGTGGGCATCATCCAATCCACCAGGGGCCCAAATAGGACCCAAAAAACCAAAACCAAAACAAAACCAAAAAACGAGAAAAGATGAATTCCCTCTCTCTGCTTGAGCTGAGACATACATCTTCTCCTGCTCTTGGCCATTTGTGCTCCTGGTTCTTGGGCTTTGGGACTCAGATCGGGACTTGCATCTTCAGCCCCCTGATTCTCAGGCCTCAGGCCTACAACTGAATGACACCACCTGCTTTTCCAGTTCTCCAGCTTATAGATGGGAGATGGTGGAACTTCTCGGCCTCCATAACAGTGTGAGCCGATTCCTGTCATAAATCGTATGTATCTCATATATCTCTCTCTGTATATTCTCTTGGTTCTATTTCTCTGGAGAACCACGACTAGCACCAAGGTCTTTGCCGATGTGCTTAAGTGAAGGATTTTGAGCTGGGGAGATTATCCTGGATTATCGGAGCCCTAAATGCAATCCCAAGAGCCCTTAATAAGAGACAGGCAGAGGGAGAGAAAACTACAGCTTCTCATATATAGGCACCGGCTTGTCCCAGAAATAGAGATGTGGTGGAGCTAGGGCCTCCATTGGCCCCGCCCAAATCTCATGGTATGATGTGGTCCCGGGGGCAGGTGGGTCTGAAAGGTACAAGATGGACCCTGTCTTTATTTAGATTTAAGGATCGAGCTGAAGAAGAAGACATGAGAAAGGGTGCACTGCTCAGAGCGCCTTGCAAACAGAGAGGACAGGATGTGCAAAGGTCCTGTGGCAGGAAGTAGCTCCAAAGAGCTAGAGCAGGAAAGCCGGGTGGGGAAGGTGTTTGAGGAGGGGGCAGTGGTGAAACATAAGGGCATCCCTTGTGCTCATTTCAGCAGCACATACACTAAAATTGGAATGAAACAGAAGGCCATCCCCGTAGGCAAGATTTTGCAGGGGCTGGAGGTGATGAAGCCCTAAGACTTTTGTCTTTTTTTTTTTTTTTAAGACTTTGGTCTTAATGCCAAGAATCCTAGGAGCCCCTCTCTCTGCTCCAACAGAAGGTGCAAACCGGAATGCTAGAGAATTACGCTAGAGGAGGTCTAGGACACCGAGACTGACGTCTTGAGTTTCCTCATCATAAAATGGAAGCAATCACCCCTCCCCTCTTCACCGGGCTGTGCCAGAATATTCCAGGGGTGTGCACTGAGGAAACTTGGATAAACAGAGCCTGTGATGATGGGAGGTTGAAGAGGAGGCCACTCTCTGGGGGCCTTTCCCAGAGCATCAGCCTTGGAGCAGTGAAAGAAGTTGGAGAAGCCAGCTGACCACAAATCACAGATCTTAGGAGGGAGACAAGATGGAAAATGCTCCTGCCTGAGGGACCAGAGCAAGAACAGGAAGAGCTTTAAAAAAAAAAAAAAAAGGAAGAGCTTGAAGGAAAAAGGTCAGGAGCCACCAGGAGCAACTCTCTGGAGACGCTAGAGCTGCGGGTGGCCCAAGAGAGCCAGAGCCTCTGAAGGAAGTACCGTGGGGAGCCTTCCTCTGTTACTCTTGCTGCCTAATGACTTATTTACCAGAGAGACGCTTCTCCAAGGGCTGCCAACGCAGCTCTGATCTCCACGGGAAGACCCCCAAGTCGGAGCCACTGAAGGAGAAAGATGCGGCGACTCTCGGGGGACAGAGAGAGATGCCTGGTTCAAGAGGAAAGCAGGAAGCGGGTAGAGGTCACCTACCTGCCCAAGGAGCCCTTCTGGAAGGATAAGCAAGGTCCCCGGGCTAGTCGGGCCTGGGGGAAGCTCAGAGATCATCCCGTCCCCCATGTTACCTGGAAGCTGCGTTGTGCTTTTCACTGCCTGCAATTTGGGTTGCAAAATCGAATTCCTCCTGGAGTTTCTTTTTTCCCCATCGCCCATTTTTCTTTAGAAAATTTCTTTCCTTTCCTTTTTTTTTTTTTTTTTTTTGAAACTCCATGAAATGATCAATCGTCGGGCTCATTTGGAAAACTAAATTGGAAGATTGGGGGGGAAATGTATGAAGGAGATACACAGCAGGAGGGTAGAGCCCTCCAAACACTAGGATGCATTTTAAAGCAATAGTAATTGAAGCAGAGGGGTTCAAAGGGCACAAATTTCCAGCTATGAGATAAACAAGGACTAGGGATATATAATGCACAGCATGAGGACCATAGTGGATGCTGCTGTACATGTATTTGAAAGTTGTTAAGAGAGTGGCTCCTGAGAGTTCTCCTCACAAGGAAATAAACCACCTTTTTCTTTCTCTTTTTTTGTATCTATAGGAAATGATGGATATTAATTAAACTTATTGTGGTCATCATTTCATAATACATGTAAGTCAAGTCATTAACGACGCACATCGGAAACTTACACATTGCTGGATGGCAGAAACATCTCAATAAAACAGGGAGAAGGAAAAAAAAAAGGCAGCACCAACAGACAAAGAAAAACATAGAGCAAAAGACTGAAAACGGAAGTCTGACTCTATCGATCGAACTTCATACATAATAAAGAAAGCTTCTCACACATGTTGGCCAGGTCTGAGTTTCTTTTGGGGAGGGAGGTCTCATCTCTAAGGCAGTACTAGACCCTTTGGCAGCGCTGAAAGTGTGCTCATCTGTGTTGTCTAATATGGTGACCAGTTGCCACATGGGACTATGAAGCCATTGCAACATGGCTGGTGGCCCTGAGGACCTGAAATTTGAATCCTACTCAATTTTCATTTATCTACCTTTATTTATTTTTTTTTTAATTTTTTTAAAAGATTTTATTTATTTATTTGACAGAGAGAAAGCGAGAGAGGGAACACAAGCAGGGGGAGTGGGAAAGGGAGAAGCAGGCTTCCCGCCGAGCAGAGAGCCCGATGCGGGGCTCAATCCCAGGACCCTGAGATCATGACCTGAGCCGAAGGCAGTCGCTTAACTGACTGAGCCACCCAGGCACCCCCATTTATCTACCTTTAAATTTGCCTCACGTGCTTTGTGGGTACTGTGCTAGACAGTGCGATTCTGAAGCCAAGCAGCCCTCAAATATTTCTATTTCCCTAGATAACAGCTTTTATAAGGGGGACCACCTTCTCCTACACTCTCCTTTGTCTCCAGGAGCGGTTCCAGAGGAGTTTTCTTTTTATTCAGAACTGCTCGAAGCTTCTTTGTGACTAAGGCGTTTTGGGCAAAGATACTTTCTTGACTTTTTCCCTCTTTACCTTTTAGGACAGAGGTCAGCAAACTTTTTCTGGGAAGGGTCAGATAGCCAATCTTTTCAGCTTTGCAGACCAGGTGGCTTCAGCCACAACTACTCGGTTTTGTGTGTGTAGCTGGGAAACAGCCATGGATGATAGGTGAACGAAAGAGTGTGGTTGAGTGCCAACAAAGCTTTATTTACAAAAAAAAAAAGCTTTATTTACAAAAAATGGGCCAGATTTGCCCCAGAGGCTGTAGTTTGCTGACTCCTGCTCGAGGATTTATGAGCTCGAATGTCATAGTTCTTGGATGTATCTGGAACTTGGTGGTGGAATAAATCAGGACAGCGGAATAGCATTTGCTGATTGTAGCCCAAACCACTAATTGTGAGCTGGCGGTTATTCTGGGGACAGAGAGGGTGTTGTTGGGGTGGGAGGACAGAATGAATACCCTGGAACATGGAAAAACTGGTCCCACCTAGCGTCAGAGGAAGTTTGCCCTGAGGCAGGCTCTAGACTTCTCCCAACACCATGAAGCACAAGGGAGAAAAGAATTCCCAACATCCTGTGGGTTTCCATCCTTTCTGTGCTTTTCCAGGATCCCCACATTCCACACACATGAAGTGGATGAGGTGAGAAAGCTGGGGGTAGGTTCAGAGCAAATTCTAAGTTTCCTTTGGGCTTCTACCCTCTGCTCTCCAGCTTACCTGTTGCTTCCACTTGGCTGCTAATGTCTGGATCCCAGCTAGCTTGGTGGAAAGTGAGTAGTGATCTATTAGCAACGTCTGCCATGGGTAGGCTATGGAGATTAGGTACCATAGAAGAAATGTCACCCACATCCCTCCACCGATGGGTTTGGCTAGTGGGTAGGAGCCATATATCGGGGCTGGAATGAGAAGTAATCACCAACCCATCCCTCCCAAGAGACTCACAACAAAAGCGGGCCCTATGGATGTTTTCCGACACCGGTCGAGCTCCTCCAAGCAGAGTTCTGTGGTCATGTGGTCAGTGGCCTCAGTGTTCCGAATACCCCACCTCAGATCAACAACCTGGAGATTATAAGTGTTGGTGATTATAAGGGAGGTGGCAGAATGGATTATTTTTTTCAATTCCTTTTGACAAAGGCATAAAGTTTCTTTCAGTAATTTTTGACAGTCTCTCCCCAAAGGGGGGTGTCCAAATTGAAAGAACTTGAATGAAGCCCATAACCCCAGGGCTATCATGAGAAAAACATCAGATAGACCCAGATGGGGGGCATCCTGCAGGACGGCCAGTCAGCCCTCTCCAAGACTGTCAAGGTCATGAGCAACAAGGAAAGATTGTCTCAGACCAGTGTCAACCCCACTAGGTCCCCTGGACGGGGTCCTCGACCAGAGAGAGGACACAAACAGAAGAACCAGTGACATCTGAATGAGGCTGGTTCATAGCAGCATACCAATGTCCATTTCTTAGTTGTGACAAATGTGCCCGATGATGTAAGATGTTCACAATAGGGGGAAGACCGGGTGCAGAGCATATGGGAACTCTGGACTGTAGGCCACCTTCACATAAATCTAAATCCGAAATAAAAAGTTAACTTAAAAACAACATATCAGGGGCACCTGGGTGGCTCAGTTGGTTAAGCAGCTGCCTTCGGCTCAGGTCATGGTCCTGGAGTCCAGGGATCGGGTCCCACGTTGAGCTCCCTGCTCAGCGGAGAGTCTGCTTCTCCCTTTGACCCTCCCCCCTCTCATGCTCTCTCTCTCAAATAAATAATCTTAAAAAAAAAAAAAACAAAAAACAACAACATATAAAAAAAAATGTTTAAAGAACTTGGCCATATTCAGACTGTTCCTTCCTAAGTGAGGACATGTCCACACTTGTTCCCAGAGCTTTCTTTGCAAAGGAGGGTGTTTAGTTTGGCCAAAATCAGACTTGGCAAAGTCTCCTTGACAACCACATGCTTGCGGTCCACTTTCGCCTGCTTGCCTGAGGGGGGCCAGGCAGAATGGCTCAGTGTCTGATGATCGATGGCAGGCAGAGTCCAATTCCCAGCACTGCTTCTTTCTTAGTGATATAGAAACTACGATGCGTCTTATAATCGGGGGGCCTTTGATGGTATGGATCGCTGTCACACAGGTCAAGGAGTCAGGGTCAACTGAAGCCAACGCTCCAAAGATGCTTTGTCGGTTTCCCCATCAAAACGTGCAGGGGGCAACATCCTATGCCTGGATTGGTGCGAGAGCCATAGGGGCCTCTCTTTGGGGACTGCTGCCGACTGTGCCAGGCAGGTACACCATTAGTATTTCCGAAAAAGGCACCTCCCACTTCTGTGTACACCCCAAACACCCCACGGTCCTCTTAGACTCCCCCTGAAGCTGCCCCAGTCCGGGGAGGGCCAAGAGGGCAGGACAAACCAACAACGAAAGGCAGGTAAGTGGCATGCCCAAGGAGCAGGGTCCCAAGGCAGCCCCCCCTAGCACTCCCACACCTCCTGGGCTCCCCGAAGTGCCCGCGGCCATAATCCCTCCCCCTGCCTTTTTAGAGGACTTTCATCTCCACAGGGCATCACCAGTGCAGAGCCTCTCGGAGCCAAGGGTCCTGTGCGACTGGCAAACCCTTGGTCTCTAATTTCAGGACAGGGGACACCGAGGCAGGGAGGAAGCTATTACCTCAAACATCAGCCCATGCTTTTGGCAGAAGGTTTGCACTTTGGGGAAGGCCGTGCTCTGCAGGGCTTCTCTCTCTGCATCCATATCTGCAAGGAACAGCATAGAGGATGTTAGCTGGAAGATCCCAGAACCCTTTCTTGCCCCCATGGCTCTGCTTTTAGCCTCATTTGTCCCCACTAAGGCTGGAGTCCTGTGGGGCAAATGAAAAGATACAAAAAAACATCAAGAGGTAAACCGGAGAAGGCCTTTCCTGGTATTAGTGCTAAAAATCCCACATCCCAGGAAACTCCTCAGTGCCAGCTAACCAGGATGGTTGGTCAGCCTAACTTAGGGTTGCCAGATAAAGTACGGGATGCCCAGCTGCATTTGCGCTTCAGATAAGCAACGAAAAACTTGATAGCATAAGTATATCATGTTCCGTGCATTTGGACACCTGTGCACATCTGATAAGCCCAGCTGAATTTGCATTCCAGATAAACAACAATTCATCTGTTAGCATAAGTATGTCCCAGGTCATGCGCGTACTATTTGGGAAATACTTATACTAAAGGATTATTCATTGTTTATCTGAAATGCAAATTTAACTGATGTCCTGCTTTTGCTGTTCTGTTTTGTTTTTTGCTTTTGCTAAATCTGGCAGCCCTACCCGGGGTAAACCTGGATTCTAAGACCTTCTGCACCACTGACTTCACTGTGTGGCCCAATGCCAAGGGTCAAGCTATTCTCAGTTTCCCCCCTCTGTAAAACGGGGGTGATGCTTCTACTTTGCAGGGCCGCAAGCTCCCCAGAGTCAAACGCTTCTGCTTGTCTTGGTCATGGCTAAGTTCTTAGCACTCAACACAAGTGCTCAATAAGTGTTAGCTGAGCTACTGAATCTTACAAGTAAAAGCACCTAGCACGAGATAGACGTGGAAGAAATATTTGTCTTCTCCCCCCTGGTCAGGGGGAGGTCATCGGAGGGTTCAGGGAAGGACTCCCAAAGCTGTTGGCACAAAGAAGCCATCTGGGCCCTGGGACGGGAGCTGACCTGGGTTCCAGTCTTGGCTGTGCCTCCTACCCCCATGCTCTTCCCATGCCTAATGCATTCCACAGGTTATTCACATCCGTCCATAAAGTATTTATTGGGAAGTTGCTCTATGCTCAGAACCTTGCTTAACCACTGCGGGCACGGCGGCAAGCAAGACATAATGGGGATGATGCCCTGTGCTGGAGCCGGCCCCCACTGGCTGGGAAGAGCCGAGTGCTAAATCTTCAGGAATTTTGTGAATTCACATAGCCACTACGGACAATTAAATCATCGGAACTTAAGATGGAAAAGGCAGAGATGGTAAATGTGCAAAACGCATCACTTCGTGATTATTTAATGGCATTTGACTGTGAGCTCTGTTCTGGAGTTTGGTCCTGGCTGCTGATTTTGTATCAGGGCAAATATTAGAGGAGGTTGAATTACTGCACATCTCTGCCTGCGTGTTCGGGAAGTCCCATCGACAGCTCGAAATTGACCCTGGTGGAAGGATTTACACCACAGAAATGGGCGGACGGTACAAATCGGGTGTTTCGGTGTTTTTCGTTTTGTTTTGTTTAGATTTGGGGGGACAGGCTCGTAAACACCCTGCTAGCATACTACTGTCCTTGCCCCCACAGGGCTCGCAACCTGCTCGGAGGAACCAGACATTAAATACACATACCCCTGACCACGGTTATGGGGCCCAGGGCTTCAAGGGTCCCACGACCTGCTGGAGCTCAGGGTGACCACAGCACGGGGATGAGGGGAGGACCCTATGAGATCAAGATGGGAGATGAGGAGGGTCGGGTCATGCAAAGCCTGGTGTCTGAGGGGTTGGGGGCGAACGGCTCTCACACTCTTTAAGCCTGGCCTGTAGTGCATTCATCATAAATGTTAGTTGCAATACGGTTTGTCACTCACAGCCCCTCTATCCAGTCAGGCTGTCAGCCTGACTTATCGAGGAGGAAACAGGGGGTCTAGGAGGCTCCCCCTCACCAGTTCCCATGTGGGTCACTGGCCAGGCTGCATTCTTATCCAGGTCTCCTAGAGGACCCTATGAGCCATGCCCTGGCCACCTCGCCCCTCCCCAAGAGTACCTGCTTGCCTCTAACCCCCCAGCCCTGCCCTGCCCTGCCCCTTACCCGAGACTGTGGAGCTGATGAAGATGGCCACACTGCTGGACAGAGGTGCTGGGAGAGGGCCTGTCTGACCCTGGAGAAGCCGCCGGCAGGTGCCCGGGCTGAGGGGGCCCACGCTCATGCTGCCTGTCCACCTGGATGACGCTTCCCCAGCATAGGGCCTGGGACTCAGGGACCTCAGGCCAGAGGCCAGGTGGCCTTCCTGGGAGGGCAGCCAGGCAGAGCCTTCTGGAATGGGGCGTCCATCTCACCCCCTTGGTGCCTTGGAGTCCCCGCCACCTCCAGCACCCCTGGGGAGCTGAAGCCACTGCTCCGCACTGCTCTGCTTGGTCTGCAAGCACTCACGGGGGGTTGTTGGACAGTGGCTTCCCAGCCAAGGCCCCTGGATGTTGTTGGTTCCTCCAGGCTCTGAAGCCTTTTGCCCCTCAACCAGCCAGCTCCTCACGCCAAGAGCTCAGCCGTTGCTACAGGAACTACGGTTTCCTGGAGCCCAGCATTGGGGCCTGGGGACCAGCCAGCCTCTGGAACACCTAGGTCTCCTGGGGATCCCTGAAATTCGAGCCTGGGCCCAGGTGCGCGGAGGGAAGCTGTCAGATGCTGGGAGTCGTGCCAGTCCTGGCGGGGCAGGCCAGAAGGACAAACACAGTGGAACCCCCACCTCCTGCTGCGCTCACTGTCCCCTCCAAAGGTGGTCCAGGCACTGCGTGTATATTTAAAAAAATTTTTTTTAATTTATTTTTTAAAGATTTTATTTATTTATTTATTTATTTATTTATTTATTTGAAAGAGAGAGAATGAGAGAGAGAAAGAGAGCACGTGAGAGTGGGGAGGGTCAGAGGGAGAAGCAGGCTCCCCGCGGAGCAGGGAGCCCGATGCGGGACTCGATCCCGGGACTCCAGGATCATGACCTGAGCCAAAGTCAGTCGCTTAACCAACTGAGCGACCCAGGTGCCCCTGCGTGTACATTTTAAACCAGCAGTTCTCATCAGGGGCATATTCTGCTTCCCAGGGGACCCTCGCACACTTTGGTTGTCACGACGTGGGGGAGGAAGAGCTGCTGGAGTCCAGTGGGTAGAGCCCAGGGATGCTGCTCAGCCCCCTACAATGCACAAGACGGCCCCACCAGAGAGGGTTATCTACCCCTGAATGTCAGCAGTGCCGAGAAACTGAGGAACCAGCTTTAAAGCAACTCAAGCCAGATCTCCTTGCCCGCAGGAGGCGTGGAGCCTGAGGATGAGAAGGGAGATTAGCAAGTCTCCAGGGGCAATTCGGGACCTACCCATATCAAACTGAGACGTGCTCTTTGAAATAATCCCAAAACACTACTTGTGACAACATGAAGAGACCTGAAGGGCATTATGCTAGGTGAAATAAGCAGGACAGAGAAAGACAAATACTGTAAGATCTCACTTCTACGTAGAATCGAAAAAAGCCAAACTCATAGAAACAGAAAGTAGAGTGATGGTTATAGGGGAAAGGGGGTGGGGAGATGGAGAGATGTCAGTCAAAGGTTACAAACTTCCAGTTACAAGATGAATAAGACCGACCCAGGGATCTAATGCACAGCGTGGGGGTCACAGTTAATATTATATTCTATGCTTGACAGTTGCTAACAGCATTGATCTTCAAGGTTCTCACCATGAAAAAGAAATAGTAATGAGGTGCGTGTTGGAGGTGTTAGCTAAGGCCACTGGGGTAATCATGGTGCAAGATAGAAGTGCATCCAATCAGCATGTTGGCTACCTTAAACTCACACATTCGCCGATTATCCGACAATAAATCCGGGGGAGAAAAATTAACCAAAAACATGGCCTCTATGATCAGGGAAAGACCTTCTCATTATCTGACCTTATTGAAAATGCCCTGGTGATCTGAGTCCCGCCCACCACCTCTCCACAGTAACGAACCGCAGACAGAAGGAAAGCGTACCTGGGTGTCCACGGGCCTGGTTGGGATGCTGGCTCGTCCATTGCTGTCCTGGAGGAGTTGAGCAAGTGGCCTCTCTCCTGGGACATCAGCCACATCGTCTGTGAGATGGCAGTGAGAACCGCTCAAGGATGGGCTAGGACCAGGAGAGAAAGGCACTCCCCTCAGGATCAGCACATAAGGGAGCATGATGAGCCTGAAAACCAGAACGAATGCCAAACATACCCACGATGGCCCCCGTGTGAGCGAGGCATTTGGGAGTTGGGAATGCCAAGTCCCCACTTTACATACGGGCACTTGAAAAATGGTGGTATCAGTTCAACCAAACAGCTCGAGCTTCTTGATACCCTTTCCTTCTCTGCCTCAACTTCCCATCCCTGCCTCATTCACCCAGGAAAAGAGTCTGCCTTTAAGGGGTCCCCAAGACCCCCCCTCAGATTCGAGCATTCGTTAGAAGGACTCAGAGAATTCGGGGAAGCAGTTCTCATGGCGAAGGTTCATTACAGTGAAAGGACAGAGATGAAGGGCAGCCAAGGGAAGAGGCGTGCAGGGCTGTGTCTGGCAGACGCCGGGCTTGGGCTTCTAGTTGCCCCCTCCCAGCGGGGTTGTGCAGGCAGCACTGGATTTTCACAGCAACGGTGTGTGACAACACGCTCGGAGGATTGCCAGCCAGGGAAGCTCACCGGGGCCTTGGTGTCCAGGTTTTTCCTGGGCATTGGTCACACAGACACAGCTGACTTCAGAGTCCAGTTCCCCCCAGAGCTCCTCCAGAGTGGATACCACAGGGCCCAAAGTCCCCACTAGAAATCACATCGTTAGTATAGACTCTTCGGGTATATTCCGAGGCCCCCAGGTAAACAAACAACACTCTGATCAGGCAAGACATTCCAAGAGCTTGGAGGGCACATCCTGGGAGCTGGTCAAGGGCCAAACCTTTCATGTGCAGGGTGTGGAAAACCCAGGCTTGTTAAATGAAACTTTCCTGCACAGACCTGAAAAATGCTGTACCATA